GGGGGGGGGGGGGAGGCTTACTGGAGCAATAGGACATGGGGAAGAAACATTGTACTTGTATCATCCAAGTCGACCCGGAGGCTTAGAGGGAGATCTTGTTTCCATTGCAAGAGTTTGGATGTAGATCTTTCACTTAGTGATTGAAGAGTGTGTCCTGGGATTTGGGACCATCCGTATCTACAAAACAAGGTCAGGTTGGATAGGGTTCGAGAAGCAGAGAAGAACGCACAGTGCATGGCCTAAAGGAGCCATTATCTCACATAATTTCACTCGGTGTTCACTCAGTAGTTGTAAAACATCAGTAATTGAAACATCTTTTGTTCCAGACTCCGGTAGCCCGTAAGGGCTCCATTTCCTGATGCTCTCGCTGATGAGATGGTGCCCGGGCTTCTCGACCGTCACGTCTTCCATGTTGATTCTAAAAGGTCGACCGAGGAAGAAACCCCAAAGGCTTCAAGGTTTTAGCTACTATGGTATATCCATCCGTATATTTGTAAAGGCTACTCACTGATCTGTTGTATATGTCCCCCAAAAGACTATCCTTCGAAGCTCAGCCTCGGCTGGGCTAATAGATTCTTCAGCGACATGCGGCGACATGTCAATATGCAATCCTAGGTCAAAAGAAAGTCGCACAGCCATTCCTACAGCCTTCATATTAGCATGTCTGAATTATCCTTGGGCCTGCACTTACCGCTATAGAGCCATCCTCGGGCATCTCGTTTACAGCCAATGTCGTGCGCACTGAGAACGACCATTGCTTGAATCGTTGCCACACAAGGTAGGTCAAGTTCAATATCGAGCAACGCTTTGGCTCTATCAGCGAAGAAATCGGAGACGGATTTTGGGTAAGTGACAAATTCGGGATGGTAGCGAGGCACGAAGGCGGCTCCCAAGCAGCACCTTGGTCAATTTCAATGAGCACCATCCTTGAAGTTTTTAATTTGGCCTTCCACGTACATGGCATTTGTCAGCGCTTCGGAGTAATAGGGAGTGTCCTCCATGTCAACACGCCATTTCTTTCTGGCCTCGATGTACATACCCCGGTCGACAACGTAGAATGAAGGGTTGTGCCATGTGAAATAGAGATTGATTAGATGATCTTCCAGCTCCTGCGGTACCTCCTTATCAATTCCAAGGCGGCCAAGCAGGTTTAATCCATCTTTTCGAACAGTCCGGTGGATGGTCAGGTTATCAGGAGCCGGCATTTCCATCAAGTTGAAATGAGACGTTGGGCCGTAGAACCGGACTCGGCCGTCAGATCCAACCTGCAAACTGCCCATCCTCTCTGATAGCTGGTTGACAAGCTCTTCGATCTCTTCAACTTCGCCGTTCATTGTTCCGCCCTGTTCTTGTTGCGGCTCGGGGCATGACGTTGGTGGAATGGTCGGGTTAGAAGACGTCGGCTGGATCATATCGTCACTCACGAAGTTCCATAGTTGATCGAGAAAGAGGTCGTTTTGGAGGCCCTCGGGAAACTGACCATTTGCGACTCCGGCCGAATCGTCGCTAAAGATTGGCAAGTAGAATTCGGAGCCTCCAGGAAGCGATGGACTGACCGTATCTAGCTCGGGGAGATGGAACGACTGCAGGTCCGCGTAGTCGCTGGTCGTTTCTGCATTGAGATTTTGAGACAGGGGTATGTCTGGCGTCAATTTCAGATGGCCCAAGCCCACGGACTCCAGGGTATTCCTCAGTGCCAGCTCGTTCTCTTGCGTCGCGGCGGGAATTGGAAGACCGTTGTCGAGAATATACTGTGATAACTGATCGACTCGGCCGGTGAGAAGCTCAATAGCGAAGCGGAGAGAGAGTCTACGTGATCCTTTAGTTTCCTTGCTTTTCTTTTACTTTTCTTTCCCCTCGCCTCTCTCTTTCAGGTAGAAAGGATCAAACACCATACTTCCGTTTATCGCCGCCAACCTGGTAATGGCAAGCTCTGCCTTTGTTCAGACAGTATGAACACGACGGCGTCGCTCCGTTGCACTAGGGAAATCTGTCAGTTAACAAGCGGAGAAGAATTCGCATGTCTGAACCGACCTTGACCTTGCTCTCGCGGCATGGGATACAGGCGGTGGTGACATGTTTGCGTTGTTTCGACGACATAGTGAAGGCGTTGCAGCTTGCAACGGAGCGTGCGGGGAACTACATAAACTAAATATATAGCTAGTTCTGCGGGGGATCGATGCACTAGGAATTTAGATCTGCATTAGAACATACATGTGCAAACTCACGGTGTAGACTCAGCCGTGGATGTATCTACAGATACCTAGGTAGTTAGGTATTACAGATATGTAGCAAGCCCTAATACGGATGACGCATATATGAAAATATCCAAGTCCCATCATCTAACCAGACTACGAGCTAGTATATCGGCCTCAATTCGCGCTCGTCGAACCTGCTCCAGCTCCCCCGGATTGTCTTGAAACACATGGTCCATTTCCTCTAGAGTGCGTCCGTTGGTCTCTGGCACGACGAACCAAACCCAGACGATGGCCAGGACGCAGAAAACGCAGAAGAAGACATACGCGCCATAGCCGGTATTCTGGATGAGAGGCGGTGTAATGAGGCCGATGATGAAGTTGTTGAACCAGTTGGACATAGTGCCGAAAGCAACGCCTTTTGCTCGGAGAGATGCCGGAAAAACTTCAGCTGGCATGGCCCATGGGATCGGGCCCCAGCTGGCACCGTACGTGAGCATGAAGAAAAAGAGCATGGCAACGCATCCCCATGCTTCGGCGCGGTGAGTCGGCCAGCTGTTCTGGTATTTGCCCATCAGCGCAGCGATGATCAAGTGAGCAGCTGCCATGCATGTAGCTCCCCCAAGAAGTAAGGGCCTGCGTCCCAGTCGGTCCATGCCCCAGAGGGACCAGAAGCAGGCAGCCATCTGGAGGATGTTGAGAACACCGGACATGTCCAGTTGCATCTCATAGTCAAGGCCCATGGCGGCGAACAGGGACGGAGAGTAGTAAATAAGCGCATTGACGCCCGCGAACTCTACAGATGGACTTCAATTTGCGTTCTCGCGTCTACTTAGTCAAGGGGGGGGGGGAAGATTCAGAAGAAGACATACGCTGGAAGAACATCAAGCCAATGCCAACGTGCGTCCGTTTCCAACAACCCTTGCGGAAGCAATCCAGATAGCTGTGTACATGAATCATGACACGACTATAATAGCTGGAGTCTTGCAAGCCTGGGTGTCGTTCAGCGCTGAGCTCTTTGCGGTAGGCAGCTTCGGAGCGAATCTCACACCATTCACGCAACACACGTTCGTCGGTGGATGAAAGTGAGCGTAGCGTGCACAGGACAGCCAATGCCTCTTCATCGCGGCCTCGGCCCACCAGCCAGCGAGGAGAGTAGGGAATAAAAGGAACACCGACAGCAAGCACAACAGCGGGAATCATCTGGTATTCGTTAGTTAGCCCGGCTGCCTTGGGGGAAGAAGTTTTCTATTCGGCTGACCTGGATGAGGAATGGGAGACGCCAGGACCAGGGGCCATCGATAAAGCGAGTGCCATAGGTAGTATAAAAGGCGACTACAATGGCAGTCACAATAGACAACTCCTGCAATATAAGCAGTGTTCCTCTGATTTCCGGGGGTGCAATCTCAGAGATGTAAAGGGGCGCCACCATGGCCAGCATACCAATACCAACGCCGCCAATAAAACGCCCACCTGCAAGAGTGCTATAATCCATGGAACCTGTCTGAACCGCGGAGCCAACGATGAAGATGAGAACGGCCACCATGATCGACCACTTGCGAGATATCTTATCGGCAAGCCAGCCCTGGTTAAGAGCACCCAGGAAGGCCCCCAGCTCAATCATCGCTGTCAGCAGGCCTTTCTTAAAGCCCGCTCCAGACGCCGTGTCGGAAATCTCCGGGAATTGCTCCTGGAACTGGTCCATGGCGAGGATAATCGATATCACTCCCTGATCGTACCCAAACAGCGAGCCACCCAAGGTGGCAAACGCGGCACAGATCGTGACATATTTGTTGGTGAAGATGCCCTTGAAGCCTTGGGGACAACGTTGGTCAACCAATCGATCGTTGATATCTTATGAAAGATAGGTAGGGTACCCTACCAGTCTCGCCATATGGCCTTCTCTCATGAGATAAGATCGTGCATGACTCGAGATGGACCGAATCATCCAAGGGAGCTTTGTCCATGGTCAAAACTAAGTTTTTTTTTTTTTCTCTTTCTTATTGATAAGATGGAGCTGTCAACTGGAAACACCGGGAGAGAACGTGTCCCGTGCGTTAAAATTTATACTGGATTACCTGTGGAGATGCCCTGATCCTCCTACTCGCGGTCCCCCCGGAACAAGTAGTACGCCAGCTGGGCCTTGGCTGAATACCCCATGGGGTAAGAATAAGTTAATTCGGGGAGTGAATCCGATGCTTTTCCGAATAGCCAATAACCCATGATGCGAGTACCTAACGAATCCGGGGTAAAAGGTTACAGTACGAAGGAAACCATGCTGTTTCGATGTAGGACTCCTTCGGAATCATATCTCGGAAGAGTATATTGCTCAATATAACTGACATCTATTGGGCCTTGTGTTGAGCAAGAATGTATAGCTAATAGATAGATAGACGGAGCAAGAGTGCTCAGGCCTTGTCAGGGAATTCAAAGTCGACACCAAATGCAGGATACACATATCGAGTAAAGCTCTGAGCAGTAGAAAGTGACTTGATAAAGATATCGATCTCTTTGAGGTCGGTTTCGTTTAGTGCTACGAGGTTTTGCTTCGCTGCAATACGAGTTGGGGTGACCGACTTTGCCAGGACAGATCGTCCGGAATTGACTACGGTTTTGTTAGCAGAATTTCTCGGCTCTATCAGAGGGTAATTACCAAGCCACGAGAGTAAAACTGTGGAAGGTGAGATATCCTTGCGTTCTGCTATGCCTTGGATTACAGGCAGTGTGAGCAGAGGACTTCCATTGCTTCCTGACGGACTGTATGCCGTTACACGGATCCCATGTTCTTTGCATAGATCGACAATTTCCTGTTGTGGCAACAGAACATGGTTCTCGTTTTGATTCACCGCTGGAATTACTGACTTTTGAGACAGAAGCTCGTTCAGATACCGGACGCTGTAATTTGCGACACCGATAGCTTCGACCTTCCCTGTATCCAGGAGCTTTTCCATATCGTTGGAAGTCGAAACATGCGATCTCTCAAGTAGCAGATCGCGGGATCCGTCAGCACGAGTCGGAAATTTCTCTTGGTTACCTTTGATAATTCCCAAAATGAGCCATACCCTACCTGTAGTTTCGAGGGACATACCGTTCGGGTTCATGGCCACTGGCTAATGCATCAGATATAGGTCAACACAGTCGAGCCCAATGAGTCTCAAGCTCCGGCCAAGGCCCTCTTTAACTCTGGTGTGATCGGTGTACCAGAGATTTGTCGTAACAAAGATGTCTTTGGGGGCTAGATTTTCCAATTTGAAGCACATCTCGAATTCCGAGCCCGACTTCCTCCTCGTTCCCATAGCAGTATGCAGCATCGATATGACGGTGGCCATTTTCGAGTGCGTAACGAACAGCTGCACGCACTTCACCTGGCTTGGATTGCCATGTGCCTGGGGTAGTGATACATAAACCTGTCAGCAGCGACACGTTGCTATAGAGCAGAACAAGGAAAATTAAAGACATACCCAATCCGAGAGAAGGGACCTGTGACCCAGTGTTGAGCGTTATAGTTTCTGGCAATTCAGACATGTTGAAGGGCTTGCTTTTTGCTCTTACTTTCAAGGTATACGAATGGAAACTAGCTTCGCTCAAATATGTGTACAGGATTCCTTTGGAAAACGAGTGAATTATCTCCGTTGCTATGGAATTTGAATTGCGTTTGCGAAGCATCTATCTATACGACTGCCTAGGCATCTGTAATTCGATATTTTACGTGCTAAATATTTGCAACTATTCTCCTCCTATTACATCAGTCGACCTGCATGGATACCACCAGTAATGAGCAGGTCGTCCGAAGTATGATACGCACTGGCATCAGACAACAGATAGACAACTGGGACCTTGAGGTCGGTGCGGTCCCCCATACGGCGCATTGGGGGTTCGTTGTTCATGACCTCTGCGAGCCACGGCATGCGATTGCACAGGTCGAGGGTCATATCGGTGACCATATATCTATTGCACAGGACGTTAGTTTCTTGACACTGCCTAAGAATCCTGCAGCCCTACCCCGGAGAGATGCTGTTGACACGGATCTTTTTGCCTGCCAATTCAACGCCCAATGCCTTTGCCAGCGCTACAACAGCGCCTTTGCTGGAGCAGTAGTCGCTCGTGGTCTGGCCTTTACTGGCAACATAGGCGGCCACTGATGCAATCAGAACAATCGAGCCCTTGCCACCTGTTCTTTCGTTGGGCTCTTGCCTATCCATCTGGATGGCAGCTAGCTGTGCTGCGTAGTATGTACCCAGAGTATTCACATTGAAGCAGCGCGCCACAGACTCGGGGTCACGCTCAAGGAAAGGCTCATCTGGACAGATGCCAGCTGCAGTAATCCTAATAGACACAAGTCAGGAGCTACCTTTCCGCTCTTCTCATGCCCAATATATCTTACAGTCCATCAATACGGCCAAAGTCCAGAACAATCTGATCGAAGGTAGCCTTCAAAACGTTGTAATTGGTCACATCGCTCCTGATAAGAATCAGCTCTGGATATCTTCCGGCAGAAAAGAGTAATGAGGCCAAGCCAACTTGTATAGTTTCACTTTCACACCGAATTCCTTCTCGAGCTTATAGTAATGTTCGTGCGGCGTCTCGAGGTAATCGATGATGGCGACATGACCGCCGCTCTCAGCCACAGCAAAACCAAAGGCCAGCCCTAAGCCTCTCGCGCCTCCAGTGATTACTACAGTACGGCCCTTGAGCGACAGCAGGTCGTGCACACTGTGGCGGAGGAATGCATCGGGGTCGGGCCTCTTTTTGTCTTCTGTCTGAACGGTCATTTTTGCGACGACGGGGGGTTGGACAGCGTGAGGAATGGCGATATAGATATAGATATAGAGATATAAAAAACAGAAAAATAGGGAGATGGAATGGGAGAAGTGAATCTCCAAGTGTTCATATAATCTGCACACCCCGCTCGGTACGTGAAGAACAGACGGATTTCGTGTCCGAAGCGAACAGCCTCATTCAAGCACTTCGGAATTTGGCAGGCCCTTTTTCATCCACTGGTATATATCATCCAAGCTTATAAGGAACAACATGCACATTAGTTGCCAGGTTAATGCCCTCAAACAGCCCTCTATCCTCCCTTGCCAAACCCAAAAAATGTCTCAGCTCTCCCAGGATCCCTCGCAGACCAAAGAGATCTCGCCAGACCAGTTGACAGAAGATAGCGCGGCTGTACTCGCACTGCGCAATTTCATCTTTGACATTTGCAATCAGAATGGTGGAGGACACGGAGGCTCGGCCATCGGCATGGCTGCTATCGGCGTTGCTCTCTGGAAATATGTGATGCGCTATAACCCATCCAATCCAGAGTGGTTTGATCGAGACAGATTCGTTCTCTCAAATGGTAAAACACCTTTTCTTTTTCTCGTTGTTTTGTATTCATACCAGCTTCTGAGCACCATGAATTGACCCCTTTTTGATAGGCCACACGGCAATGTTTCTGTATGCGTTGAATCATCTCACAGGGTTCGATAAGTGGACAATGGAAGAGATCAAAGGATATGGAAGCGCCAAACTCAATGGATATAAAACCATCTGCCACGCCCATCCGGAGATTGAAGATGCCGGTGTTGAAGTAACCACTGGTCCCCTGGGACAAGGAATCGCCAATGCCGTTGGACTGGCGATTGCGTCGAAGAATCTGGCCGCTCGATTCAATCGCCCGAGCTACGATATTGTCAAATCGCGAGTCTACTGCATGACTGGAGACGGTTGTCTGATGGAAGGCGTGGCGCTCGAGTCAATATCACTGGCCGGAAGCCTAGGGCTAGACAACTTGGTGCTCATCTATGACAACAACCAGGTTACGTGTGACGGCCCTCTTGACTGGATCAACAAAGAGGATATCAATGCCAAAATGAGAGCGTCTGGATGGCATGTATTAGATATCCCCGATGGTTCCTATGATGTCCAGTCGATTGTGTCGGCCCTCGAGTCCGCCCAATCTTTGAAAGGCAAACCCACGTTCATCAACATTCGAACAGTCATTGGGCTGGGAACGCAGGTTGCCGGCACCTACAAGGCACACCATGGCGTTTTTGATACATCCAGTATAGAGGCATCCAAGCGCCTGGCAGGACAAGACCCAGCAATCACGCACGTCGTTCCTCCCGCTCAGCTAGACTACTTCCGAGAGCGCAAAGCACACGGCGAGGACCTTCAGAAGCAATGGGACTCTCTCGTGAGCACTTATACTGCAGTGTATCCTTCTCTGGGGGAAGAATTGAAGAATAGACGGAGCGGAGACCATGGGACTGCGTGGCTCAACATTCTCAATGAGCTGGACATCGCTGTATTCAGTGGAAAAGCCACCCGAGAAGTCAATGGTGTGCTCATAGAGAAGATGTGGAAAGCAAATCCAGCGCTATGTGGCGGTGGTGCTGACCTTGTCAATTCCAACAAATTCCCTTATCTGGAGTCCGATGTTTTCCATCCTTCAGTCGGCTTTGGAGGCCGGTATATTCGGTATGGGATCCGTGAACACGCCATGGCCGCGATCTCGAATGGCCTGGCAGCATACAATCCAGGGACCTTTCTTCCGTTAACCGCCACATTTTTCATGTTTTATCTCTACGTGAGTATTCTTCTTGACTTGATGTATCAGTGCTAACCTACACGATGCGGGAAAACAGGCCGCTCCAGGCGTCAGAATGGGTGCCCTCAGTCATTTGCCTGTGATCCACTGCGCCACTCACGATTCCTTCGCTGAGGGTCAAAATGGGCCTACTCATCAGCCAGTCGAGCTTGATTCGCTATATCGAGCCATGCCGAACCTGAATTACATCCGACCTGCTGATGCGGAAGAGACTATCGGCGCCTGGATCATCGCTCTAGGGAACGTCACCAAGCCCACAATGCTCTCGCTGGGCCGTGATCCGACCGGATACGTTCCTGGTACTGACCGGCACAAAGTACAAAAGGGAGCCTATGTGATTGTCGAAGCAGACGGCGCAAAACTTACGCTGGTCAGCTGTGGAACCAATCTGCACTATGCTGTTGCTGCTGCAAAGTTGCTTGCAGAATCAGGAGTTCCAACACGTGTAGTCAGTGCCCCAAGTTTCGACCACTTCGACCAACAAGATGGCAACTACAAGGCTGCTGTTTTCCCTTTGGATGGGACGCCGATTGTCAGTGTAGAGGAATACGTAGCTACAACGTGGGCTCGGTACACTACTGCCAGCATTGGGATGACTGGATACGGATATTCCGCATCAAATGCTAGCAATTATGATAGATTTGGGCTGGATGCACATGGCATTGAAAAGCGTGTGAAACAGTATCTGCATGACTTGAACGGCAGCAACGCACGTATGGCTGGATGGCGACAGTTGTGATCGATCCTTCATCATTCGTTCTAGACATTAAGATTATTATTTAGCTACTGTTAGTTACTTCTATTACATCAGGAGGTCACTGCGTCTCAGCAAGGTCAAGTTAAATATGCTTAGGATTGCCAATGGCATGCTGATTCATGATGTTGATGGGAAGTTCACAACTGTTTTAACAACCAAATCTCCTTTTCCATCCTTTGTTTTACCAGCTGTCTGGAACGCCGCCGGTATTGACTCCAGTCCTTCGTATCGATGCGTGATCAGTCTCCGAATATCAGGGAGAGTTGTGCTAGCCACAGACATAGCAGCAATCTCAATGGCCCTCGGGTATGCATTAGCATAGCGCCATGTTGGAAGCAAATCGATCTCTTTGGCGAGAATCTCTGAAAAGGGCATTGTACAGTTAGGTGTCCCCATACCGACAAAAACTACTTGCCCCCCTGGCTTGGTTGCCTGTGATCCCGTCGTCAGCGTATAGGATCTCTCTCTCTCTTTCTCTCTACTTTCTTTTGTGGAATGGGGGAACCGTTTACTCACGTAAATTGAAGATTGTATACATGATTCCACTCCGGTACATTCAAACACGCAATCGACCTGCCCAACAGCGCTGCCGTCAGCCCATTGGAGCTTTGCGACTTCGGCCACAGTTCTCTTTGCAATCTCGAGTTTCTCCTCGATTGTCTGTCCTCCCATGAGCGGAACCAAATATATGCTCGAGGCGAAGCCGTTTTTGAGGGCAAACTGCAGACGGCCCTGATCGATATCCGCGATGACGATCTTCTGAAATCGGCCTGCTTTGGCTGCAACTGCGCATAAAAGCCCCACGGGACCAGCACCAAAAATCAAACAAGTTCGTTGATCACTGCGAGCATTTTTGGCCCTGCGGACGGCATGAACTGCAACAGCCAGGGGCTCTAAAAGGGCGCCCGTCTCATAATCCAGGCCCTCGGGGAGCTTATGAACCCATTTGGCCGGATGATTGATGCAGCTCTGCAACGTGCCTTGAAAATGAGGGAACTTTGACCCGGAACTACGAAAGCGCAGTTCACTGCAGATATTGTAACGCCCGTTTTGACAATCGGCGCAGTTTTCGCAGGGTACTCCTACTTCGAGCGCAACTCGATCCCCAACAGCGAGCGTCGGGTTCAGCTGGGCGATGTTGGAGCCCAGAGCGACAATCTGCCCGGCCGATTCATGTCCTAGGCAAAGAGGCTCTTTCACAGAAATGCTTCCATTTCGGTAGTGGTTGTAATAATGAAGGTCAGACCCGCACAGCGATGTCGACCGAGGGACTACTTGAACTTCGTCGTCAGCAGGCTCTGCCAGAGACTTGCTTTCCAGACGAAAGTCGCGAGCCCCATGTAAGTATTGGCCAACGCTCTCCATTGGGGGATTCATGGCGGGGTTTTAATCTTTGCCCTGCTTGGTGTATTCGTATGTGAAGGAAAGGGGCGGCTTAACGCTATCTTTAATGGTAACAAAACGGAAGGTTAAGCTCAGACTTGACTAGTTGAAATAGCTAGAAATCTCATTTCAGTTTTGGATGTCAAATCTACTGGCTGGCTCCTGCTTCATTGTGGCGTTTGGAAATAGCATCCGAGAAGTCATTTAGGGCAAGCAAGGCCTTTCGGAAATGCTGAGGCCCTCGGAAAACGAGAGAAGAATCTCCGAAAGAAGTTCTCCTGCTGGTAAATAAATTTGGCAAAATGGTTGTAGAAAGTATCCAACAGCTCGCATGGCTTTGTAGTACCTAAATATTTCTTAAAAATCTCAATATGTCTGCATATGCCAAGGAGCTCAATGCCATCATCATCGGCGCCGGTCCCGCGGGCATCGCAATGGCCTACAGACTGAAGCACGACCTCAAATTCGACGACTTTATAATTTATGAAAAGCTGGATGGTGTTGGAGGGACGTGGAGAGCGAACACCTATCCGGGTTGGTAAGAAAACAATGGGCTTCGTCCAGATTCGAGAGTTGACGAGTTGTTTAGTGGCTGCGATCTCCCCTCTCATCTATACTCGTTCAGCTTCAACCTGAACCCTAACTGGTCTAAAGAGTTGTGCGAGCAGCCTGAGATCCTACAATGTAAGTCTGAACGGAGTTGACCAAACATAACCCTGGAAGCTGATGACGAGTAGACATGAACGATACAGTAGACAAGTTCGATCTCCGCAAACATGTCCATCTCTCGATCGAATGCATTGGCGCGGTATGGCACAACGATAGGAACAAATGGGAGGTCAAGATGAAGGATCACCGCACCGGAATCGAATTCACACGCCTTGCCTCCGTCTTCGTTTCGGCTGTTGGTGCCATTTCTTTCCCCCGAGATGTCAAGTTCCCTGGCATGGAGAAGTTCAAGGGGGCCATGTTCCATACGGCACGATGGGATCACTCTGTGGACTACAAAGATAAGCGCATCGCCGTTATTGGCAACGGCTGTAGTGCAGCCCAGGTTGTCCCAGCAATCGCGAAGAAAGCCCTCTCAGTGAAGCAGTTCGCCCGCAGCGGCCAATGGTTCCATGCTCGTCCGAACAAGTCGTACAGTGAGCTCGACAAATTTCTTTTCCGCTGGCTGCCTCTGCGCCTACGACTACTTCGGCTGCGCATCTTCCTCGACGCCGACGAGGAGACCACCACCTATTTCCCGACGCCGAAAGGCATCAAACTCCGTAGAGCCGTCGAAGAGGAGTCCAAGAGATACATTCGTTCTATTGCGCCTGAAAAGTACTGGGACCACATTATCCCCGACTTTCCTCTTGGATGCAAGCGCCGCATCTTCGACCCAGACTACCTGGAGTCCTTAAACCTTCACAACGTGGAACTCATCCCCGAGGGTATCCAGGAAATCACCGAGACTGGTATTGTGAGTAGCTCGGGTCTTCGTAATGACTTCGACATCATTGTCATGGCGACTGGGTTCCAGGTTGCTCGATTCCTGACTCCAATGCACATCGTCGGCTCACATGGTAAAGCTCTACAAGATCAATGGGACGAGTCGCGAGGTGCCCAGGCCTATTTGGGTACACACGTACACAACTTTCCCAACCTGGCCATTCTTTTTGGGCCAAATACCTTCCCAGCCAACAACTCGGCTTTGTTCGCGTGCGAGACCCAGGTCGACTATGCCATCAAGTCCCTCTTCAAGCCTCTTCTTGATGGCCGGGCTGCCGTCATTGAGGTTAAGCAAGCCGCTGAGGATCGTACCACGAACGCAATCCACAGGGAATTGGCCAACACCGTCTTTGCTGGAGACTGCTCGAATTGGTATATCGGTAACTTTGGGCGTAATGCTGCCTCCTGGCCAGGCCTTGCCCGGTCTTACTGGGCGGCAACCTACTTCCCAAACTGGTCTGCATTCAACATGAGCGGTGGCTCTCTACTGTGGCCGCTCTATCGCGTGGCGCGTTGGCTTAGAACCATTTCTCCTTTAAGCAAGTTAGTTTTGTGTCTCGGACTGTTGGCATCATTCTCCAAATACTCCGGTATCCCGACTCGGACAAGCGGCATATTGGACGGTGTCGCTGCCTTGTTGAATACATATCTATCGGTCTAAGAATGATGCTATTCAACCTCCATGCAGAGGGCTTGGTTACCTACTTGCCGCGGTCATGCATTTGTATCGTTAGGAGTCATCTAGTCTTTCTTTTATTGCATCAAATAAATAATCATTCTAGTCACTTCCTTTGAGACAAATAGTTCAAGTAATAGCAGCAGCATCTCATTTGCTCTCATGTCAGTGACCCGGAAATTCGGCTTCGGTCGAGTTGTGCTCCCAATTTTCTCCAAGAACCTTGATAATGTCATTGCGTACTTTTCCTCCCATATCTCTCCAGCTTGTTTTCTACGGCAAGTTTGGTGAGATCCGAACTCTGCGGTATCTGAAACATTCGGCCTTCATTTCCCGTAGTAGTGGGCGCAATTACATATGAAGCATTTCGGAAATCGAGTCCGCCAGTGGCATGATGCATCGCAAGTAGAAAGCCAAAAGCATCCAAGAGAACTAGCAATATATACAATACAAACTCTACGTTTAGATATTTATTTATTTTTATTTTTTTTTTTTCCTTCAGAAGATTACTCAACAAGCAACATGGTTTCGTATCAGGAACAGGCTCTATCCAACGTACGTATCGTGATTCCCTATCACCCAAGTACGAAAACGTCAACTCAATCCGTGCGTAGCTACAAGATCCCAGTCTTTTCATTGGCGATGCTTTTATTGATGGCAAATGGGTCTCAAAAAATAAGAAATTCGTCGTAACTGGTATAACAACAACTGGTTGAATTTGACTCGAAGAAGAGAGCTAATCGCGACTACAGAACCGTCGACAGGCACCAGTCTAGGTCAAGTAACAGACTGTGATCTTGAAGACTTCAAAAATGCCATTTTGAGTGCAAAAAATGCTCAGAAATCGTACTTCCAAGATACGACTGGTGCTTCTAGAGGGGCACTTCTAAGGAAATGGTATGATTTGATCATGGAGAACAAAACAGACAGTATGTGCTCGCTCTCCTCCACGATAAACAAGACGCAAACAAGGTTATTATGTCCACAGTTGCTACAATTCTTTGTCTCGAAAATGGAAAGACTTTTGCAGAAGCCCTAGGAGAAGTGGTCTATGCAGCAGGCTTTATTTCCTGGTTCGCCGAGGAGGCGACCAGAGCATACGGAGTGACAATCCCCTCGTCGACTCCTCGCACAACACTTCTTACTATCCGTGAGCCCGTTGGGGTTTGTGCTATTATCACTCCCTGGAACTTCCCCGCGGCAATGATCACAAGGAAAGTCGGTCCGGCGCTTGCTGCTGGCAACACCGTTGTTATCAAACCGCCTAGCGAGACACCCTATACCTGTCTGGCCCTTACCAAGCTGGCTGTTGAGGCGGGCCTGCCCCCGGCAGTCATTCAAGTATGCCCGACAAAAAACCGGGAGGCTGCTACAGAGCTGGCTACCAACCCAATGGTCCATAAAATCAGCTTCACGGGCTCAACCGCTGTGGGAGAGATGTTAGCCAAGTTGGCGACTGGCACGTTGAAAAAGGTCAGCCTGGAACTCGGAGGCAATGCACCATTTATTGTCTTTGACGATGCCGATATCGACCTTGCCGTTGAAGGTGCCATGTTTTGCAAATTTCGATGCTCAGGCCAAACCTGTGTATGGTAGGTTCTTCGTTTCCCTCTCTCTTTCCTTGGCTCGTCTATACTAAAGGGGATCGATCAAACAGCGCAAACCGCATCTATGTCCAGAAAGGCATTGCAAAACAATTCACGGCTAAGTTGGTAGAGAAGGTAGCGGCTCTCCATGTCGGCCCTGGCTTGGACGCATCTACTACTCAGGGACCGCTGGTAAACCGCGCCGCTGTCGAAAAGGTTGCCAGCCACGTTCAAGACGCAGTGTCCAAGGGGGCGAGGATCGAAATTGGAGGGAAGACGCCGGACGCTGCCGGATTTTTCCATATGCCCACTGTCCTCTCGGGTGTCACTCCGAGCATGATTGTGAGCCATGAGGAGACCTTTGGTCCCCTGGCTCCAGTAATCGAGTTTGAGACAGAAGACGAAGCCATTCGGCTTGCAAATGATACCGAGTTTGGATTAGCTGGATACTTCTTCTCGCGCGATGTTAGCCGGGTTCTGCGTGTCGGACAGAGCTTACAGGTCGGTATCGTGGGCGTGAACACAGGCAAAGTTAGTGCTCCAGAGGCACCATTCGGGGGAGTCAAGGAGAGTGGATATGGGAAGGAGGGCAGTCTTTACGGGTTGGAGGAATACCAGGTCATTAAAAGCATCACGATCGGGAACTGGTAGTTGCGTAGTATTCCTCACATCTATAAATACGATCTGTAGCCCATTTGTTTGTTCGTGATGTCCAGAAGAAAGTAGGGCTTGTAACCCTGAAACCCTAAATAACCCCAAATGGGATTCCCAGGTTGCCCCGCAGTCGGAAGAAAACAACGAACGACTTCAACTTTGGTACTTGGATAGAGACACCATGACGCCCCATAGTGAACGCCTACTGGACATGGGTCAAGACAGGTCCGCAGCGGAATCTCTCATTTCTCGATTCCGCATCGAGAAGCTGCTCAATCAAGGTGAGTCGCACAGGTAGAGAATCTTGCGACAAGTCTAACTGCCAACAGACCAAAGTGACCGCCGCATCTCATTGCTCGGCCACATTGACGACAAGCAAGGTATTCTTATTGCCGAACGCGCCGCATTCGCGACAGAGTCTCTTGAAGTCCTACAGGCATTCCATTCGAGTATATCTCGAGTGCGCAATCTAGGAGACAATGACATCTACAAGTGGTATATGGCCAACACATCGTCCAAAGATGACGGCAACACCAGCCCACCTGATCTCAAATTGAACCTGATCTGGCCCTGTGCACAGCAGCATATAAAGAAATACTCTGCCCAGACGTTGCGTACGGTTACAGAAACCCCGCAAATCTACAGAGATCACATCCGTCCGCACATGCAGCAGAAGCGTGAGGAAGGAAGGCTGAATTGGGTCTTCAACATCCTCGAAGGCCGTACAGAGCAGGAAGATGTGATTCTTCGCGACAAAGGACACTCCCCCGAAGACGGGTTTTTGATGTTGCCAGATCTGAATTGGGATCGAAAGACTATCAGCTCGTTGCATCTGCTTGCTCTTGTCGAGCGACGCGATATCTGGTCACTCCGAGATTTGAAAAGGAAGCATATTCCCTGGCTCAAGTATCTAAGGCAAAGGCTCGTGGATGCTACAGTCAAGACGTATCCTGGCCTCGTCGAGGAGGATCAGTTGAAGCTGTATGTCCACTACCAGCCGACCTACTACCATTTTCATGTGCACATCGTCAACGTTATGCTAGAGGCCGGGCAAACTCAGGCAGTAGGGAAAGCATTTGGGCTGGAGAATATCATCAGCCAACTGGAAGGCATGTCTGGAGACGATGAAGCCGGTATGGCCGACGTGAGTCTGTCGTATCTCTTAGGGGAAGCGAACGAGCTGTGGACCAGCATTTATGGGCCGTTGAAGAGGGGCGAGACGCCAAAGGCTTAGTCTGGAGAATAGAACTCTTAATATAGCAAACCACGAGTTTAATACTTTTAATTATTCTTCAGAACATTATATTGATAGGGGGGAAAGGGTTGCCTAGTTGGTGCTGGTAGAAAGCTTTCCCCGCATCTTATCGGTTATCAATCAACTTCTTTTCTTCTCCTGCAAACCTCGCAACAACAACAACAACAACATTAACATTAACAAAATAAACAAAATGGCAGACCACCCTGATGCCCCCAGCAACAACAAGGCCTTTGTGCCTCTGGGTAGGATATATATCCCCCATAAGCAGAAGCAAAATGCCAGAAGCTAAGCACCAGCAGAAAACAACCCAGAGGTGATGTCACATCTCGTGCACCAACTCGGTCTCCCAACAACCCTCGGATTCACAGACGTCTTCTCCATCGACGAGCCCGAACTCCTCGCCTTTGTACCGCGTCCCGCAAACGCTCTACTTCTCGTGTTCCCCGTGTCCAAAACCTACGAAGCCTCGCGCGTCGCCGAAGACTCCTCGTTACCCGACTACAGCGGCACCGGACCCGACGAGCCCGTTCTTTGGTTTAAGCAGACAATACGCAACGCATGCGGTCTAATCGGACTTTTACACGCTGTTAGCAATGGCGAAGTGCGCAGCCACATCATCCCCGGCTCCGATCTGGATAATCTACTGCGCGACGCGGAGCCTCTGAAACCGGCCGAGCGCGCTGATTTGTTGTATGATAGCAAGGCTCTTGAAGCCGCGCATGCTGATGCCGCGAAACTGGGCGATACCGCTGCCCCAGAGGCCGAGGATCAGGTTGATTTACATTTCGTAGCCTTTGTTAAGGCGCTGGACGGGGGTTTGTGGGAGTTGGATGGGCGTCGGAAGGGGCCTTTGAAAAGAGGACAGCTCGGTCCCGATGAAGATGTGCTCAGTGACACGGCGCTCGAGCTGGGTCCAAGACGCTTTTTGAAGAAAGAAGCGGAAGGTGGGAAGGGAGATTTGAGGTTTAGCTTGGTCAGTCTGGGGCCGGTCTTTGACTGATTGCGCTGGGTGGAAACACTCCTGAAAAGGGTTGCTACATTACAGGCGTTGTGAGGTTCACTTTTTATAGTTTGCTATTCATTTTCAGAGTCGAAACCACCACTTATCAGCATTAAATCTAAGCACGTCGTTTCCGCAAGCACACCATCCAGCCGTCAGATTCCTGGCGAAGACTTCTAGAGCAGTGTAATGCTGTTGTTGTTCTTGCGCTTTGTATTGATCCATAGGGAAGAACAAAGTCTCCAGAAGCTCTTTCAAGTTGGGTTTCCTCGAATGTTCATCTGGCACAGCTGCTATAATTCGCTTGAGTGGTTCTTTTTGAATTTGTATCCCTTTGCCATCCTTTTTTTTCTCCGGCCTTCCAAGAAATAAAACTTCATATGGTTTGCGCCACAGCCCATCCAGCGGCGACACAAGCTCTCCACCCTCAGTAGTCTTGATCCATATCCATATCTCACAGACCTCGAGGTCTGTGTTCTCAAAGGCTGTGTATGCGGCCTGCCGTGATTTTGCATTGTTAGTAGTCCAGATACCTACAATCGCCTCATTGGTCTCGTCACTGAAATTGAGATGTGTGAGGATGGTCCGTTGCACGATAGTAATTAGGGAGTCTATCTCCAAGTATCCGTGAGTGGGATACTGTGAAGAACGCCGCACAGAGCGATTTGGCCACGGGGGATCGAAGAGAAGGAAATTAAACTTGTCTAAGGGTCGTAATCCAGGAATAACGGGTGAGATGTCGAGGTGTGCGTATGTTTGATTGGTAGTTGATGATATAGTATCCAGGACAAAGGAGGATCCAGGAGGGATGGCATAGTTCATTCTTTCATCTCCTGTGTCAGATTCTCTGAATTGAATAATGGCCGGCTCCAGATGCGATGGATTCTTGACCTGAACACCACGTACTTCTGATAACCCCAAAAACTCATTCGCTCCTGACGGTGATAGTATCAACGGCGGCTGCTGTTGCGTCGTGTTTTCGACGAAATCCACTAGATTCCTCTCATCATAGCTGTTTTTGACCTGTTTCATTCTCTTCCTTGGTGGCGGTGATGGCACTGGCCCTTTCTGTTCACGTAACAGCCCCTTAGGTTTAATATAGCCCTCCTCATTATCACCGCGATCAACAGAGTGTATTCTCCGAGGCTTACACCAATTCACCCCTTGAAATCCATTCTTGATCCCATCAAGGCCACCCCGAATGAAAGGGGCGATATTTTCATGGAATAGGATCTCCGATTGCGGAATTCGAGCCAACAAGCGAGCACGGGCTGCTTGACTCTTTGGTTCCGGTGGAGATGGGTAGGGCTTTTCCAGAGGCTTCGAAGAAAGCAGTTGTCTGTAGCTGTTATCATGATCGTTGCGTGGTGACAACGATGGGAGCTGGGCCCATTCTATTGATGCCGGCACATCGATCAAAAATGCCGTCTGCTGTGGATTTTGGTAAAGGATTGATGACTTCCTAGGCATGACTTGGGTATTTATTTTGGTTGAATGTCCTTTCTATACAAGAACCCATATTCCATCATGGAGTTTTCTGTGTTGCCGGAAGAGCTAGGCGCCAAACAACTACAGTTTATGCTATCAGTCACATGACAAAAGAAGGTGAAAAAATTAAAGAATAAAATCACGAAGCATATCTTATGGATATTGATAAAGACGAAAAATTATTGTATTTGATTACCAGAATTCATATCCTAGTTTTATGCCTCCTCTGAAATGTCGGTTTTTTAGTCCGCGCTTTTCTACTCTGCCTTGCCTTCTTTACGCGCACATCCATCTAGTCACCAAAGGCAGGTCTTTATTATTTGGTTGCTTAGATAACTGTTACGATATATAGCTATATTTCTGCTTCATCTAAGTATTGTAAGCGATGAAGGCGCTTGGTGGTACAAAGCACGAGGCCTCAATGGTTGTCATTCTTCGCATTCTATGTGTAATTGCAATTTCATGTATCGGGCCATCTTGTAATTACACCAGTCCTAGATAGCCCTAGTCGGGACATTAACAAGACAGGTATAAAAGACCAATCTTGGAAGAAAACGGAAATAACGACAACAACAACAACAACAGCAACAGTTACAGCTATTCACGCATAGCCTAGTCGGAAGTCATGAAAAGCCTTCACGAATGGTGGGCTGAATCAATGGGCGAGTGTTTCGTAGATTTATCGGGTTCATAACCTTATGAGGAGATGCGTTGAACGCTTCCCACATGGCTGCTTATCTCGCCGCGGCGGTCCTTGTCGTAAGAAACGCAAGGGGCTTGCTTACTGCAAGACCGCGGATCGTTTTCGTGCTGTGAAGCATCCTGGAGAGTCAGTTTTTCCGAATGTCACCGATGCCGTAGGATGAGCTCGAGATGTTCAAGGACTAAGTCTTTCGATCTCTGACTTTAATTATTAGGCGAAATTCATTGTGTAGTCTTTTCTTGACTCTGAGAATCACCATGCATCTGCAATCGAGTGTTAGGGTCAATCAAGGACACTGGGTAAAAAAAATACCATACTGCTTCTGCTAGTTGTATCCATTCCTCCACTCCTTTCACAAATGCTTCGTCTGCGGCGGGCAAATGTTCATGGCCCCAAACAACAAAATCGTCAAATGTTGCCTGCGTCTCAAGAGCTTTGACTGGCTCTTCAGTCAGCGCATCCTCCGGTGTGTCGTTTTTGCTGGTCGCTGGAATGACACGATCTGTTGGTAAGGCAACTACACCTACAGGAATACAAAATGAACCAATCAGTTATATGAAGTCTGGAGCCCAGGTTCGTTATTTCGCATCATACCTTGGTAGCCCTCGGGAACTTGAACAAGTCTTCCCCGTAGCTTGCGGCCACGGTAGTAAGCTGTCAATTTATCTTCTGTGACCAGCCATCAGCACTCTTGTCCTTTAATGCTTCGTAAGCGCGTATAGAAAATACCTCTCTCATCCTTGACTGGGTGCCAGTGACGTTCTTCAGTCTCGACAGGTCCGTCGTAGTGAATGCGACATGGAAGGACGTTTGGCGTGCAGCTAGAAGTTTTCTGGGCGGAGTGCAGGGCAAGCATTGTTGGGGAACAGAGGGGAAATTCTTAGTATATGACGAATCGAAAAGGGCACAATTGGTCTTTGAGAAGCTCTCAACTATCGCAATTAGTGGTTGGTTGCGATGAAGGTGGTTGACGGAGGACGAAGCACTCCAACGCGGCACGCGACGCGTTCTCATTTTAGCTGGCCTGGGGCATCCATCCGGCATTAACTATAACTAAGACATTCTTGAGATCTTCCAATGCCTTGATACTACTCTTTTCCAATCAAAAGATAGACGTTTTGAGTCTTCTAGACATTATGTACGCCTATAAGGGCTAACACTAGCTTTCGTGATGCAAGAGACTGGCTGATAGCATTCCAATGTAATTGTATATATCCGTTAGAGCTAAGCTATGCACAAAATCAACTACCAAAAATGGTATCGTATCATGACAAACAAAATGCTATTCTTTAACAATAATACCAAAAAAAAAAAAAAAAAGGAATACCAATCACCTCTTCCGTGTCTTCTTTTTCGGCTTCCTCTTCTTCTTCGTTTTGGCATCTTGGTCTCCCTCTGTTGAGGCGGCTACCACCCGTACAGGGAACCTCTTCGCATGCTCTCGTTCAAAGGCTTCTTTATCTCTGCGAAACAGGAACATAGTCGCTCTAGCATCTTCCACGCTAGAATGAGCACCTTCCTGGATCTTCAAACCGAGCAACTCAGATGCTAGCAATTTCAACCGCGGCGAACCTCCACCTGCAATCTTTCGGTATGGAAGATGCTTGCTCGTGTCACGGATGTCACGCTTCGGGTGACTGAGCATCAAGGCGTTCATATCATTGCGGATTGAATGACCAATTAAAATCGTGCCATCTATTATCTGGGCAACATCCTTTTGTACCTCTTCAAAGGAGCGGGCTTCGATCATATGCTTAGGTGCTATGCCGCTCACATGTGTCCTCCAGTCGGTTACCTCCTCTTTGGGCCTCACGAATGAGTCGTAAATCTGGTCGCCATTCCAATTGACGATACTGACGCGAGCAAGGGCCGATTCCTTGTCTGGATCAGGGCCGACCCCAACCATTTCACAGTCGATAGCGACATATTTTCCTATTTCAGCACTACAACTAGCCGTTAGAACAGATTCCAACAGTTGCAGCTAGCAAAATAAAAACTCACCCCTCATTGAATCCTTCATTTACTTGTCCGTTGCGTGGCTGTTTCTTTTCTGCGACGGCAGTACTCCTGCCAACCGAATCTTCAGGGTCTCTCAATGATTGACGTCGCTCCCGCCATGAACTCTTGTTATCGACTATATCGGTCATGCTCTTGACCCTGGAAAACTTCCGTGGTCTGTCTGTTTTCTTTTCAATCACCGTTTCACTTCTTTTCCGCTTTAGACCATTCTGTGACTGGGAGGAGTCCTTTTTGCCTTTCGGGGCCGCGCTATCCTTGAGAGTAACTTTGAGCTTCTTCCAGTTGGAAGATAGAGTTTTTATCTCCATTTTATTCAACCGCGACGCATTCGTTGTTGGTCCATGGCGAAATTGGCGAGGTTGCATGCCTGGAAGCTTTAGGCGTGATGGAACTTTTCTCACGCAGCCGATTGATAAGAGATGCAAACTATGCAAACATCAGTCATCTAGCTGTCTTATCAGTCACCAGTTCGTTAAAAAAATAGAAAAAGTCCAGCAATTTGATTATTTGACATTAGGCTTTGATTTTGCATACAAAAAATAAATTTCATAACAGACGTAGCTATTTAAAGCCCAATGTTTGGTTATGACATTGCTTGCCAAGTAGAAATCTACAGTTCAATAGACGAGTCTATATACACCATGCAAATAACGCCTATTTTTATCGAAAACCCAAATCAGGAAAAGATAGAAAGACCAAAAATACAAATAAATCACAATCCAGGAATTTGGAAATCTTTATAAGCCCACTTCTCAGTTGCCTTCCTCTTAGCTTTCTTGGGTTGTGTGACGGGCTTGCGAGATTCAAGCTTCCCCTGAACCATAAGAGTCCTGAATCGATCATCCAGCAGGTTTCCCTCAGGCTTCAACAAGCGCAATGACTCTTGCAATTCATCGGGGAGCACCAATTCAAGGCGCTTTTCTGGGACACTGATAGAGTTGTTAGTTTCACTCAATGAACCACGTCTCGTCGATACTTACAGGTTTTTGCCGCCTAGAGGCTTCTTGCGCAGAACGGTATCATCACCTTCATCAGAGGAACTATCGTCTTGCTTCAATTGTTTGCGAAGTGCTTCCTCCTCTTCAACGCGTTCAGCAATACTCTTAACGTCTCGTGCTTGCTCCTCTCTTTTCTTCATCTTTGCTTCCCATTTCGCCTTTCTTTCTGCTTCCTTTCGGCGTTTGATCTTGTTTCGCTGAGATTGAGATTTTCGCTCAGGTCTTTTCTTATTCAGCCATTCTGGCTTTTCGTATTCGCTCTCAAACCCTTCCCAAGCACTTTCATCGTCTGACCTAACTTCACCGTCATCATTCTGGGCCTCAGCAATTAAGCGCTGTCGCTCGGCTTCTTTCTTTGCCTCTTCAATTCTCTTCTTTTCAGCCTCAATCTCTTTGTTTCCCTCCTTAACAAGAAGGTTGTCCCATTCCTCGAAGGTTGGGTTGTAACTGGTCCCACCTCCAGGTACCTTGACAGACGGGATTTGCTTCCCATTTGCAGCGAGGGAGATTGGCGGTTCTTGCAAGGTTTTAGGGGCGACCTTTTCCTTCGTCTTTGGCAAAAACTCAAATTGCGAATTTGATTTCGAGACATCGACAGAGTCCCCCCAGGGATCATAATCTATATTGTCGTCGGATTTCGCAACCGGTTTGTTCTCTTGCGCAACCTGCTTGAGCCGAAGCCACTCTTTATTACTAACCCAATCGCTCTTTTGCTTCTTTGTTTTTGGTTCAATTATTCCATCAGTAACCTTGGAGTTTGTCCGCTTGCGACTGTCAACTGCAGGAATTGCCGACCGCTGTGCGAGTATCTCATCTGCCTTAAGAGGTTTGCGTCCCTTCCGATGTACTTTCGCCGATGTTTGATCACCTATTGTGTCAAGCGTGAAAAGTTCTTCTGACGGCTTCTCTGCTATCACGCCACTTCTTGATGTTAGTGTGGAATCAAATATTGGGTCCTCCAACTATGCCTTACCCTTGGATTTCTTCCTCGCGAACTAGTCTGAGGCCTTCCTGGACTTCAGAGACATCCACATTTTTGCGCCAAGCCTTTTTCCCCTTCCTTGAAGGCTGCTTGTACTGCTGAGGTGCATCGATTTTACTCGAAGAGCTGGCCATATTGAAATGTGGTTGTTATAGCTATGAATCGTTATCGCTAGGGTAGGAACAAATTATTTTTTTCCCCTAATCGATATCCGCGGGAAGCTAGCGCGGGGGTTTGCCGTAAGCGGCATTGGCGCCGCGGCTAATTGTAGCGGCGGCTTTTTTCTAGCTTCAAAAGTTCGAATGCTTCCATTTCTTGGCGAAAACAACGTACACTCACCGTCAACGTCAACCTCGATACTCACCCGATCGTCGAGTATTGGCCAGTCTTTTGCTCTACTGAAACAGAAAGGGTGCTTCAATAGGTCATCGAAGTAGCCACCTCCGGGAGGTGGTTAACCTGCGAAATCGGCGCAATGCCTGTGGTCAAGGGTGGTGTTTGGTAAGCGCATGATTTCAAGAGGCCTGTCAGATATACTTACTGTTTCCTAGGACTAATATAGAGGATGAAGTTCTTCGCGCAGCTGTGAGTAGCTTATCTCTCGATTTTCAGCACCTGGAATTTACTGACCTCTCTTAGGTGTCGAAGTATGGACTCAACCAGTGGGCGCGTGTCTCATCGTTACTTGCGCGTAAAACACCGAAACAATGCAAAGCAAGATGGGTAGAATGGCTGGATCCTGGTATTCGCAAAATCGAATGGTCAAGGGAGGAGGACGAAAAGCTGCTTCACTTGGCAAAGCTAATGCCCACCCAGTGGCGCACCATCGCACCAATTGTTGGAAGGACCGCGACACAATGCCTCGAGAGATATCAGAAACTTCTTGACGAGGCTGAGGCACGTGAAAATGATGAATTAGGCCTTGGTGGCCCTGGAGGAGAGGCACATGCGCCTAGTGCTGATGACGTTAGACGGCTGAGGTGTGTATAATCCGTCACCAACAGTTATTGTATCCATCTCTAACCATCTTTAGACCGGGCGAGCTTGATCCCGATCCCGAGTCGAAACCTGCCCGACCTGATACGATCGATATGGATGAAGATGAAAAGGAAATGCTCAGCGAAGCTCGTGCTCGCCTGGCCAACACTCAAGGTAAAAAGGCGAAGCGCAAGGCTCGAGAGCGTCAACTTGAAGAATCCCGTCGACTAGCTGTCCTACAAAAGCGCCGGGAACTCAAAAACTCCGGTATCAATATCAAAGTTGTTACTACCAAGAAAGGTCAGATGGATTACAACGCCGACATTCCTTTTGAAAAAGCACCTGCTCCAGGTTTCTACGACACGGCCGAGGAGCAAGTCCGAAACGAGAGGCAACGTGAGCTGTTTGATCCGCGGAAACAGCAACTAGCGAACAAACGCAAAGGCGATCAAGATGAAGATGTTGAGCGTAAAAAGAGGAAAAACGACAAGAATCAGGCTACATCAGCTGCGGCTGCCCAGGCTGGTCGCATGCAAAAGATACGAGAAGCTGAACAACTCAGCAAACGCCGTGGTCTTAATTTACCCGCCCCCCAAGTAAGTGAGAGCGAATTAGAAGATATCATCAAAATGGGCATGGCTGGAGACAAGGCTGCGAAGTTGGCCGGTGAAGAAGAAGGCACTAGGGGCTTGATTGGCAATTACGCCGCCATGACTGGAGCGACTCCCATCCGGACTCCTCGAGCTCCTCCTCAAGAAGATCATATTGCGAACGAGATTCGCAACATCAGAGCACTAACCGAAACTCAATCGTCTCTTTTGGGTGGGGAAAACACACCACTTCATGAAGGGGGAGCTTCCACTGGATTTGATGGCATTGCCCCTCGGCGACAAGAAATTGTCACACCGAATCCAATGGCTACGCCCTTCCGGCATGGTGCAAATGGTATTGGTGCCACACCTATGCGAGGTGGTATCGGCCCCGGAGCGACACCGTTACGCACACCAAGGGATCAGTTTTCTCTCAATATCGAAGATGGGAGTCAACTTATCGGCAGCACACCCCGGGAAGTGAAAATGCGCGAGAACTTTATACGTCAACAGCTTCATGGCAAGCTTGCTTCCCTTCCAGAACCGAAAGAAACAGAATGGGAACTGGAAGAGCTTCCATCAGAGTCTCAAGAACCGGTAACTGGCGGCTACGGGCTCGAAGAGGATGCTGAAGAACGTGATCAACGCGAAGCACAGATCCGTAAGAAAGCAGCCGAAGCAAAATTTAGACGCCAGACACAGGTATACCAACGATCTTTGCCGCGTCCTAGCGTAGTCGATCTGACTGCACTTTTAAAACAAGTTTCGCATATCACCGACCCGATTGAGAAGCTTATTGCCAGTGAAGCTACGAAACTCATTGCTCACGACGCGAGGAAGCATCCAATCCCGGGTAGCAAGATTAATGGCAAGCCTCCAAATCTCGACAAGATTGATGACAAGTGGCTTGAATCTGCGCGTGCTGAAATTTTAAATGCCATTGCTTCTACGGATGTCCAATCTCAATGGCAGGCTGACTTTGATGCATCCTGGAGTTCAACACATGAAAACTCACTACCTGGTCTCGCTATTTATGATGACGATAATGATGCATTCCGGCAAGAGCAGCACATGATCAATTCTTTCGACAACGTTCAAAATGCTCTTATGGCAACCGCAGAGCAGGACAACAAACTGGAAAAGAAGCTTGCTTTGCACTTTGGCGGATATCAAGCGCGGGCGAAAACTCTCCGAGGCAAGATAGTAGAAGCGAGCTCTGCTCTTGAAAAGGCCAGGTTCGATTTGGATACATTCCGTACACTGCAGATTGGAGAGGATGCGGCACTCCGCAATCGACTCGAGCAGCTACGTGATGAAGTCACCTTGGTAACTCGCAGGGAACGTGAAGCTCAAGATCTATATAAAACTCGGAAGGAAGAGCTTGATGGACTGGTGGAAGGTGAAGTGAATGGATGGCATTGAAAGATTGGATATAGAGTCTGTGATCGAAGGGTTATTTTATCTTATGTTGTATACTACTATTACTCTTTCTAGTCGAGATGAAATTCGATATTTCTACACATCATAAGCTCAGTCCGAACAGGATAGTGTGGTTGTTGTATCGGTAAATACTACATATGTAAATTATGTATATGCTAAATCGAGAGAACGCAAACGGCTGCCCTTTCTCCCAGGCACCCGCGGGTTAACAATTGCCACTGCAAACTCGTACCAACTATCCTCATCCAACGACAACAGTGACTGACCATCGAGAAAAGGGCCGGCCCATCACCAAAGCATCTCTCTCCATCTAGAAAATCCTGCAATGAGAATCATAAACACTTCGGCAGAGCAGGGGAATTAAAGAAATAATTTATACAGACAAAATGGTCGCGCGAGAGGATGCTGGAACACCCGATCCGGTGGAAAAAGGGTTCGCCACCCTCAATACTCTCAGGTATGACTGATTAATCTCTCTCGATGCCTTTATTGGATATTAAGTACATACTTTGTACGGTCGCATATGCTTACTATAATCATAGGATCGGTGTGAAGGCCATGGTCGAAAAGGTAAGCTCTTCGCCTGCATCACCATCGTTTGGCCGTCAGTCACGTGATTATTTCAAATTCTTGTACGCTGACAATGTCGATTCAGGATGGCCGCCATAGAAAAGCTGAGATTCTGTCTATGAGACAGCGGAAAGATGCTCCTTACTTCTAGTGAGTTGATTATGCTCTTTATCAGATTTTTAAGAGAGAGGACTCGGTTATTAATACTGCCATAGTGTACACTATGTTGATTTCAACAAACGTTTGGATGGTGAGGAATTATCTTAACCCTTTCTAATATTTTTTTTTAGATAATGTATGCTCACTGCCTTCCACAGAATGGATTCCGGCGGCTCGCATTGATCTGTCGCAAGAAGTTGAGTGGCCTGCACCAGAGAAGCCAGAGAAGAAAAAGACCGCAGGTGCGACACAAAAGGTTCCCAGCAAAGCTGCGAGTCAGAAACGTGCCAGGGCGGATAGTCGAGACGTGTCTTCGACGCCAGACTTACTCACCGGCAAAAATGTAAATGTCAGCAAGGCCATACGTCCCTCAAAGGCTGGTGGGAAAGAGAACCGCGCCGAAGAGACACCGTTGAATATATCAGTCACTGGCTCCGAAGCAGTCTCCACGGATGGCACACCAAAGGCAGATTCTGAAGATGTCGATATGGTTGATGCCAAGCTTGAACCCCAGGAGAAGATGCTAGGTGATATGACACGTGAAGAAGAGATTGAGAAACTGCGAACAAGTGGAAGTATGACCCAGAACCCGACCGAGATACATCGGGTTCGGAACTTGACTCGGCTCCAAATGGGCAAGCATGAGATGGAACCGTGGTATTTCTCGCCATATCCAGAGTCCTTTCAAGACGCCGATATTGTCTACATTGATGAGTTTTGCCTGAGTTACTTCGACGATCAGCGGGCATTTGAAAGACATAGGGCAAAATGCACCCTTGTTCACCCACCAGGAAATGAGATTTACCGGGACGATTATATATCCTTCTTCGAAGTGGACGGCCGGCGGCAACGCACATGGTGTCGAAATCTGTGCTTGCTGAGCAAGTTGTTTCTCGATCACAAAACTCTCTATTACGACGTGGATCCTTTCCTGTTTTACTGCATGTGCACTCGAGACGAGACAGGCTGTCATCTCACAGGCTATTTTTCAAAGGAAAAAGACTCTGCTGAAGGATACAATCTGGCTTGTATCTTGACGCTGCCGCAGTACCAACGCCGAGGTTTCGGACGTCTTCTCATTCAGTTCAGTTACGAGCTTAGCAAGCGAGAGGGAAAGCTTGGATCTCCAGAAAAACCACTAAGTGACCTTGGTCTTTTGAGTTATCGTCAGTATTGGAGGGAAGTCCTCGTGGAATTATTGGTGGAACCTGGCCGCGAAGCAATAAGCGAGTTTGATCTGGCAACCTTGACTGCCATGACAGAAAAGGACGTGCATGAGACACTGCTTGTTCTCAATATGCTACGATATCATGTAAGCACTCTACACCTATGACGCTCTTTTCAGTGTTCTCACAACACTCACTAACCTCTCAAATTATAGAAGGGAAACTGGCTCATAGTCCTACCGGACGCAATCATCGAGCAACACAATAAAAGATTAGAAAAAGAAAAGATCAAGGGTGTTAAAAAGATTGATCCCACACGGTTACAGTGGAAGCCACCTGTATTCACAGCTTCCAGCCGGACCTGGAATTGGTGATTATACTACTTTTCCCCCTTTGTCGATCTCTGCGTTATGACCTGTAATGGATTGTTCGTTTTGTATCTTGAGCCGGAGGGCGTGCGTGTCCTTGGAGTTAGTTGGCTTCTTAGCAGGTTAAGGACGGCGTCTGGTCTTTCTTTTCGTCCTTTTCACCGTCCTTTTGAATTATACAGATACCTAGTGCGATGACTTATCATGTACTAATAAGATCTAAATCTTTATTCATAGCCTGAAACGAGTCAGTAACTAAGGGCCAGTTGAATTACATTTAAAGATCAACATTGTAAGGCACGTAAAAATTATTGCTTTCGATTCATCGCGTCCTAATTCATCCATTAGTGATCAGTTTCGAGATCTAGATCAATCACTCGAACACTGGAAGCATGCATCATTCCACTTAAGTTACATAGTTATGAACAGTGTACAATGCGCGTAGCACTGAAACTGCAAGGCAATCGACTCCATCGTATACCATGCATACAGAGATAAAATCACAGAGCAGGTATGGTAAAAGAAGAAAGTTAAGACACGAAGGATAAGGGTAAAAAGAAAATAAAGATATTCGAGCTTTCGACCCCAGTTCTGACAGAGCACATCTCGTCACTTCAGACAAGGGGATATTTTTTTTTTCGATAGAACAAGTCAGACACACAAAAGGTGATGGAATATATCTAGAGGGAATGCTCTCCTAGTCGTATCTAGCACAGGAGTAAGATGCCCTATTCCACAGAGAAAGCACCTGAGAACAATAATAGATCATCAACTCAGTGCAATCTGAGAAAATACGCACACAAGCAACGTACAGCCGAAACCAGTCTGCACGTCACAACTCTGAGTTCAACAGCACGTCAATTGTTTATGCGGCCTGGGCAGACGTATTCTGCCGCTTATTACTGTGCGAGCTATTGTATTTTGCTGTTGGTTCTCTGGGCTTTGTGTGCTTGCGAGTGCGAAAACTAGAGTTTCCCTTCGGTCGTGATGAAGAAACAGGAAGCTTTTTCGAGAAAGCCACCGAAGTCACGTTATCAGATCCAGGAATATGGACCATGATATGCCAATTACCAGACACATCTTTCTTTGGTAGTTCTGGAGTGTACGGTTCAACGCTATGAACCTGCATAGGCCTAAGAATCTTAGGTCGCAAGCGTGCTGGCGGGGGAAGAGCTGCATGCCATGCATTGGGTGGTGCCATAACAGGTACACGAACAACAGGCAAAGAACCCGCTTCTCTGTCTTCAAAGATCGCTTCTTCCTCTTCGACTTCTTTGGAAGTTACCAAACCAGCGTCAACTCCATCAACCTCTCTGATCTGAGGAAGCGAAACAGCTGCAGGGTGAATATGAGACTGGACATCCAGGGGTTCTTTAGATGCTGAAGCAACCGCTAAAATGTGCTTCTTTTCTGGAGTTACCTTCCCAAAGAGACCGTTGATGCGATCTTGCCAAGATGTCGTTCTCATTGAAGGCTGCGTTGGCCGTACAGGTGTCGCAGCCATCGATGCAAACGTCGGCGGTTTGGGGGGTTGCTTGTTGATCTTTGGGGGTAATCTCACTACCGGTTTTGGAATAGGTAGATTTACCAAAGGACGATGTGCATCGCCACTATATGCAGGGTGAGTAGAGTATGTCTCAGGAGGAGGTGGTGATGGACTCCAAGGTCGTCCGTCATCTACAACCACAGGCCCTCTATATGTATCAGTGATAGTAGGGAAAAAGCGAGACCCACGGCTGGCTACATTGCCAAACGGTCGAGAGTGAGATTCCGGAAATGGCAGACTGTCCATAGGTGCATCAAAACCGTGAAGTGTTGGGAGAGGGCCAGGAGGTTTATTCGATTTCACAACGTCAATGACCTCTCTTTGACCCGCTTGATCTCCTACTCGAACCTGACGCCACGTTTCATCGAAATTGACATTAAGAGATGACGGAGGTTCATCACGCATAGAATCAAGTTCTCGTTGAAATTTGTTGTTTGCTTCGGCTTCTTGCTTCGCTGCAACAACTTGAAAATTACTCCAAGCCGAGGTCGCTGCCTGTACTGCACGACGAGAATCGGTTTGCCAGGGGCTATGTTGAGAGTTTGGAGGACCAATGGGTCGCGGCCTAGCAATCGGTTGGAAAGGTTCGTATGGCGGATGGGTGGTGTCGGACGAGGGAAGAGAAGCCAGCGGCGACTTATGATCTGATCCCAGCCTCGTACCAGCGAATGACTGCGTGCTGCCGTTCTTATCAATGTTTGTTGGCATTGAGCCTATAGGAGACGGCTCAGCCAGACCAACAGGTCCACGGAGGGACAATTCATGTGAGAAGGCGGTTAGGTTACGGTCAAAAGTGCCGTTGCCGAGAATTTTGTCGCTGCTGAGAGGTTTCCACATATTAGAACTTGGAGAAGTATTCGTGCTAAGTTTGGCCCCTGTTGCCCAGGGAGAATATAACGAATTTTGATTACTTTTCCATCGTTGATCTTTGTCCTCCAACGCGGAAGTTTCAACCTTTTGGTCTTTTGGTAATAAAGCTTCCTCCTGTAGAACTCCGTTGGATTTGGCGGGTGCAGGCTTCACATCGGATTTCACATCGCGACTTGGAGACATGCTACGCCGACTGGCGATTGGTACGGTTGGTGGCTTCTCAACGACTCGTTCATTGGCGGCAACCAACTTCTTCACGGATTCGGGATGATGGACCCTCATCATTCCATATTGCTTCGGCTCTCCGCTAGGCTCAGGCACAGGAGGTTTTGGTGGAGATTGTATTGTGTGGTGTGCGCTGGTCGCTGATGTCGGATCTTTGAGCGAACTTGTGGTTGCTCCTGCTGCTGTTGGCTGATCCTCCGTTTTGGTTTTCTCCTTTTCTTTGTCCGGAGGAGGTCCCATAGCTGCTAGTTTTAGGCGAATTCGTTCTCGTCGTGCTGCCTCCTCCTTTTGTTCTTGCTCTAGTCTTCGCTGACGAGCTTCTAGGCGCTTCTCCTTCATAATGCGTTGTTGCATGGAAATAACATCTTCAGAAGAAGCAGCTCCAGTTTCCGTAGCGGGCTCTTCCTGGGATAATTGAGGGGCTCCCGCCTGAGCATTTGGAGGAGCATAGGACATGTTATTAACTGTTCGAGATTGCAAAGGAATAACAGGTGGTTGCTTCGGGGATTGCTCCGGTTGCATCGGGTCTTTCGAGTAGGATGTTTCGCTTGGCGAGGTCGAGTGATCGAACACACCATTGACTTGAGAAACCCTACCTTCATACGGTTTTTGGTGACCGTCCGGTCGCCCAATGGACATTCGGCGGCCAAAGCTCCCACTACCACCACTGACATTAGACGAAGCTCGTCGACGACCCCAGTGACCGCTTTCAGGATGACTAGACCTGTGTGTCTGGAATGCAGCAGAAGGCTCTGCAGGTCCCCCAATGTCATTATTACCGGGCCGTTGTAAGACAGTTGCGGGGCGCATGTGAGCATCGCTGCGAATGGGACCTTTTCGAGTGTCTGGCACTGGCTCGTACCTGCCGGACTGAGAGTTGAATAGTTCTCGAGGTACATTAGATTGACCCTCTCTCCAAGAGCGATTGAAATCATCGGCCGCTATTTCACGGGTGGGAACAGAGCTCATGCCTTTGTCAGGAACCATCTGATCTCTAGGTGGAAAACGAGCGACGTTTTGATGTTGACCAGTTTGGACTGGTGGATGTATCGGAGAAACCTTATCGACGGGAGGTAGAGCAGCCCATGGCGATTTCATTGGGACCGGTGCCGGGCTTTTTGAGGTCAACGTAGGTTTATCAGTTCCAGATCTGGAGGCAATAGCGGCAGCCTTGGCTTGTTGTTGTTGTCTCTCTGCATTCGCTCCTAATCGAAGCACAGTGGCATTCGGCCCAACATTAGTAGAAGGCTTAGTGAAAAATGTCCTTGTGCTGTCCCGGGTTGGAGGTTGTTTTGGCATCGCGCCCTCTTTCCCTTCACCGCGATCCGTCATGCCCTGGATAGGAGGCTGGGCATTTTCAGTATGCGTAAGTGTGATCTTTGTCCCGTCGTTCCATTCAATAGTTTCCGGGGCCCAATCGTCTTCGTCGTCATCGATATCCGCCCATTTTGCCTCCGTTCCATTCCCGTCTTCTTGAATTCGAGATGTCATGTGAATACCATACTGCTGTTTCAACTCTTCGTCCGTGAGATGCTTTGTGGGTGGGGGTTGGGCAGCTGTTGTCAAATTTTAGTAAGATTCACGGGGAACGATTCAGTCAACTCACGCCGATTCTTATTCCAAACCTGGCTACCATCCGGACCACTTGAAGGCCCCTTAAACCCGGCTGTGACAGGCTTGGAGGATGATCCTAGACCACTAGTTGTCTTCGCAACTAAACGAGGTCGTGTAGATGGCTGTGGTGAAGCGCTCGACGAAGTCGCAGACAAAGTCGCTGTAATCGTTAGTAGGGTTTTAACTTGACATTAAGCGTCCCGAAAGTGCATACGTTTCTCACCAAGTTTCGGTGTGGTCGACGATCCTGGAGCTTTAGGCACTGAAAATTTCGCAAAAGACACTGGTTTAAAAGCCGTCGTTTTCTTCACCGAACCAGTTCGCAAATGCTGTCGGCCTTCCGTACGACTGGTATCTGTATCCGATCCACCGAGCGAGCCAGCGTCCTCACCACCATCTGACAGAGATGCCACGCCGTTTAGTTCCAGTGCCCTCGTCGCCACTGCGGCCGATCCCTGTTTACCAAGGTCCTATAAAGTATGAGAATTTGTTGTCTTCCGCTTAATGTTGATTTTCCGCCTCACCTTATTTCCTTCACTAGACGCTTTCTCAGGCTCGTTTGTATCCATGGTTCTTGTGTCACGTAAAGTTTGTTCGATAGTAGACGGTTTTTCTTGTGAGTTGAGCTCGTTTTTGGTAATCCTCCCCACGTCCCCTTCAGCAGAGTAGTTGTCGATTTTGCTCGCAGGAACGTCGGATGACGAGGGCTCGCCGCCCGACCGGGTTTGGTTTACCACATCGTGACTTGTCTGCTCTGCCATACCAATATGCAATGCTAGATGTTGAAATAGAAGTTAACGACAAGCCGAGGATGATGTCAACAAAACTTTTGAATGATGGGGGGAAAGAAGTGCAAGAATCACACGCAAGAAATTGACGACTCAGCGCACATAGAGTATACTAACTGTCAAGTGTTGGAGGCTGCCACGGTGTTGTGATGAAACTGAGCTGGTGCCCTTTTTCAGGTACCCAGTATCCGGGGTAACACGAAGGCAGAACAATATTTTCCGGCGAGATATGTTCAAAGGAAAACAAGCACCATTAAGCGTCTCGGTTCGTGGGCAAAAGCTGTGAAGCTTGATCCCCGTGGTGCGATATTTGGTGGTATCGAAGGGCTGATGATGAGACAGTTACCGGAAAGCACCAGCATGCAATCGGGGTTGAAGCCAGGCTGGTGGCCGTTTGTGGTTTAGCGCCAGCGAACATGGCATGGCAGACAACTTGCAAGCCCGCCGCCGCAGCCTCAGGCTAACCTGCACAGACAAGGCTGAAAGGCGGTCTGCAGCGGCATAAACAGCCGGTGTCCTTTTCTGTTCGGAGTCAAGGAGAAAAGGGTTCCAAGCAGCTATGTCGCACTGGAAGCTCGTTTTATCCAGTGATAAAATTACAAATTTTTGAACCCAAGACGCGGTGAAGGCCCGCGTCATCAGCTGCATCCTTGATAGCCGAGAATACGTCATCCGGTAGTTTCTTCCATGTATATAGCAGCGAAGCATTAAGTAGTTGAACACTTTATTGACTAATGTAACATATGAGATAAGGGAAAGTTTCATGCGTGTCCGCTGCCATTCTAGCTACACGGATAGAGGCATATTCTCTTCTGCATGTCGAAATCTGGAATTCCTTGTTTCACAAATATATGTACAGCTTCCTCGGCGCCCACAAACTTTCTTCCCTATGTAATCAGACTAGTGAGGGTGGTTCTTGTGGTGGCCTACGTGCAATTCAATGTCAGTAGATGCAACAAAACAAACGGAATCAGGATGAGCGTACGCAAGTGGAAGTAGTACTCCATGCTGTAACCGACAACCAAGAGGGTTCCAATAACGTGGACAAGCGCTAGATTGAACACATTAGATCGAATTGGTCGTGACACACAGATTATTCAAAAACTTACGCATGCCAGAAGCGTTCTTTCCGTTGAAATAGCGGGCCTGGTAGCGCTCAAGCAGTCCAGATGGTTTGGTGGCAGGAGCGGCGCCACGGGGCAGACCAGCGTAGAAGCTGACTACACGTTCCATGCGTGCAGCATCCTGGGCAGCGCCAATGGCCTGAAGTATTGTCAATGATCTGTAGTTATTCGAGAGTTGCAAAAGCAACGGCAGGCGCCAGAATAGTAGCCATCTGACACACAAATTATGACGGACTGTTCGGGGGCCACCGGCGTAAGACAAAACGGAATTGGTTGAATATAACTCACATTAGGCGACGCAACCTGGAAATCCAGAGTTAGTAGCTTATTTCGGAGAATCCTGGACTAGTGATCGCGGTTGGCATACCTTGGGAGGGATGAGGGTAGACAAAGCTCGGCGAGTGATGTAGCTCATATTGGCTAGTCTGAAACCCAGTCAGATTGGTTGAATTAGTTTATTCCTGATTGCTGGCTTGTGCGCTGACTGATTTTGTACCTTGAATGTGGCGGAACTCCTAGAATTGAGGATGGTGAAGAGCGGTTGAGGAAGAAAGTGAAGTTCTACCCGACATCCCGAGTGTAGCGTTCCGATCTTCACTAGCCACACTTATGTAAGCTACACCAGCCACTTGCCGCCGAAGTCGAACGTCTCGTTAAGAGCGAGCGAGCTCATAGCAACCTCCTCTTACACGGTTCACAACACTAACGTGCTCTCTCTGCGTTTGACACCATGTCGTTCATTAGAGCACGCAGCATTGCTCAGCTGCGAGCAGCGCGCCTCGTTCACCCTGTCAATGCTCGCTTTTTCTCAACCCCCACCGACTCCTCAGTGAAAACAAGCCCTTCCGATGCTCCGACCACGCCACCAAAGGAGAGCTCCCTGATCAGACAGGAGGGACCTAGCGAGGCAATGGCTCGTCATCAGCCAGATTACAATGCCACCATTGACCACGGCACCTCGTAAGTCAACCCGGATTTGTCGGCATTGGCCGATGCTGAACTTCTTAGAACCTTCTCTCCAGTTCCGAAGCGGGTTATGGATGGCAGTGAACCAGGAGATGTTGTAGCTGCTGCCGTCCTGTCTGGCGCACCAACCGACTTGCAGGCACGAACTGTTAGGTAAAAATCATCTGATCCTCTTGAGAGAAAGAAACAAACTTATGCTTATTCCATCCTGTAGAATTTACCAACCGGCGAAGCCCGCAACCCAGTCTGGCACTTGGCACAGTCACAACTGGCGAATGGATTGGGATATCCTACAAAAGGGTCATCGATGGGAAAACCCGCTTATGGGCTGGCAATCCTCTGCTGATTGCATGCAGGGTACTAATTTGAACTTCAAGTCCAAGGAGGATGCGATCCTTTTCGCCCAGAAGCAAGGTTATGAATACTTTGTTCAAGAGCCTAATGAGCGCAAGTTCGTTCCAAAGGCATACGCTAACAACTTTGTGCACGAGCCTAAGAAGCTCAAACATATCAGGACGAAATAAAGTCATTGTCGTTGTATTGTACATAGAGAGCAGTTTTTCCCTTTTTTTCTTTTTTCAATGCAGTGCTTGTTTCATTCGTGAAGCCAACATTATATTACTCAGGCACTCATTTATCCATGCCATAGGAACATCTTGAGACTAGATATTCAACTACCAAGTGCTCTCTGCAAACACATCGCTGAAGACTTCTACCAGCATAGCAAGGCAAGACCTATCATTACAAGGGCTAGAACAAACATCAAAGTTGAATCCACCGCTCATCAACTTGTATGAGATAGTGTGGCCAATATACAGTTAGTGACGGGACTAATCTGTACTCAGGAACGAGTTCTCTTTTTCAAGTCATACCAGAGAGCTTTAAGATGCATGAGTGTTTACCACCCAAATCAGGACTCCATAGACACCTTGAGAAACCACATTTACTCTTGAAATACTCCTCCACTGGGACTCACTTCTTTGTCCATCAATATGAGGTCATCATCTTTCCACAATCTCTTTTCTTTTTCCTTCTCTCTGTTCGTACGCCCTGTTTGCCTAGGGGACCCGAAGTTCGAGAAATTCTCAAGCGGTGGAGGCTGTCGGTGTGCTCTGTCGCGTAAACAAGATGAAGCAGGGGCTCTCCACAGTTGGTGGACTAGGACACTGGTTTTTCGCGCTCTGTGCGAGGAAAATCCGTGCCAACAAGCGAGGCTGCTAGGTAGCTTTTATACAACGATTTCCGATCTCAGTTGCAAAGTGGGCTGAGAGCCAAACCGAGGAAAGAACGCGCAAAGGCCTTTCGCTGCCGGTGTAAAAATATTGTTCAGACGAGGCGTTCATGACAGTTTGCCTTCCTGGTGTTCCACCGAAGAACCGTGTCGTCGCCATCTGCGATTCCACAGGTCATGACAACGAAGCCAGTCCAACAGTCGATAAGTAATTTTTCCAGATTTCTATTTCTTTGTCATCTCTGCCCAGTTGCTAGCGTAACGCCATGTCAAATCTGACTGACTTAACAGGGGCCGGAAAACCTGAGCAAAAAATGTAACGAATATGTCCACGGAGACAGAAAAGTGGTCTTGAACAAGGATCTACTACAAAATATCAAATAATCTGGAACTCTCTGGGTAGCCAGTCTGCTAGAACGTTCTGTGAGCAGAGTCGGACAGCAGTCAGCGGATAACAATGAGCATCTGGTCATGCTGGTCTTCGCACATGAACAAGCAGACTATTGGGAATAATGGCAAAAATGAGCGATCAAAACTCTCCATATTAGATATTAAACGCGTGCTAAAACCTAGCAATACAGTGACTTTGTTTCTTACAGCTTGTTATTCTGTCGGCTGGCTCGTCCAGCCTAATGTCAACCGAAGTCGACATATTAATGCCACTGGTATTGCTACAACCGATCTAAAAGAAATCAAGTTTCAACGTATTGAATACTTTTCAGGCCGTCTTTGCAGGATGAGACTTTTAGCTAAATTTTGGCGAACTATAGATTGAAAGCATAGTTAGGTAGAAGGCGTCAATGGTTTAGCTGAGACCGAACTATATCCGGTACCTAGGTGCCTGTCAAGGCCGAATATATGTCAATAAATCCAACCACGCATCGTCGAAAAGCTGTTCTTTGGTACCTACCTAGGTAGATAGGGTGCCCCATTTCGCTTTATGAGTTCACGAGTATAATGCTCTAATATATACGGCTGAACGCAGGGTGTTCCTATACATGTATTCTCAGTATATGCATACAAGTCAATTATATCCACTGCACACCAGTCTCTACTTCATCGTCTATCCAACTCAGGCAATACCCATCTAACCATCCACTCTGATTGTAGGACTTCTCCTGCGGTTGGTCGCTCTTCCGGTAGAAATACAAGCATTCGGCGCATCAGATAAAGAATGGCAGCTGTTTCCTCTCTACCAAACTCGCTAACTCGACTACTCTTCCGCCGATATTTCTGCACTCCTTCCTCGAATGCCTCGTCGCTTGGAGGCCACACATACCGGCCTTCCTTTGGACGCCCATGTTCATCAAAAAAGTGATTTCGTTCTTCCCACGAGTCCCACCAACTGAATGGCGGAGATCCGAGAACATCAATTTGCTGGGAAAACATATCATTTGTAGTAGCAAATTCGCTGCTAAAAATTGTCCTTATGCTAATAATCTCCCATATCGCGACAGTCAGACTTCAAATATTTGCTGAATACGAGAGCGGGGCTTGTGGTGCGAATTGGGCTTCTGGAGGTCGCATGGCTAATGGGGTATGGTAGTCTTCTCCTTGATGAAAGTCCTTCGGAGTAAATGCCTCGCCAAAGTCACTGAGAAGTATGTGTGTGTCGGATAGGGTAAAGTCTGCTGCATGTTTCCCTAGGTAGAGTGGTATCACAGCCTTGACTGGAACGTTGGGTGGAAGCGGCTTCTGGTCGTATGAGCTTAGAGGATAATTGACTTTCCCTCTCCGTCCCAGATGTATCTGCTAGGCTCTCACCGCTGCTAGTCTTCGACAATGTACACATAGTCCTTCAGATTTTGACTTGTATCTGTGTCGATTGGCATCTCGGGTAGGGTAGCGCTTGAAGAAGCTCCATAAGAAAAGGAGCTTGCCCCTCCAATGACATACAGTCCCACGCACCTGACTGAGATCTGACCACCCAATTGCCTCGTTATAGCATAATAGTAGCGCGTGATTCCACAGAAGGAGCTTCGTGAAGCAGCTTCTCCGTCCTCTAGAGACATAGACAAGGGGTAATGTCGCGCGCGCATCATGTCCATACTCTCGGTTGGGGAGCACGGAGATGACTCGCATCAAGTGCTCAATCAGGCACAATGAAGTGCCAATTGTGCTCGCATATACCCCGAATCGAAGCCATACTGCATAACATGTAATATCCAGAGGTTCGGTTCAGAGTGTTGGAAGCTTCGGAGGAAAGAAGGGACGGACGGGAATGAACCCCGCTGCGTAGTCCCGCGGCCCGCCACTATCAATCGCTGGGCCGATAAGATATTTTTTTCTTTTAAGCATAGGAAAAAAGTTCTAAAATATCTCTCTCAACTTACAATAAAGACCTCAGGTTGATGCCATAAAACAATCACCAGACTTTTGACTGACAAGTACACCCGATTCGTACAATCGGCCAGACAACTATCGACATGGCTGAAGTGTCACACGCCACCGTCGCTGCCTTGCGCAAAACATTGACCTCCGAGACTGAACCGCTCGCACGCCGATTTCGCGCATTATTTTCTCTGAAACATGTTGCTTGCTTGCAGCCACCCACTGAACAGACACTGCCTGCTATTGAGGCCATAGCAGCTGCATTCACATCGCCATCTGCGCTGCTGAAGCACGAGCTGGCCTATTGCTTGGGCCAAAGTAAGAATGCCGATGCTCTTCCGCACTTGCTCGACGTTCTCAAGGACCGCCAAGAGGATACGATGTGTCGACACGAAGCGGCAGAGGCATTGGGAGCGTTGGGGTTCAAGGATAGCCTCGAGCTATTGAAGACTCTTAGGGATGACAAGACCGAGCCTGAGGTAATACGGGAGACATGCGACATTGCTGTTGACAGGATCATTTGGGACATATCAGAAGAAAAGAAGAACGAGAAGATTAGGCCGAGGTTTGTTGTCTACCTCTTCCCTCCTGTGATCTGAAGAAATGGCTAGCAAAACAAAAAAAAAAAGTTCATCAATGTGCTAATCATAAATGAAATTTACTAGCGATTTCGCGTCTATCGATCCTGCGCCACCACTTCCACAATCTAAGGAGGAGCCTTCTATTCCTGAACTGGAGAATACACTGCTTGACACAAAACTGCCCCTCTTTCAAAGATACCGTGCCATGTTCGCCTTGAGAGACCTTGCATCACCACCAGACCTACCGACTGCTGTCCCAGCCGTTGATGCCTTGTCAAAGGGCTTGAAAGACCCGTCTGCACTATTCCGGCACGAAATTGCCTTTGTGTTTGGCCAGCTATGCCACCCAGCTGCTATACCGAGTCTTACAGCCGCATTGAGCGATGTCAATGAGATGGGTATGGTACGTCATGAGGCCGCGGAAGCCCTTGGTAGCCTTGGGGACGAGGAAGGCGTTGAGGAGATCTTGAAGAGGTTTGTGAATGATCCAGAGCAAGTTGTGAGAGACAGCATCATTGTGGCGCTCGACATGGCCGAGTATGAGAAGAACGGTGCCAAGGAGTACGCGTTGTTGCCCGATACCACTGTGCCTGTAGCTTGAAGAGACCATTGTTTATCATTTCTGAGAGCATCACTATTAAAAATGGCGTCGGTCTGGTCTCCGATGTTTGTGGGGTTCTCGCTCGAGTGCGCCATGATGTCTTGGAAAAATAAAAAGTCGTGTATATATTAATTGTTGACGGTTTCCCTAAAGGCGCAATGAAAATTAGACCGCTTTCACAAAACTCAGCGAAGATTGTACACTGTGCGTACTTGTAACCACAAACACATCGGTAGAAAACCGTCGTTCCCTCATCAGCACTACGCAGTTGTGCAGTAGTGAAAAACATCTCTTTTCGTCCACATTGGGCGCAGGTGTATTGTGTTATGGCCTCTGTTGTTCGATCTGCAGCAGTCAATGTCTGCAAGGCAGACCTTTTTGCCCTCAAGGCGGAAGGAAAAGCGTTTGGTTTCGACTCGGAGACAATAGTTTGGGATAGAGTGTCTGGAGTAAATATCAGTATCATGCATCGAGTGCTGCCATAGACGCCGCATACCTTTGTTTTTCGCACCACACACCTCGCACATGAGAATCGCATCGGGGGAGCCAGTGCTTTCTTGTAGTAGATTACCGCAGTCGGTGCAGAATATCAGCGAGCCAATGGCGGACATGGTGTAGACTGTGTTATAAATAGAGCGTGGTATAGTATGGAAATGCTGGAGTATTCCTCTGGCTGCAGTGCTATAGCTGATGTCTGAGGATAATTTTTTTTATATGTATGCTTGAGGAAATTTTGAGCCAATGCGGTCCCAGGCAGGCTAGCGCGCGATGCCGAGTGGAGCCAGCCCGGCCTGCAAATAGGATTAGACTACCAGTTATTACTATGTGAGCCTTGAGCTGGACATTATTTTGTTGACGCTGCGATCATGGCTTATATTTGATGACTTGTCCTACTGTTCTAGAAAGCACCGCTGCACATCAGAACTGCATGGTTGTGCCAACGCTCAAAATAGTTCTCCCGCCCTGGGATGCAGCAGCACGTCATGGATCAGGGTCGATTTCCAGCAGTCCAGGTGGTCATCGGTAGTCAGAACCATTTCCATGGCCCTCCAAATGGCGCCTCCAACGGCGTCTCGAGTGGGATGCGCCAGCTTCCCACGCGACCGTTGCTGGTGGATGAAGCCTTGCAATTTTCTCCAATGACCACCGCGCCTGTGTTCGGTTTAGGTATGTCCCTAGTCCGCCCTTCTCACTGAGCTTTCACTGACAGATGAAGACGCAATCACACGCCCCGACGTCGCCGGGCAATCGTCGACGAATTTTCCCGCATACCCACGACCGGCTGCTCGTAAAATGATACAAGACCTTGATACTGAAGCTCGGCTGGGATCTGGAAAGTCCCCTCGACTGATGGCTGTCTATGGAGAACTAGTGAACGAACACCTTAACGCCGATAGACTGTCGGATTTGTACGCATACTCACACAGGGCATGGCGTTCCTTTGTTTCCTCGCTAATGAGACCTTGTTTCTTTATAGCAAATTCAAGCTCCCGACGGGGCTGGCAAGGGCGAACAAGCCAGCGCAACGTGACGACCGCTCGGCACTTACTCGCAACCTGAGCCCATTCGCGAAAATGGTATTGAATGGAACTGACGTAGCATTCAACTGTGAGGGAACCTCGACGTTTAATCTGACCCGAAACTAATGCGTTGTCTACAGATCCCGAACCCAAGTTGCCTTCGTCAGGTGCGAGGACCGCCGGTAGCTCCTTCCTCCCAAGCCATTTCCCCTCAACATCGCTCGCTGCCAGTGCTTCTAACAAGAAAATGTCTTCCGAACCAGGATCAGGGAGATTCCTCCAGCCTGCCGTCGTTATTCCCCCGTTCGGCTCGCCAGGCGGGTCTCGTTCAGTAGCCGATCAAGGTGGCGTCAAGAAGCGAAAGTTGAATGTGGATGGGGAGTCTTCTGTAGCCAATATAAGGCTCAAAGATCAGAAGGAGGAGGCAGACGCAGCTATTTTGAAGTTACAAGATCTCATGCATGAGATTTTCGAAGCAGAAGATCAACTGGAGCCTGACACCTCATCAGCAGCCGTCAGCCGAGATTCAAATTCCATGTTCAGGAGTGCTAATGTTTTGGAGGTCAGTGAGCCTATTCTTGGCCCTGAGGCTCATGGTCGGCTTCAAAAGTCCTTGCAGAAAGTTGTCAGCTTTGGGAGATTGCATGACATCCCTTCCGAATATCTCATTAGGATCCAGAAGATCTGCGAGAACCCTATAGTGTCTGCACAAGGTCTGGACCTAAGACTGGATGATGCCTTGAACGACTCTGAAACCCATGCTTGGCTTCAAAAGCTGGAGGATATATACAACACACTGCTCGCCATTGGCACACTACTTCAGACCATGTCTAGTCGAAGACCCGAGCGAGACCTATGCCCTGAAGATTTATTACAAGCAATCCCAAATGTCTTGACAACCTTATTCGACCAATGCATAATTCCTGCCGTGGAAGTACGCCCTGCTAGCGAAGATTCAAGGCTGTTCGAGCTTGTGTCTCGTGAAAAAAAGACAATTGGCACCCTAATGCATCAATCCAGGAAGCTGCTCGGTCTTTTGGCAAGTTTTCTCTCGCGAATAGACGTTTCTGAGGGCATTATCACGTCTACAGAGTTCTTGGCAACCAAGTTGATTTTCGTCGAGAACGCACATAATGATAAAGAGTCCGCCGTTGGATACCAGAAATTTGAATCTGTGCGTCGTGCAGCAATGGACGTTCTTGCTAAGGTCTTCTCCCGCTATCCCTCCCAACGCCCGTTCATTCTAGACGAGATTCTGGTGTCACTTGAGAAATTACCATCAACCCGTCAGAATGCCCGACAGTTCAAATTGATTGATGGTAAAGCCATACAGTTGCTTACGGCCCTGGTTATACAGCTTGTGCAAACCACAGCTTTGGACATACCACAATCGAAAAAGAGCAGAGCGAGGCGAAATCCTTTACTCGGAGCAGATACGGACGAAAATCAGGGCGAGATACACACCAAGGAAGAAGATAATGTACAAGAAGAAGAAGAAGCAGCAGCAGCAGCAGCAGCAGAGAGTGACTCCGAGGACGAATTTGGCTTGAAGTTATCATTGGAACGCCTTACGAGTCGGGCGAACAAACTTTACGACAACGCGGTTCGTAGTGCTCAATACATTATCAAATTTATCGTCCAACGAGCAATGACATCCACCAAAACGGGCGATCAACCTTACCGAAATATATTGGATCTTTTCACAGAGGATTTGATTAGTGTTTTGGGCTCGACAGACTGGCCCGCTGCTGAGTTATTGCTTCGTATTCTTGCATCTCACATGATCGGTATAGCTGAGCTTGACAAGAGTTCAGCTACCGCCAAAAACATGGCCCTTGAATTACTCGGTTGGATGGGTTCTGGCATCTCGGATCTTTCAGTTGCCGCCCAACATTTAATTCCTTCCATGGAAGATGCAAACAACAAAGTTACTGAGTATTTACGGCAACTCTACGACGATCACGTAAGGCATGCTTTGCACGTACAGGATTTGATCTCGTCACATGGGCCTTATCGTATTACCTTGGAGTACCTTCAGGACCGTGACCTCGACAACTGGCAGCTTACCAGTGCTCGGGGCTACTACGTGGTTCAATGGGCTAAGACGATTACATCTACATATTACGATTCAGAAGATAAGGCTGTGACTGTTCAACAGGATCGTGGTCTTGATGATTTATTATCTATTCTCCCTAGGCTCTTGTCAGATCCAAAATGGCTAGAGACTAATAAGTAAGTGGTATACAAAAACGTGTTATATTTGAATACATCTAACTGAACGACAGCCACTATGACAAGATTTCGACAGCTCACGGGAAATTTGCCTACATCCTGACGGTTCTAAATATGGGCTTTTCGAAAGCCTTTGATACTATTTTCAAGGTTCTTTTGAACTCTATCACGAGTGACCAGGCAAAAGTTCGAAGCCGTAGCTTGAAAAGTGTTATTACCATGCTTGAAAAAGACCCAAGTTTGCTCGATCGTGACACCTCAGTGATGCGAGTGGTGCTTCGGTGTGCAGCTGATGCTTCGCCCATGGTTCGCGATTCTGCGCTTTCATTAATAGCCAAGTGTATTGGACTCAAACCAAGGCTTGAAGAGGAGGGGTGTCGGGCTATTCTCGCCTGTGCGGCTGATGCCACAGCAGGTGTTCGAAAGCGCTGCATATCTCTGTTAAAGGATATATATTTCAATACTATGCGCAAGGAACTCAAGCTTGCTATACTCGATAGCTTGCTTCAAAGAACAAACGATTACGAAGAAGCTGTTGCGGTTCAGGCCCGACAAACGATCGACGAAATCTGGTTTACACCATTCGTCGTGGTGATTGATAATCTGCACGATGATCCTAAAGCTCAAGTTGCATTAGGTGAACAAGTCTCCCTTGTGATCAGCTTAGTGCAACGTAGTGAGACTGCGGTGGATAGCTTAGGGTCATACTTGAAGAAAATTGTTTCTGATAAGGTTAAAGTCCCAAGCCAAAACTTCAAGGTCTGCAAAGCGATGGTCGCAAACATGTTTGAGCGACTTGTGGATGACCCTGGTGCTTTGGAGAAAATAGATCACCAGGCTCTTCTTCAAACGATTACCATCTTTGCGAAGGCTAGTGCGAAGCTTTTCAGCTCTGAGCAACTCCAAGCACTCCATCCATACATTGGGCATCTTGTCACTGCCGATGACCTCTTTCTTTTCCGCTCTGTGGTTATAATTTACCGCAGTGTCCTTCCCTTTATATCTTCAGCGCATAATACCTTCCTCAAAGATGTACAGAATGATCTGTTCAAGAGCGTGGCAAAACTTGCTCGATCCGAACTGAATGAAGTTATGGCATGTCTTTGGACCATCAACGGGGTCCTACAAAACGCAGACAGGCTAGTCAAACTTACAATCTCCGTGTTGAAGGGTATCGGGCAAGCTAGAGGAGTTGATCTTACGGACGGCAGTAAGACAGACTTATTGAACCGAGCTCGCAGCTACATTCGTATTGCAGGCTGCGTGGGACGGCATTGTGATCTCGAGAAATTTGAACCACATTTCAAAAAAGCCTTTGTCTCGTGGAGAGGAGGCTCGGTAGCTGGTCTCCTGGTCGATTTCATCTTGCCTTTCGTGCATCAAGGCCAACCACTGGAACTGAGAACAATGGCACTCGAAAGTCTCGGATCTATTTGTCAATCTTGGCCCGCGCAGTTCAGCCGGGAAGAACCCAGGGAAGTTATATCGTCTGTTTTCAAAGAAGACAATGCTAGTCTTCATAACATCATTCTTCGGGCTTTCTCTGAATTCTTTGCCATTCATGAAGGCAAACTGGAGAAGCTTGTTCAGCCTACGGCTGAATCGTCGGATCCGGAAGCAGCAACTCGATTAGGCGGATCGTTGAAAGCCAATGACAATGATGGTGCAGCAGCACTAATTGCCCAGCACTTTCTACATGAAATGCTTCGGATAGCCCACTCTAGTCAGGATGCGTACGCGCTGACCGCCATCGAGCTGATATCAAGTATTAACCGCCAAGGTCTCGTGCATCCTAAAGAATGTGCTGGTGTCTTGGTCTCTTTGGAAACTTCAACCATCCCTGCAATAGCGAAGACAGCATATGAGACGCATAAAATGCTCCACCAGCAATATGAATCTATGTTTGAACGGGAATATATGCGAGCCATCCAGGATGCCTTTGTTTATCAACGAGACGTTGTTGGCGACTCCACGGGGGCATTGGCCCGTCCCTATACTGCAAAGCTTTCTCCTCTTTTCAACATCGTCAAGATTAGCAACAGTAAATACCAGAAGAAATTTCTTGCTAATCTCTGCTCCAAGGTAAACATTGACTTAAAGAACCTTGATGTGTCTGGCAATCCTCCCGAACATCTTCTTCTAGCGAGGTTTGTCTGTCAAAACATTGCTTTCTTTGACTACGCCCAGTTAGCGGAGTTACTACCAACTATCACTTGCATGGAAAGAATTGTTTCGGCTACTGGTACCATCGTTGCACATTCTATCGAGACCGAGCTGTCTCCTCCCCAGCTGGAGGTACCCGTTGTATCCGAGCAAGTTGTGGCCGGTGCGCAGGTGAATGTAAGCCCTCCACATGCGGTTAAACCTTACATACTGCGCCAACTTGCAACTGCGGCTGCTGTCCTATCGATGCTCTGGGAGACTAGAACCCATCTGAAGCGACAGTACGGCGTCAACTCCAATATGAGACATAATGGAAATAAGGCGAACATCAAAGAACTTAACAAAGCTCCGACTAAGGTCCACGGAGTTACCGGTGACCGCTACTGGGAGGCTGTAACGAAAATCATGACCTGCCTTGACAGCGAGGACAATATGTTTCAGCAATGTCAAATGTTCACCACTTTACTTTCTATCGACGACGAGCTAAAGGTACCTAATGGCGAAGACGACGATGTTGAAATAGACGATCTTGATGATGCTGCCGACGACGACGTGAAGGAAGTCAACGGTAGCAAAGCCATGAAACGAAAGAACTCTCTTCATGGTGGTTTGCCTTCAAAACGACCTAGAGGTCGACCTCCCGGCAGCAAAAAGCGATCGAGCTCTGAGATGGGAGATTCTTTTGTCTTTCAAACATAGGAGGAGTCTCAACGGAGTTGGATGATGTTTTTTTCTTTTTTCAAAAAAAAAAAATTATTATTTCCTTTTTCATTTACTTTTGCATGACTTGGGGTTTGGCTATCTTCCACCGAGGCGTTTTTCGGCGAGGAAAGGGTTCGACATACAGATGGAATCCGATCTGCTTTACTTTTATGTGTGTATATTTTTTTCTAGCATCTTCTGTTTCACTTAACCCATGCTTTCTTTTCTCTTGAATATCCTCTTTACCCGTGTATTATAAGAACTTCACCAACGCAGACGCTATACACATGGTATTGCATAATCCATATACTTTGGACTCTGTGTCTTCATCCATTGAACAGAAAGCTACCACGTAAGATACAAAGGTCAACTAACATAGACAACCTGCAGTAACTAACTATATGTAACCGCGAAGTCGGACATGCAAAAATGAAAAGTGCCGAAGTCCCGTGCCTATGACGTCGCGGATCTCACGGCAGGCTGAGCGGCGCCCATTGGCCAGCTCTCGCCAGCTTCATCATCCATGGATCATTCCGTCGTACCTTTTCTCTCTTGTTTAAGTACGACCTAGGTACCACTCTCAACCTCGCGTGTAAACACTAAGAACAACAACCCCTCTTCTGTCACCAATTGCTAGTTCATGTTATTGCTGCATTCTTTTATCGTCAGTTTGCTTGTATATTGATTGCTCTAGTCGCATTTCACCGCAGATGCAGACGGCCTTGACGAGGCGCTTGACCGGCGCTCCAGCGTCGTTGTCTTCTCGTCCATCGAATCGATTCCAAGCCATTCGAACAGTCAGGAGCGCATCCTGTCGCCCTTTCTCGCTTCACCGAGCACAGCTTCCCTCTTCGTTGCAGAGATCTGCTAGGAAGCAGTCTGTCCCGCCCTTCCGTCGTAGTCTTCACTACGGATCCGGCGTGAAAGCAACCATATGGCGTTATCCCACACTTCGGTTCCTATATCATGGCTTCGCGTACTTTGGATTTCTCATTATTGGCGGAGGAGTGGTCGTTGCTAGTGTCTTCCTCTACGATGCCACCACTTATCGTGAGGACCCCAGTATGGAGGATATCCCCGTGTCGGAATTGGCGTTGAACCCAAAGCGCGGTGGGCCCAAGAACCTGCCCATCGCAGAGGTCATGGTGGACGATGATGATAGCGAAGCTATGCAGGCACAGCGCGATAAGCCCAAGCTGGTTATTCTTGGTACCGGCTGGGGGAGTGTCGCACTTCTCAAGACACTAAACCCGGGTGATTATCACGTTACCGTTGTATCGCCCGTTAACTACTTCTTGTTCACGCCCATGCTTCCATCGGCGACTGTTGGAACGCTGAGTTTGAAGTCGCTTGTGGAACCAGTGCGGCGCATCGTTCACCGACTTCGAGGCCATTTCCTGAAGGCCGAGGCCGAGGATGTGGATTTCTCGTCTAAATTGGTAGAGGTATCTCAAGTGGATGCTAATGGTCAACGACAAAATTTCTATCTTCCTTATGATAAGCTCGTAATCGCTGTTGGTATGTCTTTTTCATGCATCATCATCAACTCCTCCCATTATAATGTCTGCATTTACTAAGCTACAATCCCAGGGTCTATTACCAACCCACATGGCGTCAAGGGTCTCGAATACTGCCACACGCTCAAGTCAATTGACGACGCCCGACAAATAAAAAACAGGGTTACGGATAATATGGAACTCGCATGTCTGCCAACGACAACGGATGAAGAACGCAAACGGCTGCTATCATTCGTCGTCTGTGGTGGTGGACCAACAGGCGTGGAGTTTGCGGCAGAGCTATACGATTTGCTCAATGAAGACCTGAGAAAGAACTTTCCTAAGATTCTACGAAATGAGATATCTGTCCACCTTATTCAGAGCCGAGGCCATATTTTGAATACATATGACGAAGCATTGTCAAAATATGCTGAAGTATGTACCTGAAGTTCTCAAATTCAAGCCTATGACTAATTGTCTGTTACAGGCACGATTTGCACACGATTCTGTCGAAGTCTTGACAAATTCTAGAGTCAAGGAGGTGCGTCCGGACAAGATCTTATTCACACAACAGGAGAATGGGAAGACTGTGACGAAGGAAATTCCAATGGGCTTTTGTCTGTGGTCAACCGGAGTTGGTAAGTTCAAACTCCTCACCGCATATATATACACGTCAATAACTAAGACGATCGGGTTTGGAACATAGCGCAAACTACCTTCGCCCAGAAATTAGCCAAAAAGCTTGAATCACAAAACAACAAGCATGCTTTGGAAACAGACACGCACCTGCGACTGATCGGAGCGCCCTTAGGTGATGTCTACGCTATCGGTGACTGCTCCACCGTTCAAAACAACATCGCTGACCATATGGTTGCCTTCCTCCGCACGATAGCGTGGGAAAAGGGCAAGGACCCAGAGAAAGTACACCTCAACTTTAGCGAATGGCGAGATCTAGCAGATCGAGTCAAGAAGCGTTTCCCGCAAGCTGCCAACCATCTCCGGCGAGTAGATCGACTATTCGAGGAATATGACCGAGACCATTCTGGAACCCTCGACTTTGACGAGTTACACGAACTGTTGATGCAAATCGATTCCAAGCTTACCTCTTTACCTGCCACGGCACAACGCGCCAATCAACAGGGAGAGTATCTCGGCCGCAAATTCAACCACATCGCAAAAGCAATGCCCGGCATGAGGGCTAACGAGGTTGATTATGGCGATCTCGACGAGGCAGTATACAAGGCATTCAAATACCAACATTTGGGCAGTCTGGCTTATATCGGCAACGCGGCTATCTTTGATTTCGGCGGCATGAATTTTGCCGGGGGTCTATTGGCTGTTTATCTATGGCGTAGTATCTATTTTTCGCAGAGTGTCAGTTTACGGACCCGCTCTCTGCTGGCCATGGATTGGACAAAGAGGGCGTTCTTTGGTAGAGGTATGTTGATTCCCTTCCCAATTCTTGCTGCAGACGGACAGATACTAACTAAATAATGTGCTACAGATATCATGAGTTTCTGAAACAATAGCGACTTTCTTCTTTTCAGGGGTGGGTTTGTTCGTAGAATTCTTGGCTTGATACCGTTTAGAAATGATTCTGTATATAAATAAATGTGCCAATCAAATACATATATTTGAATTACTTCATATTTTCTCTTGTTTGGATCACTACCTGACTGGTTTTGTCTGTCGCTTAATATGAACGAGAGATTTACATTATGAATATATATAAACTTATGTAAAAGTCTCGTTGATGCTTCAATAATAACGCAAATACCATATAGATAAGTTGTCAAGCACAGAATTGAGTGAGAGAATCGAGTCATCGACAGAATCAAATCAAGATGGAATTATGCTTACTGGCTCATAACTTCAAAAGTATGAGTTTCACGATGTAGTCAGTCGTTTGCATCGAACTCCAATGACCCATAAATCAAACCCCAACGCCACGCTTAAGAGACAAATTTCGTTTACACATAATAAAATAATATGAAGAGACAAGCCGTAAAAAGGTCTCAAACTTCTTTACGCAATCATGGGATCAATGTCTCCATTATTGGTCATGACAGCATCATCGGAATTGCCATTGTGACTGGAGCGGGAGTGGTCGCTTGCACTTTGTTTCTCATTATAGAGGCCGATGTCAAGAATATCAGGAATTCCCGATTTGGTTTCTCGAGCTTTTTGCTCTGCCCAAGCGCGAAGCTTGACCAGATTGCGTAAGCGAGCTTCTTTACGAGCACCCTGGCTTTTTAGAATAGCTTCGTTGACCTTTGTGGCAATGTCCTTACGCAGGTTCGGATGAAGAAGAGGCGCCAGCGAGGGGGTCAAGTTCTCGGATGGAAATATGAGAAGCGCTAATGTGCGTTCTAGATCCTCAAGAAATTGAGGGTTTGTGGGTGCCCTGGGTGCAAGTTGGGACGTTGCAAACTCGAGTGCAGGTGTGATATCCGCATTAGGTGTTGATGTACACCTACGGATTAATTCTACAAGTTGCAAGCGCAAGAGTGAAAAGTGAAGAGAAGGATTCTCATCTAAAATCTGTAGACGCAAAACAACGTTAGCGCTATCCCAAAACATCAAGCCGCAAAACGAAGTAGAAAGCTCCGATGTTCAAGACGGGTACATTCTATGTTGCTCATACTGAGGACTGAAGATGAGTTTTTTTCATCAAACACCCAGAAGGGTATATGAGTGGTGCATGAAACTGGTATAATCATAGCAAAATAGAAGAGAAAAATGAAAGGAGATGAATCAAACGAGGCATTTGTGTGAAGTCTTACCTGAGGGTTAAGTTCGTTTATTTTCTCAATGGCTATTTGGATGTCACCTGAGTGGATCGCACTGCGAATCTCTACTCGTTCTTGGATCGATTCAATATCCGCTTTGGGTTGAATATTAGCTTCGACAGCAAATCTTTTTGCTGCTGCGGGATAACCATTGGTGACGAGGTAATCCATAACAAGATAGTTAATGTCCCTGTCCGAACGAGTCAGTCAAAGTTCGGCAGAGGTTTTGACGAGTTGAATTCTTGAGAATAGAAATTTGAAAGATCAGATAGACAAGTTATTATGTTCTCCACACAAGTTTTTTTTCGGAGAGATTCCCAACTTGATATTTAACACATCACGCAAATGATACCATAGCAGCAAAGAAATATATAGAAGAAACTCACGTTTTCGACGGTTTGACCTCGTCCACCTTGCGTTCAAACTGATGCCATGTTGGCGTCGCAGTCGATGGTGTTGGAGACATCTGGCAAAGGTCAGGGTGCACGTTCCAACGTCGTGGCGCGGCAGAGGATTTGTATTACCATGTTAGTGGAAGCCATGACTTGCTCGACACGGAGAGAGCAACTCGGGAGAATTTCATTGATGGCAATGAAGCAAATATGACGCTTGTATTAACGTCAGAGCAAAAGCCATGGGGCTTGCGCAGTGACGTTGAGGCGTGGCTGGTGAGGGAAGAGAGTGAGGAGTGAGGAAGAAGGAGAAGATCAAGCGAGAGGCTGGAAAGAAAAAGCCGTTTGTTGAGGCCGGCAGACGAGTCGGCCCGAGTGCCTGGGCGGACTCTGTGAGCCCTTCTGATTGGCCCGTTTATTTTGCGAGCCTTGATGCCTCATGCGCTTACCGGGTCCGGTAAAGTGTCAGGCGACGGGCTTCACAAATTTATATCTTTGGAGCTCACTCAATTCCACGGCGATGCCTGGCTGCTGAAATTCTTCTGGGCTTGGGGGCAATGCATGGTTCGAGTATGCGCAGTCATTGTCTCTAGCCCGGTACCTGACTGAAGAAAATAAAATTTCAAACCATCGCGTAACTGCCTTGCCTGCTCTCTTATCTTTGCAGAACAGCCAACCTGACGCCATGGAGTCTCGCCCGCCCATTTACTCGACAGCAACCAACCTCAAGCAGGGTTATTCCCCGCCATGGGAGGATCTCAGTATTATAGGCATCGCAGGCAGCTCTGGCTCCGGCAAGACTTCTGTGGCCATGGAGATCGTCAAGTCCCTCAATCTTCCCTGGGTCGTTATCCTTGTGATGGTAAATCATGTCATGCGTGTTGACTTCGTCGTTAGAGATCTTTAACCATGGGAGATTGCAGGACTCTTTCTATAAAACTCTAAGTCCTGAAGAGCACAAAAGGGCACACATGAACCAGCACGATTTTGATTGTCCCGAGTCGCTTGATTTCGATGTCCTAGTACAAACTCTTAGAGATTTGAAGCAAGGGTGAGTCTAAACAACGATTGCCTCACTACTAGCCATTCGATTCCTTTGGCACTTACAAGACGACCAACTGGTTATTCTAGGAAGAGGGCAAACATACCAGTTTACTCATTCAAGGACCACCAGCGTCAAAAAGAGACTACACCTCTCTATTCGCCTCATGTGCTGATCCTGGAAGGAATTCTCGCTTTGCATGATCCTAGAATTCTAGAACTTCTCGATGCCAAAGTAAGACTAAAGTCCGATCCACCCTTTATCAATCTTCGGCTTCCACAGTCACAGTCATTGACTTGGTTGTTCTATTGGTTTTCGAAGATCTGAAAGCTAAGATTGTCCCAGATCTTTGTCGAGGCTGATATGGATGTATGCCTCGGTCGAAGAAGTATGTTCTCTTGTAATCAAGGCCAAACCACCACAATGCTAATATAGAAATGCACAGTCCTACGTGATGTCAAAGAACGTGGAAGAGATATCGAAGGAATTATACAGCAGTGGTTCACGTTTGTTAAACCATCCTATACAAAGTATGTTGAGCCGCAACGGCACATATCAGGTTTGTCTTCAACCCACTCATTCTTGGTTGCATACACTAAAGCGATGTAGACATTATTATCCCGAGAGGGATAGAAAATAAAACGGCTATTGGTAAATTTTTGATCATGAAGCCCCATAAATCGGAGATAAAAACTAATTCATTGAAGGTATGGTCGTTGAACACATAAAAAGACGACTACAGGAAAAGTGCGAGAAGCACAGTTCAGACCTTATGAAGCTACACGCGCTAGCAGCAGAGGAGGATCTCTCTTCTAATGTCTTAATCGTCGAACAAACTTCGCAGCTCGTAGGAATGCACACGATTTTGCAAGATCCGTCAACAGAACAAGTTGATTTTGTCTTCTACTTTGATCGATTGGCTTCGCTCCTCATTGAAAGGTAAGCCATTCACACTACTATTGTATGCATCTATTGACTCCCTGTGTTTAGGGCACTGGACTGTATGGTGTATACATCCACTGTTGTTCAAACGCCGAAGCAAGAACAATACCACGGCGTGCGACCCGATGGTATTGTCTCTGCAGTTGCCGTTTTGAGAGGTGGCTCATGTCTAGAAACAGCCCTGAAGCGCACCATACCGGACTGCATTACTGGAAGGCTTCTTATCCAAATGAACAAGGAGGCTTCCACGCCAGAGCTCCACTATCTCAAATTACCTCCCAAAATCGAAACTCACTCTACTGTGCTGCTTCTGGACCCCCAAATGGCTACCGGAGGTGCTGCGTTGATGGCAGTCCGAGTCCTGATTGACCACGGAGTCCAGGAGCACCGAATAGTCTTTGTTACTTGTGCTGCAGGTAGACGTGGCCTGCAAAGACTAACAGCTGTATACCCTGAGGTCAAGGTCGTCGTGGGACGCATAGAAGATGAGGAAGAGCCACGATGGATGGAGAACCGATACTTTGGCTGCTAGGGGTTTTACAGTGTCCCTTAACCAGTATATACTTGTAGATGACGGGTTCTCAGCCACTGTGAAATATTATACGCTATATACTATATCTACTGGCGTGTTTATGAACAATAAAATCATATATATTTTCACTATATCTGAATATCATGTCTAAGAATACGCCGCGTTCTGATTGGTTAGTTATCGCGGCAATCGCAGATAAGTGCACAGACCAACTCCAAAAAATTATGTTCTGGAGTTCTCTGCTTCACCGAAATAACTACTCCAACTCCATTCTTCTGTCTCATTTTTCTTTTTAATTTGAAACTTTATCCCTCTCAAAGTCTTACTCTCGAGAAATCGAACATACAACAGTCACTGTTCTACCGTAGTCTTTTCTCTCGGTACAGGTCCGTCGAGACTATCCGAAATGGCGGATTCTTCTAAGAAGGCCAAACGCAGCGGCAAGGCCAATGCTGATGCGGTAATAAGTGAGTGACTCCATATGTTTGTATTTCGCTTCGGAGCTATTGCACCAATGATATCAACTGAACCACATCTGACCATTTGATTTTTGCAGCCGACAAGCGTTTCGCCAATATACAGAATGACCCTCGATACCGCTTGCCCAGCAAACGCCATACCCATGTCAAACTAGATAGCCGTTTTTCGCACATGCTGCGTGACAAGGACTTTTCCAGAAATGCCGCAGTAGATCGTTATGGCCGCAAGTTGAAGCGTGACGACACCAAGAAACAACTCGAGAAATTCTACCAATTGGAAGACGACGAGGCCGACAATACATCCCAGATTAGCGTTGACGATGACAGTGACGTGCTGAAAGAATTGGAAAAGGTGAACAAGCGGGGGTATGACCCTGCGCGCGATGGCGGTTTCTCAGAGTCGTCATCCGACGAGTCATCGAGCGAGGAGGAAGATGAAGAGGACACTGCCGACACAGTCGATGAGGTGGAATTTCCAAGTCAGCAGCAATCAGATGTTCCATTAGGAGAGGTGACCAATCGGATTGCGGTTGTGAATCTTGACTGGGACAACATTCGTGCTGAGGATTTAATGGCTGTCTTCTCAAGTTTTACGGCCGGCGGCCGAATAAAAAAGGTTTCAATCTATCCGAGCGAATTTGGGAAAGAAAGGATGGAAAGAGAGGAAATGGAGGGGCCGCCGAAGGAAATTTTCGCGACCAAGTCTGATGCCGATGACCTGGATTACGAAGAGGAGGAAGACTCTGAAGAGGAAGAAGAAGCCATAAAGAAGTCTATTCTGAAGGAGGATGAAGGCGCCGAGTTTAACACAACAAAGTTACGACGTTATCAGTTGGAGAGACTGCGGTACTTTTATGCAATAATTGAATTTTCTACCAAGGAAGCAGCCAAGAAAGTTTATGATGTCGTCGATGGCACTGAATACCTCACGAGCGCCAACTTTTTTGATCTTCGCTTTGTTCCCGATGATACTGACTTCTCAGATGATAAACCACGAGAAGAGTGCGAGCGCATACCTGACGGATACAGACCATCCGATTTTGTCACAGACGCTCTTCAACACAGTAAAGTGAAGCTTACCTGGGACGCCGATGACAAAGTCCGGAAGGATGCACAAGCCAAAGCTTTCAAAGGTGGACGGAAGGAAATTGAGGAAAATGATCTAAAAGCCTACCTTGCGAGTGATAGTTCTGATGATGAAGACGAAGAACAGGTGGAAGTCATTGACGCCACCGCCACCTCTACGGGCAGATCGGCGACCTCGAGCATATCAAAGAAAGAGGCTGAGCGACAACGAATGCGTACATTACTTGGATTAGGTGATGAGCCTCCAGTGCCCTCCAAATCGAAGGGACCCGTGGGTGATATGGAGATCACTTTTACGTCAGGCTTGGCCGGTGAGCCAACTCGAGACTCTGTCTTTGAGAACGAGCCGGAGATCGAGGAGACAACAGTGGAGAAGTATATTCGCAAGCAAAGAGAGCGCAAGAAACAGAGAAAAGAGAAAATGAAAGCTATAAAACAGGGGGGAAATGGTGCGATCGACGATGCCAAGAAGGGAGAAGCTCAGAATGAAAGCGCTGAGGAAGACCTTGGTTTTGATGATCCTTTCTTTGATGAGCCTGAGGGCAAGGTCAAGAATTCTCAGCGCAAAGAAGAACGACGCAAGAAGCGCGAAGAGAAGGCCGCCGAAGAGGCAGCCGCAGCCGCCAAGCGAGCTGAACTCGAGCTTCTGATGGTCGATGATAAGTCTGCAGGAATGGCACACTTTGACATGAATGAGATTGAGAAAGCAGAGAAGAAAGCGCGCAAGAAGGGCAAGAAAGGAAAAGCCAAGCAGGAAACAGACCAGACAGTTGCTGGTGATGACTTCCGGATGGATGTCTCTGATCCTCGGTTTTCTAATCTGTATGAGAGCCATGAGTTTGCCATTGATCCTACGAACCCCAAGTTTAAGGCTACTTCGGGAATGAAAGCGCTCCTTGAAGAAGGCCGTAAACGCCGACGAGTAGGTGGCGGTGATGACGATATACCTGCAGAGACGTCAAAGAAGCAGAAGAAGAACTTGGCAAAGCGTGATAACCCTACAGAGGATGTGGATTTGAAGAAGCTCGTTGCACGGGTAAAGAGCAAAACAAAGAAGACATGATCAAGGGCGTTAATTCTTGTCTTGTCTCTCCATTGCCAAAAAAGTTGCTGAGTATTTTCATTGTTGCATGTATGATAGGCGTTTTCTGTCGTTGTCTCTCTTTGTAGGTTCCAAGCATACTTAGGTATATATCGAAAGCAGAACTTACATGACTTGATCTTGTGATTACATACCAACGATGCCTAGAGCTCAAAGACTCAATCCCAAAAGCGTCCAGGTCCGCCGGTGCATGGCAAGACGGACTGCCGGTTCAGGCATCTCTGCGGGCCAAAGGACGTGTGTAACCGGACGAACACATCCTTGTCTTTGCTTACGTGCATCAGACATGCATGTGCTAGTGCCACTTTTCCGGTGCTGCATGTCATTCGTGTCAAGTTCAACTTATCTTATTCACTCTGTGTGTTTGGCTTAGGGCATGCAGGCAGAGCTTCGCTGGGCCAATCAGCGGGCGCGCTTAGGGCGTGCCTTGGGCAGCGACATCGGGGAGACCTCGTGGGGAACTTCCCGATTAGGCGGACGCTTCACCGCCTTTCCACGTTCCGGTTCCGGCTAGTATCATTATTTCATACTCTCTCCGCCTTGCTCCGAGCACTTTGAGTAGTCTCCAACAGCACAGCACAGCACAGCAGAGCACAGCACATTGCATTGCCTGTTCTCGACCCCATTAATGCATTGCTAGTGACACCCCTCCGCATTGCCTCGTCTCGCACTCCTCTCTCTGTAAATACCCGCCGCTGTGCTCCCTCCCTTCCGTCACATCTCTTCACCTCACCTCACTTCACTTCGCCGCGGGCCTCGCAGATCTACCCACGCATCTCTGTTTTTTTCCCGGGCTTAGCAACTGCAGCTGCTTCATTGCGGTGAGAAAGTGAGCAAGTGAACAAGGAGGGGTACTCTGTGTCGAGTCCATCGACCACCATGGAGTGTCAACGATAAATCATTCACCCACCGCACAATTCCCAACCTTCAATTTTTTACGGACTGACCTAGTCACAACGTACTCATCGTTTGCGGGGATTGCCACAATGCTGGGCCGCTTGCTGAGTACATTCAGCCCGGGTGCGTACTCATCACGGAATCCCGCTGTCTTAGAGTCCGTCACCGAAGAGGAGCACACGTCCGGACTACTCTTCCCTGATCCTCGCCTTCTCCACCGATCCTCCAATTCCGCACATGCTTTCCAGACGAGTTTCAATTCCCCCAATGCTTCAAGCGCCGGTGGATATGATGACCGCGGAGGACTGGATCTGGATTCGATAAAGGATTTTCGGATCATAATTGCGCAAAATGCAATTGGCGACCGAGATGAGCCATGCATTCTGCTTGACTCCAGAGGTACTTCTAACCCGGCGGCACAAGGTTTGGGCTTGGATCCCCTGGTTTTTGACTCGTTAGGTGGCCGGCACTCTCGGACATCAAGTTTGTCCAAAGGGCCTTCTCGGAGAGGGTCTATACAAACAGCTCAATCTCCACTAATTGACAATGGCTCACTCTCACAAGCCGCAAGTGCTCGCAAAATCCCCCCTTCACCAATGCATGCTGGCGCTTTTAGTCGTGCACGTGGTCGGAGTTCCATCAGTTCTGTAGTATCCACTGGTGAAGGCATCCTTGAGCCTTACCACAATCGGATAACCCCGGAAAACAGCGATACGGGATTGCTCAATTGTATCTTTGGAAGTAGCGCTTTTAGCTACAGAGGCTCTTCGACGAAAATGCACATCCTATCAACGGATTCTGAACCAGAAGGAACCACGGCGTTGTCACCCTCTCCTCGTGAAGTTGATACGCTAGTTGCTCGAAATGCTTCTCGCAATCCACTCGCACGGACTTATTCCACGGGAGCTCAGCCGAATGTGGGCTATTTTGTAGATCGACACCAGGACAACAAGTCATCTCGAGTTACTATTCTGATTACCAGAATGTTCAGCGTGAACCTACCAGAATCGAGGGACAGTTCCATCGAGTCCCCGGACGTTCCAAACTCATTGTCCATGGATGGCTTGGCGGACAACGGATTCCCGTTCCCGGATCTCAATAGACGTCGCAAAGCCAAGGAGAAGAAAACACCCATGTATGCGGTAGCCATCACCGTCCAAATTCCGTTGGCAGCGCGAAACAGTGCCCGACCGATGTCACGGCTCAGCACTCAAGTCTCCGACAGCCATAAACAAATGTCGTTCTCGTTGGACTCGGATCCACATTGGAGCAGTGCTTTCCTAGACGACAGACCTTCCCAGTATGCTAACCTAGATGACAGGCTTGACCTCCTAGTGGATCGCTGGGATGTGATTACCAGAACATTGACGTATCTGGAGAAGCTGGCTAGATATGAAATATTGATACTGCTGAAGAAAGTTGACGCCCAAGCAGCCAGTGCACCAAAGCCCATGAAGATGCCAAATATGCAGAGGACAAACCAGACGATCATTCAACTCCGACCAAATGTTCTTGCCCACAACAGTAAGCTCAAAGAAGAACTATTACTAAATGCCCAGAGAATCTCAGCAGCTCTGCGCATACCTCGTGTTGTTCTCGGACAGAGTCGATGGGGCGTATGGCGTGATGAGGCCCGTTGGATCGCGCGTCTTATGGCTGATAAGGAGCATGGATTGTTTTTCCTCGTCCTCATTACATCTTTCCTGGGGAACCATACAGAGTGGCTAAATACCCTTGGACCAGAGTGGTACCGCAGACGCCATCAAATGCAGCAGAAAGCACAGCAAGATTCTGAGCCGACGATCGCTAACCGCACTTTGATCATATCAGACAATAAAATGGTTGCAAGGCGTCTGATCTTTATTCTGTCTGCTTTTCTGCCTGCCAAAAACCGCCTTGACCATGTAAATTCACCCTTGCGTCCAGGAACATCAACCTCGACGCGGCCGCTTTCTCAGAGTCCTCCGTCTTTTCCTCTCCTGCGGCAAGAATCTCTTCGTCGTAGAATCAATCGGAAAGCACGCGCCCAGAGACTGAATGCCGAGGACTCTGATAGCCGACACCAGAGATCTGTCAGTGCTTCATCTAGCGAAACTACACACAGGGCCACTGAGGAATCGGACACTGCCCCTCAAGCTGAACCGGCATATTCACATAATCGAAGAGGCTCTGACGTCCGCTCTATCAGAACAGTTGGCTTACCGATAAATCCTAATGAAGCCCGCACGCGAGCTACGACGTCCACAACAACAGACGATTCGGCTGTTCCTGTTCCTTACTTCGCATCTCGTCAACAGTTTCCACATGACCAACCTAATTCAACAAGGATCGACGAGATCGACAGCTATGCTTCGGCGAAGCTCCTACAAAACTTGCGCCGAAGTGAAACCTCGAGCACCAATTCTGACGGAACAAATCCCGCAACTGGTACTAAATGGGTTGGTAATATCTTTTCCGGGCTTTGGCCCGGACGCACAGATTCCTTTGGTGACACCGAGGGAACGATCTCAACTCGGCGACGCTCCCTGGCACAGCAACCATCAGAACGTCGTCGTTCGGAAGCGCAAAGTGAACAGAGCAGTAAAAGCCGCTTGCCGTCGAACGCATCCGCAACAGATGTACCATCAAAATCCCTTTCGGCAACAGAAACCATTTCCATCCCAGGCTCATCAACAAGTGCAAGAGACTCACTCGATCAGAATGAACCAGAGATGGCCTCTAATGATCATGTAAAGGACTCACCCTTGAAACTCTCGGTTCAAGGCGATGACGGAATAGTCGATGTTGATCTTCCATTGCGTGGCTTTTTGTCTCTATCGTCATCCAATGATTCTACGATAGCATCCCCTAAGAAGGCACGAACTTCAATCACAAGCATGGATGCCGGAGGATCAATCCACAGCAGCTTCTCTAATATGAATTCTAACATTCGGGATGCGGATGGGCCGACATTGCACGTTGCGGGCTGGCTGAAGAACTTCCATGAGGATTTCCTGCTTCAGGCAGTGCGGCCGTATCACGGCATCGAGGCTGATGTTAAACGTGCGATGCTAGCTGAACCTCATTTACACGCATCTACTGCCAGCGTCGATGGTGAGAACACCAATAACAACGATCGATGGCTGGAGGTTGCTAGTACCCTCATTGCCGACACGCGTACATTTACAGTGAAACGACTGCGTCTTTTACGTAGAGGCATCGCTAATTATGCCACTACTCCTTCACCGCTTACGCCTCGGCAAGCGCCCGAAAATTCCTCCTCTGGTCATCTGGCCGGCTTTTTTTCTAACGGACGGCCACAGAAGAACTCAGCTGCAGCGTTTGTTGGTTTAGTTGACCCCTATGATACCGAGTACAAATTTATTGAAGAACCCGTCATGGATGTCGATGGAACACTGGTTGACGCAGTTGAACGAGTTTTGATACACAGCGGCCAGTCATCCTTGGCACACTCTAGGACTCCCTCACCGCATAGGAATTCACGCTTAGACGAGCGATCATCCGATGATACTGCCAGCGCTCATCATGCCCCTGCGCATATCCATGCCGTCGAAGTGCCCCGGAATGAGTGTCGTAAGACCGTGCTCGGCGCGCTTGAAGAAATTGCTCGAAGCGTAATGGAGACTCATTGTCGTGATGATGGTGATGTTGACTTTGTCGGCGGAGATTATTCAATAGACAAGGATGGGCGACGCCGCACTACCATAATCCAGGACAATACTCTGCGTGAGGGAGTTCGCAAATGGCTTCTCGATATTGAAGAGGCTTTATGAGAGTGAATGAGTCTGCCCAAAGCCTATCCGTCCTTTTCAATATTTTCTCATATGTACGACTCTTATTTTTCTATAATAACGGCCGTCATCTCTATGATACCCATCTGTTCGTTGTTTTATATGATGCTTTTTTCATATATTAAACCAACCTGTTAATTCCTATTCTTAATGTAATTCTACAAATTAATAAAAAACTTATTCTCGATTAGTTAGATAATCCCATTTTTCATTCTCTCCACGCGCGAGTCCAATTTCGTATGTACTAGGGCATGACCCCTAGGAACGACAATACCTGACTGACTGATGTCTATCAGGTTGTTTGCCCTCAAACGTCTTAGCACTTGCCCATCTATAGCATGCTCATTTATGATTAATCTGATCACAATTATCTGAATCTAAGTATCCACAGGCTAGGACGGTGTGCTAGGCGGCATTTCAAATAGAGTATGACAACAATACATGAAGTCACCCCAGTTACTGATAAAAACTTCTAAAAATTACCTTAATCGTGTGAAATCAGCTTGTCCCCTATGTCAAGGAAGGCTGAACCTGCGCATTCTGGAATTTTCTGTGGCATTAAACCTTAGTGAAGACATTCAATTCGTTGTGCGTTATATGTAGATAATCAAAGAAGGACTCACTGAATTCAATTTTACTCTTAAACTTCATGACTAAAAAGTCATACTCCATAAAGCTGAACAACATTTATACGCCATGAAGGTGATAATGGAAAATGTAGATGAATATTTGGAACCACCAATCAGCAGATATGGAGATACTGGCGCAGATTCTAGTCAGCTCTAACACCAGTCATCAAAGTATCACCAGTGGGTGCATTTTCGCAGCGCTCTGGGGCTGGGTCCCCTGAAGCACCTGGGGGTATGTCCTGGTTACTTGCCAACTTCATACCTCGCTGGCCCAACAGATCCGTTGAGGGTTCGCCAATGATATCGAGTGAAGCATTGGCACCGATAACAGTAGTTGCCTTTGGAGAAGACACAGAAGTTGGGGCCGAAGAACGAAATTCTTCTCCTGTGCGAGCATCGTCCTCGTCCTCCTTTTGTCGTTACCCACAGCTTCAAGTTCCGATACCGCGACCGTCATATCGGTTTTATCACGGGTCTGGGGCCTAGAGAGAGTTTCAAAAAGAAAGTCACGAAGTCTTCCGCTTAATGATATTCAGCAGGTACTCGAAAATTATCGTCATCGTCATCATTATCGTCGTAGACATCAGCAGTTCCATCTATAGCTGCGGCTTTTTGGAGACACCACTGCATTTTCATGATATCCCATTTTGGTAAGGGGTGAGTATTGGGATCTTCAGGTTTCATGACGATGCAATCTCCAGAGGAGATAGGCTTTCCTGTAGTGTGGTTCCATAGGCTAGCGATCTCTTCATTGCCATCAACCGTGGTGTCGATGTCGTCATCAGTGTCTGGATTAATAGCAGTAGATGCGGGTAAATTTTCTTGTTGCCAGTCTTGTTCTACGCAGTAAAGGTAGCTCTGACAAACATCAGTTGTTCTCATAGTCAATAAAAGACCTTCAAGACCTGGCATACGCGCAAATCTCTTGAAACTTTAAGAGGTATTCTTCCTAAGTCTCATCCTAGAATGGTTTCAACGAAATATTAACCATAAAGCCATCAAAAAGGCCCACCCTTAATGGGCTTTCTGGTAATTCTCATTTTATGCGTAAATTCTGTCTTGTAATCCGCTGTCAGGTTTGATGTTTAGTCCACGAAGCTAAGATTTCCAACCCGCTGGAAACGAACCCGCATCACTCGCTACAAATGAGAGATGAGGGCCACTCGTCATGGATCACATCAGTTTCGGGGTCTACCCTGTCGATCATCCGCATGTAGAGGTTAACTGTAGTCTGTGCTAGGAGCACCCTCACAGGCAGGACAGCGAATACGTGAAAGGAATCTTTGGAGTTGATTTCGCCTTGACCGCCAGAATTTTTGAATTCAGGTCGTCCCAAATTTGTCTCGCTTTTAGTCTCGAGACAAAGAAGTAGGCAGCTCGGGACATTCTAACCAGAATGCTCAATCAGTACGACCGTTGATTACCCGCGTTGTATTAGGGCTGTTTAGTTGCTTCATCTCAATTAAAGTTCCGGCATAGCCACCATGCAACTTCTTTGTTCTGGAAGACTTTGTGTGCTGCATCGATGTCCCATCTGTGGACTTGTACAGCACTGTTTCCGGGTTATCTTCGCTTGGTCATGGCATTTGACTGTTTGCAAAAAGGTCCTCCCCCGGGCAATTTTGCGTCTGGGTTGATCAATCAAATGTAAAATTTCTTGACTCCAGTTTGCTCCCAGTTAAGTGTTCTGATGCTGTGGCGAGCTGCTGAGAACGAAAGGTACAAACATTTTGGAAAATATTGAATATAACAGTGAGAGGAAAGTGCGTATCGTACTTATGATGCATAACAAGGTCTTTTTGATAGCTATCCGGAAGTTTGGAAGCTATGGAGCAAGACACTCCCTGGTTCAAAAGAGCTTAGTCCATGGCGGGTATCAGGAGCAAATTTGTGCGTGTTCGACTGGACTCGCTCGCGATCTCATCATCGTACGATAGAAGTGGAGGAGGTAGAGAAGAGGAAGGGAAGGAGGAAGGAATGGAGGTCAAGGTGAAAATTTGCTCCACGTGACCACAGGCAGCAGTGCTCCGCATTACCTTTTGTTCACAATTAGCTACGAGAGGAGCCGCGGTATCCATTTGGGAACCGCGTGGTAGTCTGTCCATTGTTACAAGGCGCTGATAATGACGAAAGGAGCTGAAATAGCTTTGACCCCAAAACATCGGGGCGCAGAATTGCTAAAGGCAAACCACAGGCTATATCCAATACGAGTTCCTTAGCCAATAACCTGAAAAATCGTGTTCCAAATTAGATAATGAAGGAAAATAATATTCTAGGGCTTGGAGGAGGATGACACAACATCAAAATAAGGTTATCTTGTACCATTCCCAAAGCGGCTCTCGGAGGGTCATGTGACCTACATAATTCGCGGCATGCGGCAAGCGGCAAGCGCGCGCTACCTTAATCTTACTACCCACCTTCGTTCAATATCAACCAACGATGGAAACCGAACAGCTGATTATCTATTCTCATCAATTAATGGCTTCTTATATGTGAGCGTAACATCACGCAAATAGCTTTTGGCCCGCAGCCGCCCCATGGCCTACAGAGTTTAGAGAATGTTACCGCGGCGTGCGCCTTCCAGAGGCTCTCATCTCCGCCAGGTCAGTGCCGCGAGCCTGGACAGCAACTCGCCCATTTCCTCACCACCGCCCCAAGAACCGTCAGCTGCCAATCTTAGGATAGACAGCCCTTTTTCTGCTGGGCCATGGCGTCAAATTTGTACCCTTTGGTTTCACGACGATAAATTTTCAAAGGATGAGGTCTTGTTCAACAATTCGGCATTCAGCGATTCTGGAATCAGCCCCGGCGATGTGCTCGAAGTTGTTGATTTGGACAGTACCTATGAGTTGGGCTCCAGGAAACTCAATGAGAGCAGTGCCCAAGGAGATGCCAAAACTCGCTCGAAATTTTCCTCGCCCGCTCAACACAGATGTCTCTTCGTAGTGAAACCAATGCCCCAAGATATCAAGCAACGAAATCCGAAATTAGAGCTCTCTATAAATCACCAGGTTGCCAAAACATTTGGCTTCAAGAACCTCAGTCAAGTTCTTATCTCGCATATTGATCGCTCGCAGTGCTCAGCGTCCCACGTTGACATCTCGTTCCGTGACGAGTATTTGGTACGGGCCGATATGTGGAGGTTGGTGACTTCTGAATTAGTCAATAAGACAGTCTATAAGGACCAAAAGATTGTCTTTATGGGAACTATTAAAGCAACGGTGAAGAATATCTTTATTGGAGGTAAAAAGGTCCTTTCAGGATATTTCGCCCCTAACACGATCCCTGTCTTTCGAAGTGAGGCGGCAAGATACGTCGTATTCATTCAAATGTCAAGGGAGATGTGGGACTTTGATGCGGAAGGTACTGGGGATATTCTGTTTAGCAGGGTTATCAATGGATTCTTGCCTGAACTCTTCAAGCGTTGGCAAAACATCGAGGCTCGGCACTTGGTTACTATCGTACTATTCACTCGTGTTGAGTATGATTTGACCCAGGAGAACGAAATGAAGTCGCTAAATGGCTTGTCCGCTGCCAACCATATTCCTAGTCAGGATTTTTATCGGGTCGTTGTCAATGATATTGCAAGCGGCCACTGGACCACAATACTGGATGAGCTCAAAACGAATTTCAGGACATTCCTGAGAGATGTCTCAATTCAAAGATTTGTTGAAACTGTTGCTCCCAATTCAGAAAAGAAGCCTCTCTCAATATCAGGTCGTCCTACGTCTGCTATTCGAGGAAACATGCTGGAGGCTATTCACTTGGCGACGTCATATCTATCTCTCGAGAATATTGATCGTGACTTGAACCGCACTGGTCATTCTATTGTCGTTATCACTCCGGGATCGGGGCTTTTTGAAGTTTCATATGAATCTTTGGCTGCCACCACTGATGCCGTCACGAACATGGGAATTGCCATTGACCTGGTCAGCCTGAGTCCTATGCCACTTCACTCAGTGCCCCTTTTTAAATACAGATCTCCCCATGGAAATTTAGGTGCATCTCGTTCTAGAAATGTACGAGGTATTGAACATCTAGAAGCTCAGCCATCTATGTCAAGTTTCAGCAGTAAATCGCCGACTGCCTCCCTTAGGGATTCAGAATTAAGTCCAGTCGCTCGCACCTTGTCATCACAGGATGCCCTACCAGCACACTCAAAGGAATGGCATTTTGGAATCCCGCATTGGTTGGATATTTCTTTTTGGAACCCAGCAACATATAAAGAGGGTCGCCGAATCACCAAAAATGACTTAAATGCCCCGATTCCATTCACGGTCAACAAAAGGTCCAAGACGTTTGTACCACGAGTGCGGCTGTATGAGATTCAAATGATGGGTATCATGGAAAGCGAACAATCAAATATATCAATTCCTTACCTTTCAGAAAAAGACTTTGGATTTCAAAGAGTCGAGAGTATTTCTTCGGGGGGCTATACAGGTGTCCCCACACCGAATTTTGCTAAACAGGCACATTCCACAAGCCCCTCGTACAGAGCTCAACTTAGCGACAGTTTAAGACCGGAGGCGTTCTTATCAAGCTTCTCAAGTGCGAAGATGTTGATGATGAATAGTCCAGCAAAACGCCAGAAGAAGTCTGAGAAATGGATGGATGAATATGACGAGAATGTGTTTCGGTCAGTTCCCAAAAAAGACCATGGTCGCAAGATTGTCAAATCTAAAAAAATACCGGAACCTGTAAGTTATGTGTCTCGTGCTCACGATCGTTCATCTGTACGATCCATTCTGAGTCCAAGAGACCGTGAGTCTCCCGAACTGGAACGGTCATACTCAACGCAATTAAGTCCTCGCAATAAAGATCCCGCAATATCACTCCAGCTTCCTCCTCGACCAAGGGACCAACCGCATATTAAACCAGCGATAAAAAGCAACAAAGCTCCTAGGATTTCAAGGACTATTAGCTTTGCTCTCCGGGGGCTCGGCATTGGCCCCCCACGTGCTCAGGCTAGCACTGGAGTCAATGCCGAGCACGCTCTGGGGCGGGCCACCCCAGCAAAAACATCTTCAACTGCCAGCATATCAGATCGTGAGAGCTCACCAAGACCTTCGTCATCGGCGCTAGATGATAGCTCTTCAACAATCAGCGTGGAATTATCTCAGGGTTCACTTACTCCTAGAAAGTCCGTGGAAACCTTGGAGTTGCCCCAACCCCTACCAATTGCTCAAGCGCGACCCATATCTATCAAAAGCATCAGCAAGAAATCGGTCGATGGATCGCATCATGATCAAAGTAATGCTGAAGCCCCATTACCTACAGCGGTAGAGATGATCATGGAAGCCGGTACGCATAGGGCTAGTCAAGGGCCATTTCCCATGAAGAGAACTGGTCCCAAAAGACCTGGCCCTAGATTTGAAATTACAAGATCTCATGACATGCCCACCAGTGTATCCCCGAATCGAACACTTGCTCCCTGGGTTAGATCCATTAACCCCTCAAATACACCGAAAGCAGCATTGAGGGATGCGAGCTGGTTTGGCCGCTGGCAGCACGCCTATCCTCGACCACCACGTGTCGCTCTTGTTAAATGGAAAAGTTTAAAAACCCCAGCAATTTTACCATTGACCACAGAGGAGTTTCCTTCCTCTAAGGAGCTTGCGGCAAACTATCTTCAAACACCATACCGAGTTTTTCCCAACGATGAAAACGATAGCAGTGACACACCCAGAACACAGGACGAGATACTACGTGATATGGTGGCTTTAAGGCTCTCCCATGGCTTCCAAATTGTTATCGGAAGCGCTGTGGCAGAAGCCACGGGGGAACCTTCCCTAGAATCACTAAATGTCTTTGATCCGAAACGGTTCGCTGAAGAAGATGTTACTGTCGTCCTTTCGAAAGGCAATGTTATTCACAGACTGTCTAGCGTCGCTGGCGGCGAGATTGAAGTCACGAGGTTTACGCGTCTTTCAAATGTTTCGGAACTCGAGAAGAGTGGCTCTCTTATTTATTCCCATGCGATTCGCTCAATTTTGGCCAAAAAATATGAGTTAACCCAAGTTAAACTTCTATCGTCGTTTGATGAATATAATTGGAATTATGCAGATAATTATATTGCTGGCCATAGAGATCACTTGACCGATCCAACGAGACAGCTTAGATTCTGGCGACTTCGATTTGTCTTCATTCCTTTGCATTTGCCGCCCAACGCAAGGCGCCACATGCAGCCATTTAATGAAGATAATGAGGAAGAAATCCATCTTCTCGGCATCAGCCAGTTGACTTCGTTATGGCAGCGTAACAAGTACGTACCAGCAGACGATAAACGCTTCCAATCTACGAGTCGGGCGCAAAAGGACCCAAACCCGCTAAATATTCTTTACCAAACCCAAAATCCGTCTGATCTAGTTGGGGCCGAACTTGCCAGACTTTTGCTCACTGACCCTGGGCTTGACAATGCGCCAACTCAGCTATTGCCCGAGTCAGAGCTGCTTGAACGGTCTGACTTTGGACCTGGTTCTCTGATGACTTTAGCTCATATCATGCAAGGCGAAACAGGAGTACGCTTGATGGATCGAAGGTGGCATTTCCGGCTTCATTATAGTTGCTTCATTGGATCCGAGTTTACAACGTGGCTAGTGCAGACATTCAGAGATATAGATAGTCGGGACGAAGCCATTAAATTCGGAAACGAACTTATGAAACTTGGACTATTTGTTCATGTGGAAAAGAGGCATAACTTTCGGGATGGTAACTACTTCTACCAGATTGCAACACAATACCGAGTTTCACGCCCCGAATCAAAGAGCGGATGGTTCCCTGGTCTTTCAGGGAAATCGGATTATTCCGTGCCTCCCACTCCATCTGGCGAGGTTACAAGGGAGCTACCAAGCGGTGAGGTGTCCAGGTCTGAGAGTTCAAATGAAACGGTGACATCTACGGTAAACACGCCATCAAAGGTCAAAAATAAAATGACCATCATGCTTTCCAAGTCACTGAAATACGACTTGGATCCTCGCAAGCGTTCCAGTCGCCCAGAAGTTATCGATCTGCATTACGATAGGCTCCATAACCCGGAAAACTGCTTTCATATAGAACTGAGCTGGATGAGTGCAACTGCTAAATTGGTCGATGACGCAGTAAATTCATGGGCATCAACAGCCGAAAGATACGGTTTAAAGTTGGTACAAGTACCAATTGCAGAAGCAGCAGGTACAGTCAAGACACAAACATTCAGGAAGCTTTACCGCATCAAATTGAGTGTTGAGCCGCCGCCTACGCCAAGTTATCTATCATTTGGAGCGACCAACTTTTCGCAACAAGGAAAATCGGACAAGCATTTCTACCAGAAAGCACTGCTTCGAAAGTTTGATTTCGTCCTAGACTTTGAGGCTGCATCTGCATTCTCACCTGATGTAGAGGTACTCTATTCGTGGGGTAAGCCAGACTACCAATATACACAGTACATCCATAGGACAGGATGTTTGCTTGCCCAGATATCAGATGAAGGAGATTTATTACTACTTGCAAATCGTCTAGTCAGCACCAAAAGCGCAGCTGGCCGAGACGCGGGTCACCACAAATTCGACCATCGGGCTAATGATTACCATCGTCCTCGTACCAATACATACACATACGATCCAATGTTTTCACCACGTCTGTCACCTCATGTCCGACCGACTGGAGAGCTCTCAACCTCCTCTTCTACCATTAACATTAACAACACCGTCGCCACGTCTTCTACTATCCCCTCGCTAACGATTAACCCTCCTGCCTCCTCCCCTTCCGGTATTTCTCCAACCTTAATCGACTCTGCGAATTTTTACAGAACGCCTGAAAATCTAAAATCCCAAATCGAAGAGTTCTGCCATGACCCTATCCGTCTGCAACAATTCTACGCCGAAGAGCACATACGTGCCTCTTCGACACGCATTGGACCAACGACGGTGCCGCTGCCTTCTTCTTCATCCATCACAAACCCGGCTTTGGAAGCTTCTATTCCATCATTGGAACTTCCTGCTAGTGTTTTGGGACATCACATTTCACCGCCAGCACAGTTGGAGACGCAGTCGTACATTGCTACAAACAGATCGTTCCTGGGCGGGAGTTTGACGGGGTCGCCGATGAAAGTAGCAGAGGATGCTGCCGTTGCAAAGAAAGAAGGGAAGGGCAAAGAGAGTCATTCGGAAGATAACGCATTCGGGGATGGCAGTCCAAACTAGAAAGCAAGTAGAAAGATATAGCATTCTGATTAATGAAGGCAATCCTCCGGCAGTGCTATTGCTCATGTCATAACACATCTCGATATCAAATAAAAAATAACCTGGTTTCTATGAACTATGGCTAGATATTGGCTTTTCCTAATTTCTTCTATTAAGCATTTTCAACGTATCCAGTAAATTCAAGCAATGAACTAGCTATGCAATCAATACCTCTCAGTGCCGCTCGATAATAGATTAAGGACCACTGCCCGGTGCTGGCTTCTTTGTCTTCGCACGACTTCCATTGACGAGTGCCTTTATGATATCCATTATCGATTTAGAGTATGGAACTGACATTGTGTAGTCAATGGTAACTGGAGTCATTATTTTGGAGGGCTTTGGTAGATTCCAGATCTTTGCGCCGTCAGCGTCGAGTGTATCCAGCGACAAGCATATTGCCGCTGGAAACTATGTCTTGCTGGTCAACGTAGAATACTCTGGAAACCTGTACTGGGACGACTTTCGCAGCCGGCAGTGTCTCTTGAACGCCGAGTTCAGCGTCTTCTGCCGAACGCCTTCTGGTCGGCGTGGCGAATGTGTTCAAAATTCGTCTTTTAGTGATATAAATCATAGCCTGTAGGCCATCAGAACTTCTAAGTTCCATCATCATTAAATACTCCTGAGGAGTAGAACCATAACCATTAGCGATATTCACTGGCAAGCATAAGCGGTACATCTTAGCAGTAATGACGATATCATACGTCGATATTCACGGGCTGCGTCTTTATCAACATCTGATGGAAGAGAATATGGATCTGTTGTAGCTGCTGAAAAAGGCCGACCGACCCGGCGTTGAGAAAGTAATAAGGGAATATGACCTAGTAGGCCACCAGGAAGGGAGCCCCTTAACCGGGTTTCTGGCAATGCTCATATCATGTTTATATTCCACTACCAAGAAGTTAGCCTGGCAGAATTGAAGACATATATCAAATCACTTAGGACATTGAAAGGGAGTCAAGATCCAGTCGTTGTTGCAGATATGAGGCAAAAGAAAACCTTTGCAAGAAAAGACTCACGAGGAGGGGAAGACAAAGGAAATGGACATTCGAGGCTAGCCCGGTTGGGCACCGCATAGTCTTCCTCGTTCTTCACCATGAAATATAGGCTGGCTTGAAGAGAGTACAGCGGTAGGGACACATATGGAGTTGCGGTGCTTAACGTATTATCAGTCAGAAGGCCCTACGCCCTCGATTGGCGATGGTATCATCTTCACTAGTAAACAATCAAGACAAGAGGATGGAAGTCTGTAGTTGGTGTTTATTACGTAGCACGAATTGAGATTTTCTACTTTTCTTATAACATCCTCCAAGCCTGGTTTGCAAGTTTGATGTCCAAGACACCAGCTAGTAAGCAATGCATGCCCTCAATGAGACAGTCGATACTCGAATCTAGTGTTGAGAGAGAGAGAGAGAGAGAGAGAGAGAGAAAACTCTCGTTGCGTCAAGTTCCTCGTCTCACATTTCTTTTTAGTTGCGTGAAGACGCCCCTTGAAGTCATCCATGCGTACTGGTGGTGGCTCATCTCACTTCCAACTTTCATCCTCATTGTTTTTGCTTCCTCTCATCTCTTCCAACGTCTTCCCCTCTTGTCTCCTCCTAACGTATCTTTCTTCTATCTCTTCAACACATCTCTTCACTACTCTTCTGTTGCATCCGCTATCAAATCACGTTACTTCCCAGGCCCTTCATGATGAAGGCCTACGAAAAAGACATCTCGCGTAATGCGGCCCTTTACATCGCTCATCATGTCTTCCTGCCCCCAAAGCTCCCAGGGAGCGACGATTACAGCCCCGAGTGTGAGAGGATTCTTATAGAGATGCTATGCGAATCTCTGTCTCGATTCAAGTCGTTCATGACGGACGATCAGCACAATACCATCGACTCGGCAGCCTCCATGTTGGACATGGTAAAGCAAGTACACGATTCTTTTGGGCATATCGATGAAGCAAAGCTTGGATCGGCTCTAGAGGAGCTCTGTGCGCAAGGTGAGCTGTTGACTGAACGGTTAATTGCTTATCATCTACTAATATTACCAAGGGGGTTCACTTCCAGTCCATGCACAGGCCCAAAATGCCGGACTCATCTTCACAAACGCAGGCGACGGTTTTGTTGTTGTGGAAGTCTTTGAGCTTCTGCCCAGGAACGGATTCGTCATTCAGACTCTGGGGAGACTGAGGCGTAGCTTCCCTGGAAGAGCCATCAAGATCCCACTAGAAAAGTTCGCAGGCTCAGAATTCCTCCAGACAGCGGCATACTCGCTGGCCAAAATGAGCCACCAACGTGTCGCCGACACAAAACCCATTGTGAAAAAGGCCCACCAAAAACATGACGAGGAGAGGGATGCTACTCATCCCAAGATCATCACCGAACTGCTTTTCGCTTTCTTACAACCTCTTGGACAATCCGTCGAAGTCCCGTGCATCTAGAAAAACACTCGCGAGGAAGTTATGCATTCAGGGGGCCACCTTCCCTGGCACAGATCGCCCTTTTGGCTGTTTCTACGTGTTTCCTTGCAGCTTCTCTTCAGTCGAAACCAAGATCAGGACGGACCTGATATTTACAAAAGTTTCATGGTGTTCTTCACTGCGTGCTTGCTGAAGCGCACCCAGGGGAAGCTTCCCACAGACTTGGTGCATGCGATGCAATTGAAGATTTCTCGCCGTCTACTAAAGCTAGAGCTGGTCAATGAGGAACAATGGTTGAAAGACGTGCAAGATATAATGTCTCAAACCGCCAACAATCTCCAAAGCCAATGGAGCAAGATTCTTACGCAAGATAGCCCCCAAAAGACAGTTGCATCTCTGGAAACGATCGATTTTAGAGAAAATATCTACAGCAAACTTCCAGAGCTTGATAATTTCATCAAATCGATAGGCGCGAGGACAAGCACTCATACGTCCACCGACATCAACCCGAGGTCCTATTCCTATGAACTAAAGAATGACGAGCTTCCGACCCTTACTCACACATCCTCTGCTTCAATTGACATCGCCCACCAGCTTTGTGCAATTGAGATGTGGGTGGCCACGAACTTGGGCGCATGGTTACAATGCCATCTCGAACAGCCTGACACTTGTCGCGATTTGGATAGTCTCATCAGCTCATACTACAAGGTCGCATCCTCATGCTATTCAGAAAACCCTGAGGCTACCTCAGAGATGTTTCTGACGATTCTCGAGCTCTGGGTTGCGCTCGACAAATCGGCTCTTTGCCTATACCCTATTCTCTCTGAGTATGACGTTGGTTTACCGGGAGCCCTTTTTGACTCTTTGCTGCTCACCTCAAAAACTCAAATGGTGAGACTTCAAAGTGCACAAGTCTATCTATCTTCGAGGCTCCGCGAAACCACATACCAATCACCAGCCATTTTCTGCGATTACGGTGGCGATGAATCCTTCGCTGTGAGGTACTTTGAAGTATCAGACAACCATCAAAATCTTCGAACCGCAATCGAAGTGGAAGCCGAAAAGGATCGAGAAAAGAAAGTCGCGGAACTAGTGATGCTCAAGAGGGAGTACTCTGAGTTGATGCGGCTGTGCGACGAGAGCAAATGCAGGTACAGAACAGTATACACCAAACGGGGCCTTGCCCGTCAGAGGCACGTCAATCCCTGCGAGAAATGCAGATACAAAAAGGAGGCTGATGAAATAACGATTGGCATCCACGAATGGCCGCTCTGCAACTCCGAATTGAAAGCGAAAGCCACGGTTTTTGAAACACAAGTTCCGTCTTCTTTCGGTTTCTGGCGTAAAACAACTCTTTATGTTCTTTTCGACGTATTCGGCGCAAAATACACCAAGGAAATAAAGCCCATGAATCTCTACCACCTCAAGCACTACGGGTGCCTAGCGACTCATTTTCAGGCTTATGACAATGATATTCGGGTTGGCCTGGCTTCTAATGCGAAACCGCATAACAATACGCATTATAGCGACAAGAACATCAGTATGGTGGCAGAGGAAGATATATTGTTGAACAATGGGAATCGATATCAATACTATGACTACGTCAAACAGACTTTCATCGGTCATTTTGAGTTTACAGATAAGCTGAAAGATCTATGCACCTACAAATTGCCCTTGCAATCCGTATCTTTGCAGAAATTCCTTTCGCGTCCACCACCGAATGAAGTCATTTCATCTCAGTCGGAATGCCCCAGTCACTTTGCCTTGGAGGAATACAGATCCTTAGTTAGTATTCCTCTTGGTTATCGAATTCAATGGCAAAACATTCTCTTGCAGCTAGCAATGCCGGCCGTTGATTACAGGAAACAGGAAACGACACTTGTGATATTTCAAGCAATTCATCAAGCTGGCCCTATGTTAGGGGATAATGTCTTGAGACAAGGTCATCTCCTTATTGGTGACAATATGTTCGCAGACATGCTTCTGAGCAATTTGGAGGACGCCACAGAGCGTCTCAAAGGAAATTGGGAGTCTTACAACGGTTTCTGGGTCTTCACCACCTTGACTGCAAAGGTATTATATCTATCACCATCAGAGCCTATACATCAGAAATGCCTGCAACTACTGGGTACGCTTCGAAGGATTTCCTTCAAATGGGTTATGTACCTAAGAAGGAGGGCTGATGAATCCACAAACAATGAGCACAAAAATGTTTTGATTGACATGGCTTACCGTATGGCCTTGATTTGTGTTACCTCATTCGACTGCGCCAAAGAGTATTTAAATACTCTACTGGAGGATCCTGCAAATGCGAAAATATACCTTCAGTGTGCTATGTTCATGCAGGAAAGAACCAGTATCAATTATCGCGAGACCAACGACATTCTTGTACGCCTACTTGAGCACCGATGGAAAAGGCTATGTCACCGTAGTGCATCAATACTGCTCGCGAGCATCATAACAAACAATTGCACGTCGCTCAACGATGCCATCAGCGAATCCTGGCCAGCATATCGAGGCGGATTTACTTGGGTGAACTCCGAATCCTCACTCTGTTGGCTGAAGTCTCAATGCAACGATGACCAGACGGTTCATTTCAATCTTATTACGGGGGAGCTCTTGATGAACGGTTCGCCAGTGGGCCATCTGCCAAATGAATACAGATCACATGAAATCTATCTTGCCTTGTTTGGTGATGCTCCATTAGAGGTGATGCTTAGTTCTGAGCAGGGAATGCGTTTTGTTGGAAAGGCTAAGCATTCAGGGCGTACAGTGCATTTGAGAATGGAAGCCTCGGACCTCTTTGTGCGACTGGTTAATAATCATGGTACATTCGAGCTTATACCTCGCCGAAAACTTGCGGGGAAGTTTCCGGTCACATACGTTGAGAGGTTTGTGCATTGGTATAACATTGACGAAGGTTACGTTATATTCTGTCCAGCAAAATCTCCATGGAGTTTTGCACCAAACTCGTGGAAGTTGATGGGATATCAAGGGAGATGGAAATTAACAAATGGTTCTTGCTCGTTGCTACGCTTTGATAGCCCAGGCAATAGAATCATATCGAGCGTTTTATCATCTTTGGAAAACACCTCATACATACATTGCACGATTCGACACGATTCCTCCATGCTCGAAATCGAGTTGCCATCCATAGACCTTCAGTTTTATGTCCACCCAGGAGAGCAAGTCATTTACGCACGTCAGTATCCGGGTATGGTAATTGACGATAACCAGTCACTGGGAACTCTGGTTGGTCTGCGTAGCAGGCTTCTTTTAACAAATCAAAAAGGAAGTCGTCTGTTAATCGTGCCGGAAGGGGACGTGACGTGGGAGGCCTATCAAGGTCACATCAATGTGTATGTTGACAAACGATCAATGATCAGGAGTCACTCATACCTAGTTGATGACCAATTACGCCGACTGGTTGATAATGGAAGCTTACAGAGCAAGCTTTTTCTCTGCTACCTGCACGCTCTAACATCGTTCTGCTTACCGGATCCTTTTACTATGAGGACAGGTACAGAGCAAGCATTGTCGATTCTTAACTCTGCCGCTGTTAAGTCTTTCGATCGATTGACGCAGGAGAATGTCGACCTTCTTTGCCGTATTTCCCGGATGAGTCCTGGGAGGAGGTATTATCCACCATATCTACGTGAAATGCAGGTTGTTACTTGGGACAAAGAGATGAGCTTCCTGTCACAGCATGGTTGTTTCATGAAATACGTCAAAGCCATATTTGCTCACGACAAAAGAATGAAAATCTTTCATGAAGATAAATATGTTCCTCCTCAGAGTATAAATTATGCCGAGGATGAACTAGTGGGACGCGATTGCATTCGGTCTGCAGCATTACGAGTTTCTGGATTTGGTGCCGAGGATCACACTATTTCGAAAGACAGGGAATATACACCTAGAGACCGAGGGGATTTCTCGTCCTATGGCTGTCGCACTTTCAGGATTGCAAATTTCATCTACCAAGGCCACACAACCTTGGAATATGAGTTACCGTCGGATCCTCAGGAGCATCTATGGGAATTTCTTTGCAACGCCTCTGAAACCACTCATGGTCCAGCAAAACAGCTCGATCCCTTGGACTTGAGATACGATGGAGAATTAATTATATCTCCTTCAGCATCTGTATCAAAATTCTGGTGCAGTTTCTACACCTCTCTTACACGGAAGCGAGCAGAATTGAATAAGTTTCATGTGATGCTGTGGCTCGCCTCAATGGCGTTCTCCGAAAAGGCCGATATAAACGTACTCCAGATAATGAGTGCATTTTACACTTTACCTTCTCAAGACTTTCCTGAGGCCCCTCTCAAATCCACCTTCGACCTCTCCAAAGGATTTGCAGTGAGCGATGCGGAACTACGTCGCAATATGCAACAGTCAGTGCGATCCATTAGTTACTGTGAGGAATCAAATCTACCAAGGGGGTCAGAGGAAAGTGCTTGGGGGTATGAAAACAGAAAATTTACTGCATATAAAGACAATCGCGACAAGGCATTGAATGAATCCGTCAGATTTCTGCGCTCTGAATTGGCCCTGCGAATCGCCCACAATCCCTGAGAGTCATGAAGGCGGGAAAATAGAGCCTTACATAAATGTTGACTGCGCAACAAAAAATGTCGGTGCGATGTTTTATGTGTGGTATTCTAATCATCTATTCCGACAATATCTAAAGCAAATTTGCGATACAATACAACGACAACCGGTAGCTTATACCGAGATGCCCTTAACCCCTGAAATCACATCAGAATGGAATTTACATCGGAAGCCAGGATTTGTGTCTTTGAATGATATCTTCTCCTTTCCGCCGCTACCTCAATTTTTTGATAATTTTTCTTCGTTGGGTGAGATTTCGCTATTACCCACCGTCGATGAAGCTGATGCTGAACCATTGCGCCTCTTAGACCAACTTCTGCGGAGCATGATAGCTGGGTGCAACCCCGGGTATGAAGAGGTGTATCTCAGTAGGCTACAGGAAAGCCTTTCATCATTACAAGGGAGAACTATCAAATGGGGAGTCTTGACCCCAGAAAGCACCAAAAAGCGAGTTCTCCGCGAACACCTTGAATGCTCTCAAGGGAGGGTACGAATCTCATATGAAGTTATGCGGTCTTCTGTCTTACCTTCTACTACAATGCAGCAGCCAGGTCGAACTCAGTGGTCTAGAGCTTTTCTCATAGCATCCTCTGTTGGTCAATGGCCCAGGATAACGCCAACGATGTTTTTACAGCAGCTTACCATGTCGAAATGGCACCAATTAAGTGATGAATGGAAGAACTCCATCGTCTCTTACGGAATAGCTCTAACTGGACTTCAGCGTGCAGTGAGGTTACTCAGCTTAACCGGCAAAGAAGATGATTTAATCAAGGAATTGCAAAACGTCGGTCATGAAAATTGGGATCCTCGACAGTATCCCGAGTCACTGCTGTTAGAAATCGAAAATGGTATTATGGTACGGCTTGTTCAGCAACAAATAATCAAGGAGATTATCGACTTACCGAAGGGCTGCAACAAAGTAATGCAGCTGAATATGGGAGAGGGGAAGTCTTCTGTGATTGTGCCTATACTGGCTTCAATCCTGGCAGATCCCTCTTCTTTGGTTCGCGTTATTGTTGCAAAGCCTCAAGCTAGGCAAATGCATCATGTCTTGGTCGCCAAGTTAGCGGGGCTGCTTAATAGACGAGTTTATCACATGCCATTTTTTCGCGGAATCAATCCCTCTGAATATGATGCTGAGCAGATTGGTTCCATGTGTCGTGAATGCGTGGCAAATGGAGGAGTACTACTAGTGCAACCTGAGCAGTTACTGTCATTCAAGCTGATGGGAATCGAAGCACTGATTGCGGATAAGCATGCTCTTGGACATTCTTTACTCAAAACACAACATTTCTTTGACAAAACCTCTAGAGACGTTGTCGATGAGAGTGACGAGAACTTTAGCACCAAGTTCGAGCTAGTATATGCGATGGGATCCCAGCAGTCAATTGAGCTTAGTCCCGAGCGGTGGTTGTTCATTCCACACTTACTCGGCCTTGTTGGAAAACTTGCTTCTGAGGTGAAAAGTGATCTCTCCCATGCTATTGAAGTGTGGCAGTCTAGGCCGGGAGCCTTTCCAAGGACTAGACTCCTTCGACCTGAAGCTCGGAGAGAGCTCCTTGAAAGAATTTCTAGACACATCTGCGACGCGGAGTATGTGATTCCTGGTCTTTCTATTCACCGGCAATCAACCGAGATTAGACAGGCAACCTCAAGGTATATTCTCGAACGTGAGCCTTCTACGCAGGATATCTCTCTAATCCAGGATAATGCCTCTAAAATATGGACTGGTACGACAAGAAAACTGTTACTTCTTTTGCGTGGTCTTTTGGCTGGGGGAGTTCTTCCGTTTGCATTGGAAAAGCGTTGGAGAGTTGCTTATGGGCTCGATCTGAAAAGAACGCCTCCAACGAAACTTGCAGTACCATACAGAGGAAAGGACTGCCCGACTGCGCGATCTGAGTTCAGCGACCCCGACACGGTCATTTTATTAACCTGCTTAAGTTATTATTATGGAGGACTGAACGATGATGACCTCTTCCTAGCTTTCGGTCATGTCGTCAAATCCGATCAAGCTGATGTCGAATATCAACTCTGGGTTGAAGACGCACCGCAACTGGATCATCAATTCCGACAACTGGGAGGTGTGAGTCTTGAGGACAAGCTCTTTTGTGTGGAGCATGTTTTTCCATCATTACGTTATTCAAAGCGCGCCATAGATTATTTTTTAACCCACATAGTCTTCATTAAAGAGATGAAGGAGTTTCCACAGAAGCTTTCTGCTTCCGGATGGGACATTGGGGAGATCAAGACGTTCCCTACTGCAGGCTTTAGCGGTACTAATGATTCTCGAGAGACTCTACCCCTTTCAGTAGATCAGCTTGATCTACCCGAGCAGATGCATACAAATGCCCTCGTGCTTGGATACCTCCTACAGACTGAAAACTCAGTTGCGATTGTGAACCCGGAAGACACCCGAATTTCTGGTGTTCGTAGCATACTCTCGATGGTAAACAGCATGGACCAGCCTACACAAGTTATCCTGGATGTGGGAGCACAGATCCTCGAATCGAACTTTAAGGTGGCCAAGGAATGGCTGGAAATGACGCCAGAATCTCGGTGTCGGGCGATTGTCTTTCTCGATGATAATGATGAGATTGTTGTCCTTGATCGAAAGGGCTGGGTGGAGCCTTTGCATATCTCGCCTTTCGCCAAACAAATGGAAGCCTGCTATGTATATCTCGACGAATGTCATACCAGAGGCACCGATCTCCGTCTACCTAAAGATTATCGAGCGGCAGTGACTCTGGGCGCAAATCTTACTAAAGACAAATTGGTCCAAGGTATGGATTTATAGATGCTTTGTCGAGCGTTGCAGTTATAGTTAGTTACTAACTTCTGCAGCTTGCATGAGAATGCGAAAACTAGGACAAGGCCAATCAGTGGTTTTCCTCATTCCCGAGGAGATAGAACTCAAGATCCGTTCCTGTGTGTCCAAGGAAGAAAACCAGAGCCTTGAGGTTTCTGATGTATTGCAGTGGGCTATATCGGAGACCATGATCGACACCTCCCATAATATAGCTCTCTGGGCTGTTCAAGGTGCTAGATATCAACGCCAGAGTTGTATTTGGCAGCACTACGGAGGCCGAGCGAAAATGGCCGTTAATAGAGCCAAAGAGTTGCTAGAAGATGACGCTGCAACATTGGAGCAGCGATATAGCCCGGGGGTTCGCACCGAGCTTCCTTTACTGGAAGATCAATACCTCAAGTATCCGCACATGCAAGAAATTATCCAGCGGTGTCGCCAATTCAAGAACCTGGATGTCGTTAATGCCAGTCTGTACGAAGAACAAGAGCGTGAACTGGCACTTGAACAAGAACGAGAGCGTGAGGTTCAGCGACCTCGCTCATACGATCCAGTACAACACACGCTTCACACAGAAGTTGTCAATTTCGTGGATACAGGCGAACTCAATCGAGAGTCTCCTGCCTTTATGCCTGCTTTCAAAGCATTATACGATACCACAGCTGCAAAGCATTTGGATTTGTCGAAATTTCCGCATAACCATCTAATGGTGACTAACGATTTTATGCGGATTGTGCAGTATCCAAAGGACAAATCCAAATTTGTCTCTGATTTATACCAACGCCAGGTGCAGTGGATATTAACAAGTCCCAATTGTGACGAAATGGTGATTATCAGTCCATTTGAGGCCGATCAACTTCTCCCCGCCATTCTACAATCGGGAAAAACCACTTTGCACCTATACTCACCGCGTGTCACGCTGTCATACCAGTCTCTTGGGCATCTGTCTCTCTATAATTCACCTGTGCACTCCCTACTTCCATTAATCCCTCGCCACTTGATCACTCAGCTCAATCTATTTGCCGGTCAAGTCTACCTATCTTCTCAGATGGAATACCTCGAGGTTTGCAACTTCCTCAATCTTGCATCGAGGACGACTCCAGATGGCTGGGCTGTTGGGGCAGATGGTTTTATCATTAGCCGCGGTGGCCATGGTGGTGGAAGTGCAGGTCTGGCGGCATTGAGGGCCTTCCAGACAAGTCCGGTGAAGTTTTTCAAGATTCTTATGACCCAAATCCGTCGCCACTGCGAGAATTACGACAAAACACATATGGGAAAAATTTTGAATGGAGATCTGTTGCACGCTGAGGACTTTTCTGAATAGCACGTTTGGATGTTTAGAGGGAAATAATTGGCTACTGTGATGCTCAGGCTCGAAACTCCTGAGTTCAAAATGACAGTCACATTTGATGCGCAGGAGTAGGGCTCTTTGTGATAAGGATTGGATTCTTGAACTTATTGTTCCTATACTTATCACAGATTGTGGAAGACAGATTCTTAGAATAGATAGCAATTGACGTGCTGAGCCAAGACAGTTTTGGGCCATGCCATCTTCATATCGTAATCAGTCATTAGTTAGATGTAGAAGCGTTAGTACTTCTCTAAAAGAGATTCTGTCCGTGGCGATATTTACGAATTATGATGTCAAGTTCCAATCTCTTCCCTGATCGAGCGTCGCCGAGAAGCCCTAAGCCGTTAGTAAAAGCTTACATACGTGGACAGCTGAACGCAACCATTCTAGAGCGAACACGACTGTAAGTAACACGAGGAAGAGCTGTAGTTAGTGTAGGAAAGTTCTAGACGTAGTAGCTCATGTCGTATCAATGTTAGGCTCCTACCTAAGCGCCTGGTTTGCCCATCTGCCTTACCAGAACAAGCTTCCGGACTTGAGAGTTGACGCTATGTAAGACATCACATGTACTCCGTAAGAGCAGTTATGCATGCAACTCCTAGTCGTACATATTGCAGTGCATTGCAGACATACAGCATGTGATATGCCTTGAATGCGGCTATGGCCATCGGCATGTGCCGGCTAGAAGCAAGAGAAGCTTAGCTAAATAGGGGTCGTATTGTGAGACAAAAGTAAAACACATCTGCCTCGAAATAATACTTATACGCGCGGAGATAGATGGTTTCAGATGTGGCTATGAAATGTCTCCAAGCCACGCGTAGCCTCAGGCATACACAATGAAATCTAGCCGCTGTGGAAGTTGTGGAGCAGAGCAGGCCAATAAGCATGCCCCATCAGATCTTCTGTGGGGGACCCAATTTGATCGTCCGTGCGCCCTCATTATACTTGCCAGATCAAGACTAGCGCAGTCCTCCGTCAAATTTCCAATTGCCGACCCAACATCATGACACTGATGACTGACGGCTTTGCTGAAACCACGTCAGCAACGAGCTCATGTCAGAGTTTTACTCTTTGTAGTATTGCCCTACTGCCTCACATCGGGCTGATTCTGCTAGTTGAATGCGCTCGTCTTTCTTTGTCCTTTTTTCTTTTTTTTTTTTCTTCTTCTCGTATGTTGTACGAATATTAAGCCACACTCGGTGTGTAATAATGAGGTAAGGCGAATTTCGCGGTTTTGCGCTGCTTCGCAGGCAAAAAACGCGTAATTAACAGTGTTGATACTGCAGACCATCTCCGGCCCGCTACTCAATGCCAAGACTCTTGGCAGGCCCGGCCAATCAGATAAGATCCGCAGCGCTCGACGTGGCTGTGCAAGGGTTTCATAATACGTTTTTCCTGTTTGTTTTAGTGACGAAGAACGAAGAGTGCATTATTCCCATCCCTTTTTTTGCAGTCACTCGTTTATCCACGGTAGCACCACCGCAAAGCTCCCCCCCCGGCCCGCCGAACCTCGCTTTCCAACTATTGTCTGTCGTTAGATCGCGCGCTTCACAATCGGCCGTTGCGTGTATACGAGGTAGCTGGCTACTTATTATCCATTCCATGCCATATTCCTGGTCAATGCCCAACTTGATCACACACACGCCTCGTGAAACATTTATCCCGCGTCTATTCCCAGAACATTGCAGACACCAAGCTAGAGCCAAGGTCTCGGCACTCTGTTATGCGTAAGTTGTTTTCTTGGATTTTTTTACGATGCCAGCGAGAAAAGACAGAGAAAATGATAGCGAGATGGCGCCATATCTATTAGATGGTATACTAAAAAAAACCTGCGCTGATTTGCGTGTGCAGATAAAATTCGGTCCTATGCGCGGCGGTCTGCGTGGTACGATGAGGATGGAGAGGCAAGCCACAACCCCTTCAAGAAAGCCCGGGTGAATAAACGCCGCTCGACAAACACCTCAAGACAACTAGAGGACGGCATACTGCATCGCAGTACAGAAGGTAGTATTCAAACATCGACGGAGCGCCGGCGCCTCAACGACCTGAGTCATGGCCTCCAAGCAGGAGATCGTGCTGACACCTGGCCCACTACATCAGCGCCGCTGCCTTCTTCTTCCCAAACCCAGGAAGGAAGCATACAGGAAAAGCACGCCCTAGAACCCGCGGGCAGCCAAGATCCGATCAATGTCTCGCGCGGCATCGACGGCGACAATAGTGAAGATGGAGCAACCAGACGCCGGAAGCAAACCTCTACTTCTCTAACTGATCGAGACGACTTGACCACGACGAAGAGCGTGGATTCCGGCAAGAGCGAAAAGCCTGTGTTTACAGTGGGCAGTCAGCTACGAGCGACCATTCTTAATTCATGGATCAATGTGCTGCTGGTCTGCGTTCCTGTTGGAAGTACGTCTTACCTTTTTTTAAGACCGATACTTAAATACAAACTACGTACTAACTAGGCACAGTTGCTCTCAATTATACCAACGTGAGCAGAACGGCTGTTTTTGTCGTTAACTTCATTGCCATCATGTAAGTTATAAAAGAACATGCCAACCATTTGAGATTCCCAGACTGAGACTAACTTTGATAGCCCGCTGGCCGCGATGTTGAGTTATGCGACGGAAGAGATTGCGCTTCGGTGAGCAGTCTATAGAGTAGACTTGATTATCATAGAGCGTCGTACTAACAAATGTGCTTAGAACTGGAGAAACGCTCGGTGGTCTTTTGAATGCCACTTTTGGCAATGCGGTCGAGTTGATCGTTGCCATCATAGCACTCGTTCAGGGAGAAGTGACTATTGTGCAGACTTCCTTGATTGGAAGTATGCTGTCCAACTTGCTCTTGGTCATGGGCATGTGCTTCTTCTTTGGCGGCCTCAACCGTATTGAGCAGAAGTTCAATGAAGTCGTTGCGCAGACTGCTGCCAGTCTTCTAGCGCTTGCAGTGTCTAGTTTGATCATCCCCACAGCATTCAAGAAATGGGCTGCCGGTGAGATTGATATTCATCGTTGGTGAATAGGATTGTGTATTCTGACTAAAGTTGGCATTTAGGTGGTGCTCAGCATACTGATGAGCTTTCACGCGGTAAGTTAAGACGGAGTCAACGAAATATTTCAAACACTAATAGTTATCTAACAGGAACTTCCGTCATTTTACTCGTGGTGTATGGCGCCTATCTCTTTTTCCAGCTCAAATCACACGCGGAAATATACAACAAACCCAGCGAGAAAACCGAGAAGAGAAACAAAGGTCGCGCCAAGGGCGACACTATCAAGGGCATGGTTGCAATAGGCAACCTTGGCGCCAGCATGGCCAGTGATTCAGCCAAACGCGATCTCGACACGCGGGCAAGCGAGGAGGACGAGGAAGAAGACAAAGAGGTGCCACAGCTTCATTTCTACGTGGCTGTCCTTACGCTCGTTATATCGACGGTGTTTGTGGCTCTCTGCGCCGAATTCATGGTCGACGCCATTGACGCGGTGACGTCGGGTAATAGCGGGATTTCAGAAACATTTGTCGGACTGATATTGCTGCCCATTGTCGGAAACGCAGCCGAGCACGCTACCGCAGTGACATGCGCGGTGAAGGATAAGATGGATCTCGCTATTGGAGTTGCAGTGGGTTCGAGTATGCAGATCGCGCTGTTGGTGCTTCCTTTGATTGTTGTCATTGGGTGGATTATGGGCAACGACAACATGGTATGTGTGGTTGCTGTTGATTCGATCATCCGTCAGGGATCTTCGCTAACGAAATGCTTTCCTCTTGCAGACTTTGGACTTTGGCGACGGCTTTCAAGTCGTAGTTCTATTCGTGGCCGTTCTGCTGGTCAATTATCTGATTGCTGATGGCAAATCTCACTGGCTCGAGGGCGTCTTGCTCATGACATTATACATCATCATAGCCATTGCAGCATGGTTCTATGACTGATGACATTCTTTAACCCCCCCCCCCTTTTTTTTTTTTTTTTTTCGTTTTACAGAATTTATATTCGGGTGGGTTATCTGCTTCTTTCTCGAAATATCCGTCAGTTTATTGATATAGACCTGTCTCTGTCATTGTTGGTCGCAAGGGATGTCCTAAGACGGAGTTCAAAATGCCTGATTTCTACTTTTGATTGATTATCCTTTTTCATTTCAATTTCTTGTTGTATTATCACTTGGCTAGTCAGCTTTCACTTTTTTTTTCTCTCGTTTCCGTTGTCATTCTACAATATTTGATCCCACTGGTTTATGCCACTGAGTGGAATCAACCGCAGATGCTTTCTTTAGCGTCCTATTGGCGCATAATATATTCTTCGACGAGCCTAGGTTAACAGACACACGGACAACACGTGATTCTAATAGACCGCCACTTCGCATCCAGAGGATCCAGCAAACTACGCCCGGAGTACATATGGCTAGACTACATCTCGCCTCGGACAAACAGACAAACAAGGAACTGCGTGTCCACCCAATAGCCTATCAGCAGTCAAACTTCCCACACCGTCACAGGAAGTTGCGGGGTAAAACGAACTGCACACACTAAGCATTGGTCTGGGATGCTAACAAGTACGTACTAGTCGCAGAAGACAAAGCAATTGACCCGGTGGTCGCTCTGGGAGTCTTGAAGCGTACTTGATACGTAATGAGAATATGGTAATATTAAAAATTCTATTGGACGGTGGATTGATTCAATATAAAATTCATCGCTCTGGCTAGATGCGTTGCGGGGTTGCCTTTTAGGGTAAATACGGAGGACTACTCGGCCCGTCCGTCGGCTGACGCTCCAGTTCTCGACGAGGGCGGGCGGTATGTCGTTTTCTGTCATGTGCATATACATATCAATATAGCATATAGGAATATATATTTGTTTGAGCGGCAATCCGGCAAGCATGGGATTCAATGTGCCCCCAAAAGAGAATTTGTTGATGTAACCAAAGTAGGCGTAGACTGGCCGGGACCTAATTAAAATAAATTACATGCTTGTGTGCCTGGGCGTAACTTGTAACCGCAAATACGCACTAGCCCCAAAGTGGCGGACTGTGGGGGAGAGCCCCACGGGATCCGCTCTTTCTGGTCTTGTCCGGAGAAGTGCTTAGCCTTGCGCGAAGTACCAAGTAAGTCCCAAGTGCCTGCCCAAGTACAACAGCCGCACTGATCGGAAGGATTTCTCTACTGGATGGTCGCACGGAGCAGGTTACACTCTCTTCATATTGCCTGTTCCCGTTCCACAGGCCTTCGCATCTGTCTGCCTGTCTGCCTGCCGCATAGCTGAGTTTTGCCGAGTTGGTCGTGGTTACGCAGGCATTGCTTCGTTTACTGTCCTCTGCGATATGGCGTATAGTCGTAGCAGGGGAACTGTGTATATCATAGGATTTGGGGAGGGAGGAAAACCCGGAGATGAGGCCGTCCGTCACGGTGGGCCCGATTCTGGGGAGTACGGGCGGTATGGTACTGTACATTACGGATGGAGTTTGCGGGCTGACTCGCGTGCCCAGTCAGTCTCGGTTTCTGCTCGGGACGTTGCCGATGCAATCCTACCTCGTTATATTAACAGATTAACATCCCTACCCTAGGTCATCGGTGTCCGGGCTGTGGTCGGATAGTGGCGTGGCCAGCCTGCATTTATCCGTCCTCCGCGGCTATCATGAATGCACTTATAGTACAGCAGCTATACGCGGAGTACTTGCTGGCATCCTACAGAAGCGGCAAATGCCACAACGATCCGCAGCGACTCCAAAAAAGACTCTCGGCTATCATAATCCAGCAGGATCCAGTGCCGCCGAATCCCGGGAGCCGAGAGGGCAACAAAGTCGGAGAAATACCCTGGTGTCTGTGGAGACTGTAAGCATTAAGCACGTACAGTAATGGTACGGTATGTGCGGAGTACGGTATTGTCACTCGGGCATATCTCCGCGCAGGCAATACGGCCCATGCAAGGAAACCCGGGGAACCCACCTGCCCCCGTGGACTAAACAAAAACCCAGCGTTGCTCCCCAGACTGCCTGCACGCCGGCCTTTCTTGCTTCTCTGCTCGCTTTCCTGCTCTTCCACCACCAACCACCACCACCCCCTAAGAAGTACCTGCGCAACCACGGCTTTTCACATGACACCCTCGGGCTTCAAGCTTCGATTCCTCCCCCTAGTGACTACGTGACCGTGGATGTCTCGCTGTGCCAAAAAACGAAAGCAACAACTCCCCAAGCCCTCCTGAAATGCGCTCCAGCATAGCCTGCTCGCGGTGCCGCCGGAGCAAGATCAAATGCGTCAATGCCGGCATCGACACCACCTGTCGCGCCTGCGAAGCCTCTGGTAGAGAGTGCGTCTATCCTGCTCCTGCCGCCGGTGGAGGCGCCGCCAAACGCGACATCGCCGCCACGCTCGACGGCGACGATCGAAATGCCGCCGACTGGGACAATCCGAAGAGACAACGGTCGAGGAAGGCCATGGCCGCCGCCGCTGCTGCCGCCAAGGACGGTGCGAAAGGTCTGCTGGATGTCCTCGACTCGTCCGTCTTGTCCCCTAAAGTCTGGGAGGCCCTCTCCAAGTCCTTCCAGACGCAGTTCGCAACCATTCTGCCCTTCATTGACTCCACCACACTGAAGAACCAGGCCGGTCAGTTCTCTGCGTCCCAGGCAAATAACAACCCACAGAGTCCCCCTCCGCGATCTCAATTGTCGCCCTTGATTTTGCTCGGTGTCTTGACCTTAACTGCGCGTTTTCATCCTCAGCTAGTAGTCCATCATGCTCCAGCCTCCGCAGGTAACCCTTCCAATCCTTCCGCGGCATCCGAGTTTTATGCCTCTGCACTACGCGCCCGTCTCAATGGGCCTGATGGCTTGGGTCTCGTTACCCCAGATCTAGTCCATGTACAGGCACTGTTGATGCTGGCTCTGCATGAATGGGGCATGTGTCGCGGCAAGAGTGCCTGGCTTTATGTCGGTATTGCAATCCGCCTTGCTCAGGCCATGGGTTTGTCATATGAACTAGAAAACGACCCTTTTTCTGCTACTGCCTCCAGCCGGTTCTCAGCCATGAAACTGGAAGCCGACCATTACGGGATAGTCCAACGTCAGAAAGAACAGCCAGAACAAAGCTCAGACGACGTTATTATTCAAGAGACCAAACGGAGGACCTTCTGGGCTTGTTTTATCATGGATCGATGTCTCAGCAGCGGCAAACACCGGCCTCGAATGGTAAAAGTTCGGGATCTAGACATCCAGCTACCGAGTGATGATGCATTTGCATTTGGAGAACGCGTGCGCACGTCAAAATTGTCCGACAGCCCATCCCGGCGTGCCTCCAGCTTCGATGGTCCTGGCGTGCAGATTCCAAGCCTGCGGCAGAGTATGCCTTACGGCGAGGAGAACCTGCGTAATGGCTCGACAGACTCGAAAGGCTGGTCACCAGTAGCTAAACGCATTGATTCAGTGATGGATCATGATATTGACCGCTGGGAAGTGGGCGCGCAGGAGTCTCTTTTGAGTCGTGTCATTCGGGTCATCCGAATTTGGGGCAGTATCGCCAAATGGGCATGCGCTGGAGGTAGACGGTAAGCATTCTCCTTTTCCGTTGCAAGCGAAGTGAGAAGAAAAAGTTGCTAAGAATATACTAGGAATGAGTCATACGGTCCATGGCAACCCGAGTCAAGCTTTGCGAAGCTGAGAGTAAAACTTGCAGAATTTCAGGAAAACCTACCCAGAAAACTCCAATACTCGCAGCGAAGCACGGACGGACACAGTCAGAATGAGCACTCTCTGTCAGCCTACATGGTCATGCATGTAGTCTATTTCCTGTCACTGATCGTTTTGCATCGCGCATATTTGCCCTTCCTGCCTCTGCGCTGCAGTGAGCCCGTCGGTCCCCTGGACGAGCCCGCGTTCCCCCGGGAGCAGTACGCCGTGCCGGACGGCTTCTGGCGCGACAGCACCAGGGAGCTCTTCCGAGCTGCCAGGAGCATGATGGATCTAGTGATAGCTTGCCAAGAAAGAGGCGTTCTCGTCGAGACCCCACTCGTTGGATTCGCCATCTACAATGCAGCTTTCGTAGGACTCTATGCAGCACATTTCAGTTACATGGATGTCGATGGCTATCTATCCTCTAGACAATTATTGTCGCCTCCGTCGACGGGCAGTGGAATCAGCCAGCCGCAGCTGCAAACGCGGAAATCGCTTGACATATTACGTGACATGCGGCTGCGCTTGGGCCTTGCAACTGGCTGGTTCCGCACGCTAAATCGACTGCATAGCTATTTTGTGAAGGTCAAAAAGGATTACAAATATCGCTCGCGCAGCACTGACAGTGCCGATGGTCTCATAGTCTTGCGGCCGGTGCGAGAGGTCGGTCCTAGCGGGGGGTTGGATGAGTTCAAACTTCTGGAAAAGGTATTCCTCGAATTCGGAAATGTCGATGATCAGATACCAGAAGCAGGCCTGGACGAAGACGGCGTTGGAACGGTGACAGCACTTTCAGATCGGGGAGGGCTTTCTCTGAGCGAAACCGCCAGTAACGCCGTCAAGAGCGAGTCAGGCGATTCGATGATGGACGGCATTATGCAGCAAAAACGTGATCCCTGGGTGCCAGTCAACAGCTCCAAAAATCTCCCGCCTCCACCACCTCTTACTCCCTCGACTTCTGAAGCAGACCTCCCAAGATCAGAGATGGATCGTCGGCCCAGTCTTCCTCTACCATCTCGACCGCTACCGCCAAGTCAATCATCTACTTCCCAGTATTCCTTCCCATCGATACAACAGCACCACAATTCGATCTCTGCCTCAACCGCCTCACCCAGTCTACCTCCCTTAACCGCAGCAGTATCGGGCAACCAACAGCCATCGTCGTCTCAATACGCCGCAAATCCCACCCACCGATTACAGCCAATCAATTCATGGGTATCTCATCAACAGGGGCATCCGCCACCTCCTTATTCACAGTCCTTACCGCCCATCAACGCCACCCCTAGCGCAAACACTACTACCCTTCTATCCTACCCACCACCAATGCTCCCACTACCAGGTGCAGCTCTGGGCCCAAACCCAGGTTCTGCTCCTGGTCCCGGCTATGCTCCAACCCCAACATCCATGACAGACTACTCCTATCCGGTATTATGGTCTACCAGTCTCGGCGGCGACGACGTGGTTGCATTTCTCGCCGACGGCAGTTTTGAGCAAGGTCAGCCCATTCCAAGCTCCGAGGTCGGTTATTCGACTGGATGGCTGAGTGCGGTTTGGAACGAGCTTCCCTCCTAACTCGCCTATCCCATGATATTGATCAATTCTCTTGTATTATTACTATCGACATGTTCCTCCCCCTCTTTTCTCTTTGCTTTGTACTTTTCACCGGAGGCCTTCTCAGGTAGTTGGTTATATCTACTGGTTGGATTTGATGTATCGGAATGAAATATGAGACGGAAATGGAATGGATGAGATTTACCACACCCTCTCTCTATTTTCTCGATCTCTCTTAAGCCTATCTGTTGTTTTTGTTCACATACCATTGATGCCCATCAGTCCTGCGAACTTTGTTTATTCTGGCGCAAATGAGCTTAATTGATTAACGAGTTTATGACCATCTGCTTTCTTCTTCCTTTTTCAGTTTTCAATGGGTTTCTTTGGCTGTATATCTATGTCATGTATGATATGATTTTATATGATATGTGATAAGTGATATGATAGCAACGAACATACATACATACATACATCGATACGTTTCTCTCTATTCTCGCCTTGGTTCCAAGAGTCAATCAATGATTTGGTTTGTTTCATGATACTTTCTCCTACCTAGGCTGTCTCATAAGAGAACGTGGGTGGTTGATTTGTGGATTAGTATGCGCGGCACGCCACTTTATGCAGCACTCGAATAAGCAAGTGAACGTATGAATATACGTATTATGATAACACTTAGTTAAAAAATAGATATTTTCCTCAAATCTCGCACCCTGTTACCTAGCTAGCTGTGTCAGCCGTCTGCTACACAAGTGCTACCTCACTTATTCCATCTCAACGACCTAAATTCCGATCAATCTCTTCCCAATAGTTCTATTCTTGTAAGTATGAATGAATGTACGTAGTAGGTGTATAAGCATCCGGGAATATTAATCGTATTTCTTTTCCTATCCTCTTCCTTTTCGTTCACGTTCACATTGAATCAATATAATCCAATCCAACAACTAAACAACATATCATATGTACATATACATCATGTCGTGTCATGTCATGTCATGCCATATCCATGCATCATCATCATAATAATACACACAATAGATCCCTCCTTTCCATGCTTTCATGTGGATCAAATTCCTTCTTTCCTCCCAATTGACAACAAATGCCGGCGCTTTCTTCTTCTTTCATTCAAACCTCATTATTCCCCTCCGCTGCTGGTAAGATATCAGGGAATACAAATTTCACCAAGGTGGAAGGCCAAAAAAAAACAATTAAATAAAGTAAAGGGGAACAAAAAATAAAAGGTATCCAATATATAGGGCCAAAAAGAAGACAGAACCTGTGGAAAGAGATAATAAAGGCATGAAAAAAATATTCGACGCTCGTCCATTTTTTTGTTCGTCATTTTCGTTTGTGTATACAGATGCAAGAGGGGAACAAAATTACAGATATGAACAGTCGTGGCTGTACTCAAAAAGAAAAAAAGAAAGAAAATAGTTGGGAATAACAAAGAATAATAGATAATAACAGCAGCGGAGAAAAGGGCCGTACAGAATCAAGCAAGTGACTAAACAAAAGTGCCGGAAGGGGAAAAAGAGAGTAAACTCAACATGAAAAATGGAGATCATAAGATGCTTGTTGTGGTAATATCATGTATTGAAAAGGAAGAAAAAAGAAGAGGACAGGGGAAACGGTTAATACGTAGATGTTCTTTTCCTTGTTTATAGACTAACTCGCCAATCTAGCGAAATTAGCGAAATTGTCCTGGACCTCCACCAAGCATTGCTCCTCGACCATCCCCGCCGTTGGCATGCGCAAGCATCTCCAGAAGATGTCTAGAAGATGGCGGGTGTCCCGATGAACCCCCTGCAGCACCACTAAAGCCGCCGTTTTGCCCACCACTAGCGTTGAGCATAACCTCCGGATTAAGGTGCCCCGGCATAAAATTGCCAGATGGGGGCGGAGGTCCATTCATGTTCATATAGCCTGGAGGAGGTAACATGCCTGGGGGGAGACTGAAATTGCCTCCGGAAACATTACCACGTAGGAATGCCGGGTTTTCGCTTGGTGGTGGCATATTAAGCCCCGGAACTGACAGCGGATTTGTCAAAAACCCCGGATTCATGCCCTTATTCGGATTCGGAATACCAGGCGGAGGTCCTAATGCTCCTCCCAATCCTCCTTGTTGAGGTGGTATTTGTCCTGGCCATCCCGGATGAGATGCAGGCACATGTGCGAATCCTGGAGGACGTTGAATGTTCATGTGGGAATGGGGTACCTGAGGGTCCCTCCCTGCACCCGCGACACCGGGAGTGGTATGGCCTGCTGCTTGGGATGTCCCCGGGAATGGCGGCATCTCGTCGAAATACCGCATCTGCAAAGGTCCGTTGACCGGTGGTTTTCTCACCTGTTGGCCTTTCAGTTCAGAGTCTGGTCGCTGCATGTTGGCAATTGCAGGGTCGTCCAAAAATGCCTGGTTTCTCGGTACTTTCTGCATGCCTGGTGGCCGTGACAACAGGTCGGGGACGTTTAGAATACCAGGAGTGTGACCACCTTGTGATAACTGAGTTGGCGGTGGCGGCGCATTTCCATGTTGCGGTAATGTCGGAGAAGACATATTCACTTGCTGCATGAGACGAAGGAGGTGTTCACGATCCTGAAATTGTGCCTGCGGCTCCCGAGAGGGCAATAGAGTCTCCATTCCAGGCGGAGGATGATGCATAGCGCGGGAAGTTACATTTTCTTGGGCAGCTGCCATCATTTCATCTTGCCGATTCATCGGGTTCCTGCTTGGGGATGGTAAGCCGGGAGGTGGTGGTGTTGGACGATGATCCTGCTCGTTCGAAATATACGACGGTGGACGAGGCTGCCGAGTAATGTCCACTTGAGGAGTTGTGTTGCGGGATTTACTGCCTCCGAGCATCTGAAGAATACGCTGAAAGCCTTCCTGGTCAGCATCGGTAGATGCCGGGCGACCAGGTTGAACCAAAGCTTGCACTGGTTCGGTTCCTTTGACAGAAGTATCTGGTGGGGGACTGAATAGTCCCGCGAATCTAGATGACTTCGATGCCTTTGCCGAACCCGGATCCCTCTTGATCGATTCGGGGGGTGCTAATGTAGTGGCAGCATCAGATACCGTCTGTTTGCTCTCGCCAAGTAGTCCAAAAAACCTGTCGAAGCCGGCATCAATTGGTAGGTGGCTTTTACTCGATGCAAACAGCTCCCCATCCAAATGGTTCGTTTCTACTTTTTGATCATCCGGGCTGGCCTGCCCAGGTATAGCCTCGGTCCTTTCATCGGCTTGCACTGGAGCTGTAGAGCCTGCCTTCATTCTCTCTTTCCAGCGTTGGAAATCTTCTTGTGTATGAGTCTGCTTAGGTTCATCATGATCTGTCGAATCCATCCACTCAGGATCTTGCTCCATCCTGGTACCTCGATTCCAATCACGGTCGGGCAGCTGTCTTTCACGTCGCCATTCCCGACTTCGCATAAAAGGTTTTTCTTCTTCGAGCTCGGCACTTTCACCACCCATGGTCTCGTCTCGAAACCAACTTTGTTCATGCCTACCTCTGGGAGGTGCATCCCTCTTAACAAAGCGCCCTTCTTTATCGAATCGGCCATCTTTGTCTTTCAGACTTCGGTTAAACCCACTTTCATCTAATTTGTCTCGTGCTTCCCATCTACTCGTGTCACCGTTGCGTTTCGCTCGCTGATCAGTCTCGTTTGGTCCGAATGTACGGCGTTGTCGTCCCAAATTCCAGTCCTCACGGTCATTTCGACGGCCATTGGCGTCCCCGGATTTTCCTTCTCGCTTTTCCAAGTCCCGATCCGATCCTTCTCTATCCTTAATAAATCTGTCTCGGAAATTGAAGCGATCGGCCTTCTTTTCTTCAATATCATTATAACGCGACGGCCGTTCCGTGGTATCATAGGAGCCCTTGCCATGAATTCGCGAAGCAGAGGCGAATGCTGTCCTGGGAGGTCCTAAAACAATGTCCTCTAGAAAGCGCACAGAATATTAGTTACCAATGACAGGACAAAGAGAAAACCAAAACCAAAACCAAACCAGAACAGAACAAAAGTGTTGGAATCTGCAAACAGACCTGAATTCGAATTCCTTGAGATATGCCGTGGTTCGAATAAACTTGGTCTACGAGGCGTTGTGGTACTATCGGCTTGGTTTTGGTCTCGGTGATTCTGCTTTCGTGCCGTCGGATCTGGGATCGGTCTATAGTATCAATCATCTAATTAGTTCTGCTGTTCAATAGCCTGACCGAGTCTGACATCTGTGTGTATGTGGTATCTATCTTACCCCATCCATTCTTCAAGCGGTGGTAATTTATCGGGCCTTATGACTAGCGGAGAATCGCGAAGCCACAAAAGCTCCTCGATTTCATAACGGCGCGCCATGAGTAAGGCGCCAAAAAGCGTGGATTTGTGAATGTCGTTTGATTATATTTCAGGACTGGGCATAGTTAAAGGTGGCAAGTCGGATACTAGAAGTTCTGGATATCAACAATGCTTGAAGGGAGCGGAGTTCCTCATTCATTCATCCATTCACTCATGCAGGTCACAATTGGATCATGAGATTGGGTCGTCTGAACTGCTCCAAGAAGTAGAGGCAGGGTTCAAGGCCTGAAATATCGAGGTTTGGTAGGTGGTCAATGCACGCTGAGCGAGGAGAGGTGTTCGAGTCGGAAAAGTGAGGTGGCAATGAAGAGTCAGTAGCGAGAAAAATAAGATACGTGGCGCATGTACGTTAGAACGTATAGTTTAGAAGTTGGATTTGGTGTGAAAGAAAACCCAGTCTGGTCAAGAGAGAGAGGGAGCGATGGAAAGAGAAGGTGATAAAGTTGAGGAAAGTAGCGGGCGCAAAAGAGGCAGACCGCCTGCCCTGCAGGGTCTCTGCCGTCGGCTACGGTGGAGCGGTGCGGTGCCCAAACGGGAAGTCTTTCTTTCTCTTCTTTCTCCTTGTTCTTTTTAACACTGTCACGGCATAACTTCTTCGCCGTGTTCTACTTCGAAGATGCCACACTGATATCTAAAATAGTTTATTGATTTATAACCAGATCTAAAGACACTGTGTCCTGCTATTGACGGAAATCAAGGAGACATATCGTACAGCATCGACGCAATCTGCCGAGCAGAAGCTCTACATGCTGACTGCTTCCTTGATAGTTGCAGATGCCCAATGGCCGCTCCACTTGTCCACTCTGTCGCGATCGCTCGATTCATAAATAGCCTGCTCTAGCTCCCTTAAAAGACCCATCGTGTACGTGTCAGAAGAAGCTGCTACGCAACTCTGAATCCAGCTCAGAGCCCCGGCGCGCGTTATCAAAGTTGTACCACCGTGAATCTGTGTAGCATTGAAAACGAGGTGCAGAATTGTCTTTTTCATTGCTGCGTTCACTGTCGGAGCCTTGTATAGCAACAAAATATGCTCGAACACATTTGCACGGCGATAGATGTCTAGATCCTGTCGCATGAATCAGTACGGCGGTGCGGTAGATTACATATTCCATCACATCGCAATCACTTACCTGTGAACTTTGCAGCCCCCTGACAAGCATGTCCAATAGCCATTTCACTTCTTCGTGGTGTCCCTCGTCGTCTTCGGGCTGATGCAATAAGATGTGGTCAATCCAATATGATGGAATTTTGTCTACCTCCCAAGACGGCCGTCTCTGAAGATATCTGTTAACCTTTCCATACATCTTGTGGAGCGGATCGTTAAGGACCATTAAGCAGCTGACGCTGCACTGTCCAACAACAAATGGCAGACTGGACTCAAAGCCCAGCTGGTTTACGGTCTCACGTAGCTCTCCGAGAAGAAGATAGACCGATCTCCATTCAGCATAGTTTGATTCCTAACATAGTCATTAGTATTTAGTCTTTAGTTCTGTATATATCGTACCTTCAGTTTCGCCATGAGACGTGTGACAGCCGCAAATGCTTGACGCCTAATCTCTTCGTGCTCGGAACACAGACACAGCATGAGATCGCTGATTCGACCTTGCTCAATTGCAATATCTATTTCTTCCTTTTCCCATTTATACAATCCCGCATGGTCTTTACTTTCAGAGGGAAGTGGGCCAAACACGTCCAATAGCCCAACCGAAGTAGTATGTTTAGAGGGAGCACTTGATTTGGATCGGCCGTCAGGATCAACGGTTTCTGGGCTCTTGTCATTGTCCTTCTCACTGCCCTTGAGCGATTTCTTGAAAATAGACTTCGTCTTCTTGCTCTGCGAGAGCTCATAGAGGCTGTCCCGTACATTCTTGAGTGCCTTCTTGTCCTCTCCTGCCAATTTCAACAGTTTTAGTAGAGACGCTATCCAAGACGCCACAGCCTGTTCTTTTTCCGTGTCGTCGGTTTTTAAAACAAATGGCCATTGTTCAAGAATGCCGGCGACCAAAAGACTCAAAGCTGCTTCGCTGTCATTAAGTAGCGATGAAGCGAGGTCTTCGTAGTGAACAGGCTTTTTTGCGATACGACATAGGCAATTGTCTAAAAACGATAGCTGTAGAAGCAAATCCTGTTGTCCTGAGTCTTTCAGGCTAGCAATCAAAGCATCAAACGGGCCATTCGATGCTGACAAGATTCCTTGCTCCACCAGCACACTTTCGAGCAGCTCACACAATTGTTTAGCGTCATCTCTCCCAATCGCTACTTTCAAGATAGAAGTAAAAGCAGACAACTGGAGCGAGGCTTAAGAAAAGTTAATAATCCTGGTGTATCAAGTTCATGGCACGAAACTTACCTGGCTGTTGCCACCAACGCATAGACGCTGACCGATGTGCAATATGTAAAGTATTCTGCAGAAGACCAATGGCTGCTTCCAAATCCTCATTTGAAAGACTGGAATCGTCCAATAATTCAAGAACCTTCACCATGATGAGAGTAACATCAAAGTTTTCCTCAGCGGCGATTGACGGAATCACATCATGGAACACAGCTAGCAATTCCATGACAGCTCCCTGCTGATGAATATCTTCAGGCACGGTGCGTTTGAACGTAAGTATAATATCCTTCATCGAAGGACAACGGTTGACGAACTCCATGACTAACTTTGATGCTGCTTGTTCCCAAAACGGCTGGTAGCGGCCATGATCGCTATTGAATTCCTTTAAGACAGTTTGCAATTTCCGGAAGGTAGCCGTGAGAATTCGGATGGCGAATAGCGTGACAATCGAATCGCTAGTTTGATTTAGACATCTGGTCAAATTTTTAGAGTTGAGAGGGCGCGGTAAAATATTCTCAATGACGATTGAAACTGGGGGAGGCAGCGTGGCTATTTCTTCCCTCGATCCAAATCTGGCAGGAACGGCACTTTGAACAGTAGAAAATAAAAATGCGGATTCTCCTAGCCATGTGGATGTCGCTTTGGGCTCTGCGGTAAACATTATTCGTTTCGTAAAGAAGTCTGCAACGAGTTCCGGCGCAGCCTTGAATATTTCGAGCAAAAGTTCCATTTGCAACGTATCAGATTCCGGACGCAATACCTGGGTGAAAGCTGACAAGGTGCCATTGCGTACTGGAATGCTTTCCCTGTACTTGTCCTGATACAAAGGGGCATCCAGTCCTAGATCAATGTACTCCTCATCTTCAGTCAGCGGAAAGTTCGCGTCACCTCCAGGAGGATACCAGCCATTCTGCGGGAGAAGAACACCCATTTCGGGGACTATGCAGATCTGCAATAGAATTTTGTGTATCTCAGCCGGAACGGAGATCTCTGACTCTACGTCTTCGTTGTCTTTATCGTATCCGTAGAGGGTAACCAATCGCTCCAGGTTCCACTTGTTGAAGAATCGTGACTTTGTGACCCGAGGAAGAGACGTATCATGCGCAATGTCTCGATCAATTGCTTTGATAATATCGGTTACAAGGTCCCGAGGATCGCGACGAATAAACTCAAGGAAAGCTCTGATGACCTTATGCTGTTCAATGAAGTCAATCTTTGCCGGGCCCTGCAAAAACCGTATGTTGGCCAACACATATCGTTGTGCATTCCTCCGAAGAGTGGATTTCTTGCTAGAATCTGCCGATGATTCGAGCTGGGTCTTGCTAGGAGTGAGGAAGTGTTCCAATCGTTTAAAGGTAGTCTCTCGGTTCAAATAGACCAGTCGAGAGACTGCGCCGCCATCAAAGCTGACGACCTCGGTAAGTAGACGAATGCATGGCGATATCAGGTGCTCCTTGGCCTTTGGGGCAGTCAAATTTCGATTGATTAAACGTAGTTGGTCCTTCTGCAGTAAGCTCTTGCACAGACTAACGCCGAAATCTCTGAACTCGAGTCTAGTGGAGATGGTCTTCAGAAGCTGGGCTAGTACTGAAGGCGCAATCACAAGAATATTCTCGTGATTAGTGCTTTCTGCGAAATTCCAGGTCTGGAGTAGATCTGCCAGGCATACTCCATCCTCGACTCTTGAGATCTGCGAGTCGCAAAATGACTTCAGGATTTGAAATTTCTTCTCTTTCTCATCTTCCACATTTGATTGACTGATAGAGGAGAGAAAGTCCTTAAATGCATTAAGGCCTTCATTTTTGTTAGACACTTAGCAGAAATATAGGAAAGAAAATGGTAACCCACCTCGAAGAGCATCAAGTTTGGCATCCTGCCTGAAGTACAGCAGATCGTTCAAATCCTTATGAGAAGATATTTCGACCCCGCCATTGCTAGGAGCGGCGGTTTCTGTAGATATTCTGCGCCGCTTATGCCGGTGCTCTTGAGAGAATTCCGACGCCATGTTTATGCGTGCGAGTATAAGGATGGAGTTGAGGTTGAGCAAGGAAAGGAAAGCGCCAAACATAAAATTATTTTAGACTAGGACTTCTTTTGCGTTGATTGGCTCGGGATTAGTTTAGAGCCCCGCCGGTAATGCTCCACTTGGCCTTTCCCGTTGAGGCTAGTGAATTATTAGTAATACTAAAGCTGTTTAACCCGCTACGTATTAGTTAGCTTTTGCTATATCAGAAAGAATACATCGCCTTCATTATTATATGTGATTAATTACTTACTACCTACGAGGGACAGACAGCAACAGAGTCAAAGTCGGGTACCGGGAGACTCCATGCTCTGAGTCTGAACCTTTGCGTCGTAAACAATTTGGATCACTCGAAGTCAACAGCCGTTAAACAGGCACGTAGAAGCTGAGATGATTCCGCAATGTAAGAGGGTTGTTGATGCCGATTATGGTCGGATACAGCTTACAGGACAACCTTTCCCTTAGCTTTACCAGTCTCCTTCATTTTAAATTGCTGTGAAAGGATGGAGAGGCGGTAAGCAATTTTTGGCTTTACGAAGCATGCGTTTAGCTCCCTCAAACCACCGCTCCAACATTCTGAGATCATTCTTTTTGTACACCTTGGCCATGTAAGTAGGCAAGCCTTTCCGTCGAGTAGGTAGCTGTATCTGTTAGTCGGGGACATGGCTATCTAATCGCTTGTCCCCCGATGCATCAACCATTCTTGTTTCGTAGAATCTGACTCGTAACTGGATTGCACTCTAGCTTGATGAACTGAAGGCCCCATGCGCGGCTCGGATCGGCCAGGTATCCTTCCTATGCTTGCATTACTCTGAATACCGACGAATTTCGTTTATAACTTCCCATTGGCTGGACAACGCCTTTTCGATGGATTTTTGAAGAAGGCGGATCTTTTTGTCTTCTGTTAGTGCGAATTTTGGTGTATCAAAATGTTTTTTGCAATACTTGGTGTTGGGCCATTTATTAAGTTCGTGTTCATGTTTTCGCGCGGATGCAGGGTCTCTAAATGTATTCTCGCACCCAGTCGTCGGCTGTCTGTTAGGCTGGGTCTGACAACAGGAAATGAAGTTGATGGAAGATGCACTTGCAATGGTTCTGGTGAGTAACTTGAAGGATGGGACTGATACGTCTGGCACAATAGTCCAAACTGCTGTCGGCATTCATACAGAGTTCGACCTAGGCTGGTGTAAGCATCAAAGCATAGAACCAATGATTATAATAGCAGGTTGTCCTGGAACCACAGGCACTAGTGGTGGCGGTTATTATTATAGCTTAGGGAAGTGAATTTTTTCCCTAGTCCGGTTGAATGAGTTTGTATATAGTTCGAGGATAGCAACGCACGATGAGAGGATCTTTGGAAACGCCTATATGACATTGTCATGCTTTGATTTTATGTGATGTTCAAATGGCGTCTTTGTTAATATCACCATAAACCATCTCTTCAGAGACATAGTGCTGGTCAGCCGGTACATTGTATAATATAAATCAAACGACTGACCTTGACTTTCTCCTCGATGTGACCCATCGTGGCTGTCTTGTTTATTACAGCTGAATGATAAAGAACTGCAGGAAAGATTGATAGGTATCAATGAACCAATGCGCGTTGATACTTGCTCCCTGGTACGGCGAAGTTTTGCGGGTGTGGCTATGGCTGCGAGAGGAGAAGAGGGAGGGCATGATTGATATATATGAATAAGTTTGTTTGTTTGCGGGAAAAGCCTGTGGAGGAAGTATAGAAGAATGAAAGGGTCTTGTGTAACACCCAGGGAAAAATAGCCCCAACAAGTCCAATCCTTTCTTCGGTGAACTAGGTTATCGCTCCCTCGCAGTGGAATGGCTTAGCGCTAAAGATGGAGCTGCTTAGAGTCGCAATGAGGGTAGGGCGAACCCTAACCAGTTGCCCTACTTCAAAACGAAAACAGAATCAGCCAATCATGTAGCATATTTATACACCTCCGATTAAAGCTCTAGCACCTGCAATCGCCAATATCGACATTTTAAGATTTCTCGGCTTACTCTAGCGTACATTTCTATGATAAAAAGGAGAATTCATAGCTAGGAACAAGTAAACAGCAATATTTTCGTATATGCTGCAAGTAAAATGTTCGGGAGATGTTGGCAAGCTAATGTACAAGAGCCACGTCTAACCCCATGTGCCTCCACCACCTCCACGACCCTGTTTTCTTTGGCTCGAAAGTCGCCAATCATCTGGAGCAGCGAACCGATTATGTAGTGGTTGAATTCGCTCTGCCTTTTTGCGCTTAGACAGACCCGCTGCCACTTTGAAGAATGTTGGTGCTGCTTCAACAAGCCACTATAGAGAAATGTAAGTTAGCATTCACCAAGAAGAAGTGATTTCTAGATATTGTGCATTAAAAACATACCTTTGGATCAATGGCGGACGTGCAGTGCATGTATTCGCGGGTCGTATTTATCAACGTGAAGTAGATAACATGCTCAGCCGGTTTACCAAACAATGCCGAATTTGGATGCAAATATACCGGGGTCCCTTCAACTAGAGTCTTATACCCTTCTTGATCCTTTCTTGCGGCGTTACGGAAAAAACCTGCGCAGAGGGCTTTCCGGACTTGGACCGTGTTGCGCCCACAAGACACGAGGCGATGATGATGGCGATCCATGATTTGAATCAGTTGTTTTCGTACATCTTGCACTCGACGCATCTGTCTTGCTTGAATATAGTTCTCAAAGCACCAAGCATTATTGAAGTTAGATTGTTTCCAAGCATTGTAGACATTCAGTAATGTAAGATGATCGCCGTGAGGATCATGGAACTTGGCTTTCTTTTGGTCCGCCTGTTGTTGCTTCTCCTTTGGCCGATAGAAGACTGTTTGAGCACCAGAGAGCATGGCTACAATGGATAGCATTTCCTCTGAGCACCCCATTTCCGCGCTGGTGATGAGAGCCTTAGCAAGTTCAGGCGCGAGAGGAAAATCACAAATCCGTCTTCCCAAGCGATTTATGAGCCCTTCCTCGTCTAGAGCACCGAGGGAGTAAAGCCCCTCTAAACTGGCTAAAAGTGTATTGGTAGGAGGGCTATCCATAAAATCGAAGTGAAGTAGATCGTTGATACCCATCGCTTTAAGCATGAGAATCGTGTGGGATAGGTTCTGACGTTGAATTTCAGGGATAGGTGTTGGTAGCATTTCTGATTGATATGCTGCCTCTGTATATAATCGGAAGCACTTGCCTGGTTGAGTCCTTCCAGCTCGTCCAGCTCTTTGTTTTGCTTGAGCTTGAGAAATAGGTGTAACCACCAACGAGTCCATACCTAGCTTCGGATCGTACACATTCTGCTTCGCAAAGCCTGGGTCCACAACAAACACAATGCCATCTATGGTTAGAGAAGTTTCCGCTATGTTGGTGGCGAGGACTGCCTTCCTTTTTCCCGGCGGTGCAGGTTCGAAGACTTTCGATTGAACCTCACTTGGTAGCGCCGAATAGATGGGCAAGATAACAAGTTCAGGGACATTAGGTCCCAGAGCCTTCATTCGTTCGTGTAAAATCTCGCAGCTCGTGTCAATCTCCTCCTGGCCCGTTAGAAAGACTAGAATATCACCAGCAGGCTCCGTTAAGTGTATCTGAAGAACTGTGTCCAAAGCACTCGTCAAGTAGTCTTCTTCTGGTTGGGTTGAATACAGGATTTCAACAGGATGTATTTTTCCAGGTATGGAGAAGATAGGAGCGCCATTAAAGTATTCCGAGAACTTGTCGGCATCAAGGGTTGCGGAGGTCACGATGAGCTTGAGGTCGCTGCGTGACTTCAAAGTTTTCTTCAAGAGTCCAAAAAGTACGTCTGTAGAAATCGTCCTTTCATGGGCTTCGTCCAGGATAATCACGGAATACTTTTTGAGATCTGGATCAAGTAGAATTTCTCTCTGCAAGATTCCGTCTGTCATATACTTTATCTTGGTTTCTGGGCCAGTGGAGTCATCGAAACGGATGGTATATCCAACCTCTGCACCAAGACGACAACCAACTTCCTCTGCAACACGCTTTGCAACTGACAGTGCAGCTACACGACGTGGTTGTGTACATCCAATCATGCCGTTATTTGCGTAGCCAGCTTCAGCCAGGTATTGTGTTAACTGGGTTGTTTTCCCGGAACCTGTGTCGCCCACGACAATCATCAACTGGTTATCCCGTACAGCATCAAGTAGTTGTGTTCGAAACTTGAAGACCGGCAGACCCTCTCGTTGTTGCTTCATGGTCAGGTTTGTTCGTTTTCCATAAGATATATCTTTGCTTTGAGTAGCCCTCTTCCACTCTGGGACGGCGGTGTCGGGCTGACCGCCCTGAGCAGAACGCAGATCGGATGCGAATTTTCTTTGTTCTGGGTTGGCCATGGGATCCTCCCATTGTGCATGTAGGTCAAAACCAGCTGCTTGTTCAGCTGCCTTCTCCTGAGCTTCCTGCTGTCGTAGCTCTCGGCGTTCTTTAGCCAAATTGGAACCAGACATGGCAGCGCGGTTGAGACTTCCTTCGGCAGCTCTAACAACTCTGATAGGTGATAATTCTAACGATTGTTTGGTCTGGCCAGCAAGGAAAGGCGGCTCCTCGTCACGGACTTCAATATCAATGTCGACCTCTTCTTCAAACTCACCCTGACCTGTCAAGGTGTCATGATACTCTTGGTCAATGTCAGGATAATCCGCTGCTGATGCAGCCCCCGAGGCAATGAGTTGCTTGATTTCCCACCTTTCTGGGGATGTGAGTCTCTTTCTGTTCCTCGTTGAGTTGCCATTCATATCTCCTTCGACTACAGGAACGTCGGAGCTGAGATTTCCATAGCGATCGTTTGAAACGGTTCCCGCCAGTATCTCCATATTAGCACCAGATGCGAGTCGTTTCTGAGGGATGAGGTCGCGCCCGGTTTCCTGGTCAACTTCCTTCATGGAAAGGCCAATTCGTGAACCTTGGATGCTAATAATTTTGACCTTTACCGGCTGGCCGCGTGAAACAAGATCCGAAGGATGATTCACTCTTGCTCCCGCTTGCATAGCAGAAACATGGACTAGTCCATCTACTTTCCCTCGCACACCCTGTAAATTCACAAACGCGCCGAAGTCCTTGATTCCCGTAACACGACCATCGTAGATTTTATAAAGCACTGGCTGATTGTCAAGTTCGGGGGTTGGCGGTCGGCGGAAGTGATCGTCCTCCCGATCGCGTCTCGAACGGCGCTCGTGCCCATTTCTATATTCCTTTCTGTCGCTTGTCTTCCTATGTCGTTCAGGACTGCGGGATCGAGATATGGACCTCCGCCTTTCCCGTCGATAGCTCGTCGAATCATAATCCCCGTAATCTGGACTTCTGCTGCGTTTCCTGCTGGTTTTGGTAGATTGCGAAACTTCGTGACGATCTTCTCGCGACTTCCCTGCCAACCCTTCGAGCATCGCGAAAGTGTCGTCCAAGGCATCATCCTCCAATGTTTGAACTTTATCCGGTATTGCTAGTCCCTTGAAGACACGGGATTTCCTCTCGATAGCGTTCAAGGCTTCCATATCATCATCCACGCCGTTGTTCTCAGACCCCGCGGGCTTTTTATTCTTGTATGAAGGGTGCATTGTCAAAATAGCGCGATCAATACTCTCAATCAAACTTGGCGGAAAATCCGCCCCCAGGGCATCAAGCCCATCCTTGAAGTTTGCGAACGAGCCGCTCTTCAAATGTTGATCGATCACGAACTCGGCTAAGGTCTTATCGTTGATTCCAAGATGGTTTTGGAGTTCCGTCGTCACGCGCGACACGAGCGACAAAAGCTCCAAAGACTCAAGATCATCCATTTTGCGGTGTTGATCACGTCCACCTGGATGGTGGGTGAGGCCAAAGTGTAGACCTTTAACTGTCCAGAGCGGCTCGAATGGTCGCGGAAGGAGTGGCGGAAAAATTAGTTGTTGCGGCGAGCTTAATCCTTTCCGCGCCACAGCCCGATAAGATAAAGCTGCCACTCACGTCGCTTCTCATCTGGAGCATGCTCAAATATCCACGAAGTCATGTCGCGGCCAACCTACGAAGATGAAGACTACTTTGTACCTCTGGAGGATCAACGCGTCTTTGGCGCTGGAATAAAGAGAAAACGAGTCCCTTTCGTTCGAGCGTCCGACGATCTCCGAACGACGTCTGCTCCTCCAAGCAATGAACCTGTTACCAGCGTCGCCGACCAATACCTCGCTATTGTGATGTCCAAGAAACACAAGAAGGATTCAAAGGATGCAAAAATACAGGGAAACGGAGATATATCCGTACCTGATGGTCGGAGCGCCTCGGAGCCAGTCTCATCGGTAGCGCCGTCTGAGAGTACCATCACTGAAAACGAGAACAGCGCAGACACGCGAATAAAAGATGCCGCCACGGCCGCTCATGCTGATTTGTGTGAAGTCTGCAAACTTCCCGTTACTGTGGTGGACAGCATGAAAGGGGGCCCTAGCCAAGTCGAGGCGACATCATCCATAACGCCCAGAGAAACGCCACATGAGGCTTCAATTGTTCACCAAGTTTGTTTACAACATTCACATCCGCCATCCCATTTAGATCGTAATCGGCACGGACTGCGATATCTTGCATCTTACGGCTGGGACCCTGATAGCCGTACAGGTCTGGGCGCGGAAGGCCGCACCGGTATACTACAGCCCATCAAACCCAAAGTGAAAACAACTACCTCCGGTCTGGGCATTAAAGCTGAAGATGAAGAGGCTATTGCTGCCAGTAAGAACTTGCGAAAGCAGCAGCAAGAACAACGTCAAAAGCTCAACGCGAAACAAGTGCGCCTTGGGCAATTGGCAGACAAAAAGAAAGGGGAAAAGTTGCGCGAATTATTCTATGCCAGCGATGACATTCAACGGTATTTAGGTGGCACTTAAAGATTCTTTGAGGCACCGAAATTATAGTACACGGATTGATTAGAATTAGAATGCACAAGCCATGAGTTTTCTTCACTTGATATGGACTTTCCCACGTTTGATGCCCAGCCGTTTATTTCACTTAGGGTTAAGAATCTATTGTCTGCGCCGGCTAGATGCTCACCCTTGTGAATGAGAAAAAGTCATATATCGCATCAAAGACATGGTATCAGTGGAGCAAACACAATTACAGAGAAATTGGCCGCCACCGAGAAGAGAGGAAAGCCAAATGCGCTGAGCATCTTTGAGAAGCACGAAGTTTTCATGTAGAGCTATACATGCAATTGTTCGTAGTATGACTTTTATCTGAAAAAGTGATGTTTCTTTTTTTCCTTCTCTTTCTTTACCTTTCCACTAGGTGGCGGGGGATTTGCGGTCTGTGGTGGCTGTGGTGTTTGTGCGTTAGACCGATCAGAGTTCAGGGACATATTTGCCATGGCAGCAGTAGGAGCAGCGTGGGCGGCTGAAGGCTTAACGGCTGCCGGTGGCGGCGGATCCTTTTCAAAAAGATGCGCAGGTGCTGTTGGCTTCGGCCTCTCTGCTGGTATGTCGAGTCGCCTTTTGTCTACGCTCAAATCGCCAAGTTGGCGGAGGAACAGTCCTGGAGTCAGCATATGTGACGTAGCCAAGAAGACATCCTTGGAAGAAGATTGAGAAATTTCGTAGCATGTTCGTGCTTCTGCATATGTTGCTCCGCCAGCCACAAAGACTATTATGCGTTGCCGAGGCTGGTCCCCTGATCCCCTTGTGCGAGCCCAAGTGGGCTTTGCGCTTCGCAATGATGACTGTGAGATTTGTTCGCGCATCGCACCTTCAGACTCTGTCTGAGGGCGGGTGTATGGAAATACAGTAGGATCCAAGGTGCCCCTAATTTGTTCCTCAATCATCCTCTTCACGTTCGGCTCAAAACGCGAAAGACTAACGTCCTGTTCCTGTGTTGCCGTGGGTTGTTTTTGTGGGAAGAGTGGTTGGCATGCAGGTTTTGTGTCTTTCAATGGTTTTTGGACTCTAGCGCCTAGAAGATCAAGGTTATAAATGACCTCTTCATCCTGCTGAGGAAGCTTTGCATGAGCCACCAGTTTGCGAATATCGCCTCCAAGTAAGCCATCACGGTACATTAAATACATAATAATGAGCCGCAAGCGATCGGAATTGATGATTGATTGTTCGTCTAGAAGACGAACGAGCTGAATGGCAAGATTCTTTGGTTTCTTGTAATCCTCATCCAAGCCAGTAGCGAGACTCTATATTTCAGAGTTAGTAGGCATATTGCTTCTACTTGTTCGAATTCTAAAAAGGACGCACCTGTTCCACTGAGCTAAGCTCTAGTAGGTTGCGCTCTTGGAAATATTTCATGCACTCTTGTGCCATATTCAAATGAAGCGTGTAGGCATTTTTCCCTTCTTGGAAATCCGAAAGACCTGCCAGCATGTCCTTGATAGTGTTGACCGTGACATTGGAGGCCCTGGAGAAACATACATGTCAGCAAAAGATCATGACGCCCGCTATTTTTACCACTCACTCGTCCGCGAATTGCGGGTTTGCTGCTCGGAATTTAGCGAAATCATCGGCTAATCTTTCCAGCACATCTTTCATATGGAGATGCCTATAGTCAACCCATACGCGATCATGGTCACCTATTTCCATGTCTTTAACCTCCTCCTTCGGGCTGCCTTCATTGATTACTGTTTTATACGTAACTTTATCACCTTCTTTGATTGGAAGCAAATCATGAGCCATGGCTTGATAAGTGAACTCGTGAAGTAACGGAGAGAAAAGATCCATAGATCTGTCGGCGATTAGAAGAACGGCTCTCGGTCTTGGATTTTGTGGCGGAAAACCCCGATTCATGCCGGCATAGCGATCAATTTCATCCTGCACGAAGCGTGCTAAATGGGAGCATAGAACACTGGCCTCGTGGGTAGGCGTCCGGGGTCGGTAGTACCGAATAACAGGATATTCACCTAGGACCACACAAATCGAGACAATCTATTTCCTTGTTAGCATAGATGAAGTATGCTAGCTAGTGCACCCTGTGGAAATACCTCACCTTCCTGGCTAGATCTTCCAGATGCGCTCGTACTAAATTGTTGCAGCCTGGATGAAAAAGAACAGGGAAGCTCCACGGATCACGGAAAGTAGCCACTCTCGATTCTCGAGGATAAAAGTCAACGTTTAACGTATGCATAGCAGCAATCATATCTCGGGTCATTGGAGACCGGTCCAATCGGGAGCGCTGTTGAGGATCCAAAACTGCAGGCATAGGTTAGAGAGGACCGGCATCATCTGCCATCAGGCAAATCGGGAAACTCAACTCGCTGTCCAAACCACGAAAGATCTTCGATAGCGGCGGCGCTCTATATCAGCCATAAGGCAATCTATAATATGTGGTAGTGGTGACAGAATATACAGCGCGTCCATATCCTGGTTGGCCGGCCGGCGATGCTCAATCTGCTCAACATCTAGGTTCATTATAGTCGCTCAGCGGGAAGCTCTAACAATCGCAGCAGAACTACTGACTCGTCACATTATGGTTTAAAATATCGTCTTCCTTCACCGTATTATCCAGGAGCTTCCTACTCTTCTCGTCTACGACGAGAACTTTCCACTGAAAGGAGCTCGATCAGCTGGGAGCTGAGACAACAAGCGGCATCTGATACGTACGTCATTTCCTGCAGCATGGCGAATCGCGTCTAGAATGACTACAAGAATAATCCAGTTAATTGAGCACAAACAGACAAGGAGGCCGAACCAAGTGAGCTCTAAATGCTTACTGTCGCGTTGAATGGTGATCAAGGAAGACGCCATTCTGGCAAGCCAAGCCTGAGCCGTTTATAGAATTGGCTGATAGCTGGCTCGCTCAAGAAGCTGGGCAAGTCTGGGTAGCCAGCGCTCAAATGTATATGTGCGAAAGAGGACAGGTGACAAAAGAAAAAACCATGCCCTCCCCTGAAACGATGATGGCTTGACTCGGGAGGGAGAGGAAGAGGAGTTCCCCACCATGCAAGTACTACAGCAATTATGGGTCTTGCTGTTTTAGGGGCCCGCATTAGTGGCGGCTGCGGCTGCGGCAATCGCGATTCGCCCAAGGATAAACCCAGGCTCCGAGGCTAACTGCTCTGGGCCAACCAAAAAAAAAGGAAGGTTGATCTTGCCTTCACTGACAACAATGGCATAATGACCTGGTAGACCGCATCCAAATACCAGATCTGTCCCCTGAAGTATCCTGCACGCACTTGCGCATGTTGATGCTGAAGCTGGAACCTCTGAGTTGATGCGCACCTTGCATTATTCATGCAGATGCCGCAGCTATGGACATTCAGAACAGGCGAGTGCCTGTCCTGTTCGTTTCGGCCTCGAGGTTTTGCCGCCACATTTACACGGCCGTTTACATCGACTCCATCTTTGTCGAGGGTCGTAGCTAAAAGTCGAAAAGTACTGCCTTTTACCTTCAGTCCCTGCCCTTCTGACGCTAGCTAACCAGTACCAGCCCAAAGATTTTCATTCTTATGATCGACGGAATTCGCGCGTTTTCGTCTCCGGCGACCTTCGAAATTTAGGGAGCAAACATTTTTATCCTGCAGTGGAAAGTGCATTGGCAGATGTACAAGAAACACTCGGCCCTTCCCATCCACTGCACCGAACATGGAATGCGTTTTATCGACGAATCACCCAGGCAGCGCAATTGCAGGCCGATCTTGATACTCCTCCAAAAGGCGATCTACAAACCTTGAGGACGTCGCTTTATCGGGCTTTTCAGAAGAGCGGAATCAAAGGCATTCGAGAAGAATTATATATAATACAAAAGAATGACGAGTTCGCCTCGAGCTATGGAAATCCGCATCTTGAAGAGCAGAAAAAGGCAGTGGATCTTCGATATCCAGCAGAGTGGTATCCGCACACTCGGTCGATGCAACGAACTATTCATCTTCACGTGGGGCCCACAAACTCCGGAAAGACATACCGTGCTTTGAAGAGACTTGAGCAAGCTCAGCGGGGGTTCTATGCCGGGCCGCTTAGATTACTAGCCCAAGAAGTATACTCTCGCTTCACTGCTGACGGGATACCATGTGCTCTAGTCACTGGGGATGAAGTCCGCATTCCAGACTCCCCGCCTCGAATTTTCAGCAACACCGTAGAGATGGTGACCTTGAGCCAAAATTTCGAAGTCGGTGTCATCGATGAAATCCAGATGATTTCTGATCCGGATCGAGGCTGGGCTTGGACAAAGGCATTTTTGGGAGCTAGGGCTAAAGAACTACATGTTTGCGGTGAAGAGCGCACCGTACCATTAATCAAAGAACTTGCCAGCCTCACTGGCGATATTTTAGAGATACATCGGTACCAAAGACTGAATCCCTTGAAGGTAGAATCCACCAGTCTCAGGGGCGATCTTCGGAAACTTCGAAAGGGAGACTGCGTGGTTTCTTTCTCGAGATTAAACATCCATGCTCTGAAAAATGAAATTGAGAAAGTGACTGGGAAACGAGCCGCAGTCGTGTACGGTGGTCTTCCAGCAGAGATTCGCACGCAACAAGCCAATCTTTTCAACGACCCAGACAACGATTATCATTTCCTAGTGGCAAGCGATGCTATTGGTATGGGCCTTAACTTGTGAGTATCAATGCATCTAATGCCGCGTACCTTTCCTCAACTGACACCATTCTTAGAAAATGCAAACGTGTTATTTTTCAGACTTTGATCAAAGGTGCAAAGGGCAACCTAAAAAGGATCAGCATTCCACAAATCAAGCAAATTGGAGGGCGCGCCGGTCGATTTCGTGCTGCTAATGAGACACAAGAGCCGAATGGTTCGCAGGAACCTAATGTGGGATTGGTGACGTCTCTTGAAGACGTTGACTTACCATATATACAGCGGGCCATGGAATTTGAGCCTGCTCCTCTCACGGCGGCCGGTATAATTCCTACGGATACTGCATTTCAACGCATAGCCCCTTATTTTCCGGCTGAAGTCCCATTTAAGTTCCTCGTCAATCGTGTCTTCTCCTTAGCACAAACCCACCCACTCTTCTTCATGTGCAGATCGCGGGCGCAGATTGCATCTGCTGAAATCATCGATCGTTCCCACCAACTGAATATTGATGACCGGCTTATATTCATGGCAGCACCGATCAATGACAGTGACCCTGTACTGCAGAGGACCGTCCGAGGATATATCCGAGCTCTTGCCACTAATAACAGCGGCCGTTTGCTCGATATTCCGGAGATTAATCTAGAAGTTCTCGAACTACCTGTCTCTGGCAACAGGGAGTATCTCAACGATCTTGAAAGTCTACACAAGTCACTGATCATATACCTGTGGCTCAGCTATCGTGTCGGAGGCGTCTTCACAGATCGAACCCTGGCCATGCATGTCAAGACCATGGTCGAAGAGCGGATGATGCGAGCTCTGGCTGAATTTTCTGCCAACAAGAAACTACGAAGAGATGCTTCGCTCCGTCGGCAAATTGTCTTGGAACGTCGCAACGCTGAGCAAGAGCGGTTGCTATCAGCTACCGAAGGCAGCAACGAGACAAGTGACCCTAGTTCCGATGCGTTTGACATGCCTATAGTGGAGGATACATCGTCTCACAATGAAGCACAATCAAGAAACAGCATTGCAACAGTTTGAACGGAATCTGACGGTGAAGGTTTATACCTTGTATCATATTTTTATAAGGAGTTTTTGAGGATTGTTGATAGCCCTGTACATTATTAGGCGTTATAGACCTGCATACCTGCCAAGTCAACTGAGCACATCCCTATCTTTTATTTCCTGATGCTGAACTAGTATCACTAGCAGTACAATTTTCTCGAATATCATATTCAACAGTTTCGCAGTATGAAGTGTTAGAATCATAGTGGGTCCAGATCATAACACTAGTCCAGATGAGGAAAGGCGTCCTTTTTTGAAGCATAGGAAAATAAACCGTGCTACGTACCTCGCCGTTCACCTTCCCAATCAGAAGTCTATACCACAATGCCGATTCCTATCATATCGCATGTGCTGAGTGAAGGGCTCTCTGCTGTTCCCCATGTATACACGGTCTTCAAGTGGACTGCGGTTGCGGCCATCGTGGCCCTACTGAAATACTACTTCGGCGGTGCTCGCAATACCTCCGAGCGACTAATGCACTCGAAGGTGGTGATGATCACGGTATGTCTAGGGATACATCCACATATACGCAAATATATACAAATAACTTTTTCTTTGTCTAATAAGAAATACAATAGGGCGGCACATCAGGTATCGGAGCCTCTATAGTCCACGACCTCGCTTCACGCGGAGCTCAAATCATCCTGCTCACGCAACACGCACCTTCGGACCTATTCTTAGTCGACTACATCGAGGACGTGCGCCAATCAACAAACAACGAGCTCATCTACGCCGAACAAGTCGATCTAACATCTCTCCACTCCATCCGAAAATTCGCTACGAAATGGGTCGACAATGCTCCGCCACGGCGACTGGATATGATCATCCTCTGCGCGAATACCCTCAAACCATCGCGGAGCGGTAAACCACGCTTGACGTTTGATGGTCTAGACGAGGAATGGCAGGTTAACTACCTGGCAAACTTTCATCTGCTGAGTATCCTGAGTCCAGCCCTTAGAGCCCAGCCGCCGGATAGAGATGTGCGGATTATTTTTGCCACGTGCTCAAGCTATATCGGTGCTACGATGGATTTCCAAAGGACAGAGGGAGTGGTGAGCAGTGCGGCGACAACGGGGATTAAGAACAAATCCAAACCTGGCGCCAAGAATGCATCATTATCAAGAAAAAACAAACGCAACAGCAGCGCAGCAAGTATGTACGGCATGACGAAGCTTTCTCTCATGATATTCGCAAAAGCGTTCCAAAAACATCTATCATCCTACAAACGACCGGATCAACAACCTATGAACGCGCGGGTCCTTATCGTTGACCCAGGCTACAGCCGCACACCAGGCACACGCCGTTGGCTCACAGGCGGCAGTTTATGGGGGCTTTTGGTCTATCTCATTCTCTGGCCTGTATGGTGGCTCATCCTCAAATCACCACACGCAGGAGCCCAAAGCTTTCTGTACGCGGCTATGGAGGCACGCTTCGGCCGGAGTGCAGGCGAGCATATCGGCGGCGGATGGCTAATCAAGGAGTGTCGCGAAGTCGAGTGCCTGCGCAAGGAAGTCGACGATGTTGACGTTGCCAAGGAGCTATGGGAGTTTAGTGAGCAGCAAATTCAAATTAAGGAAAAGGAATCTGCCAAGAGGCGTGCGCTAGAAAAGGCGCAGAAAGAGAAAGAGGAGGAGGACAAAAAAAGGAAACAAAAAGACGAAGAAAAGGCAAAGGCGCAAACTAATAAGAAAGAAAAGGTTGACAACAGCAACAACAATAAGAATAATAGTAAGTCGCGGCCGAACAAAAATCGGAAATGAGAAATAATGAAATAGATCAAGAGCGATCACCTAACTACTTGTGTACGGATAATCTGTGACATGTTTACATAGATGAATAGATTAAACCAGCTAGTTGTATAATACACAGATGGGCCTCGGGCAAATAGAATCAGTTTAATTTCCTACTATCGAAACATAATGCTGGCAAAGGAACTGGATCAAATCGTTTCTGTACTGCATAACATGATTCTCAATCTATTATTTATCTACAGCACTAACCAGACAGGAATCAACTAGCAGGCTTCGTCTAAAAGCCAGAGAGTGTGTGAAACAAAAAATCATTCGCTGACTTTGGCGTATAAAATGGTTCATTTAGAAGTGAGAATTTATTTCTTCAAAGCCTCGAGGAGCTCAGCTGGTGGTTGTTGACGGTATCCCTGAGGATTATTCTTGGTCCACAGCCAGAGATCCTCACAGGCTTGTTCGAGAGTACGCTCAGTCTTCCAGCCGAGCTCCTTGTTGGCGCGGGTTGGGTTGGAGGTGAGGTTCAAAACGTCACCTGCACGACGAGGAGCAACTTCGTATGGCTGGTCTTTGCCGACAGCTGTCGAGAAAGCCTTGATCATCTCGTACACAGTGCTGCCACGACCGGTTCCCAGGTTCCATGCGCGCACGCCAGGGTGGTTGGAGCGCAGGTAGTTGAGGGCTTTCAAGTGGCCGTTGGACAAGTCCAAGATGTGGATGTAGTCACGGATGGCGGTGCCATCACGAGAGTCGTAGTCTAGAACAATTGAGTCAATCATCGCCCTTTCTGCATAGTTTGGGATCAAAATAAGAAAAAGCTTGTGAATGAATATATCACTAACCATCACCGAATACCAAAAGCTTCTCGCGCTTGCCAGTGGCAACCTGAGCCAACAGAGGAAGCAGGTTGTATGGGACACCCTGAGGATCCTCGCCCATGATGCCGCTTGGGTGGGCACCAGCGGGGTTGAAGTAACGCAGCAGAGCGGCGTTCCATTTCGCAGCTTCATCGGCTTTACCAGCCTTGATGAGGTTGTTTCGCTGGGCATTGATGAAATCCGTAATGGCGGTTTCGACAGCGAACTTGGTGTTTCCGTAAGGGTTGGTAGGGCCGAGAGGGCACTCTTCGGGGATTGGGATCATGTCGGGGAAGCGGGTGGCATCACCGTAGACGGTAGCAGAACTCGAGAAGACGATGTTGTAGACATTGTGCTTTTGCATGGCGCGGAGGAGGTTGATAGTGCCATAGACGTTGACGAGGTAGTAATCGAGGGGTTTCTCGCCGGACTCGCCAACGGCCTTTTTTTTTTGGGAAATCAGTACGGGTTAGAAAGGGGGAAAGAAGGAAAGCCAACCTTGAGGGCAGCAAAGTGAATGACACTGTCAATGTCGGGGTACGTCTCAAAGACCTTGTCGAAAGCAGTTGGGTCGGTGATATCAGCCTGGACGAACTCGGGCCTCTTGCCGCTGATCAATTCAATGCGGTTGATGACTTCAGCAGAGGAGTTGTACAGGTTGTCGGTAATGATGACTTTGTAGCCAGCCTCGAGCAAGGCCAGGGCCGTGAAGGACCCGATATAGCCCGTTCCTCTGTTGTATGACGGATGCAGTCAGAGCGCTGCTCGGGAGATGCGACGGAGGACAGCTTGCTTACCCGGTGACGAGAACAGAACCAGCAGCCATAATGCGGACAGTCAGGGGGCACGTAGTAGTTAGCGGGCGAACGGTAGATAATTGAGGCGAGGGTATGCTGGGGGAGTCGAGGAGAAGAAGGAGAGAGGAGACGAGAGCGAGACGATGGCGGGGCAGCAATAGGAGCAGCAGCAGCAGCGGGGCGGCTAACGCAGACGGCAGGGGAATTTATTATCGGTGAAACAACACGCTAGCTGGGTCGACGATCCGTATTTATTTCGGGTTGTTCTTTTTGCTTTCTTGGTTTTAGGTGGATAGTACCTATGTTATCCTCACCGATGGCTGATGGTCTGGAGTTGAGACTTACTTGTGTTGAGGTAACTAAGTAGGTAAAGAAACACGGCTTCAGTTCAACCTCCTTTCTGGCTAATCACAGGATATAATCAAAAATTCTTTGACACGAATATACTCATGTCAGTGTCATCCTATATATTTACAATTGTCTGCTTGTATGGAATATAACCAACCCGCTTTGCATTAACGTCCTAGATTATTATTAGGCGGTCATATCCTAGTGTCACTTAGTAATATATCCTTGAACCATTGTGATACATCAGTAAATGATTGATATGCATAATATAGGCCACTAAATATAAGCCCAGACAGAACTTGTTCCTGTCTCTGCATTGCATTGTTGTACAAATCTTGGCCAGTTCCTGTGTTACTGGTCCCCATGAGGTCGACACCATTCCTCCCAATCAAGGACAAAAGCGCCGAGGAAGAGAAGCAAAAAAAATAATAATAACCCAGCGCGTTCAGTCTCATAAGTGTCAGAACGATGACAGTTATAATGTGTATCAGTATGTGCCGCACATTCCCATATCCCCAGACCCATCTATCATGAGAATAACGGGCTTCTTTTTTGTAATGTCAGTGTTGATCAGTAGAATGGAAAGGCAAAAACAAAAAAAGAAAAAATTAACTGAACAAATCTAGCCAAGGAGCTCAACGTCGAGTCCGATAGCGCGCATGAATAAGTTGACATTGTTGAGGCGCTGGCTTGCCATATCGGCCGGAAGAGTCTTGCTCTGAGCCACGGTCTCCATCACTCGATCCCTAAACATAAATGTTAGAATATGGCGTAGGGATAGAGCAAGGTAAGAAAAGTACTTACTTCACAGCAATCACAAGTCGCTGCTGTTGCTCCTGGCTGGCTCCAATACCAATTGCTGCCAGGAACTGCCAAACGTACATGTCGTCCCCAGTGTTAATAGTTCCAGGGAAAATATCAGCTAGTCCAGGCTCCAAAGCATCGAAAAGCTGGTTGAACTTTTCAATCCATTGCTGCCAGTCGTATTCTTCCGCTTGCCCGGCTTCTTTGATTATTGCTGCGCGACTGAGTAGCATGGTCATGATTCCTAACCCAACCCTAGTTCTAGCCACAAATTGGACATGCGTTTGGGCAAGCACGAGGCCAAGGAGGCCGATGATAATGTTAAAAGATGCCTCGTTAACATAACCAAGTAGACTAGGCATAACGGCTTGGGAGAATAATTCGATATCCTCGCGGGATGCAGCCGGTAATTGTGTCTCACCCGGGTTCAGGAGCCCCTTGCGAACTACATCCAACGTGTCAAGGTTCACGACAATCATGGTCAATACGGTGATGCGTTGTTCCTGGTCAATTTGGCGGAAAAGACGAGGTATAGCTTTCTTGCCTTTCGGGTATGACAAAAAAGCGATGAAGGGGTGCGGCACCGAAGAGCCTGGCACAATGGGCTCAAGTACTCGCATGCTTTGCCAAAGTTTCGAGTTTAGTGCTTGCATGTTCTGTCTCCACTTCATGTGCATCTCAACAGACTGCGGATCACTTTCTTCTGGCGGTGGGGGCATCGTCCGTTCAAGGTCCTCCATTCTCATCAAGATATCATAAACACTCTCAATGTTGTTCAAAACGGACTTTCGATCACTGGCGCTGAGATCTGCTGTTGTACGCTTAGGCTTCATGCCTTCTGCGCCCTCGGGTCTCTTGATATTTAATAATGGTTTCGGAGTCTTCGCATTGCTAAATGATATCCTTCCCAGGCTGCCTTCGATTATAAGTTGTTGGTTTTTAGGCTTTGCCTTGGCCGCCTCGACAGCACGCTGTACTTGCTGTTGCATGCGCTGCATGTGGTTATCCGCATTTTGGTATTGTCGCCGGCCATGACCGCCAGTGCGGTTTCCAGTCTGGAAAAGGTATGTCTGGGCGAAGTGGCCGAGAGGTTGGCGAGGGTGCTGGCGTGGCGCACCACGTATCTGACTGTAGACCTGATAATAGAAGTCTTCTGATAAGAGCGACTCGATATCCGGATCGTTTATATTTCCCGTAGCAGCGACAAGCTGTTGCAGCTGGATCCGGGTAATGAAATTTTTATCTTGCGGTGTCATCAAGCCGTTACCACGGGAAAGTAGGAAGATCTTATGGTTGCGCTTGGCGCGCTTTGCATCCTCCATCAAATAGGCCATCCGCTGTTCCTCTGTAAGATTCATTAACTGTTGAGGATCAGTGATGACCGGGACATCCGATGGAGGCGGGGCCAATGAGGGCTGCTGCGGTCTATGAGCCGGCGGGGGAGCAGCTGGTTGACGTTGCTGCTGTGGCGGAATAGACGGTTGTCTGGGCAATGGAACCTGCTGTGGTCCAGGGGGACCGGGGATGAACTGCCCAGGTGGAATGTGTTGCAGCCGCTGTAGAAGCTGTGCCGGCGAGATGCCCATAGCCAAAGCCTGTTGTTCAAGTGCCATCAACTCAGCCGCTGCTATGGGTGGGAAGGCTTCTGGCGGAGGAGCCATCTGCTGACCGCGCGGCATTGGCATTGGCTGTGCGAGGTGTGAGGGGTGCGGAGGCTGCTGTCGCAACTGGGCTTCAACTTCCTCCAGACTCAGCATTTTCCGTGCGGGCGCCGCCACGGCAGGAGCAGGTTCAGCAACCTGCTGTTTCTTGGGCTGGGCAGTCGTCCCCCAAACGCTTGATTTTGCCGTTATCTCAGGGATGAAGCCAGGATCCTGGTATCTCTCGTAGCCAGTCTTTTTGGGCAACCGAGGAACAGATGGCGCTGACACTGGCGCTGGAGCTTGCGCGGCAGTCTCATTTAACGGCAAAGGAGCTGACGATTTGGGGTTCTGAAGGTTGTACAGAACCTGCTCTTCGGTCATGACATCGGATATCTGGGCTGTAGTGCCAAAGAAGTCAAAATCTTTCCCGACACTGTCTCCGCCACCGAATGTGTCGTCGTTGAAGGCATCTTGGTCGGTGTCGAGCTGGTCGCCGAGGCCGTCGTAGGTGTCCTCAAAGTCGATCCTGGAAATGAAACTCAGCAAAGATGAACATACAAAGCTCTCCGCCCTACGTAGACATACGCATCGTCGTCGCCGTCGTGGAAGCCCTGAGCTTGCGCGCGGGCAACCTCAGCGAACGGGTCTGGGTTTTCGAAGATGCCTCTGGATTGCTGACCAGCCTGCCGATCTCGCGGCAGGGAGGTGTCGAACCCAAAGAAAGACATATCGTGGTGCACCAAGAGGGAGGAGGGGTATCGGCGAGACGAAGATGATGGCATCCATATTGGGATTTCGCACTTTCCACTTTGGCGCGTGGTCTGTGCTGATGCCTGGATGCCTGAGTGCCTGAGTGCCTGGGCTGTCAGGTGTCTGTTATTAACTACTCCGTAGCTTTCTACGGCTCAATCTTGACTCCAGTCTCTAGTCTCTAGTCTCTACCAAGTGCGTAGCCTCTCCTCGTTTTCGTAGCAATACCTAGTGTGTCTCCTGGCGCAGACTCTCAAGAAGCAGGGCATCCTAGCCCACTCGCCAACTGCAGAGTTAGAGACATAGTTAACTCTTAAGGTATGCGTCAGTCTCGTGCGGAATGAGTCTCACACGCAAACGGCACTGCAAGCGCTTGCAGTCGCGGCCTGTCGTGGCCGCTTACGTACGCAGGCCCCGACTTAACTATTGTTTGGTGTTTCGTTTTTCTTAGTGCTGAGACATGCTATTTTATCTCATTTTGTTTTATTATATTATTCATTCTCATTTTCATACCCCAAATTTCCTTCCTCTCGAGCTAGCTGGAATCAAGTCTCGCCCGTAAGCAGCCTAGCTGGTCCCTACTAATAGCCTCCAGCCAGTCAAAACGCCCACCCCAAACGGCCAACTAACAATCTTCGATTTCTTCGGTGTTCAGTTTCACACTCCTTTTCCTCTGCTCTTCGGTCGTCTCTTCTCGCCTCTCGTCTTCTCTCTCGTCAGAACAGTGTTCAATACCCGCTTGGCGTGCTGCTGCTGCTGACTCGTCGCTTCTGCGCTGCATCTTGAACTGAGTCTTGTTTCGCCGTCGCTCGTTCCGAGAATCCATCATTCTTCGCAGTCCAGAACACTGTCTGTCGATCTTTTAATTCTTTCCTTTCGCTCGCTCATCTCCTGCTGGAATTCCTTTACTCGACTTTGTACTGCCATTTGCGCCGATTGCTCTTTATAGTGTTGAAGAAGATCTATGATCGGCGCAGCTAAACTAAAATAAAAAAGCCCGCGGACGTTGATATCGGAGGGAGGCTACAGGGCTCTTGGCCCTCCTTGACCATTTCAAAAGTCCGATTCTTTTTTTTTCTTTCTGTGGTTTACCTTGCAGTTCTCCATAATGTCGTCAGGATCCAGCAGATATGTGCGATATCTGCTGTTTGCAGTTTTTGTAAGTAGTCCGCCGTGCGGATAGCCTGGTTGACTCCATGTGGCTAATAGTTGTCAACGACTTGCGCAGGCCCTGGCGGTATTAGCCTTTATTTCGAGATCATCGTTGCCGCTGCCGACGAACTACGAATCTAATATAATACCTCAGACACCACAAGATAGCAAAGGCTCCGTTGACCCTTCCTACCAAACCCCCGCGAACAGCGGCCCTCCGGCGTTGACGCCATCTGGTGAGCGAGTCAATGCGACATTCGTGACGCTTGCACGCAACCAGGATGTCTGGGAAATCGCGAAATCCATTCGCGAGGTGGAGGACCGCTTCAATCGCAACTATCACTACGATTGGGTGTTCTTGAATGACAAGCCGTTTGACGACGAGTTCAAGAAAATCACCACTGCTCTGGTCTCCGGAACCACCCATTATGGCTTGATCCCCAAAGAACATTGGTCGTATCCCGAATGGATTGACCAGGACAAAGCAAAGGCGGTGCGCGAAGACATGAAAGCAAGGAAGATTATCTACGGCGACTCGGAGAGCTACCGACATATGTGCCGATACGAGTCTGGCTTCTTTTTCCGCCACGAGTTGATGCTCAACTACAGATACTACTGGCGCGTGGAGCCCAGTATTCAGCTATTCTGTGACATCTCCTTCGATCCGTTCCGGTACATGATGGAAAACAAGAAGAAGTACAGCTTTGTGCTCAGCTTGTACGAGTACTACGAGACCATTCCCACGCTCTGGAACAGTGTCAAGAAATTCATGAAGACAAATCCGGAGTACATCGCCGAGGGTAATTCGATGGGATTTTTGAGTGACGATGGTGGAGAGACATATAACAAGTGTCACTTTGTGAGTCGCGTCATCGTTTACTATTCTATTCGTTTTTGCTGACTTTAGTTAAATAGTGGTCCAATTTCGAGGTTGGTGACCTCGACTGGCTACGATCCGACGCCTACATAAACTACTTCGACTCTCTCGACCGAGACGGTGGCTTCTTCTACGAAAGATGGGGCGATGCACCAGTGCACTCAATTGCCGCTGGTCTACTCTTGAAAAAGGAGGAGGTTCACTTCTTTAACGAAATTGCCTACTACCATGTTCCATTCACCCACTGCCCGACGGGCGAACAGACTCGCCTTGACTTAAAATGCCACTGTAACCCGGCAGACAACTTTGACTGGAAAGGCTATTCTTGTAAGCTTCTTTCCTACTTCATTTCTGTTCTCATTAAGCACAACTAACTTTGTTGTGCCAGGCACATCGCGCTACTTCCACATCAACAATATCCCTAAACCAGAAGGCTATGAAAAGGAAACAAAATGACTCTCTGTCGTCCTAAAAGCGGCCGGTTATTCATTTCTCCTCACTTCTTTAGTGCTGGCAGTTGCATATGGAATTTGGAGGCGCCGACAACGCGTAACTCAGCAAGCGTCAACTGGAATATTCTCAATAGCGGATTTACGTCTTCGCAGACCGCTTAGTCCTTTCACAAAAGAGGACGGACGACGAATATAGGCTGAGATTTCAGCCTTTTTTTTTTCTTCTTTTGCTCTTTATTCAACTATTTCTGCATGTCGATTTTTGAAAAGGGGGAGAAAAGACTGGTCTTTTATTCCCCCCGAGTAAGCTATTATCGAGCGGTGACTTGGACTTCTGCATTTCATTTTGAAGCATATGATGCTCGATGCTAGTATTTTGTTGTTGACTGATTGATCATTTCTGTTACGGCATTTCAATTTACTCGTTTGACTATATCTTGTTTTTGTTCTACTTGTTTTACATTCCGTTTTGTTCCTCTTTTTTGTCGAACATTTCTTTCTCTTCTATCAAAAGGAAATGGTGTCTTGTGTGTTTTTGTGTTTGTATATAAACGTATCAACTAGTGAACAATGATGTATATTGTATCCCTTCCTATATCTTGGGGTTCTTCTTTCTTTTCTTGATGTTTCTTTTCGTCTAATTTTAGTTGAATCATATCATATCATCGATATTAATAGCATGACAACTATGAAGAGGTTCATTACAGAGAGACAAGTAAAGGAAAATGCATTGTAGTATAATACACAGAGAAATCTTAACAGCAAACGATGTGACCTCAATTCAATCAGTCGATTAGATTAATCTGCCTTGGGCTTCTTCGTGCCATACTTTGACCTAGCAGTCAACCTATTCGCAACACCTCCCTGTAACAAAGTTAGTTCTGGTCTTCATCTCCTAAACAGCAACGGGAGAGATAAAAAAGCTTACCAAATCCAAAGCCCCTCTAACAAGATGATATTTCACACCAGGACAATCCTGCGCACGTCCACCCCGAACCATAACCACACTATGCTGCTGGACATTATGCCCTTCACCGGGGATGTATGCCGTCACAACTCTGCCGCTACTCAGCCGCACCCTGGCAGTCTTTCTTTCACCCGAATTGGGCTTTTTCGGCTTCGTGATACCTGTCTTGAGACATACGCCTTTCATTTCGGGTCGGTTGGAAAGCGCCGGAGAGCGACGTCGCCGCGCTCGTTGCTCTTTGCGGCAGCCGCGTCGGACTTGGTTGTATGTTGCGAGTGCTTTGGGGGTGGATGAGAAGTTGCGATTTGTTGTGTTTGTATTGAATAGAGGATTCATCTTAGTGAGTTTGGAGAGTATAGAGGAGGATGAGGGGGAAGTAAATCGAAAGGTAGATGTCTGAGAAAAGTTTCGTGTTGAAGGCGATTGTAAGGAAGAGAATTGTCTTGGTCGGTATGGCTGCCTGACTCGAATTGTAGGTTTAGGAATGTGGAATGGCTGGCGGACAAGGGTCCGCGAGCACAACGTTGTCGACATGCTTGCTGCACCGACGATGTTATCGATTGTCGTTGTGAAGACCGAACTGGTTGTTGATGTTAAATCTCGGAATAACGAAGGAGAATTGCACGTGACCAAGAGCCCGTCGGTGCCTGCGTTTCCGATAGTTGACTAAGGCATCATTGCTCCAAAAGCTCCACATAAGCTAGGCCACCAGACCTGCGATTAACATCTAACGTCGACTTCAACATTGCGCTTATTTCATCTTCAAGTCCACTCCATCTTCAAATCCAAAACCAAGGATACACAAATAAGTTTATTTGATATATCAAACTTGTCTCGTCAATAGCAGACGAGATGGTACGTCCTCCACTTCCATCTATCTACGCCATGCCATGTGCCATGCCATCTTGTTCGAAGAAACAGAACCAAGACTGACAAAAAACTCATCCAGTCCCTCCGCATAGCCCCTCCCACTCACCATGCCTCCTACACCGACAACACCATAGGCCGTAACTACACCTCTACCGGCGCCTCAACCGGAGCGGCACCTCATCCCAGCAAAGGCGCGCCCTCAGCCCCCGGACTACCAGACACCCTCCGAAACAAAATCACACTGCAAGCGCCCCACGGCTCCCCTTCAGAGAATGCATCTACCATCCCAACATCTGCACACCCGCTTGAGGCGCGCCTTTTGGCCTGGCGCGAAACCCAGGATGCGTTAAAGATGGAATCCCTACGACGAGCGTACGGCATGGCCGAGCCGATTAGACGTGGGATGGAGTTGAAGATTGTCCGTGATTCGAGTTTTACGCCTATGCTGTTGGGAGGGCCGAGAAGAAATGGCGGCAATTTGCATGAGGATATTTTGGTGCTTGGTGGGCGGGATACGGAGATTGGCTGGGAGGATGTTTTCCATGGTATGCCATCTCTTATAACTCTTTTCTTTTCAATCTCGCCTTCTGTTTTGGATGTATTAAAACTAATCTAAAATTAACAGGAGATGAGTTCCGTGAACCCCCGGCCTTCCACGATGAGATGGAGAAAAGACTCAAGATGGACTGGTAGAGGAAGGGTTATGCGAGTTGGCCAATCCGTGAACTTGCCATCTTTCAAGTGATATTTATATCATCGATGTCAACATCGATACGATTATGGCCGGGCTAGACAATACAAATTGTACCATTACGCAATAAAGTCATCCATGTTCCGTCTAGTCTTGTGCATGCCATATAGATCAGTTCACTCAGAAGCAACCCTTTGAGGGTAATTAGTAGGAGTTTTCTAATCCAACGCTGATGATCAGAGGAACAAATCGAAGTAGACAATGAAAATAAATACCAAAGAAGAAAGCATCCGTAATAAACAAAGTCTGAATAGAAAAACCGGCTAATTAAGTAGACCAGAAGTACATAAATACAAAGCTGCTTGCTTACTTACAAAAGAAACAGCACTCACTACATGTACCAAGATAGGTAAGCTCTTCATGGCAACATAAAAATTGCTAGAATACGCACACACACACCCGCCAAACACAAGGAGACACACTACAACTCGGAATAACCAAAGCTTCGCGAGGGAGGGATATGAGGCAAAAAAAGGGGGGAGTAGACGCAACAGGACGAAATACAATGGTTGCTTTCTCAACGCCAGGTGATTAAAGACAAACAGAAGCAACACACCAAGTAGGGCAGAATGAGATTTAAGAAACATGACATCAAAATGAGGGGGAGAAGAAAAGGAAGGATCTGCTGTTAGTATTTTGATGGGTACCGAAGGAGTGCGGAAAATAAATGTTCAGGCTGAGGCTTGTAAATGGAAAAATGAACATGTTTAAGAACACGAGTGCAGGTAGAAGGGAAAAAAATATTGGAGGAAAGAGAAACGGGGGTATCGCGGTACGAACGAACGAAACATGTGTTGTAGTAGGAAGCATGGATGCAAGTTCGAATTCACAGAATAATGCACCGACAACCGGGACTGCGATCGCTTGCATCTCGGTCTCTAGCTGAGTATGATTTGCCGCCTTTGGCATCCTCTTCATCTACAACTTCTTGCGGTTTCACGGTCATGTGAATGACATTGGGTGCATCGTGAGTTAGGCTCGATTCTAATTTAGTAATGTCAGCATATGTGTACATATGTAAGGGCTTCGTTGTGCGAACCTGATAGCGGAGATTTATCATCTAACAATTTGCCAAAAGAAATCAGTCGAATCGAACTGGGTGATGATGGTTGTGGTTCCCATTCTGAATATTGTTCAGTAAAAATGTAACATTTCTGTATAAATAGATATTGCATGTCATATCTTACCTGCTCGCCACTCTCTCCATATCAACTCTTTGAGTGTATAAACACTCATATTGAAGGGATCATCATTATCGACCTTGACACTCCGCCTTCGCAGGTATTTCTTGTCGATCTTGAAAGGATGCCGCGCACCAGTGATAAGAAGTAAGGTGATCACCAACTCTGGCCCTGCGTCTTCACCCTCGGTCACAGTAGTTGTCTCAGGGGCTTCGCTGGCTTCTACGCCGGATGTGGGCGGCTCAGCTGCCACGTTAGTGGTGGTAGTGTTGGCGGTGGTGGTGTCGTCGGGCGTAGGTGTTGCTGCAGCTGAAGCTGCAGCTTCCCTTGGCGATGATTTGTCCTCAAAATCTTCTGTATCGTTTTTCTCCTTCGACTGACTTTCTGTACTGTTTGGTGCTAATTGAGTTGCCTCAGCAGCCGCGGGCGATGAGGATGACGGGGCAGGGACATCTGAATGCTCGGGCGCTGTGGTGGTGGTGGTGGTGGTGTTGTCTTGTGCCGTTGCTGCAGGGGAGTCGCTGCCGTCCGGAGCAGACAAGTTCTCAGTTGAGGCCATCCTGTCTTATCATAAGGCAGTTGAAAATTGACGATGGCGACAGGCTAGAAGAGCTGTGTCGGTGAACTCCGAGATGAACGTGGCCAGAGAGAGTATTGAAAGTAGTTAGAGAAGATCGACGTCTGACTGGAGAACGAGATGCAATTGCCATGATTAGACGACCGGAAAGCGTCCGGGGGAGCCTAGCCTAGATCAGCTAGCTGCCAGGCAGCTAGTCCGATATAAGCAAGGTTTGTTACTGGTGTCATACATACCGTAATAGATTACACAATATTACGCGCGCAAGCACTGTCAAATATTTGGAAAAAAAAAAAAGATATAACTTACTAGCTACTTTCTACTAGTGATTTTATATAACGTATGTAGAAAGAAGAAGCATCTTTCATCCTCTCTTCAAAAGAACTTCTCGTGCCTTTCTGTTTGTCTCTTTGGCATTGTCTCATCAGTCATTACAAAAAAATGGTTATCATAAATAGATCAAAGCCATGTCAGATACTGTGCCAAGTTCTGGAACTCGCTTCTCACGCCTTCTGATCCATGGCGAACACCCAGAATTCGTACCTTTTCTATTTTGCCGCCAAAGTCGTCTTCCACTCTGCTTTGGTAAGTTTCGAAAAGCAAATTGAGCTTTTTTATCACCTCGGCATCGTCACGAATCAAGAGGACAACCGCATCGTAACCTCCAGCACCAGGGACAACGCCTCCAATAACGCCGTCTATTCCAGAGACGGTGTCAAGAAGCTCACTCTGTACGAGCGGTTCAATAGGTACACCTGATTTTTCCGTCATGGTCTTCAAGTAATTCCGTGATCGTTGCATGAGAACGCGCACGTTCTTATAGATCTCAAGGGCCGCTGCTGCCTCAAACTCGGGATCTGATCGGCCATGAACTGCACGTCGAAGTTCAAGGCGGAGTTTTTCATTGTTCGCCTGTAGGCTATCCCAGAGCAAATCGGCCTCCTCCTTGTTCTGTTTACGCCATTCCAGCACTTTCCTGACCATGGACGGTGTCTGTGACCCGCAATCGACGTCACAAAGGACCATTTGCATCCCAGGTGGCAGTTTCATGCCGACATCCATGAATTCAGTATCCCACGGATGTGCAGAATCCAAGTCTTCCACTGCCGAGAACAGTCTCTCTTCAAAGCCAGACGATCCGACTTCACCAAGACCCTCGAGAATAGACGGAGAGAACCGGCGGTAGGAACATGATCCCCAAATGGCTGCCCCGACATCAAATCCAGATCCCACTTTTCCTTGGGCAGCACAGTGTGCAGCTTGAGCGAGGTTGTGTAACTTGTCTCGGGCGACAATTAGGTCATCCGGGTGCATGGTACGATGGATTAGCAAGGCAGAGACTAATGCCGTCACTAAGGCTGCAGACGAACCCAGTCCTGTTTTGTGGGCATCCTGTAGTGTTACGCCGAAATCATGAAATCCGCCACGGCTTCGAGAATCAATATTTGAATCTTGACGAGAATCGGAGTAATAGTCATTGTCTGCTAGTATTGTAACGGAGAGTGACCCAAGATCTTGGGAGTCGGCTACATAGCTGATATAGGTCAGGGCGTAGTTGAGCGAGGTTTCCACGAATGGGTTTTTTGGCCTGTTATATTAGCAAAGGCCAGAGAGATCTGGATGCAGTAAACTCACCCTTCATTACGCTGTGTAACTTTTACTCCGCCACCATTTTCACATCTTTGTACGCCATATTCCCAGACAGCATCTCGAAATTGTGGGGAGCGCACAATAACGCTCTCTTCGGGGTGATTCTCTAAGGTCTCGTCTGCCCCTGTGTTGGCTGTGGCATCGTCTTTGGGAGAAGATTGAGCCGAGCCGCGATGGCGGTCTCGCTGAAGCTGCTGCACAACAGCATGAATTCGAGCATCGAGAGCGAATACCGTGCCAGTATATTGGCGATCGAGCACCAAGTAGCCTCCTGTGAGAAGAACCTTCCCAGGCGCCGACACAGCGGTCGTAGCGGAAGGGCGGACGGGCATGAGTTTTCGAATCCTGAAACAAAGGTTGTCAGGGATTCATGAGTGGTTTCCGAGTCGATGCACAGGCTAGCAAGTAGAAATGGTGCGCTCTTGAAGCTATGGTTCGAGCTTGCACGTGAAAGTGCTGTGTGAAATTATTTATCAACGATTGTGGTTAAAGGCGATCGATGTAAATAAGCCCCGAGGGGTAAAGCAGCATGCTGGCGTCTGATTGGCGGACCGGACAACCAGGAATTTCCTGCTGCAAGGGGGCCCCTGATTGGCCATTGATCTTCAGGCCAAATTTTGCGCTCGACGATTTTGAAATTATCAACAGGTCAACAGGCATGCTAGCTAACATCAATTGGCATGTAACCGCGCTGGAGACTGTCGGTACAGTGTACAGCGGTTTCGAGGTTCTCACAGCCTCAAGAGCACAAGCACAGATATGGATTGCCCGCGCGGCGCCATGACACATCACATTAGCTAGTTAGTTACGTATGATCGACTCAGATTTAAGTCCCAGCTATCATCGCCGACTCGTTTGAATGCTGAAATTTAATGCATAACTCGGTACGGAAATGGCAGCCTCCGTCGCCTAAGAAAAAGAGCCGGGACGGACTGAGTCATCAGCTCGGCTCGACGCGGCTTCTGCGTCGGGGTTAAGCCAGATGGGCCAATCGGAGCCCGCCTCGAGGTCCGCGGACGCAGGAGGAGCCTTGCAGCCTGAGGATGTCCCTATTCTTCCCTATGGCGCCCTGCGATTGGCTGGCGCGCAGTCATCTGATTCCTTCTCCGACGTTCTGGAAGCAAAACAGGATGGCTTAACTCCGGCCATCCCCTTTTCGGCGCGGTGCCGCCCCTCTCCCCAGGCATCGATTTTCTGATGCCTGCAGATTGATCGCTTTAACTATTAATGACTCGTCTCTCTTTTCACCTCAATCGACACGTCCCAAAAGAAAACACCACCACCTCCACCATCACCACCACCACCGCCCGGCCTCTCCTCTCTTGATCGCGGAGCCTGTCTACGAAGAAAAACATATACATACTGCTTTAATTCATAATATATCTAATTGTTGCGTGGCCTTGTCTGTACCTTCATTTTCTTTGCGCGTTCGTTTGGCGGCAGTCGGGTCGTCAAATGAACCTGCACGGTGCATTCTTTGGGTCCAAAGGTATGCACCATGTGTCCACGGAGTTTCAAGAATACCAGCAGACTGACATCTCGCAGAGTCTCCTCTTCTCTTTGAAGAGGACCCCCATCTGACAAATGGTTTTTAAGCCGTTCACACATCTCGCGCGACAGAACTTTGCCAAAGCCTTCACCCATGGCTACGCTCAGTCGGTAGTTGCTGCATCCCAGTCCACATATACCTCGTCGACGCTTAATCCGCTTACCACCACAACCGGTTCCCTAAAATTCCATCGCACTTCGCAACTGCAAAGCACTTTCCAGAATGCCTCGAGCTCATCGGGTGCTGGCGCCAAGGCCGGTCAATCGACTTCCACTTCAGGCGACTCTGGCTTAGCCGCGTATTATGCTGCTTGGCAACATGCCCAGCAGACAGGCGATGACAGTGATTGGAGACAATTCCAATTCAAGAAGCGGATAGGGTGGAAGCCAAAAGATGAAATCACGGATAAGAGTGAAAATTACTCCCAGGAGAACTCGTCCGGGGATGGCGTTCGGGACCTGAAAAAGGCCGCCGTCAATGTCGATGTGAGCGCCAAGGTGGAGGAAGCTGTTGCTCGCGAAATCCAAATCCAGGAGGAGAATGCCGACGCCGAGGATGATGCTGCAACAATTGTTGCTCCTAATGGCACCTCCGCTGAATCAGAAATCTCTCTAGAGCAGTCAACTGATGCAAATGCGGAGAAATCTTACATTGCATCCAACAAGGTTGCTGACTTGGCGGTAGCAGAGAAGTACGCAGAAATCCCTGCTTCATTCGAAGCACTTCTGCGTGAGGGCCTTACCCCCACCGTCGAGGCATATAACTCTTTACTTCTCGCTGCCATCAAGCTACACACGGATTCTTACCATGCCGTTCCAAAGGCATTGGATGTCTACTCAGACATGCTACGCCGTCGGGTGATGCCAAATCAAGAGACATACAAAACACTCGTTGCAGTATTGGTGTCACGTGCTGTTGAGATTTCCATATCAGGAGCCACGCTTGAGCAGCAACGCATTCGTTTCGGTGGTTTGGAGGAACCTGGCAAGTTCTTGTTCCGCTCCAGCGAACTAGAGAGAGAAATTGTTGCAGAAGACCATTCACTGAGCATTGCGCTTAAGTTATTTGATGCAGCAACCAACCGGCACAGCGAAATGGTCTTCCCAATGGAAGTATACAAATCCTTCATTATTACTTGCGCTGAGGCTGGCCGCGTCGAAGACATGATCCGGATTTATGCTCACATGGAAACACAAAAACTTGTTCCCCATGCCGCTATCTTCCCCTCGATGATTGCGGCATTTTCCAAGATAGGCGATCTGAAAAGTGCTGTTGAGTGCTATAACGAATACCGCGAACTCGCAATGGCAGATGATAATGGCGTATTCAGCATTGTCGAACGTCGGGATGGTGAAGTCTATGCTGCTTTAGTTGGCGCCTATATCACCTGTGGCAAGCGCGATGGTGGTCTACGCTTCTTTGACCGTATTCGCTCGTCCTACGATGATGTTAAGGAGGACCGGGTGTCTCGTTTGGAAGCCGTTGAATCGATCATCGTCCGTGACGCTCTAGTTCAATCCTCAATTAACGCTGGAGACTTCGATGAAGCACTTGCACACGCCACCGCTAAGCTTCGGGACTCTGCTTTGCAGCAGGCCATGGCAAAAATTTGTGTGGCTGCTGCTGATGCCGGAAGCACCGCGGTCGCCATCCAGTCGTATGATCGACTTGTCGCAGAATCAGCAGATGCCATTGGCTCAGCAGTACCCATGCTCGCGTTGCATGTTCGACAAGGTAACGTGCTGGCTGCTCGGACATTCTGGGGCGTCTTGAGTAATCTCGATCAAACAACCTCGGACTTGATTCAACCGACCACCATGTACGCCGTTGCACTCCTCAAGAGCGGCCACGTCGAAGAGGGATTGATGGAAGCACGCAAAATGTTCAACCGAATTCGCAAAGATACTACTGCTCAACAGTTACTTCAACTACCTATCCGCGAAGAGATTGATGAAGCCATCGAGCTTCTCGGCCGTGTCCTCTTGATGGAGTCAGGCATGGTGATCTCCTCTCCTGCTGCCATGACTCTGGTCCGATCCATGGTTGAGAACGGCGGATTGGTCTCCCCAATTGCCGAACATGCTATCTCTAGCTTGGGTCCAATGGGCATCTCGGCACTCAGTGTAGATGATTTGACTCTTGCTCTTCAAGTCCAAGCAGGCATGATCATCAACAACCAGGTTGCCTTCAATGCCCCTCACCTTGTCCGCTTTGCCCACATGGTCGACGTGGCTCTCTCTACCGGTACTCCCCTGGACGTTTTCACCTCACGCCTGGTCGACCAGGCAATCCTGTCAATTTCCGATAGTCGCCCTGATCTGGTTCAGAGATGGCAGGATCAGTTTGTTTCGGTTTCCAGGCAGCAGTCGCTTTCGTCTAGTCGTTATACTCCCGTCTCGGAGACTTCCTCGCAGATCAACTCCTCGACAACGAGCTCCGAAGACAACTACGATCCTTATGCTTACACGACAGACTACAGAGGATCGACGATCATCTCTGACGAATTGGAAGCTTCAACTAGACGCGTTGACGTTCATCTCAACGAAGCTATGACAAAACTACGCAACATCCGTCGTCTCGGTCGCCATCCACGCTACATCACGTATGCCAAGCTCATCAACTCTGCGGCCAAGTGCGGTCGCATGAATCTTGCAAACGATATTCTAGCGATGGCACGACAGGATGTTCCCCTGCTCCCTCAATACAGCGCTGTCAGATATGGTTGGACCTCGATTCTCGATGCAATGGTTGCCGCTTGCTTAACAGTAGGCGAACGTGACCTAGCCTCAAAGTATCACCAGGAGCTGGCACAGATTGGTGCTGCTCCTACTGCAAACACTTTTGGACTGTACATCACCACGTTGAAAGAGTCGACCAAGACATTTGACGAGGCAACTGAAGCCGTGAAAATCTTCCATCGGGCCATCTCCGAAGGCGTCGAGCCGACTTCGTTCTTGTACAACGCTTTGATTGGCAAGCTTGGTAAAGCACGTCGTATTGATGACTGTCTTCTTTACTTTGCCGAGATGCGTGCGAACGGCGTCCGTCCCACCAGTGTCACCTATGGTACCATTGTCAACGCTCTATGTAGAGTCAGTGACGAACGTTTCGCCGAGGAAATGTTTGATGAAATGGAATCCATGCCGAACTACAAACCTCGTCCAGCCCCTTACAATTCCATGATTCAATACTTTTTGAATACCAAACGCGACCGTAGCAAGATCCTCGCCTATTACGAGCGGATGCGCTCGCGGAACATTGAGCCTACCATGCATACGTACAAACTCCTTATTGATGCTCATGCTTCATTGGAACCCGTCAACATGGAATCAGCCGAGAAAGTACTTGAGTCCATGAAGGCATCTGGGCAGCGACCAGAAGCCGTGCACTATGCTTCTCTGATTCATGCCAAGGGTTGTGTGCTTCGTGATTTGGATGGTGCGCGCGCTATCTTCGACAGCGTCATTTCCAGTAAAGATGTGCGTGTTCAACCATGTCTGTACCAAGCTCTCTTTGAGGCCATGGTCGCCAATGGCAAGGTCTCATCTACCAGCGACATAGTCAGCAGCATGGGCAGTCATGGTGTAGAAATGACTCCATATATTGCCAACACTCTCATCCAGGGATGGGCAGCCGAAGGTAACATCCATCAGGCTCGGGAAATCTACGACAGCATTGGCATCGAAAAACGCGAACCTAGCACCTATGAGGCAATGACGCGCGCTTTCATTGCAGCAGACGAGCGCTCCCGCGCAACAAGTGTTGTCCAAGAAATGCTTTCCCGCGGTTACCCATCAGCTGTGGCCGGCAAGATTGTCGACATGGTTGGCGGCAGTGTCACCGCTGCTGCTAGCATTTAGAACGTTAAAAACGCCAACGAAATGGTGCACAGCTTTATCTTTTTTTTACCCTCTTCGCCATTCGATATCCCCACACCGACCTTCATCTTCACAAATCTTAATACCTCCTTTTTCATACCATTTCTAATGACCTACGTGGTGGCATACGAGGGCTGGACCCTCCCACACCCCTTCAGCTCTCGATGGCCTTCTACGTAGGCGTCTTGAAGCGGACAACAGAAAGAAATCCTTTCTCTTTTCTGATCATCTGAAAAAAAATTTTTCTTCTTATAGCATGTATCATACACATATTGTCTGTGTTGGAATGGAAAGCAAAGCAAAAGGTGTTTTCGGCGTTTGTTTTTTTTTTTTTTTTTTTTTTTTTTTTTTTTTTTTTTTTTTTTCTTTTGTCATTTGCATTGCTCGACAGACCAATGATCGAGGAATATCCATACCACTGTTAAGATTCCCTGCGGATAAGTGTTTGGCTTGTTCGAATTTTGTTTTGTTTTGTTTTGTTTTTTCTTTTTTTTTTTTTTTTTTTTTGTGTTGGGAAATCTTTACGGTGGCTGGTTGTGACGATGGGGTGGCGGCGGTGTTGATTTGAATTTTTGATATGGATATAGATAGACACATCTCAACTCTTATGTTTAGTTACTTGTTGGTTCGATAGATTTGTGGACTGGCAAACTAAAAAAATATGAATATAATGAATACGAATTCAATAATTGAATAAATCTAAAGACACTAAAAGCCGGTGAATTAATTACAGTCATCAGGTGATGGGTGCTACATCATCCCATGGCTCGTTTGGAGCCCTGTTTAGGGCCCTTGAAATCATGTCACTACCAATGCTTGATTTAAAGCTCAAATATAAGAAATGTATGTACGTCCGTATATATCAAAATAATACATATCATTAGCGCTTTTTCTTCTCTATAGGGTGTTGTTTTAACCAAAAAGTAAGGTAAAAGCGCTAGGATCTTCGCCCCAAACAAAGGAAAATGATGTTTAGTTCACATTGACAAAATAACAGGCTTGTGATTTGTTTATTGAAACATATGGTGGCTTTGGGTGGTTTCTATATCTTTTTGCTTTTCTTGTTTCTTTTTGTCTGACTGACCCTCTCGAAAAAAAGAAACTTTCTAACCGATCACAAGAGTGTCATCGTCGGGGAAGCTGTACGAGGGAACTTCAAGGTTCAGAGGAGCAGGTCCCTTGCGAATACGGCCAGAAATATCGTAATGGGATCCGTGGCATGGGCAGAACCAACCACCGAAGTCACCGGCTTCACCGATAGGCACACATCCAAGGTGAGTGCAGACGCCTAATAAAATTCAGGCCGATTAGTTCTACTCTCGTTATTGAGAACAGTAGAAGGAAGAAGGCTCTCCATACCAAGCATAATCAGCCATTCAGGCTTCTGCACACGATCCTCATCGGCTTGAGGATCCCGGAGCGATTGGATATCGATGTTATTGGCTTCTTCAATCTCACTTCCAGTACGGTGGCGGATGAAGACGGGCTTGCCACGCCATTTGATAATAACCTATTCATTTAAAATTGCTTAGCCTTTTGTTGTCAGATCTGGAAATATTGTAGACATACGTTCTTGCCCTCGGGGATGGCTCCTAGAGCAACTTCGACCTTAGCTTGAGCCAGGACGTCAGCAGAGGCGGACATGTTGACGAGGAAGTCTGTTATTGGAGGGTCATTGATTAGCTATCATTCTCGTATATTCCAATGGTTTCTCTGTATGCCCGACAATCCCGGTATGCACCGCCAGGTACTCGTTTCATAAGGACGTGAAATTCTCGAAATGCATGGGCAGTAACCATCGATTGAGAGAAGCATTGACGTACCTTGGACGGTGGCCTTTGCTCCAACGGCGGAACCAAGACCCATTGTTCCGGCCACAAAGTACGAAAAGACCTTGTTCGTCGTGGGCGAGACCTTGGACGTGTACTTCTTGAAGTTGGGGATCTTCAGGGTGTCGGTCTCCTCGGAACGGCCGAAAGGACTCTCAAAGGACGATTTGGCAGCAACACCTCGTTGTTGGCCAGCGGCAATGGCGGAGCGGGCGACGTTGGTGGGCAGTTGCTGACGGGCGCAGGCGCGCAAGAGCGCCGTCGAGGCGGAGGTGAGCTGTTGAGACATGGCCGGACAAGCACAGTCGGAGTAAGACGCAGACGCAGGGATAGACGGAGACCGCAATTGGAAACGGCAACAATTGCGTTGGGTTGGCGAGAGGGGAGAAGGCCAGGTGCGAAGAGGAGAGAGAGAGAGAGAGACGTCGGAAGCACGAGGATTTTGGGAGGTTTGAGGTGCCTTCCCGAAAAGCAGCCGGGATCAATCATCTTGCCTGTGATTGGCCAGCGGGACTTACTTAATCCGTACTAGCTCGTCTGGTTGTATCGACTTGCGGCTTCTCTCTTCTGCTTCTACTTGCTCATTCTTCTTGTTTTCTTGCTTTTGGTTTTGTTCATTATGACAATGACAATCATGAAGTACTACTGAACAGGCTCGTTTCTGCTAGAGCAGAGCCAACTACATTGCGCCCGATCCGTTTATCTGCTCGCCTGATGGCATCGTCTTGTTGCTGCTTTGCCCTGTCTCTATCAACGCGAAGTTGGCTGACACATGTAATGCCGTGGTATAGTCAAAAAGTTCCATTGATGAAGTAATCGCAATCAATAGCCTAGCAGCCTCCGCAAACTCCTATGATATGCATGCAAGCTTCCTCAAACATAAAAGAGCAACCAAAACTCCCTCATATTCATTGACAGTACGTGTCTATCCAGTCATTTCAACATCGCCACTTGCAGCATCAGGCTCAGACTCGGCCGACCGGTCAATCATCATAGATACCGTGGGCATAGGGCTCTCTGCTGGAGCTGGCCTGGCCGTTATAAGTGTTTGTCCCCCCGGAAGACGAGCGGCACCATTTTGTCCTATCGCAGCGCTGTCTAAGGTCGTCTGTCCTTTCTCCGCTATAGGCGTGTCATGTGCTATTTCGCGGGCTCTCTTCTCTTTAAATTGTCGATAGGTTGTAGTCTTCGGTATCACATCGGCGAGGAATTCGAGGTTATCAATCCGCGAAACCGCAGTCGCTATTATCACCGTAAATTAGCCTATCACAGACCCTTTTTCCCCCGTGTCTGTTGGAGAGCGTGCGTACCAAGATCCTTGTATTGGATCGTCTTCCGAGGCTTGCGTTCGGATTTGACCACGTTATACCCTTGCTCTGCTATGTATTGAATGAAGAGTTCCTGAGATGGATATCGTATCAGCGTCTGTATTTCGTATGGCGAATGTAGAGGGGATCACTTCATCGGTAGTCAACGTACTGTAGCCATCGCAATGAGAAACGTTGCATTATGTGAGCACTGTGCAATCTCTTCATCTAGCTGGATTATCTTCTTTATTCGGGCCACTGGTCAAACGTGAAGAATTAGATCAGCTTGCATCAGAAAGAGAAAAAAGAAGTCATCCGGAGTCATACGCGGAAGAACAGTCTGGCCCGTGGCTGCGTCTGAGTCTGCGTCACGGTCTGTGTGCATGTCGGAGGGCATCGCGAAATCAAGTTGCTGGACGCGTTGAGCTCAAGAAGCCAAGCTCGTGCCAATTAAAAGTTCAGGTATGTCGATAATTTCGAGTTTTTGAAGTTCGGGGTAGAGTTAAGAATCGCTCGCGAATGTGCTGCAGCTGTAGAAGGAGGAAAGAAAGATTGTGTTGGATCGTCGCGGCGCGTCTGAGTTAATTGGAACCAGTCGGATCCAGCAAACAACTGCCTCTACATGTCTCAAGACTCACACAGCGAAATCATTTTCTTGATGGGCTGATTATTATGCTTTGGAATTATTACTCTCTACACTGTTTTGCTATCCATTTATGAAGAGAATGCAGGACGTCGAAGCTACACTTACAGACCGGTCAAATCAAGATCCCGTCACTGCCTCAGCAACATCTCTGTTAGTAACTCTAGGCAAGGAACCAGAAATCATACACAAATCGCAGTCTTCTCTCGCAAGAGTGTTCACTGTCCACTGTTCACTGTTCGCTGTTCGCAGTTCGCTGTTCGCAGCTGTAGTTGTGGTTAGTTACAAGTTAGGTACTTGCTTATCTTATCGGCTAGCTGCAGCCTTCTAGGGTGGTTCACTAATGTGATCAACTTCACCACATCAACAATAGCCAACTACCTAAAGTCAATCACAACTCGACAACGTCTGCCTACGTCGACGCAACAACAGGTCTTCTGCCGCCGCCCAACTCTCGATTCAAGAGGCCCGTTACAGCCTGGTAGACGTCGGAGGCAACTGCGCTAGGACACACAGCCTATGCGACTGTCCTCAGAATCACCGTTATACTTATGACCATCACTCGCGCGTCGTCCAGCTCCGCACGGCCTCATGCGTTTCTCTCCCCTATAGACGGCCCAGTGCGCCGGCTTTCTGGATTCTCCGTCTCAGATCAGAGCGACAATGGGGTTGGGAACGGAGGAGCCGATCCGCACCCGGCCGTGGCTGAAGAGATCAATGAAATAAAGCGCTACGAGGATTTCTCTACCATTGACTGGGTCCAAGATGCCATCCAAGAACAGTCCCGTCGCCGCGCCCGCCGAAGAGAAGGCCATGGCTTCTGGGATCAAGAGGGAACGTTTGGCTGGCGCCGCAAGCTGTGGGAATCCTACGATGCGGGTCAAGCCTGGCTAGTTGTGACCCTCGTCGGCGCGGCAATCGGGCTCAACGCTGCGTTCTTGAACATCGTGACCGAGTGGTTGTCTGATATTAAGTTGGGATATTGCACCACGGCTTTTTATCTGAATGAGCAGTTTTGTTGCTGGGGCGCGGAAGATGGTGAGGAGCGAAGAGCCTAAAAATCGTTGGTAGTCTTTTGGACTGACAATTCCATTTCTGATTTGAAGAATGTCCGGAATGGCACCATTGGGGCTCCAATGCCTTTCTAAACTATATAGTATATTTCCTTTTCGCGGTACGTTTCTATCTGCCCGTTTCTATGAGCAGCAGTATGCTGACTTCAACAAGATCCTTTTCGCTTTCACGTCGGCTTTTCTAGTCAAATCATTCTCGCCCTACGCCGCAGGTTCTGGTATCTCCGAAATCAAGTGCATTATAGCAGGGTTTGTGATGAAGGGCTTCTTAGGCGCAACCACCCTCTTTATTAAATCAATAGGCCTGCCGCTTTCAATCGCCTCCGGGCTCTCTGTGGGAAAGGAAGGGCCAAGCGTGCATTACGCCGTGTGCACAGGAAATGTCATTTCGCGGTTTTTTAACAAATACCGGCTGAATGCCGCGAAAACAAGGGAAATATTGACTGCTTCTGCCGGTACAGGTGTTGCAGTGGCTTTCGGTAGCCCAATTGGTGGAGTACTGTTCTCTCTCGAGGTTAGTTCCTGTTTCTAAGATACGACCATGTTTTCTCAGGAACTGAAACCCCAAGCAGGAGATGTCGACCTATTTTCCCCTAAAAACTCTTTGGCGAAGCTACTTCTGCGCTTTGATTGCAACCGGTGTCTTAGCAGTAAGTGCATTTAATCATATGCTATCTTAGGGAATGATGTCAGTGAAACTAAATCCGTCACAGGCCATGAATCCCTTTAGGACTGGTCAACTAGTCATGTTTCAAGTCAAGTACGATCGTACATGGCATTTCTTTGAGCTGATATTCTTCGTCATTCTGGGAGTCTTCGGGGGATTGTATGGTGCGTTGGTGATCAAATGGAACCTACGAGTAGCAGCTTTTCGAAAGAAGTATTTGGGACCATATCCTGTGACCGAGTCTGTCGTTCTGGCTGGGTTGACTGCACTTCTATGCTACCCCAATATCTTTCTAAGAATCAACATGACACAAATGATGGAGGTGCTTTTTCGAGAATGTGAAGGCGACAATAACTACGAAGGCATCTGCGAGTTAGTAAACCCAATTTTTTGTTATGCTTCTTTCCATGACGCATTATTAACATGGTATACCCTCTTCTCAGCACTCAAAATCGCTGGCCGATGGTGTTCTCACTCCTTATTGCTACGATTCTTCGCGTCCTCCTGGTCATCATTTCGTACGGATGTAAGGTTCCGGCCGGCATCTTTGTTCCATCGATGGCAATTGGGGCATCCTTTGGAAGAATGGTTGGAATTCTCGTGCAAGCTCTGCATGAATCATTTCCAGACTCCAATTTCTTCGCTGCCTGCGAACCCGATGTTCCCTGCATCACACCTGGGACATATGCTTTTCTAGGCGCAGCAGCGGCGCTCAGTGGAATTATGCATCTCACTGTTTCTGTCGTTGTTATAATGTTCGAAATTACGGGCGCTTTGGTGTACATCCTTCCCACTATGGTATGTCATAACTCTGGAGTTTAACCCATTTCATTCATCAGTGGCTAACTTTTGGTAGATTGTTGTTGGCGTTACAAAGGCTGTTAGTGAGCGTTTTGGCAATGGCGGAATTGCAGATCGCATGATCTGGTTCAACGGATTTCCTTTTCTGGACAACAAGGAAGACCATGTTTTCAATGTCCCCGTCTCCCGTGTCATGACCAGCAGCCCTCTTTATTTACCAGCTTCCGACCTCACCGTGCGCGAAGCAGAACACTTGCTGAACAATAACAAGTTCCAAGGTTTCCCCATTGTCGAGGATCGAGCTAGCAAGGTACTCGTCGGCTACATTGGCCGTACTGAGCTTCGATACGCAATCGAAAAGGCGAGACGCGTGCAACCGCTGGCTCCCAATGCGAAGTGCATCTTCACGCACGAAGCTGCTGCAGCTACTACTAGGATACAAAGTCTTAGGTCCACATCTACTACGCATTTGCAAGGCGCGCCTCAAACATTCGATGAATTGGAAAATACCACCGGTGCTTCAACCGTAGACTTCACTCCGTACGTTCATCATACTCCAATCTCCGTGCACCCTCGTCTTCCCCTGGAAACTGTGATGGAACTATTCAAGAAAATGGGCCCGCGTGTCATTCTAGTCGAGCAACGCGGCCGCCTGATGGGTCTAGTCACGGTGAAGGATTGTCTCAAGTATCAGTTCAAGGTCGAAGCGCAGGAGAACGCTACCATAGCAGCAAACGGATCAAGTCCAACTTGGTCTACTACCAATGGCAACGGTGAAAACCAAGGATCTGTTGCCACGCTTGAAGAGAAAGTATGGTCCTTTCTACAAAAGTTAGGCAAACCATTACGACTACTCGGGGATCGAAGTATAAGGCTTGAGGAGTCTTCTGCGAGGCTTGCGCATCAGCGGAATGATCATGCTGTAGATAATTCTACAGGTGGTAGCCACCAATCTGGTATCCCGCAGGGTACCGAGGAGGATGATATGGTCGAACTAGAAGACCAAGAGAGGTAGTTTGCATGGTCTTCTGCTACAACGATGCATGTATAGTGAGTCGATATTATAGATTTATGACCAATGACAGATTAGAGATGCATTGCGATTAATTGCGTCTTCCGGCATATATGTTGTTTCCCCCTGTATAACTAGTTATCTAGGTATAGTAGAAATTTCTATTTCGAATGGTTCGCTCCCGCACTATGGTCGCTCTGCGCGACCTCATCGCGATATGGTTCTTGAATATCCGCAACATCGAACCCTTCTTCATGCAGCGAAATAGCTTCTTCTTCCTCTTCTCGTTCTCGCTCCCCCTCTTCTTCATTGTCTAGTACCCCTTCGTCCGGGCCTCCTTGCGCATTACTACTAATGCTCTTCTTATTCTCATCCCTCATGCCAACAACAATACATCCAGCTCCCATCATCCCAGCTCCAAGCCACCACAGCCCACCAACACGTTCATTAAACACAATCATGCCCAGAATCGCAGTAACGAGGAAATTGGCCGATGTGTTTGTGATGGATACTTTGGTCGTGGAAGGCGCAGCGGTTAGAGCGCGTGTGAATAGAGCCCACATTATGAAGTTGCTGAGGAGGTTGAGGCCGAAGCATATCTATTTAGTTATACAATATTAGCCAAGTATCCAGAGGTATCTCTGAGAGGTGGGTTTTATGTGTACCGCTCGAACTATAGCTTCGACCATTCCGTCAGGTAGATGCAACGCATGCGCAATCTTGATTGCTGCGGATCCGGTGGCTTCGGTTGTTGTTCTATGACAAGTCAGTCAATAAGTTGCGTTCATTTTAGCAAATTAAGAAGAAACATACAATTTCGCGAATAATCCATTCAAAGCCGCAAATGCACCGCTCGCAATTGCGAGTGTAACCCATCTTGTAACTGTAATTGAGGTTTCCCTTCGATCAAAGGAGAAGAAAGTCGTCATAATGAATTTGTACTGGCTTCAATCGCCTCTTAAATCTGGATGGCGACTGGTCACTTCGTGTGTCAGAGCGTGTAGGCAAGTATCATCCATGAAAGCTGCGCTTGTTGATGATGGAGAGTCGTTAATTGATAGCTAAGCTGATAGGCAGGGATGAATGCCCCAGGCTCCCACTGCGGGAGCTAACTGCACTAGCATTGTAATCGTAATACAATATATAATTATAAATTACACGCTCGATTCACTAGTTGACTTATACTCTATCAAGGCGACAATCTTTCTATACGCCATTTAAAGTCTTCAGCAGCATGGTCAGTCTGTCCTACACGAACATACCGGAATCGATCATGTAGCCGGCTGGCACGACCTTGCCAGAACTCCACGGATTCGGGGACGACTCGAATCCCTCCCCAGAACGGCGGTAGAGGAATATTCTCAACATCCGCAAACCGAGCTTCCGCATCCTTGACGCGCTGTTCCAGCTCATTTCTTCCGTCGTCGAAATCCGGATCCTTCAATTCATCCGGAGGTGGGAAGCTCTCGGGACTCGCGGACCACATTACTTTACTCTGCCAACTCGCCCAGGCGCCAATTTGGCTCCCCCTCTCTCTAGTGCGCCAGTATAGCTCACTCTCTTCGCGGGACAACGGTTCTATCAAGCCCTCAATTCTCACCTGGCGCTCGACAGTTGACCAGAAAAAGGTCAACGCTGCCCACTTGTTTCCTTCGTTAAGGGCAGCAGAATCGTGAATGCCGCCAGGCACATTTCCGTCAGCCGATGAAGCAAACCCACTCCCAAATATCTGCTGGCCTTTTCCTTCCTTGCTACCCCAATTGCTGTAGATTACCCATCCCCGTTCATCCAGCTCTTTGAAGTAAAGCATCCGAGCACTAATGCGACCCGAAGGTAGAGATGCCGTCGCCAGCGTGCATGTCTCTGGCGCTGATGAACGAGGTAGTCGTGGGTCTTTAAACCACTTGTGGAACTGGTGTAATGGGTTTGTAGGATGCAATTGCGCAATGGTCAGGGGGGGGTTGATCACGAATTGATGCGCTCGAGCCGGATGCGATACAATCTCTTGTTGCATCACCGACGACGGCGTCGATGTGCCCGAGCGTGCTATGTCATCGACGAGGTGGGTAGCTGCTGACTTGATGGTGTTTGTTTCTTGTTCGGCATCAGCCGGTCCTGAGATATCACCCGGTGCGACTTGACGGCGTATGCTTCATGGTTAGCGTAGCTTCATAACCAACTACCCCGCCTTACATGTCTTCTGGGAACGCCATATCACTTACACACCAGTCTCTTTGGGTGTTGTGTTCCACTTGAACTACTGAAATCCTGCGCTTTTATTAGCTTCGTTCTAATAAAAAAAAGAATTGGGAAGAGCGGATGCTGCTTACCTTTTCTGCGGTCATAGCGATGCGGGTGACTGCCCTCAACAGCGGGCAGCGAGGGACTGATCTTATAAATGGGATATGGCGACTGAGAAACAAATGGCGAAAATGCATTTACCAGAGTCAGCAAACCGGAGGCTTGTCATATGTTTCGGCTGTCTGAATTGACGGTTGTCTGATCTCCGGAGTAGATTGCGTGGGGTGGTCAACAGCTAACAGTATTTGATATATAATTACGATACGATATGTATCAAAAATACCATCATTACCAACGGACGACCCTGCAGCTTGGCATTATCACATGATTTGCCGTCCACATCAGATTTTTTTTTTTTCTTCCCTCTTGATCTTGTTCTCTACCATTGGAATTTCCATTGGTCCACCGACGGCAAAATGAAATACGTTTTTGTTTCAGGAGGTTAGCTTGATAGGACTCTGAAAATTAATATCAAGCTAACTTATAATTCAGGTGTCATATCGGGCGTAGGCAAGGGCACGATTGCCTCCAGCGTCGGCCTGCTCCTCCAGACCATTGGTCTCACGGTCTCGAGCATAGTATGTTTCTTTTAGAATCAAGTTCTCTCCTTTAGTTGTCTCGGGTCCCGGGAAACATCTGTATCATATAGGTGCTAATTCTAAATTTTCTGCATAGAAAATCGACCCGTACATTAATATCGATGTAAGTCGCTCATAAGCGCTCAATTGTCTCTCCTTTGCAGTCGGCAGTCGTCTTTTTAATGTAGCATCACTAACCAAGCATGTTTCCAGGCTGGAACCATGTCCCCGATCGAGTTCGTGCTTGCCTCCTGACTTCGGCTGACCCGTATACTGATGTGATTTTGTAGGCATGGTGAGGTCTACGTGACTGATGGTAAGTATTTTAAGGCCAAGCATTTCCCTATTCGAAGCTCGAGTTGTCTCTCGGTCAGTTGTTTTAGGTTACTAACACAATAAAAATAGATGGTGTATGTATTCGAGAAAACAAACCGTATCTTAAACAACATTCTGATCTTGTTAGGGCGAAATGGATCTTGATCTGGGCAACTACGAAAGATACCTCCTTACCACGCTTACTCGAGACCACAATATCACAACTGGCAAAATATATCAGCACGTCATTGAAAAGGAACGTGTCGGCCAGTATCTTGGCAAAACGGTTCAGGTGTAGGTGCTAACACCTTTGATTTTCAACATCTCACTAATCTAGCCAGCGTGCCTCATATCACCAACGCTATACAGGATTGGATAGAGCGCGTTGCCAAAATGCCTGTTGATGAATCTGGACTTGAACCCGACGTCTGCATTATAGAGCTGGGTAAGTACAATCTCGACCCATAGGCTCGAAATTATAGCTTACACAAGAAAAGGCGGTACCGTCGGTGACATCGAGAGTGCTCCGTTTGTTCACGCTGTCACCCAGCTTCAAAGGCGCGCTGGAAAGAAGAATCACGCCCTAATTCACGTCTCATATGTTCCCGTGCTCCCGTAAGCTCTTCTACTCTGGAAATTTGAGAACGATATAAGTCTCACAGCCAGCTAGACCAGGACCCGGGGGAGAACAGAAGACCAAGCCTACACAGAGGGCTGTCATGGACGTACGAAGCGCCGGCCTGAACCCAGATCTAGTACGTTATCATACCTGTTCTTGCTACAAAAGTAACTCAAACTAAATAAACATGTTCAAAAGATCGCCTGCCGCTGCGAGCAACCTTTGGAAAATGGTACCATTGACAAAATCGCGAACATGTGCCAGTTGGAACGGGATCAGGTAATCGCCGTGCACAACGTGTCAACTACATACCACGTGCCGCTGCTTCTTGAGAAGCAGAAGCTTTTGGGCATCCTTGGTGATCTCCTTGATCTTCCATCTATCCAGCGATCCGCTCCGAGGATTGAACAAGGTGGCCTGATGTGGAAGACCTGGATCGATCTTGCCCAGGGCCAGGAGCACCTACACGACACCGTGAAAATTGCGCTTGTAGGCAAGTATACCTCGCTGCATGACGCATATATCAGTCTCCACAAGTCCTTTGAGCATGCAGCTATGCACTGCCGCAAAAAGCTCCAACTTATCTGGGTGGACGCATCGCATCTCGAAGACGAGACTACGGAGCACTCACCAGCTGAATTTCACAAGGCATGGCACGCCGTTTGCACGGCCGATGGCAGTAAGTGTTCCACACCGACCTTCATCAGTGGTATAAAATACTAAAACTTTCGTCTAGTCTGTGTTCCAGGCGGATTCGGCACACGCGCTACGGATGGCATGACCAAGGCGATTACATGGGCGCGCACCAAGAACGTGCCTTTCCTCGGTATCTGTCTTGGTTTCCAGCTAGCGGTCATCGAGTATGCAAACAATGTTGCGCAGATTGAGGATGCGGGCAGTGAGGAGCTACATCCGCATGCCGAAAACCATGTCATAGTCTACATGCCCGAGGTACGTTCAGTCATCGAACCCTTCCAACATCAGCTGCTAACACAACGTACAGGTCGACAAGACCAAGCTCGGTGGCACGATGCGGCTGGGCAAGCACGCCTGTGTGTTCCAGGCGGGCACTGAATGGTCGCGGCTACGAGCGCTGTACGGATCGGCGCCGCAAATCTTGGAGCGACACCGACATCGGTACGAGGTCAATCCGGCCGTGGTCGATCAGCTTGAAAAGGCCGGGCTTACCTTTGTTGGCAAGGACGTCAAGGGTGAGCGCATGGAGGTCGTCGAGCTGCGCGAACACCCTTGGTTTGTAGGCGTGCAGTTTCACCCGGAATATCTGAGCCGCGTGCTCGCACCCAGCAAGACCACTCTAGGATTCTTTGCCGCGGCGGCCGGATGCTTGGATGAGATCACCAAATCACTGAACAACAAGAGCTAGGCAATCTATTGTCGATTGGTACATACTCCAGGATACAGTGCGGTTATAATTATACCATTGGATCACTCACGAGAGAGACGAGAGTTGTAGATTTTTGGGAGAGAGGTTGCATAGATCAGCATTATTCCCCGCACTTCAGCCTTGTAAAAAAAAATGAGAAAAAAGCGTTGCCTTTCTCCTGAGGCCGCTGATGGACGACAGCAGAGTTTCAAGTAGCTGAACCCAGCTACAGCAGAGACTTACCAAACTTCTAACGGAGGCCCAGATTACTGGCTTGGGTAGCATTTCATGGGCAGTTTGGCCGTTGTCATCAGCAAGCATACTATAATACTAAATAGCGATATTAGTTGATCAACTAGTGCTTAGTCTTGTCTATATACTACGCACATTAGAGAAATAAAGATATCTTGATAACTCCGATTGCGGCGGTAGACACAATCTAACCAGTTAGTTCCCTGATAATGATACGCCTCTTGCAAATAGTAATTGTAGAGGTGTTCCTCCGTGATGCTACGATAACGGCGTTGCCGGGATACATCGAGCTTTGTACTTTCTAGTTTATTAGCCCCTTTCTTGGAGACTACTGCAAGGCCCCTGGAAAGTGCTCTGGGAAAAGAGACCATCACGGGGAACTCCTCGCACGCTTGCTTAATGCTGCTAGGGACATTCGTTTCTCCCATTTCCCGACCGCAAGTTCTTCCATGCTGCCGTCAACGCCAGGCTGGTCAGAATGTTCTCCGCGAAAATAGCACCGTCTCGGATCGGTATCAGCCTGTTCGAACGTGTGAACAGTTGTCGATACCATTAAGGAACTCGAGATGTCTATCTACCCGTACTTGTCTGGAGACTTGCTTCGTTTAAGTCAGAAAGATCTGTCCAAGGAGTCCAGAGAGCTGGTGCCGGTCCCGGCAAAACCAGGCCTCAGACGTATTTTCTTCTGGGATCGTGGTATGACTGCCTTTGTTGAGAAAAGAATAAGGGGGTCCTATATTACTAACATGGCTCTTTGAGATGATTTATGTGATGGTCCATGAAATGGTTTGGTGGGCAAGATGACCAACTTAAACCCAGTGAAAAGGCTTACTGCAAAGGAAGCGCTGCCAACACCATTGGTTTAGCGAATCTGGTTAATATAGTGCTCTATGATATATGTGGCATGGAGGTGGATGAAGTATCTCTTTCGACTTCCGCAATAAAGTCCACTTCAAAGAAAAAACAAGCTGAATTGCTTGGAAGATATCTGTATACTAAAGAAATGATCTTCTCGTGAACTTCATAAAGTGAAGCCTTATGGCTGGTAACGCACGTGACTATGTACATGTATGGCCTAAGGCAGTGAAGTTATGTAAGCGTGGTCTGACGTTAGTTAACGTAACCGGTAAGCCACCCGGCCATGTAAGCGACCCGGCCACCTCCGCCCGGAAACGCGTTCTATATGAATTTCTAATCACAATTTTCAACCCAAAATAATAATTATATATAAAAAAACTAATTACTAGTACGATGAGGGCATTGAGGCCTTCTATGCCCGAGAATACCACACTCACTACACTTAAATTGGCGGCGTACGATCGCTTGCGAGGCTGGCAGCTCAGGCTCAGCCGGAGCAGTAGTAACACTTTGAGATGCCTCAATCTGACTTTGTACAAGCGCCTGAGCTTCCTCTCTAGTAATTCCTTGCTCATGTTCTATCTGCTTCCTAGATCGTCTGCGTTTTTGCTTCTCCTTCTCATGTGCAGCCCGTAAATCATGAACTTCTTTCCCTAGAAGTATAAGGCTATTCGCGGTCATTTCGTACGCCTTAGACATCCGATCAATTGCCTCATCAACTGAACTTAATGGGCTTCCTGTACGCTGGCTTATACGCCTCTTTATTGTACTCAATTGACGTTTAAATTGGCGTGGATTTTGAGGTGTTTGTAAGCAGGATGATTGAGTATTACTCGATCGACTTGGGGGAGGTGTAGGAGTCTTAAGCTGAACAGTAAGCTGTTGATAGACTTGATCTGGATTATATGGCACTAATCCAGTGGCTATGAAGCCCTTCCGAATAGTCTCAGCTTTATATGCCATCGTACGGGCCTCTGGAAATGCAGTAAGAAAATCGATTTTGTCGATGTGATTGAATCCAAGCCTCATCCGCTGCTCAACAAGCTGTCCATATTTCCGCTTTATAACTGCAAAACAGCTAACATCGAGAGGCTGCAAGAGATGAGAGGAATGTGGAGGCATGCAGACTGGAATAATATTATTCTCAGTGCATGTACGGTCAAATTCCGCAGTTAAATAACTTCCATGGCCATCGAGAATCAGCATTCGATATCTTCCCATTGTACGGCCATTTGTAAGAGGAATAAAGTGATTTTGAAGCCAATCCATGCCAATATTATCGGTTGTCCATCCATTGTCGCTAATATTGATTTTCCAATTATCTGGAAGAGTCTCAAACCAGCCTTCTTGCATATATTTTGTTGCTTTGAAAATTATGTATGAAGGCAGAGCCCATCCAGTAGAATTAACTGCCTCAATTGAAGTTACCCATTCTCGATTGCCAGGTTGTAATAGCTTTGGACGGGCATATCGATCGCTCCCAGTAATAACCTTTGCAGTTGCACAGAGTCCCATAGCAAAGCCAGTCTCATCGAAGTTATAGATATCTTCCGATAAGATGCCATATTCTAATATAGCCTCTCGTACGCGGTCAAAATATTCTTGGATTATCTTTGGATCTTCGCATTTGGCACGTTCATAGTTATATCTTCGAGAAAATCGCGATTTGAGCTCTGAGCGACGTTGAACCAGGTTATAAACCCATTTTTCTCCAACCTGTTGATTTCCGTGTTGAGAAAGAAGATAGTTGGCCATTTCTCGTACCATAGATGGCCGGGGAGGTAATCCTCGCCTATCTAGATCTAATATCCATCTAATAAGCGATTCCTCTTCAAACTGAGTGAATTTATGACTGTTGGCGCGTTTTGTATGTTTATATTGTGTTCCCTTCAGTCGGTCTTGGAGAGTTGTACGAGGGATAGTATAAACCCGTACAGCTTCACGAATACTTTGAATATTCCCATTTTTTAAATCGGAAATAGCTAATTGAATCTTTCCTTCTAATTCAGCTGATTTTGAAGGATTTTTCTTGCGAATTGGTGGCATATTGACGCGTTGAAGTTGTAAGATCGAAATAGAACGCGTTTCCGGGCGGAGGTGGCCGGGTCGCTTACATGGCCGGGTGGCTTACCGGTTACGTTAACTAGTTGATGCCTTGGAGCCTGACAGGCTCCTAAGAAGAGTAAACTGGATCTTTAAGGTTTCGATAGGAATTTGACTAGATCTTCGTATAACAGATAGATGTATATAGTGCATGACGAGTTTTGGCCTTGTAAGAACGTTCGACGCCATGGACCGGGGATAGCGTAAATACATATATAACTCTTCAGCAACCTTGGATCCGAGATAAGACTTTCAATCACTGACCAGCTACCATCTCACGCATATAACCGATTTTGTATGGAAAGAAGTACAACATGGATGACTCAACGCCAAATCGCGGCATTGTGGTGTTCTCCGGCGGAAGTGCAGCCAACAGCCTGGTCGACGCCTTCGACACCGTGAGGGCCAGCAAACAATGCCTCCTGAACTACGTTATTCCTATATCGGATAATGGTGGCTCTTCGTCAGAGTTAATCCGAATTTTTGGTGGACCTGGCATTGGAGATGTTCGAAGTAAGAGGAAATCTCTCCTGTCGGCGATTTTTGCTTCGGGTTTTCTAACCACACAGCGTAGGCAGACTGGTGCGATTGATACCAGACTCGGCGCCAAACTCAGAACGAGCTGCAATCAAGGCTCTCTTCAATCACCGGCTGAATGCCGATGCCACTGCTGCCAGAGAAAACTGGCAGTCCATTGTCGATGGCACCTCGTCTCTGTGGTCGTCCATCACACCGGCCAAAAAGGAACTGATAAGGTCTTTTTTCAATTACTTGAACCTCGAGATTCTAAAACGAGCCCGTCCGCCTACGTCTACGTTTGACTTCACCTCTGCGAGTGTTGGCAATTTATTTCTAACAGGCGCGCGACTCTTCACTGGCAGCTTTGAGAGCGCCATTCACCTACTGGGAAGTATAGGCGGAGTGCCATCGGATTTAGTCCGTGTGATACCGGCCATAAACTCGAATTTCTCACATCACATATCTGCATCACTGGAAGACGAGTCCGTCATTGTAGGACAGAACAGCATTTCCCACCCGAGCAATGCCCCCGGATCGCCCATACTGAACAGGAGGCCCAGTTTGCTGCTAGCGGACGGAGATCCAGACGACTACGACTCTGATTTCCTCGAAATGGACGATGCTACTTCCTATCAGGACGATCATCTACCAGGTTCACTGCCCAGTTTGCGTTACAAGAATATCACCTTCAATAAAACCGACACCGAGGAACTTCCCTGTCGCATCTCACGCATATGGTACATCAATCCGTATGGCCAGGAGATTCGACCACCAGCAAATCCACGCGTACTAGAAGCGATCAACGACAGCCAAGCTATAATCTACAGTATTGGCTCTCTATATACATCACTTATACCATCACTTATTCTGCGTGGCGTTGGTAAAGCTATCGCCATGAGTCCCGCACGGCACAAGATCCTGATTTTGAATGGCTCTCTAGACAGAGAAACGGGTCCATCATCAAAACCATTCACAGCCGTCGACTTTGTCGAAGCCGTTGTTAAAGCGGGTGAGGAGAGTCGCGGAAGGGGGGTTTCGAATACATTGCAACAGCGACAGCAACAACATCAACGACCACAAGATGGTGGCAATTTTAGCATGGACTCAATCGTGGGCAGTTTAGCAGGCTCTACTACCACGATTCAATCTTCCATGCCATGTGTCATCGAGCCACCGCCACCATCTTCTTTAGAAAGCAAAAAGCCACTTCCTTATACATCGTATGTAACACATATTCTGCACTTGGAGGGACCGGGAACGCCGACAGTGGACCGTGAACAGCTATCTGCCATGGGAATTGAGACACTTCGTCTTTATGGCCGCAAAATATTGGCAAACGATGATGAGCAGACCGTTTTGGGAATCCGATATGATCCTACAGCGCTCGTGCAGGCATTGGAGGTTGTGCTAGGCAAGAAGGGGGATGCAATGCTTCGAGGGAAATTGGGCGGAGGTGTTAGTAGGCGGAATACCTTGGAAGGAAGTTGGAAAGAACGATAGTACGTTTGTGATTGATTTATAATGCACCAAATGTAATAGTAGTAGTCATGGATAGTTCATAATACATGGTTGGCCATATCCAACTTGGCCAAGGTAGGCAAGTGTATGCGACAGTGATGAGAAGATACCAGGTTCCTCCACCGTTCAAGGATAATATGAAGGTATATCTTTGATCGACAATAATATCTAGGTGTCTCTCGGGATCCTCTATTTCACCAAAAGCCACTTCGTTGTTCTTTCCTCTCTCGCCCCCATTCAGGAGGTTGGAAACTGTGTCAAACTGATATTTCTCACCACGTCTAGACAGTAGATACTAGACATCAATTGACGCGTGGAAGGACCCGAATGTTGGTCTCAAAGGGTTCATGATCCCTATCAATGGATCATGGGTAACGCCATACATGTCATCCAAAACGTAGGTTTTCATAGCTTCGTACATTCATTCCGTCACGTCATGAAGGCTGCTTCAACTTGAACTGCAAAGGAATGAGATCGCGTCTGGGGCCGGGTGTATCTTTCCTTGAAAGGAGCTTTCGACATGCGGGACATTTTCCTCGGCTCGCTTTGCCCGTCGTAGTTTCGGATCGCCCCTCCTCATAACGGAGAGAATCAATAATACACTTGTGACAAAACATGTGTCCTGCATACCTCATACGTCAGTGTTCCTGCAGTGATATACTAGGCGAGAAGAGAGGAGGAGGAAAGTGCACGCATACCGCATACTGTGGTTGTTGCATCGGTTGGCGTATCCATACAAATTGCGCATTTCGTGGCTGTTAGAGTCGTTCGCCCTTCCCTGTCTTCCGTTGCAGCTTGGGCTTTGATAGCATCTTCTCGCTGCTTGGCGAGAACCTTTGCTAGAGAATTGTCATCGTTTATTTCGGTCAGATCCACAGCCTCGATTTGGTCATCCTCTGCTTCTGCTAGAGGCCGTGGTGCGGAAAGTTCGTCGGACGAAGATGATGCACCTGCTGAATAGGAGGGGAAGGAGCCTGATGCGCCACCGCCGTCTACTCTTCGCCGCTTAACACTTCGTCGTTCGGGACTTGCGTTTGGATGTGAGGACGGTCCTGGCTGCGCATTGAAATCGATCTGGTTGGATGTCAGGTCAATGACGGCTGACGATTGCCGTTGTGGCATGCTTTCTTTATTTCTTGTGCGGCTGACCACCGAGAGGGAGAGGAAGCGAGAAGTAGCAATCAAGGTAGTCTCTACTTTATCTCGAAACAGTAGTCGACGAGAAGGATTTTCGTGTAGGTACTGGCGAGATTGGCTCGTAACTTGATGGCGGCGGCGTGAGAAGAGTCGTTGCTCGATGCAAAGGGGTTCGGCTCTAAACAAAATGAAACAAAAAGAAAACGAATATGATTTATGAGAGGAAAGATAGCAGAAGTACAAACTTGCTAGGCACGAGAGAAGCAGCAGTGAGATGCAATGTTGATGTCGGCGGCGGCGGCGGTGGTTGTCGCATGCATGCCCGGCCTGAAAAGTTAGGCTTATCGGAGCGATAGCGCGCTGCCTGAGGCAGCAGTGCGTCTCCTATCGGACTCGTTGAATCATCCAGATCCACCCGGCGATCTGAACTAAATCCATCCAGCCAGGAGGGAGGAAACAATTTCATCTCTCCTGCCCTTCCGTTGCCAGCTGAATAAAAGCACCCGGCAGAGTACCCTGCACCTCACGAAAAAATGGTTTAGCAGTGCCGTCCTGGCTGTTCTTTTAATGCTGCGGTGGTCTGCGCATACGCCCCCTGCTAGGGGAGTGGCGAGATCTTCTGTCGCAATTGCACGCAGGAGGATCCATCTCAGAAAAGACGTTAGAACTCCCATTTTTACTTCGCATATTCACACAGGAGAGAGAAATGTTAAATCACTTTCGGGTATGTCTTGGAAACCCCTCCCTTCGTGGCTCATAGTACTGACAATTTTCAGTACCGTCTTCTGCCAGATTCAATGAGATTGGAGTTCAACAGCTGAGCGACTATGTACATTCCCAAATATTCCCGAATAAACCAAATCCTCCAGATGAAAGGCTTGTCGCTCTATCGAAAGATCACCTGTCCCGCCATGACTTGCTGGGCAAATCCCAGCAGGCTGCCGATCCCATCGCATTCGACTTTCCGCCACTGGTTGGCCAGACATTGGACGAACATTTCCACAAGCTGGCAATGGATGCTTCCGAACCGTATTTAAGCATTGCGAAATCCTACTCGTTGGTGAACGCACCGCAGATGCCCCGGAAATGGGCAAAGCGGAGCGGGTGGACAAAGTACAATAGTGATGGCTCCTGGGAATCAGTGGACGCGCCGGACGAGTCTGCCCTGACCTTTGACACGGAGGTTCTTTACAAGCAAAGTCCGTTTGCCGTCATGGCGTGCGCAGTTAGTCCCACTGCGTGGTACGCATGGCTCTCCCCGTGGCTCCTTGGTGAATCAGAGAATGATCGCCACCTCGTTCCGCTAGGCGATATGTCCAAACCTAGAATTATTGTCGGACACAATATTGGATATGACCGAGCTCGAATTTTAGAGGAATACGACATTAAACAGTCACGCAATTTTTTTGTCGATACAATGTCCCTCCATGTGGCAGTAAACGGAATGTGTTCTCAACAACGACCTACCTGGATGCGACACAAAAAGAATAGAGACCTAAGAGATAAAGTTGCCAATGATAGCAATGCCGTTGAATTGTCCGCATTGCTTGAAAGCAAGATGCTCAGCGAAGAGGAAGAGGAGTTATGGGTGGGACGAAGCTCAGTCAACTCGCTCCGGGACGTCGCTAAATTTCATTGCGACGTGACCATCGACAAATCTCAGAGGGACTATTTTGGAGAGTTGGAAAGGGACGGAGTATTGAGTCGCCTAGATGAGCTTTTGGACTATTGCGCCGCGGATGTTGCTATCACCCATAGGGTTTACAAGAAAGTTTTTCCAAATTTCCTCGAAGTCTGCCCTCATCCTGTCAGCTTTGGAGCCTTGCGCCATCTTTCTTCTGTTATTCTACCAGTGAATGAATCCTGGGCCCAGTATCTTGAGAGCGCCGAGAGTACGTATCATCAACGTCTTAATGACGTTCAGAATCGCTTGGTTGAGCTCTGCGAGGAAGCCTTGAAGGTAAAAGATGACTCTGATAAGTATCAGAATGATCCTTGGTTGCGTCAGCTTGATTGGTCTGGCCAAGAAATAAAAATGGTCAAGGGTAAAAAGAAAGGGGATCCCCCTCGCCCAGCGGCAAGACAGAAAAAACCCGGCATGCCTAAGTGGTATAAGGATCTTTTCCCGACTAGCAACGCCGACATCAATCTTACAGTCCGAACTCGAATTGCACCAATCCTGTTGAAATTGTCCTGGGATGGTCATCCTCTTATTTGGTCTGATAAGTTTGGCTGGACATTCAGAGTCCCTGAGAATGAAGCCTCAAGCTATCAGAACCAGCCGGTTACTCGTTGCGATATGTTTGACGAGACCAATGCAGAACTCCGAGACGATAGGAAACATGTTTATTACAAGCTCCCACACAAGGATGGACCGCAGGCTCGGTGCATCAACCCCTTAGCTAAAGGCTATCTAACCTACTTTGAGCGTGGAACTCTTTCGTCTAAATATGCGCTCGCTAAAGAGGCGTTGGAGATGAATGCGTCCTGTTCATACTGGATTAGCGCTCGCGATAGAATCATGAGCCAAATGGTTGTGTATCAGGATGAGCTGAAGAGCAAAACCAAGAAGACTGAGAAGCAGCTCGGTTTTATTCTACCTCAAGTTATCCCAATGGGCACAATCACCCGTCGCGCTGTGGAAAACACGTGGCTCACTGCTAGCAATGCCAAAGCCAATCGAGTCGGATCCGAACTCAAAGCCATGATCAAAGCTCCACCTGGTTATGTATTTGTTGGCGCCGACGTTGATTCTCAAGAGTTGTGGATTGCAAGCTTAGTCGGTGACGCGCAATTTCAGCTACATGGAGGTAATGCTATCGGCTTCATGACGCTGGAAGGCTCTAAAGCCGCCGGGACCGATTTGCACTCACGAACTGCATCAATTCTTGGTATCTCTAGGAATGATGCCAAAGTTTTTAACTATGGACGCATCTACGGGGCAGGGTTGAAATTCGCCGCTACTCTGCTTCGTCAATTTAATCCATCGTTAAATGAGAAGGAGACCAATCAAATTGCTTCCAAACTGTACAAAGAAACCAAAGGTGCCCGCACAACGCGCAAAATCTTAAACGATGGACCTTTTTGGCGCGGAGGAACGGAGTCCTTTGTCTTCAACAAGCTGGAAGAGTTCGCCGAACAGGAACGGCCGCGGACGCCAGCGTTGGGGGCTGGTATAACTGAGGCTCTCATGCGTCGTTTCATTAACAAAGGCAGTTTCATGACCTCGCGTATTAATTGGGCCATCCAGTCTTCGGGCGTGGATTACCTACACCTCTTGATAACGGCGATGGACTATCTCATTCGACGCTTCAACGTTGACGCTCGATTGGCTATCACTGTACACGATGAGATTCGTTATCTGGTTAAGGAAGAGGACAGATATCGCGCTGCGATGGCTTTGCAAATCGCCAATGTCTGGACCCGTGCCATGTTCTCCCAGCAAGTCGGTATTGACGATCTTCCACAATCATGCGCATTTTTCTCCGCAGTCGACATTGATCATGTTCTCCGAAAAGAAGTGAACATGGACTGCGTCACACCTTCTCACCCACACAAGATCCCGCACGGAGAAAGCCTGGACATCAACCAATTGATGGAAAAGGGAACGGACGCGTATCTCGACCCTTCTATCCAACCGTCCTTGGTACCTACACCCACGAAGCACTCTTATACACCAAGACAATCGGTGATGTCGGCTCTCCAGAGCTCCAGCGATCTTCCATTTATCAAGGCACAAATTACCGGTGATGACAAGGAACTTCGAGACATCATCAAGGAAAAGACGGCGATTTTGGCGAAGTCGAAGTCTACCACCGCTACCACAACAAGCCGTCAACGAACGAATGCTGCTGCGTCCAAGCCTGCGAGTGCACCTCAGCGAGCGTTGCTCATCGAGGAATGGAATAATTACGGTCGCCAGCAATATCCGAATTCCAAACCAAACAGCGCATTCCCATACACCAAACATCCCTACAAACAAAGGCCCTCTGCCCGCGCGTGATGTGGCAGACTGCTTTACTTAATAGCTTATAATGTCTTCTTCATTCGCTTTTGTATATAAAATTATCTACCTGTACCACGACCCTTTCTTCCATCATTTTCTTCATTCCACCCCATATTCGTGTCGTGATATGTGCTCACTTTATATGTATGTATATTTGACGTCTTATCTTTTCTCATGTGTGTGGTCATATCCGAGTGCATTGGGTCGGTGTTGTGACAGAGTTCGGCGGGTTATGGAATTGACGTGTATGTTTAATCATCCTAATTGATGTCTTGTACAGTTTTCTCGTGTTGAAATCGTGGTTCCTCGTCCTACTGACTTCTGTCAGTTGCGAGGGCCAGACACATTTACGCAGATAAAAGAAAAGCGGATCTCGGTTGATATTCAATGCCAGAACGTCTTTCAAATCATTTATAGTTTCCTAAGTTGGGGGTCGCAACAACTATGGCTGATTCGTCCTTGAGCTCGCGAAAAAAAAAAGAAGCCGCACCAGAGAGCTTGAATATGATATCGCGAAGGTCTTTGATCTTCATGTTGCTCTTCTTTCTGATCTTAGCCATAAAAGTTCGTGTCCTTAGCAATAGAGGCCTCGATGTCATGCTTAAGATTCCTGAATTCAGGACCACCATCTAGCTTAGCTAGTTCTCAAGCTCGTTGCGAGGGGGCCAAAAAGGGGTTGCATCAACTTCAGTGTAGCCCACATCAGCGTCTCTGCTTCGTTCACGCCCATGGGTCGGTATCCGAACAATCCATCCGTATGTCTCAAGTTTCGGCGCAACACTTGGTGCATAAAATTGGTATAGTAAGAGGCTCTGTCCATTCCGATTTATCGACATGACGATCTTGAAAATCTTCTTCATATGCCTTCATGACCGATAAAACATCTTCGAGAACCTTCCTCTTCTTGGGGGCATTCGAAAGAGGCCACTCCATTGTTCTTTCTTCCCGATGTAAGGTGTCTATAACAACGGAATATTAACCAGTCAGCCACTAAGGAACCCCTTAATGGGGCTTCTGGTAATGCTCATTTTATGTGTAAATAATGCCTTATATTCAGCTGTCACTAAAACAATATCAGCTTGGCTATCATTCTAGAAGTTTTCGAAAAATGGTTCTGCGCCGCCGTAGCGACACACGGCGTTGAAATGGGTTCTGAGAATAGCCTCATTCTACGGACAGCTGCGAGAGCTTGATATTTGGAATTTCACGCACTTACCACTACAAACAAAGTTGTATCGCACATTTTTCGACTAATAATGTGGATGCATTAGCTAGTGTTCAAAACGTGCATCAGAACTGGAAATATGGGTGTTCTGGAGTGTAGCTCATACCATCCAGAGTTGGAGGCGACGGGTGTAGGAAGTAAAAGAGAGAAGCGTTGGAGGAAGATGAGATCCTCATTTTGAGGGACAAAGATGAAAATTCTCTCCAGTATCGGTTTCTACACAAGATCAACAAGATATCGGATTTTGCCGGCAAACATACACACACATATATATATATAGTTATATAGTTATATCTTGAAGATGCTTGATATTGATCTGAAAATGTTGTCTTTACCGAATATGGATTAGCTCCCGGTACTATTTGGGACTAGTCTAGCTAGTACCGTGCTTAATTGCCCGTGGAAAAATATCACGAAGCACTTTGGCCTGACTGCTTTGAGAGGCCATGACTACGCTTTTTCCTACTGAAAGGTGATTATGATTCTGTTCCTCAGGGAACACACAAATTGTGTTGAATTGAAAACAGTACTTAATGCGCGATGGTTATTAGAATTGATTGCAAAGAGCCCTCGAAATGGCTCATCGTCAGCGATAACGAAACCGGCCGACTTACTACTACGTACTTCACATAATATCAATTGCGACATGTCAACGCCGAAATCTATTTTATCCGCTCGAGCAATTGGTGCTCTGGGGCGGCGAAGTGGAGATGGACTTTGGACATGTCAACGACGCTCGTTTTCGAGATCATCAGCCCAATGGCAGGCTTCAACAGTCGGGGCAGCCGACACAGAGATCAAGTCGGCCCAGAGATATTGTGCGGATCTCGTTCGGTAATATTTTCTCCTCTGCCAATTGAATCAATCCAGAGCAATCACTTATCATTTCTTATCGTCTTAATCAGAAAGTACGACCGTCCTTCCTATGTCCTGAGCACCTTCATCCCCCGACAAGCGCAGGCATTGTATCTAGCATTGCGCGCGTTGAATATCTCTCTCTCTATGATACCCGATACAACATCATCTTCTACGATTGGTCTAATGCGATTACAATTCTGGAGGGACACGGTTACCCGCACCCTGTCAGGGTCACCACCCAAGGAACCAGTGGCCATTCTCCTTGGTGCCGCAATTGAAGATCTCAGTATGCGCACTGGTGGCCGAGCACGGCTCAGCAAAGGCTGGTTCCTTCGTATGATAAATGCTAGAGAGCAGTCTCTGACAAATACTTCGTTTCCAAACCTGTCCGCCCTGGAATCTTATGCTGAGAACACCTATTCCACATTGCTTTACTTGACCTTGTCAGCGCTGCCGATGACCTCGCTCACTGTGGACCATATCGCTTCACATATAGGAAAAGCTGCAGGTATAACAGCCGTGCTGCGAGGGTTACCACTCGTGGCGTTTCCACCTCCAGCTAATCACCACACCAATCAGTCTTCGCTTTTGAGTTCTAGTGATCGTGGAGAGGCTAGACAAGGTGCAATTACCTTACCACTAGATATCATGGCGCAGGCAGGGGTTATCGAAGAAGAGGTGTTTCGTAAAGGTGCAGAAGCTTCCGGTTTGAAAGATGCGGTTTTCACAGTTGCTACTCGCGCCTCTGACCACTTAATCACTGCACGTCAAATGCTGAAGAACCTGCGCGCTGGTCAAGATGTTGGCCATGACTTTGAGCACGAAGGTGAAGAGGGTCACGAGTATGCGTCCATTACAAATAATCAACCAGCTCATGATCAGCTATCATCGCCGTATGAGAAGCAGTTGAACGAGGTGGAACGAGGCTTTGGTGTTTTAATGCCTGCTATCCCGACGCAGCTATGGCTTGACAAGTTGCAGGCGGTTGATTTTGATATTTTCAATCCTCTTCTTCTTCGTTCTGATTGGAAGCTTCCTTGGAAGGCTTACCTTGCTCATCGCAGCAAGTCTTTCTAAATGAATGCCAACGAACGGAATGCCTTTTAGAATCACAGGCACATATTGATATAGATTTTTTTCTATATTCAGAAAGCCACTAAGATAAAAGAGCCTTGGCTACGAATTAGCTGGCTTGTATATTACATGTCTTAACATTTAATCATAATTTTGAATACTTTAAAATTAATTGCCCTTCAGCTTTTCCTCGAGTGTAGGAAGCAATAAAAAGTCTACGATGTAGAAATAACTATTGTTCTAAAACGACACAAAGAAAAAAAGAGCTGAGATGTAGCTCAACCGTCAATTAACATATCGACACCATTAATTTTGGAAATTAAAATATGACCCCGCCAGGGCTTTCGAGAAGAAGAAAAAATCTCAGGTATCTCCTCTCATATATAGACTTTTAGTTCTAGGCAATGAAGATATATGGGAAAAGACAGCAAATGTTCTGCGAAACAAATGCCTAACCAGGCGTCATTGTTTCCTAGATAGGTTTCTTTATGTCATCGGCGAGGCAGACAGTAACTACGATGTATAGTCATGTATATAACAATGGTAATATTATAAATACAGTAAAGGCTCATGGTTCTCTCATTCAGTTGTATCTTTGCCAGAAGCATTCAGCTTCAAGACCTAACATTATTCTGTCTTTCTCCCGCGTTTTCTGTCACGTCGATGCTTCCTTGAGCTAAAGAACAGTCTTCTCTGTGCCAGTTTCAAGAAGTATCGCCCGATCATATCGCGCCTATTTCCATGACATTATTAGCCAGCTCATAGCTATTATCAAGGCTTAACCAAGGTATACTTACATGAGGAATAGGGTCGTTACGACAACAAATGGGACGGCTATCTGCCAGAAATACCTAATCGAATAAAACTCAAGCGTAAGCTATTGGGATTCAAGAAATGCCTCGCATGGTGTCTTACGCATCGCTATGTTCCTGAACACCATCAAAGCGGACAAAGTTCATTCCGAAATATCCCTAGATACATGTGTTATTTCTGTTGGTTTGTATGGAGTGTGTGCATGTTATTTCGCTTACTGTCAAAAAAGTCAGGGGAAGAAACAGGGCTGTCACTAAGCTCAGCTGCTTCATGCTTTCGTTTTGATAGGCACCTGAGGGTTTCTCTCTTTAGCAACGTGAATAGCCTGAACCAGTTATTCTCAACTCACCAATAGTATTAAAAATCAGGTCAATCATGTTGTCTGCAGATCGCCTCATCTGATCGTAGCCTTCTGTGATTGTTATGCAATGATCCAGAACATCACCCAGATACGTGTGGCACATAGCGCTAACAGTGATTGTTGAACCGCTGTTTCTCAGGTTTGGGACGCCACTTCCAATATAAGGAAGTCCAGAAGAGGAACTCCCGGCTGATATATTTGCGTTTGCTGTATTCCCAGGGCCGGTGTTGAGAGTACCGAGGCCCGGTATTTGTACAGGTTGCGAGCGGCGATCTCGAAGTGCATTAATAACCGCCACCATCGGCTGCATAGCATTGCGTAGCACTGAGATCTCAGATGTCAGAATATATAGAAGCTTTGATTGCTCTATACTGGGGTCCGTCAACACTGCAACTTCAAGGTCTCCTATCGCATCTTGATAAGCGAGAGTGACTGGAATTGCAAGGTCAACAATAGCATCTAGAATAGCCTGGACAAGCATGCTCGCGTCACAGGATTGGCGTAGAATGGTCTCAGGAGAACTCAGTCGTCGAACGATTGGAGCTTCAATATCGCTTGCGCTAGCATCGAAGAAAGATAGGACGGTGTTGTCGGCATTCAGAAATATAGATACTTGCTCTAAGGTCACGCGTAACCCCTGGGAAGCCAGCACTGCATGTCGTTCCATGAACTCTATCCTTTCTTCGTTAGGCCCGCCTTTATAGCGCTGCAATGTCCTCGGCATGGGAGATTTCTTTAGAAAGTCTCTGTTGTGTATGTTGAATGGCAGTCCGCCATCCCTTGGGGTTTTGTCGGATCCTTTGAACTTGTCCTCTACCCGATATTGTATCCGGTTTCTAGGGGTCAGCAAATCCTGGAGAGCAGCCGTGATGAGGTTCCATTTTCGTCTTCTTGTGGCGACTGGCGGCAGACTATCGTCCGACTCCGAACTGCTATCATCATCGGAAGGTTTCCTGGCACTATCACTATCGCTATCCTCATGGCGGCGTATTTTTTCAAGTTTCTGCAGCGACATTACTATGTAAGCATGATCCGAATACCAATCCACCTTGGTTCTGTTATGTGGATGCATCAAGTCCTCAATCGCCAGTCTGTGAAGGTTTTTATATCTTCCCAATATTCGAATCACATCCCAGCTCAGCCCATTGACGTTGATCCAACGGCATTGCACCCAGGGATCTTTTTCGCGTTCAAGAAATTGCTCAAGCGAGCTGTTGTCCAAGACATAATGGCGCATTTCTTCCTGCGAAAAATCAACGACCGTAATTTCGCAACTGCGATGGAGCTCGACAGGAAGCAGAGTCCATTCTGAATCAGCTAGCGGCAGAGCCGTGTTAGGGTCTATTCCAGGCTCCTTGCCAGCCTCCCAGTGACGCTCGGGGCTGAGGCCATCTCTATAGTAAGAGCGCAGAGTATTAGTCCGTTTTGAGCGGTGCCTTATCGTGGAAGCCGAGTCGACACGAACTGGTGCTGAAAAAGAGGAGTCCCCCTGAGGCGCAGCAGTAGCAACTGTACTGAGCGGCGATTGAGCCTCGATGTCAACGGATGGCACTCCTTGCTCGGGTGCATAATCGTGAGCGTCAACAGACATGGTGTGAGTTCGCTTTCAATTTTACAGAGTACATGTCGCGCTTCACAGCGTCAAGTCAGCGAGACATCAGTCGCGCGTCATGCTGCATTGCTCGGGAAAGAAGACGCAACTGTTGCGATCGCATTCTTGGAGATGTCGAGGGTGAAACAGGAGAGTGAAATTCGGGGTGATGTCAGTCCAAGTTAAGGTTATATGCAGTATCGCCCTAATCTAAAAGGGGAAGGCCCTCTCCCGCGGAACATTCAAGTCGTCTAACGAAAATACATATATATGAAGCCCTTGTGGGGACAAGGTTGAAAGGGTTCTATACAAAATAACAGAACCCTCTTAGGAACGCCATTGACATGTGCATTCAGAGTATATCTAGGTAATATCATGCCGTTGTCCTTACAATTGTACATTCACTTCGATCTCTACGGTCGCTGTGGAATTGTACCCGTTAATTACATCACATGACTGCGTGGGCGTAGAATTGTTTACCCGTAGCAAAAAGATAGACAACCTTGCCAAAATTCGTTTGATGACGTTGGATTTTTTTTGGCAGAACTTGGCAGGACGGCAATACTTCGAGGCAAATATCATTGGCTACATAGGCGCCACGCTACGACTGATGCGGCTATCCAGCCAATAGAAGCCATCCAAATCCATTTTCAGACAGAGGTGGGTCTCTTCTAAAATTGATTAAATACGCGCGTAGTCGCGTCTTTTCGGCGCGTCTTCCCAACCGGGACAGATTAGTTTTTGAATTCTTCCCATCGCCTCTCATCTATGAATCCATAATTTGTCGTCGCCCATCATGAGTGATATGGCCGTCTATTCTCATGATGGTGATGACCGTGGCGATGGACGACCTGCCAAGAAACGCCGCTTTTTTGTTGAAGACGATGACAATATTCTTCGTGCCAGAGAGCAGATAAATCTACTTAACGATGTACAAGATAGTACATCCCAGCAAATAACTCAGACACAATCCGGTCATATGCCAGATGTGAGTGGGGAGAGCTACGATGTAGCCGTGCATTCGCAGCAGAATAGAGAAGAGACTGGCGGGTTCGATGCCCAATTATTTGCCAGTATCGTGGGCAAAGATGTACCACAAGCTACCATAGCACAGGTCCAGCGATCTGCTGGCGGAGATATGGAAAGAGCCATAAATATATTTTTAGATGGATCCTACAAAACAGTGACCAGCAGCCCTCCGGTCGTTTCAAATCTTATCCCCCAGCAAACCCGACCTACTAGCCGTCCTGATAACCAGAATATTGCAATTGAGCGAACGGCAGACCATTTTCATGAAACCACTCTAATTGAAAAATCAGTGCCCAAAGGTGTGCAAATGCTTCAGTCAACGCCTGCCCGAAGGTATGTTGGGGCATTTGGTGTTGCAGCCTGGGCGACGAGAAGTGGCTTTTATGTGATACGACATGAGGAAAAAGTCAGGATTGAGAGAACAAAGATGCGTTCAACAACAAAAGTAGGCCGAAAAGGGAGAGTTGTTGCCAATCAAAAAGCAGATGTCATCACTCGCTTCACCAACATAAGAGGTGAAGAGATTGGACGTCTGCCCCAGGAGACAGCGGAATGGGTATCGACACTTATCGATCAGAGAATATGTGAGTTCCAAGGGACTTGTGTATATGCCCCCGATCGTATGAGAGTCAACGACACGATTTATCTACAACTACGCTGCTATCTGAAAAGCGATGCTTTTCTCAAAGACACGTTCCGTAATCTCGATGAGAACAGGCCAATCGGGTTCTTTGAACAACAAGAAAGTACTGAAGAGCGAGATCTACGGAAACGTCAAATAGCGCTTGTCCGTCTTTTCGACGAGATTGGGCTCTTACCGACATCGACCAACGAAACCACCGCAAAACATAAGAAAGAAGGCTTGCTTCGTGCGGCTGAAATGGCTGAGCAGTACGAAAAAAAGAAAGAAAAGCCAAGAGAAGCTGCCGATTTAGAGGATTCGCCGCCTGAAGAGGAGACAGCTGAGCTAGAGGAAGATCATCTAGATACGCTATACAAGAAGGCCCAATCCTTCGACTTCAATACACCTGAGGCTCAGCCTGCAGAGACATTTGCACTAAAACTTCGCAAATACCAGAAACAAGCATTGTATTGGATGCTTGCTAAAGAACGCGATACCAAACCGATAAACCAATCTTCTATGCACCCTTTATGGGAGGAATACAAGTGGCCCTTGAAGGATGTCGATGACAATGTGCTGCCCTGTGTTGAACGACAAGACTCATTTTACGTGAATCCTTACTCTGGTGAACTGAGTTTGGACTTCCCTGTTCAGGAACAGCATTGTTTAGGCGGAATTCTAGCAGATGAGATGGGTCTCGGCAAGACAATCGAAATGATGAGCTTAATTCATACGAACAGACTGACACCTAGTATGACAGCGTCAGCAGACGTACTACCGGCATCTTCCAGCGGCTATGTGTCAGCCCCATATACCACCCTCGTGGTGGCACCAACATCGCTGCTTTCGCAATGGGAAAGCGAGGCACAAAAGGCATCGTCGCACGGAACAATGAAGACTTTTATTTACTATGGATCGGATCGATCAACGAACCTGAAGAGTATTTGCTCTAAGGCTAATAGGCATAATGCTCCAAATATGATTGTGACCAGCTACGGCGTCGTTTTGTCAGAATTTCGCAGCTTTGTTACTCAATCACAACATAATCCGTCGGGACATAGCGGGCTCTTCTCACTTATATTCTTCAGAGTTATTCTTGACGAAGCTCATTTGATCAAAAATCGACTTTCCAAGTCAGCTCGAGCTTGTTACGAGCTCAAAGCCATTCATCGATGGGTCCTGACTGGAACGCCGATCGTGAATCGATTGGAGGATCTATTCAGCTTGGTACGCTTCCTGAAAGTTGAACCATGGAGCAATTTTTCTTTTTGGAAGACCTTCATTACCGTTCCCTTTGAGTCAAAAGACTACGTGCGCGCGTTGAATGTGGTTCAGACTGTCTTGGAGCCACTCGTATTGAGACGGACTAAAACAATGCAAACTCCCGAAGGCGAAGCATTGGTCCCTCTCCCTCCAAGGACTGTGACAATTGAGGAAGTTGAGATCTCTCAGGAAGAACGAGAGATCTACGATCTCATATATTCTCGTGCGAAGAGAACCTTCAATGACAATGTCGAAGCTGGGACTCTATTGAAGTCTTACTCGACTATTTTTGCTCAGATCCTGCGCCTTCGCCAAACATGCTGTCACCCAATTTTAACTCGCAACAAAGCAATTGTTGCTGAGGAAGAGGACGCAGCATTGGCAGCTGACGCAATGAATGATATGAAGGACGACATGGACTTGCAGGAGCTGATTACTCGTTTCACAAAATCGACCGAATCAGCGGATTCAAGCCAACCGCAAGACACGATGGCGCGCTTTACGACACACGCTCTGCGACAGATTCAAAACGATACGAGTGCCGAATGCCCCATATGTTCAGAAGAGCCTCTGATTGAACCGGCAGTCACAGGCTGCTGGCACAGTGCTTGCAAGAAGTGTCTCGAAGATTATATCCGCCATCAAACCGACAAAGGAGAAGTGCCACGCTGTTTCTCTTGCCGTGCCCCGGTTACACGACGCGATATCTTTGAAGTCATCCGTCACCAGTCACCAGGTAGCACACCAGACGAGCTTGATGCTTCGACACAACCAACTTCGTCACAGCCGATGCCGAAAATATCCTTACGGCGTATTTATCCTCTATCACCCTCTGCTCATACATCAGCAAAGATCCACTCGCTTCTCACTCATCTATTGAAACTTCCTCCTAACACGAAATCTGTCGTCTTTTCTCAATTTACCTCGTTCTTGGATTTGATTGGCCCACAACTTACCAAGGCTGGCATATCTTATGTGCGCCTGGATGGATCGATGCCACAAAAAGCTCGAGCAGAAGTGCTACGGCAGTTCAATCGCTCCGAGATATTCGAGGAAGAGTTTGAATTAGACGAAGAAATCTTGACTTCTGACAGCCACGATAACAAAGCAGTTCAGAGTAATGATAACAAAAAGGCCACTTCTACTCATAGCAAAGCTCCACAGTCAACTCCAAGTGTCCTCCTGATCAGTCTTCGAGCTGGCGGTGTTGGTCTGAATCTGACGGCTGCTAACAACGTCTTCATGATGGATCCATGGTGGAGTTTTGCCGTTGAAGCACAAGCCATCGATCGTGTCCATCGTATGGGCCAGCTCCGTGAAGTTGCTGTGACGCGGTTCATCGTCAAAGACTCAATTGAGGCTCGTATGCTTCGTGTTCAAGAAAGGAAAATGAACATTGCTGGATCGCTTGGTTTGCGCGTTGGTGGCGACGGCACCGAGGATGATCGCAAGAAGAGTCGCATTGAGGAGTTGAAGCTCTTGTTTGAGTAAATTCGATCTCCCAAAAAGGAATTCCTCGAAGATCTTTCGTTTTGTACATATATTTTTAGTTATACATGGGAATATGGATACTTAATATTTACGCCTGTATGTGCTGAATTTCAATACCGCCCGTGGTTATCACACTGTGTGACATTTGTGCAACATGCACGACGGATTCTTTCCATAATAGGAAGTATCCTTGTGTCAAAAGTTTCCAACCCTCGAGAATTCTGCCGCCTCCGTCAATCCCGCTATTTACAGATGCTAATCTTTATCTTCAAAATTTCCAAGATCATTCACGGTCTAATGACTTCATACAACCCACCATATAGATTTGCCCTTCGCCGCAATGGCTCCTGTCTAGAGTCCGAGACTTCATGCGGTGGAACCTGGGGCGACTTCGTTGCCTGCTCTCCGGGTTCTTCTGTATGTCCTGGGGCTGTAAAGTCTATTACAAACAATGTTTGCTGTCCATCAGAGGGAAACTGCACAGAGGACCTCCTTGGGACACCTCATTGTGCCAATGATACTTGGATGTTGTTTGATCATGACTACTTTTGCTGCTTAGCTGGTCAATCCGGCTTCTGGACCGATAAAACCTCGAGATGCTGTTGGTTGCGCAGACGGGTTTGTTAACAATTCCGACTATACGTCTTTGACATCGCTGGCAACCGGTGAGTTTATCAATTTTTTTTTTTCATGACATAATCTAATCTAAACTTATCCTGGTGGATCAAAATTCTGACGCGAGATTTGATCATAACTTTTCAGGCACATCATCTCCAACAAGCATATCGTCGACAATAGGAACTACTAGTACTGGCTCGTTCTCAACAAGCTCGATGTCTCTAGTACTAAGCAGCAATTCAACGTCCCGGATAGATTTTTCTGCATCTACACCTACATCCAGCTCCAGTCCTTCTAGTGATCACAAAGGGGAAATTGCTGGTGTTGTTGTTGGTGGCACGGTTGGAGTCATACTTACCGCACTTCGATTCTTCTTCGGTTACTGGCGGCGGCGACAACAACTAGAATCGCCTTCTGGTACTATGCATGAGCTTCGTACCAAAGGACCAGTGGAAGAGTCTTTAGAAAAACTGCTACTATCAGAACCCCAGGATCAAAGCAGACATGCCGAGATTGGCAGTTCTGAAACTCTCAAGTTACCCTAGGGTGGGCAAGGAAGATCTGAAACAAATTGAGTCGATAGACAGAAAGGCGCGAGTTAGTAGCCTGGCTGCTGAATACATATGTCAGCTGTCTAGCGATTTGGGAGGTATCGAAGGCACGCGTCAAGGTCACTATTTAAAACTGTTTTACCATCATATACATTTATGGAAAATTAATCGAAACGGCGCCTTTCATCTTGAAACAGGATTAGAATTAAGATTTTATGTGTTCTAAAGTAGCAAACTTCTTCGATGAAATTTTGAACAACTTGCTTTCAATAATTACACCTAATGATACAAGCTTCAACTCGAATATATATCGTATCAGATAATCTTATCTGATGAATCTGATGACGCACAAGACCCACTTCGACGCAACTATATTAATCTAATGGGCGTCCACCTCGAACAAAGGTCCTGTTCATTTTCGATGCAAAGATTGTTGGTCTACTCATATACACACTCGCTATTGATCCCTTCTCCAAAGATACACCTTCTATTCTCTCTCGTCTATTGGGCCTACATCATCCCGGTTGACGCGTCAAATGGCACCAAACTCTATAACGCAAATCGTATCTTAAATGCTATCCATGCGTCAATGCGACATCGAGAATATTCGCTGTACCCAAACTGAATGCCCTTTTACTTAGCTCCTGTGCCAGATGGAACCAAATTCTACCATCTTACCGGCTCTGTAGACCTAAGCAAAGGTGTCGAGTGGATTGCATTTGAGCCAGAGCATTCGCTTGGATTCGCGCATCGCAGTGTATCCCTTTCTCGCGGTCACCCTAGCAATCTTAGTCTAAGCGAGGAAGAACAGGCAATCAAGTTTTAGGAAAGACGAGGTTTTGAGCAGCAACCTTTAGACACCACTGAAAGCTACGACAGCGACGCTCCCGGGGGTTATCTGTATACATATGCAGCAGCAAAGGATCTTCAATTACTCTACCTTGATGGGATGTTAGGGACTGACAGTAGTGGCACCGCTGACGCGCAGAATCAGATTTTGTTCAACGACAGCATAAAAGCAGCAGAAGTTGACCCTTTGCTTTCAAAATCCTTCTTGTGGCAATCTAGAGAGATAATCGGCCCCCCCCAGATGAGAAGAAGTGTGCAATACTAGCTTATCAAATGGCACGTAAAATATGGGATGATCGAATCGATGGATTGATTCATCGAAGGGGATTCTAAAACTATTCTCTGCACCTGCGAGCGTGGCCTGAAACCACATGAACAAAGCCGCAGCCAAAATGTTTACATAGAACAAAACAATGAAGTATAAGAAGTGCCCAAAAAGCCCGCCTCGATATACATTCATCACGCTTTAGAGATCTGTCAGGTACTGACATCGTCGTTGATTTCGACCCTTTCGTTACTGCATTCACATACATTCTCGACTTATTCCATACCGCAATATAACCGTTGAGATTTAGCAATCAATCTCTCATCAGATCTGTCCTTTGCGTTGACTGAGGTCCTATTAGATGATGAAGGCGACCTGGAGACAGTCACTTCTCGCTTTCGAAATCTAGTAGCTTACCTTGGCAGGCCGGAGAAATAGACTTGCCTATGCTCTCTGCACATTGTCTACGACTGTGTGTATATCATACGAATTAATAGATATATGTATATATATGCATGGGTGTGTCACCTACCATCTTGTCATATCCACCCTGATGCAAGATGATCTCTTACCGTCTCACTTTAAACTGAAATAAGAAAGTATCCTCCTGCTTTCAACACATTTTATGAATCCCATTAATACCAAAAGCGTCTCTGTGTTGGGGCTTATTTGTATCATGTGACTTGGTGAACGCCAATTAATTCTCGGTCGAGTCCACAAACGAAAAAAACCGTTGTCAATCATCATTTGCCTCACCCCGCAGTGAGACAAGACAGAGATGCACGACGTTCTGTTTGTTAGCCTTGGACTGACTGTTCTTGACGAAATTCGAATACCAGACCAGGAGCCATTACTCAATGTGCTGGGAGGCTCTGGAGTTTATGGTTTGCGATACTCTACCCTTTTGTTCTGGCAGAACCGCTGACTGGCCTATACGTCAAGCAACTCTTGGGGCACGATTATTTCTTCCTGGAGCTGAATCTGGCTCACTGGGATGGATACTCAACATCGGGAATGACTTTCCTCACGATCTCATGAGAGACCTGGCTGCCTGGGGGACAACTCTGATTGTTTCCCGGAGACAAGATGAGCCGTCTACTCGTGGCTTACTAGAGTATACTGACAACAAATTTGGACGTGCGATAAGCTATGACCTTTTTTTATATAGATACATAGTAGCAAGCGCAGGCAGGACTTGAAAGGCTGACATGCTAAACTCCAGAGAAGAACTTTCAATACACAACGCCCGCTTTGCAAATACACGTCGACCAGTTAAATAGCCATGCATTATTTATGGCAAAATCATTCCACTTCCTCTATTGGCCACGAGACCTTGAAGAACGTGTTCTAGAGTTGCTAGAGTTGAGGAAGAAAGCCGGCTTACTCCTCGACAACGAGCAACGTCCATTGATCATCTGGGAGCCGGCGCCGCTCTCTTGCAATAAGAAGCAACTGTCCTCCCTCTTTTCCGCTCTGAAAGTCGTGGATGTATGTTCTCCAAACCATCTAGAGCTCTTGAGGCTTTTTGGAGAGCAGCCTTCAAGTCCTTTCAGTAGGGCGCAGGTGGAAGATCTCGCCAGGAGAATCTTTGACTCCGGCGTGGGACCAAGACGAACTGGAACTGTCGTTATAAGAGCGGGTGAACATGGTGCCATGACTCTGAATCCCCATGATGGTATTTGCCATTGGATACCTCCATATTATGGTTCATCTCTGTCCCCGGCTGAGGGTGAATCGCAGTCTTCCGGAGTTGTTGATGCGACGGGTGCCGGCAATGCCTTTCTGGGCGCATACGCCATAGGATATTTGAAAACAGGGGATATAAAGGAAGCAGCATGCTATGGATCTGTGGCAGCATCATTTGTTTTGGAGCAGAGAGGTATGCCGCGAAGAAAGGCAACAGACGGCCAAGAAAAGTGGAATGATAGCGATGTTCATGACAGGTTAAACACGTACTTGGAGCAGGTCTTCATGTCTACTCATCGTCGCTAATCTCACCTTCAACACAATCAAGGTAATCAAGGTAGAATACCTACTTAATATTTATACCAATCTCATGGCATGTATCTTTGTGATATATCTAGTTGCGAAAAATCAAAGTTGTATGTAGGTCGAGAAATTAGGGCTGAGCCTCTCAAAGCGGCAAAGCTATTTTTTTTGTCAATGGCGACTCTGTTAGCGAACAAGTACTCCGTTAACCAGTCTACGGAATTAAAACAGCTGAAAGCAAGTTGCTTGTTGAGACGGAAGTGGGAATTTGTTCTAGAAACACAGGTTCATACCGCGTAGTATTTTGTTTATCCAAGTCTACATTGGGTTCAACAATAATTACAATCAGTGAAAAAGACACGAACCACCGAGTATAGAAATAAATACAAGACATAATCCGAAACGCCACCCGACCATGTAATCCATCCTGGTATAACGTGAAGAGCAGAGTCAGATCTGCGTGTAGTTTGGTGTATAAAAAAGAACGCCGATAGCACTTTACATTGAAAACAGAGAATAGAGAAAGAAAGACTAGAAGTCCTCGTCGAAGTTGAGGCCGCTAGAACTCTCTTCCTTTTTATCCTCGTCCTTATCTTTCTTCGTGCTGTTCATGACGCCGGCTTTCTGGTAGTCACCGACACGTTTCTCGAAGAAGTTGGTCTTGCCAGCAAGGGAGATGTTCTCCATGAAGTCAAAGGGGTTGGTGGAGTTATAGTACTTCTTGTTACCAAGAGCAACCAAGAGACGGTCAGCGACGAATTCGATGTACTGGCACATCAGCTTCGAGTTCATTCCCAGCAAGGCACATGGGAGAGCATCGGTCAAGAACTCTTGCTCGATGGAAACAGCATCAGTGATGATGTCTTGAATAACCTGTTGGCTTGGACGAGTGTTGAGGTGGGAGAAGAGCAAGCAGGCAAAATCGGTATGAAGACCCTCATCACGAGAAATCAGCTCGTTGGAGAAAGTCAGACCAGGCATCAGACCACGCTTCTTGAGCCAGAAAATCGAAGCGAAGGAACCGGAGAAGAAAATTCCCTCGACTGCTGCGAAGGCAACGAGTCGCTGAGCAAAGGTAGATTCCTTGTCCGAAATCCAGCGCAAGGCCCAGTCAGCCTTCTTGCGAATGCAAGGAACTGCAATCAATTAGAACGTTTTTCCAACATATCAAGTTTAATACAACTTACTGTTATCAATGGCGTCGAAGAGATAGGTTCGCTGCTTGGGTTCGTTGATGTAGGTATCAATGAGCAGAGAATAAGTCTCCGAGTGGATATTCTCCATCATAATCTGGAAGCCATAAAAGCAACGAGCCTCAGGAATCTGAACTTCGCCGCTGAAGCGCTCAACCAAGTTTTCGTTCACAATGCCGTCGGAGGCAGCAAAGAAGGCGAGGACGTGTGAAATGAAGAATTGTTCGTCTTTGTTCAGGCGGTTGTTCCAGTCGTGTAAATCCTTGGAGAGATCAATCTCTTCCGCAGTCCAGAACGAGGCCTCGGCCTTCTTATACATTTGCCATATCTGTTGTGATAAGATAATGTTAACTCCATGTGAGTCCCACCCGACGCGGGTAAGAAAAGAAAAAAACCACTTTACGCGCGACGCGTCGACGGTAACCTACCTCATGATACTTAATCGGGAAAAGGACAAATCGGTGAGGGTTTTCCTGGAGCAAAGGCTCATTTGCCTCGATTTCCTTGATGCCGGGAGCTACCTTGGGAGCTTCCTGCACGGCAGGTTTCTCCGCAGCAGGCTTGAGTTGTGTGGTGGCGGACGCGTCGACGACGGCAGGGGTGTTCTCTTTCTCCGCAGGCTGGAAGCTCAGCTTCTTGACTGGAGAGTCGCTCATCTTGAATTGCTCGAGAGAGTTGGCAGCCTAGATATGCATCGATACTAATTAGCAATTGAGTCCAGTCGTGTCTCGAGACGCGTTGGTTGTGCGGGATGTATCGCATACCTGCTTGGAGGGGGTGATTTGGGTGGTCATTATGAATTAATAGGCGATGCAATAATATAAACCAGAGACAAGGAAGCACAATAATAAAAGGCAAGTCCTGGATGAAGCTGAGAGCAATGGAGTGGGAGAAAAGGACGAGCCAGACGGGGATGAAGCTTGAAGAAATACTTCGCACCCGCGAGGAAGCGCGCCGCACTAAGTCACGTCTCACGTGATTTGGCGTGCCTTATTCACGTCACTGAGCGACTGCGCTGGCCAATGGCATCGCGGCATGCCGCGTCGCGCCCAGCCATTTTTGTCTGTCCTGCCAACCACATGCAGAATCTGCCCATAACAACGCGGATTTACGGATATGCAATCCTCTATGAGACCACTTTTACAAGTCTGGATGTTCCGATGGCCCGCTGGTTGTTTCTTTCTCGTTATCAGATCGAATCGCGCCTTCTGTTTGGCCGACGCGCCGACGGTGTTTACGATCCACACGAGCTTTCAGCTATTCATAGTCGCGACAACAAAGTACGGCGTAGCTGTGTCTGTTTTCTTCGTTTGCTGGAGCTTGTTGATCTCTGATGAATGAATGAATAGATGGCACGGTGACGGCCCCAATCGAGCTATATCGACCAGATGCGTCATCCACTAAACACACCTGTCACAATTGGATTTGTTAGATGGTGTCGAAATGGGCTTTTGAGCAATTGTTGCCCTGGAGAGCAATATCCCTATGCCGACAATAATTCACGTCCCTTGAAACATCCTTCAGCCCGTTAAGGTTTCGAGCTTATGGGCGGTGGCATGCAAGGGCTCGGCTGTTGAAGTGGGATGAATCGATGAGAAGACTAACTCTTTAGAGAGTAATATGCACGTAGTCTATGTCGTATTATAGCTATACGACAGGCATGCCCGCAGCGGACGGCGGTTGATTTACACAGCTTCCTTCCCTTCCTCAAAGAAGAACTGTAGCTATGTAGGTGGCAAAATTTGCAAAATGTAAACCCCCATGACAAGATGTAGATCAAAGCAACATGGGCATTCTCTATTTAAATGACTTGAGAGATCGTCTAGATCTCATGCCTAGGTGATTGGGATTTGCCGCAGTAAACTCTCCTTCAGGGCATAGTGTAAAAGAAACGGATATGTGTTGATCTCCAGTGAGATACATCTGTTGCGTCCTTCAATTAGGTATATGCAGAAAACTCTCACAACTGATCAAGAACAAGACTTCTGGACCTTGTCAAAGTGTGGTCCTCTATAGGCTGGCAGACCTCTATATACATAAAGAAACTCCTGCGATGAATTATAGCAGATATCAAGTGAGAGCAAAGACAAGAAAGAACGCAAAGAAAGAAGAAAATATATATACCCCGAGTCCATTTTTAACCCAAGATAAGCTTTTGTCCAAAGTTACAATCTTGCACGAAGAGAATCTGACAGAAAGCGATCTTCAAGTCCGCGAACAAGCTTGTTTGTCTGTTCTGCAAGACTGAGGGTCAAAATCTAGAGTAATTTCGTTAGCTTAGGAAGACCACAAAGCAGATGAAAAACATACAGTATGTGGCAAAATACGGGCAAGATGAGCAAAGTAGCCCTTATAGATGGCGAGTAAACCTTCAGTTGAAATAGTCTTGTACAGACAGTCCCAAACACCCTTATACAGGTTACCAGTCTGGTTGTACATCCGAGACATGATCGTATCTTCACTTTTGATTAGCCAATGAAACACCCTCTGCTTTTCGACAAGCCAAGAAGAGATTATACCTGGTGGGTGCATTACACAGCACACAACGAACCCTGATGCAGTACTGCTAGCGAAATGTAGAGCAGGGCCTTCCTCCATACCAAAATGTCGTACCAGCCGTCTCTTTGCGAAAAAATATGTTGGTAGTTGAACGGAGCTGCCAAAACCAGTCCGAACCATGGCAGCGCCAACACCACGGTAAAGGCCCTTGACGCCTTCATTGTGGTGAATTTGTCGCAATCCATCGACAGCATTCTTATATTTGTGTTGAGTACCAACTGGTAGGAATGGGGAGTATGACTGTAATCGAGTCTTCACCAGGAAAAATGGTGAGCCGGCTGCAGCACCTAGAATACCGGAACTCGCTCCACTGAAGACATTGATACCGATGGATTGCACAGAAGGGTCTCCGTAAAGAGCGGACGTAAGACCTCCTCGAATCGGTTCGTAGAAGCCGAGTCGGGACCCGTTTAGCAGTATTTGGTAGACATACTTTATAAGATAATATTAGCATGGGATACCAGTTGCAGTCAGCCAAATGCCACGTAATATAACATACGGCGCAGCCAATACCCCTAAACAAACCCCTGGGTCCTTCATTCTGCAGAATGACCTTGACGGCATGGAAAACACCTCGATACTTTTTGACAGCGTCTGACTGTAACTCTCCTTGTAATTGAAGTCTTGGGGGCTGCAGGTTAGCGCCTCCATTTGTGTCACATGGCGGTTGGAAGAGGATGTTGTCAAACGAACCGTATCTTAACGGTCTCGAAACTGTGGGTGACCGTGACAGCTCCGCAAGCTGCGATACCTCCGGCAATGAAAGCTCTAAACGGCGACGAAGCCATAAAAGTCAGATATACCGCATGCTTCCCCTTTCTATTGCTTTGTTTAGAACGTACCCTGTGGTTGTAGACATGGCGATGCGAAATGTCGGGGAAGGGCCCGTTTCCGGCCTGGGGCCAGTCCGATCTATCTCAGGGTTGACGGGATACTCAGGTCATATAGTGGACAGCACGACCGCAAGAACAAACCCGATCACAACGCCGTGCCCAATGCAATGAAGTGAAGCAGGCGGAATTGCCGGAAAGTTGCAGAGGGTGAATGATCTGCTTTTTGCTCGCTCCTCAGCCGGCAGCGGAATCTACACCGATGCCGGGGCATCCTTCATTAATAATGGGGACTCCAGCCGCCCCAGTACGGCAGCCTATAGGTACGTTCAGGACAAAATGCGTAATATTACAAATCTTAGTTTTCTACACACAGAGAACGCGAATCTATGATTAGCCAATATTGATTATTAATCAGCCAATAATTCTTAGTTGTAATAATACATTATAAATAGAACACTAATACAAACAATTGTAATACTAGTAAAATACGCATTTTGTCCTGAACGTACCTATAGGCTGCCGTACCCAGGCACGCACGCAGTTGCCGCTTTCTGGCGCCCTAGTGCTTTTCCTCGTGTTTTTCTGCCGCTCTGCACCGCCTGTTGATAGCTCCAAGGTTATCAATATTTTTGGAGGGCCCCTTGAGACCCAAAACACAATAGCCAGCACATGCAATTGAGCTGTGACAGAACATACAGCGCTTCTCACTTCGGACACAAAAGTTACTACGCTGCCTCTCGCCGCATAATCCACGGGCAGAAACAACAAAGACAAGAACAAAAAGAAAAGAGAGAGAGGTGGAGATAGGAAATGGCAGACAATCCTCAGCAGGACCAGCAAGACCAGAAAGGTCTCCTCTCATCCTCAAATACGCCTCATACCGGGACTTTTCTCGCGGCGCCGCCAGGTCGGTCAGCGACACCGCAACCATCTCAAAAAGTGTCGGATATTGTCCGAACATACCGCCCATCCAAGGTAAGAGACGGGGAAAGGCTCCAAGTGTCTGATTGATAGACTCTTGTTAATAATGTTGCCGAATTAGAGATTTAAGCTTTCGAAACATGAAAACTCCCACATCACGTCACTTGATTTTGACGACAAAGGAGAATCTGTCGTAGCGGCATGTGAAGATGAAACAATCCAAGTCTACGATGTCATTGAGGGCAAGAATACAAAAATTGTTCCCAGCAAGAAATACGGTGCTCATCTGGCCCGCTTCACACATCACTCGCGCCAGGTGCTTCATGCAAGCACGAAAGTGGATGGTACTATTTGCAATTGCCCCTAACACGGTTCAAGGCACCCACCGCTGACGAGTCGATATGCAGATTCCCTACGTCTTCTAGACTTGCATCAAGAGAGTTATCTTCGGTATTTCACCGGTCACACAGACAAAGTCACTTGTTTAACGCTATCGCCTGGAAGCGACGCCTTCATTTCATGCTCGAAAGATAACACCCTCTCGCTTTGGGACCTGAAATCGCGAAATGTGCAGGGAAAACTGGAACTCGCAACACCCTACCTTGCCGCATTTGACCCATCAGCTTCAGTTATTGCCATTGCATCTCAGTCTACATCATCAATATTACTGTACGACTTCCGTAACTACGATAAAGCACCCTTTGCCACATTTGACCTCGCACCGCTCGAAGAAAGATATACCCCTACTACACGTGGAAGACTCTGGTCACGGCTCGAGTTCTCAAATGATGGCAAAAACCTTTTGGTCGGCACAGATTATCATGGCCATTTCGTGTTAGATGCGTTCGAAGGCAATTTAAACGCTTTTCTGGTCGGCAAGAATGGATCAAGTGGGAGAGCTGCCCCTATTACCAATTCCGGACGGCCTCTTGGTCAAGGAGACGCGTGCTTTACTCAAGACGGGCGATACGTGCTTGGTGGATCAGGCGACAAGAACGATGTCCTTGTTTGGGATACACACCAGACTCCTGATTCTGGTGCCTACCTACAACCAGTAGCTAGTCTATCTTCCAGAGGGCGCACTGCTGTGATAGAAATCAATCCCAGATACAACATGCTTGCAACTGCCGACAAAGACATTCTGTTCTGGCTGCCAGAGGACGGAGCCAAAGCCACTGAAAAATAAAATTCTCCTGTCGCAATTTCGTACATGCATGTTCGAAGACAGCCTCAACTTCTAACCCTCGAAAGAAAAGCTCTACGGTTTCATTTGATCATACTTTAATCATCTATGGTTTTCGATTCTTTTCTTTTCCGATCAAACTCCTAGCTGTATCACATACCCACGTTTTAGGGCCCTCCATTGCATCGTCATCTCCTCGATTTCTTTCTATGGTGTTTTCGATTTGCCTGACAACAGTATTATTACTCGTGATAGTGACGATGCCTGTGGCCCAGCCATACAGGAAAACACTGCGGTTGATATCGGTGAGAAACTCGGTAACCTTATGAAAAACTGGAGGAAATTTGTTTTGCTGCAAGGCCGCATCAATCTCTGCGTGAGCATCTACCACTTGGATAGGGATCTGCAATTGATTGGGAATGGGGTGATCGGACAACTGTTGGAACTTGCTAAGCAGCGTGTCCGTTTCTAGTCCCTCCATGTCACCTTCACCTAGAAAGATAGCTGTTCTCAGTTTTTCGCTCTCTGTGCCGATGGTACCGACAATTTCTTTCATTCTTGTAACGGCTTCTTCAGTGCAGACAAGTTTTCGGTTGGTCATGGCTGGCCAGAGCTCGGCAGGGAGCAGAGGCAATTCATTCTCGACCTCGATCTGCCTTAGGATGGCCCGATGATACTTGGGTGAAGGGGTTATGTGTCGTTTATGCGATAGCTCTGACACAACCGCCAAGAGCAGTGTGCAATCAACATTTATAGTGTCGGTGAATTCTTTGAATGGGTTAGGAAGCATAGTCGAAATTGGTAAATCGGATTCGGTAATCGAGTGAGGATCTCGTTGATCGTTCGTTTCCTCATTGAACACATCAGGTACTTTTGTCCCACATTCGATGGCCACTCCATAACCTCGGACGATATTTAAAATCCTGTCTACCTCGGGTATTTTTCCCTCTTCGAGCCTGGGAGCGATTATACGCACGCGAGGATTCTTGTATCTTACTCTGGTAGCTCGCGCTACTTTTATCATATCGGCAGCCATCTTTATCATTTCAAGCTGGTCATCGTCATCCTCGAAATCGTCCTCTAAATAACCCCCAGTGGGCACCATTTTCGAGCTATTTTGTAGGATTGTCCTCTTCTGTATATCTTGGAGGTCGCCATCATCATAATCGTCGTATTCGTCATCCATTCCCCAGCCCTTCTCAGCCATCTCAAAAAGCAAACGACTCTCGGAAAGAGTTAATACCTTCAACCATTCTTCCCCATTCCTGTAGACAATATCCACAAAGACACCTTTTCGTTTGTCCTTGCTAACGGCTTTATTATGCTTTCCCTCCTTATCAGACATCTCGTCATCCTGCTGCTGCTGTTGTCCATGTCCGACGCCATAAAACCGTTTGGAGAATGCCACCACGCCCTCGCAGTACTGTTTTGCAATTGTCCACACGGCGACATGAAAGGACAAATTCGAAGAACGTAGTGTGTGCAATATACGCCCTTCTTTCATCTCAAAATCGTCGTCATCATCGTCTTCGCCTTTTTGCCTCTTCGCATGCCGTTCCTCCATAAGTGCATTCGCATCACCCGACAACCTCTCCAAAATCTTCAGTTCAGTTGCAACACTTGATCTCAAAAGTCGCAGTTCAACCAGATGCTGCTGTTGCTGGTGTTTCCGGAATCGAGAGGCTACTGCGTTTTGGAAAACGTCGATTTCTGCTAGTAAAAGACGGCATTGATGGATGAGTCTGGATGAAAGTGCGGGGGCTGATAGCTTGGCTGGTGTTTCTGCTTCATCATTTCTGGTATCATTGGTCATTGTTTGTGGGCTTCTTTCTTCTTCCTCTTTTTCCTGTCAGTTTGGAGTTTCATCAGAATTTAAGATTATTGTGAGGGGGTCGGATCTCGATAAGCATGCCGGGCTAAACCATGTTTGGACTAGCTCCAGTGACGATGATATCCTTGCAGTTCTTACGATGTCCAAGTAACTTGCGCATTCCCCCAGCAGCACATACTTTTCTTCTAGGTGAACCTTTTTTTTAATTGACAGCTCGCTTTTCTAACCAGCGCACATGCAGCATCGCGAGTCTAGTCGCGAGACCCCTGACCATGAAGCCAGATCTGAAGCTCCCAGGCCCATAGCATACAATCGAGAGTTTGCGATAAGTGCATCCGGTAATCCGCAGTTTCCTTCCCTTGTTAAGTGCTATTGCTAAGCTTTGGTGCAGAAGGAAAGTGACGTGTATGTTTGTAGTGCTTCCACCCTGAACCCTTTTCCATCGACACTGGACTAACGACAGGAACCAGGAATGACCGGCTTGTTCTCATTGTTTTGAGCTTGGAGGAACATCAGTCTAATCCTTCATTTGCAATTCAAGCACTTCGAGAGTATTTAGACGCTCTTCGAAATACTCACTCATAAATTAACCCCACACAAACGCAGTACAGACGCGCTAACGAAGAAATACCGTCTCATTCAAAAGCTTCAGTGACCCGCTTTCCTACCAGCATATTGCTCTAATATCGCCCCTCCATCGAAACTGGCTACCTTAATTTTATAAGAAACAAAGCAACTTTTCTTGGATGATGCTAGAGAAGCAAATTGGCAACATGCAATGCCTATGCAGCTGGTTGTCGATCCAAGACATAGTCAAAAACGGCCTCACTCATCAAAGCCTTCCCTTGAAAGCAATATTTGGTTTTCCCAGGATTTTGCCAACATTCATCCCGGCAATTTTCCTTATTGAATCCCTCTTTCGTGAGGAGCTCAATAAGCTCACGGTCGAGCAGACGCCATCCATCGAAACCTCGAGCTAGACGCCATAAAGCACACGCGTGGCGACGGACATCTGCGACATTACAACCTGAGTCTAGAAGATATCTGACAATATTGTGAGGCTCTCGTGAGTGGTAACGGCGCCTATACGCAGATACCACGCCGGTGTCCGTTACGTTTTCCATTCTTGCTCCATACTTCACTAGTAGCTTGACCGTTGGGAGATGGGTGCCTTTAGACGCAAGGTAAAGTAGAGGATATCCATCTTCATCATGAGAATTGACACTGACGCCTTTCTGAAGGAAAAACTCGACTACATCAGTGAAACCACTCTCACATGCCAGGATACACCCTTGTTGACGCTTGTCCAAAATGCTCTTTATTGCCAGCCATAACCGCCAATATAAAAGGCGAATAAAAAGGGTAGCTGTTGTCAGTCTTTTCCATTATCCTTGCCCCTTGTTCCAGTAAAAGTTTGACCATATCAAGACGACTATACTCCATTGCATAAGATAGCGCCGTGATTCTGTGTCTTCCCTTGATGTCAATACTGATATTGAAGAAAGATTGTCACTTTTTGCTCATCGTGACGCTTACTGACCATCCACATTCCGGGTTTAAATAGCTATATTATGGGATAATGAGCGTCTATAGTTAAGTACCTATATGAACTAATATTCATTAGATGAATTAATAAATCTGTCGTTTCCAGAAGGGCAAGTAGGCAGTATCTTGGAGTTGGAATGCAGCTATCTCGTAAAGTTGGGTATATATTTTGGTCGTTCATTCCATTCTCTCTGCCTCAGAGGGATGGTGCCATATCGAACGCTGCCGCGGGCCTGAGATATCTGACTCGGGAAGATGTCGTTCCTCATTCTTCATGCAATTATGTTGTTTGTGCTTTTATTGTAAAAAGAGCGAAGCAAGAAAAAGACAAGACGTTACAATTGGGGGGGGGGGGTGCGGTGGTCAAAAGAATTAGCATCTCCCCTATACATCATGTTGTGTATCAGCGATCACTTGTAAACATGTAAAGCCTTCCTCATGAAAATATCATATTTTCTTCAAGTAACTCTCAGAAGCGAATTATTTTAGATATGTGATCGGGATCTTGTAATTAGTTCCGAAGCACTGCGGCAAGAGAAGACACGTCACAGCAAATGGAAGGTCACTCATGATGATACACCCAAATCTTTGATGAGGGACCACCCAAAACCCTCAGAATTACTTTAAGCCCCTTGGCCTGAACATGGGGTATTCTGCATCTTCATTTTCACATAACAGGATTCAAGTCTTGATATTGACAGACTTGGGGTTGGCCCTCGTTTTCGCCACTGCGGAGCATCAACTCAATCTATAGGACAGTCAGCTGCCATAAACACTCTAGACCAATTATCGTAATAGAACAAAAGAATAGACTCACTAATTCCAAGTCCGCCAAACCCTCTTCAGGTATTTGTTCAGCATTCTGTCGTCCGGCTGCCAGGGCTTCCCCCCAAGCGCGGATTTCAGGCGGCACGCCCGTCCGTTCATTCGGAATGATCTGAACGATCTCTTCACCGTCGACAGGGCGAACAGTCACCTGAGTATAGGAAGGAATATCTTTACCGCCGAGAGCAGACGGTGCAGGATTGGAAACTGTCACGCTGCCTTTCTCGCAACCAATTGTCCATTCTGGACCTGTCAAAGTGGTTCCTACTGACAACTGGAAGGTGCCCTGAATGCCCGTGTTGGTTTTCAGGATGGCATCCATCGTGTCGACGGGAGGGAGATGTTCTTTTAGAAGAGTCGTAAACGCTGATAGGCGTGTGAAGTGTACTTCTGGCCCTAGCAGATAACGAATACCAGCGGCATAGTGAACACCGCCGTCAAGGAGCAAGCCGCCTTGGTGAGTAGGGTTTTTCCTCCATGCTGTGTCTAGAAGAAGAAAGCGTATTAGCATAGTCACCCAGGAGAAGAAAAAATTATATGTCGTACTTAAAAATTTCCAACCCTCTTTGATATCAGCGTAAATACGAACTCGAAAGCCTACAATTTTCCCGAGTTGTTCTATCTGTTGACGCGCATATCGAAAGCTGTTAAGATATCGGAAGTTTTCAGCCACGCCCCAGGTTGCTTGATTATTAGCTGGACTGTTTGCATGATACCACTTGATCAAGCTCGCAGCATCGGCCACATTTTCGGCAGCAGGCTTCTCGGATAAGACGTGTTTTCCTGCGGCGAGTGCCTCGCGTATATAAGGGAGTTGGTTGGCGATAGGAAGGCTGTTTCGGTCTCAATGTCACGTATTTCGAAGGGACATGAGAGTGCTGATACTCACCTAATACATACTGCCTGGATATCCTCACGCTGGAGAATATCATGCCATTTCTGCGATGAATCTTCGGAATACAGATCTACCGGATTTTGTTGCGCACCGGCTGCCTCTGCGACGTCCTTTGCAGATTTCAGAGATCGAGAGTATACTGCTTTTAGCTCTAAATATTTCGATTCAAGTATTGCTGGCTGCGAAGGAGTTTCAGGTCAGAACACACCTAGCTTCGCTTCTTTTTGGGGGGGGCGGAAGGGAAGTCTTACCAAATTTTCCTCGATTGCCCAGATTCCACCCCCGATTAGAGCCACTCCAATCGCCATGGTATAGATGAAAAGTCAACTCTTGGCTTTTCGTTCAATGATGGATTTGGTTATTTCCTCGTTCCTTTCTGGGCTATATGGGAACAGACCTTTCTCGCGGGGTTAGTTTGCGGGGTTAAACAGATTGCGCGCTAGAAAATTAGCGTAGCCCTAATGTTCCAGCTCAAGGACCGCGATCGTATTGAATAAGAATAATATCAAAGATCCGAACTGTCCTGAAATTAAATACGAATGTTATATATGGAATGTCTAATCGCAGGAAAGTGCCAGAGTACGAACAGAAATGAAAGGTCGAATCACATCTCTGGAATCCCCGCTCAAAGACTCAATGGATGCACACTGTGGGAGCATTGAGAGAAAATCATCATCCAGATAGCGAGGCATGGACAATTGCCGCTTAAAGGATAATAATACATGGACAAAAAGAAAGATGAGTATTAGGATGGGAGAAAAACGCATGACTTGATGCACCAAAGGTGAGGCCATGTAAACTTCCTCCATGTATGCTATATATCGAACTTCATGCTTTATAGACTCGGCTCTCCGGTTAGTTTTCTCCTTTCCTCAGAAGACTTTCGGAAATCTTCATCTTCATCTTCGTCTTCGCTAAATTTGTCGGCGTCCTCTTCACCCACCGCGAAGATAGTTTCGCCATCTAAGGACTCGCGCTGTTGAGGGGCGGGCTGAACGGGTTTCGGTGGTACAGGCGATAATTCTCTCTCTAGAGAGTGGCGTTCATAATCATTTTCTTCTAACGGGATCGCACCTTCTTCATCCAGCGAATTTGCGAGGGAGCGAATTTCAAAGCCATCATCATCTTGAGCAAGCTAAAGAGGAAATTTGTCAGTAAGGAAAAAAAAAGGCATGACAAGAAGTAATATCTTACCTCGTCACTCATTGCAAATCTTCTGTTGTTAGCTGTTGGCCGCCACAAGTAGGCGACAAATGCGATATCAAAGAGGTAGACGATATTCAGCCAGCCATCCAAAACGAACCATCTGGTCTTCCAGTGGTCTGGGACAAAATTGATCGCACTTCGACCAGCAAAGGCAAATGAATTGATGAAGAAAAAGCCGAAAATCACAATGATGCTGCCAAGAATGCACCACCACAATTTCCTATACATCATCGCTTTGGTTTTCTGCCTTCGCTCAACTAGATCCTTCATTGTGAGGTTGAGAGAGTTGAGTGTCCAGACATAGAATGCTGTCAGAGTTGCTGCAAGTGGTAGAATAACCAGCAATACCAAAGGTCCGGCACTTTCAGGTGTGATAGAAAGACTTGCAATACCATAGATCACACTAAAGACAAAGTGTGCGATTGCGAGGAGTCTGACCCAAAGCATCGTCCTTCCCAAAGTCGGCTTGACGACTCCATAGCCCATACAGACAATAAGGAGTAAGAAAAACGAAAACGCATTTCGACCTGCATTGAGAATAGCTACAATAATCATGAGGACTTTGGCAAATGCATTCATGCCATGTCGATTTTGATAGTCTAAATGTCCGAGTTAGCCTATGACGCGTAGTAGATACCCAGATAATAGCAGTTGAAGCTCACCATAGAAACCCCATGTCATCGCCTGCTCTACCACAAGAAAAATAAGAATTGCTGTGATGTAGTTCTGTACCGGCACTACAGAATAATTAGCTCGAGCCCAACGTGAAATCCCAGAAAGAAGAACATACGAATGTCATGTCGGTTCTGAACATAAAGGAATGCCCAAAAACTAAAATTAAGAGGTTAGCTTTGGTCTCATATAGCGTGAAGAATGATGAACTGACACTCCGATGACCGCATATACTATTGTGAGCGCTCCATAAAATGGCAGTTTGGCGATCTGAGCCGCAGGAAGTTCACCGTATGAGTTTCGGAATTCAACGACACCCTGATAGTCGTGTCCGGAATATGCAAATGTGCTAACACAGTAGAAGCCGGTCTTCTTCACTGGATAGTTGATAGCAGCAGGGTCATTTAAATTGACAGCTTTGGACAAAATTGTGGACTTCGCGGCTTCGGTAGCATTTTCGGCAAGAATGAATGCTCCCAATTCTTCCTGAGTGCAAAGATTGGCTTCGATATTCGCTGGGTCACAGATTGTAGCTAGCTCCTGTCCCCTTTGTCAGACTATCTCTTTGACGCGTGCAACCTATTGAACGTACATCATCGGTACCAGGAACTGGCCGCCCTATAAGTGACTCGTCGCCCCATTCAAATATCACCAAACTGACGAGGTTATTTTGTGCCGCAGTGTCATCTTCGACTTTGGCAAATTTCGTGAGGATAAATGGATCGATCTCGCCGCCCCAGGCTTTGCGGCTGTACATGCCTGAACACCCTTGTCGATGAGCGTCATCATGTTGCTAAATGTAGACGAAGAAGAGAGGTCAGTATACATAATGAGAGCGATGGGCTTGGTGAGCAAACAAACTGACTATTTTAATCTCATTTGCGATGGCTCCGCCTGCTAATAAAGCAGAAAGGATAAGGGACTGGCGCCAGCCCTTCATGGTTAGTTGGCGAATGCCCCTAAAGAGGGAGCCAGGAGTCGTCAAGCTTGATAAATTCGAGTTGAAGCTTTCAATACACTCGGCGATAAAGTACCAATTGCTGTCAAAGTTAACAACGGAACTTTTTTTTTTCCAAGAACAATCCAAGGCGATTAAGCTGAGCTATTCTGGAAGGGATCGTGGCATCTCCAGCTCCGGCAGGCCGCGTGGTTACTCAGCGACCTGGGCCAATGAACATCGCGCCCGCAGTTAGCGGTCCGGATAAGGGCACACGCCCAACTTTTTCTTTTTAACTTCCTCGTCCATGATTCAAACTGCCTCGCCGCCTGATTCACAGACACCGAGAGACTGCAGCATCATGCCTGGAAAGGAGATCTCTGATATTTGCATTTATTGCAAAGATTCTGAGGCAATCGCATCTATCCGCGGCCGTCGCCTGTGCCGGTAAGTGAGCTACCTGGACGTAGCCCGCAACTTCACAGATACTAATGAATGGCTTATTACTCCGCAGAAATTGCTTCATTGACTATGCTAACAGCAAAGCGAGTCGTGGCATGACTTCGTATCGACCACATAAAAACACCGCCACCTACAAATTACTCCTACCTCTCTCTCTCGGGATATCGTCTTCTAGTCTCTTGCATATGTTGGATCGATTGCAGCAACGGCAGGTTTCTGCTTCTCTCGGCCGTGCAGGATACGACGTGCATGTATTGATTGTCGATCCCTCGACTATTCATCCCGGTCACACCGACGTGCAAAGTAATGTCGACGCTGTCAAGGCGAGCTTTCCTCGTCACACATTCACCACCGTGCCTCTGCACAGCATCTTTCAATACGATGCGACTATCAAAGACACACTTTGCGACTTTGGGTTCGTTGATGAGGGGTTTGACTCGGATAAAGCACGACTTGATGCGTTTCGAGCATCCCTTTCAACAGCCACGGCAAGAGATGACATCGACAATCTCCTTCTTGTTCGTCTGATTGTCGCATTCGCCAAAACCAATAGCTGTGATGGCATTGTCTGGGGAGATTCCGATAGTCGCCTGGCTGCGAAGACTCTTGCGAACGTTGCTAAGGGCCGTGGCGCCTCTACGACCTGGCAAGTCTGCGACGGCGTATCTCCATGGGGCATAGACTTCTGTTTCCCATTACGCGAACTCTACAAATTTGAACTAGAGCTTTACGTCCAACAGTTGCCGGAACTAGCCAGTATCACAGTTCCTGATTTACAGTCACAGGAGAATTCATCGAACCGAAACCTCTCTATTGATGGGCTTATGAACCAATACGTGAAAACACAAGGAGAGAAATACCCCGGTGTGATGGCCAATGTAGTCCGCATTGTCAACAAGCTACAACCGATATCAAGCAACAAGCAAGATGCCAGATGCCCTCTATGTTCTACTCCGGTGGAACGCACTGCTCTTTCAGGGGATAATGAAGCGTCTACAATTTCAATGTGTTATGCATGCTTGCGGTCCCGAGCCGATATTTTACAAGATTCTTCAAGCAACTGAGAAGTTAAGGAAAGGAATTATATTCTATCAAATTATCCGGTACATCCATGCAAAATTGTGTCCTTCGATGATGACTCATCTTAGACGTGAAGACATCAATGATCACGCCCAAGTCCGCTTTCGAGGTCTCTTGGCTTCTGTTTGCGCCCACTGAACCTACCATTATCACGACGAGTAGATTGAGGTCCATGCGAGGACTGGGACTCAGCTGGACCACGAACCCCAACATTGTTTCCTGAAGGGACCTGCCCTGACGCTGGGTCTTCTGTGTAGCCAGGTGAATCTGGCAATGTGCCTTCCTCATATCTGTCAAATTCTTCCGGAAGACTAAGATCAACGGGGTGCTGATCATCTCCCGCGAGGTGTCCCTTCTGTGCGCGCGCCTTGTTTGCTCTATTTGCTTTTTTGCGCAAGTGTCTCTCCAGGAGTACGGCATTGCGAGTATTGCACTTGTAAATGGCGTCCGCGACATCACCGATAAAGGGAACCAGACCAATGAAAAAGTCAATCACTACGTTCAACAACATTTGTGAACGTAGACTATTGGGAAGTCCGCCATCGACCTTGTCACACTCTCTTAGCACCATCATTGCCAACGCAGCGTCTAGACCGTCGCCGACGCTATTGTGCTCGATCAGTAATTGTTCTTTCATCTGGATAACCATGGTACTTACAAAGGAATGAACCCGATGACGGCCCCCCAACCAAATCGAATACCACACATGTTAAAAAGAGCATAATCGAGCCGGTATGCACGACGCTTGACACGGTTGAGGACTTTGGCGTCATTCGGAGACAGCCCAGGGGGGATAGCCTTTCGCTGTTTTCGTGTCTTTTGGCCAAATGCTCGGCCAAGGCGGGACGCAGGGACTTGTTCGAAATATGGATCCTACAGAGGGGTTAGTTTATAAACACTAGGGGCTCTTAACTGCCGGCCATGTACCTCTTGTCCAAATTTGTTTGCCACATTCTCTTTCAGAATACGCTTTCCCACGAAGGAGGCCAGTTGAGCAGCCATGACTCCAGGAAAGTGGTTGCGTCACGGTATGTAGATAGGTGCGTGCTGCGGAAGGTAGAAACTACGCAATAGCCCAGGGTTGAGTAAGAAGAAGACGGAGAAGGAGAAGAAGAGGAAGAAAATTGGCTTAGAATTTATCTGGGAATTAAAGAACGTAAAAAAGGCGGGCAGGTAAGGGCGCCGACAAAAAATTATAAGCTGTGTTTCAAGTGCCCCTAGGGAAACTCGCTCGATTCGCTCCCGTTGATTGTACGTCATACACGATGATGCACATGCCCCAGCCACTCGTGTGGCGCACGGGCATGCCGAAGTGCCTAACTTGGCCTAACTTTACTTTTGCGGACTGTGGCGGTGCACTTGCTCTTACCGATTGTTCGATGGCCCGTGGCCAACCCTCTGTCTGCCATCTGGTCCTTGCTCAACTCGCCCTGTCGACCTGTCTATCAAACGTTCCATTGTTTTTCCTTGCTGAAGCTGCGTACGCCGGAATATTTTGGCTAGGGTGTGGTTCTTGCAGTCTATCTTGCCACTGCCAGTGGTTTAGGCTTAAGCACCCCCTCCCTTCCACGATTATCCTATGGTCTTTGATCAATAAGAACCTGCACCTGTGCGCTGAAATGCCCGATTATTGCAGACACCATGACAGAAACAAAGTTACAACTAGAAGATTGTGTGTTTGATTGCCTGTTCCTCTTAACTCTCGTTATGCAATAGCAATGACTTGTCGCTGACCATCACCGTTGCCAAAAATTGTAATAGGGCTGGATGATCTATGCGTTCGCTTTATTATAAACCTACCCCGTGAAGAGCTCGAATCAGTGGAGCGTATCTGTTTTCAGGTCGAAGAAGCACAATGGTTCTACGAAGATTTTGTCCGGCCACTGGATCCGGCCCTGCCTTCTCTTTCGCTGAAGGCATTCGCGATGCGCATATTCCAGCACTGTCCACTGATGTCAGAGTGGTCTGAATATCATCATGCGGCAGCATTTTCGGAGTTCCTTGCCTACAAAACTCGTGTGCCCGTTCGTGGAGCTATATTGCTGAACGAGAACATGGATAAAGTGGTGCTCGTAAAGGGCTGGAAGAAGAATGCCAACTGGAGCTTCCCCCGCGGCAAAATAAACAAAGAGGAGAAAGATCTTGACTGTGCCGTGCGAGAGGTTTGCGAAGAAACTGGATATGACTTGAAGGCTGCCGGTCTTGTGAAGGATGAAAAGCACATGAAATATATCGAGATAACCATGCGTGAGCAGCATATGAAGCTCTATGTGTTCCGGGGTGTACCAATGGATACCGTATTTGCTCCTCAAACGCGAAAAGAGATCAGCAAGATTGAGTGGGTCTGTCTGTCTGACCTTCCTACTGTTAAGAAAAACAAGCAGGCACAGCATGATGCTGTAAATGCTAACAAGTTCTATATGGTTGCCCCTTTCCTACACCCGCTCAAAAAATGGATTGCTCAGCAGCGGAAGCTGGATGTTAAGAACACTGCAACTGCATATACAGAGGGCGAGACATCCATGGATGAAGGTTTTGTCTCGGCTAACAACGGATTCACACCGATTCCAAGCCATGTTCAGCCCTCTATTCCGAGTGACTTGCCCGAGGTCGACCAATCTCAGGATGTATCATCACATTTGAAGCGCATACTCAACATTGGTGCTCCTACGCCACTCTCTACTACCACAACAGCCACGGACCCATCCAAGTCTAATGCTTTACTATCATTGTTACGGAGTGGGACAAACGAGACCTCTACACCTGCGCCCAGTCTACCTCAACACCATATGCAACCTCCACTTCTTGCTTTATTCAATCAGAAGGTAAACCCCGGCATTCAGACACAAAACCCTCAAGGACCTTTCCCGGTCCAGAACACTCCGGATTCCATAAATCAGCAGCATTTCCACCGATTGGTCTCTACGATGGCCAACTCCTCGCCATCGATTGCCACTCATATCTCGGGCTATAACCAACGGCCACCGATGGAAAATGCATCAAATCCGCAGCGCGACCAAACACAAAACATTTCAAATCAACCTACCTTGGCACCTTACCAGAGAACTGGAGATCCGCTCTCCGTGCAGCAGACAAATGCAGGGCAATTTCAAGGCCAAGTTGTGCCCCCTGCAAGCAAGTTGCCGCCTCCGAAATTGACGAGTCATTCTTTGGCTCTTTTGAACGTCTTCAAAGGCAGCTCTTCCCCTGGTCCCCAACCAGGAGTCTTATCTCGAGCCGAGGAACTGCAATCACCAGCACAGAAAACTCTAGCACCACAAGACCAACTTCTAGCCTTGTTAAAAAATCCCGCAAATAACGCACCCCAAATGCCAGCCGTGGAGCTTGCCGGGCAACCTGTACAGCCAGTCCCCAAAAGGATTCTGCAGCGTCCTCCATCGCTCAGCAAACCGAATGAGCTTCCCGAAAAAGCAACCACAGGGAAAAATAAACAAGACGTACTGGCGTCTGCTACCGTTTCCGGACCTTTGAGAACACCGGATTTTGATAGTCCTAGAAATCAACCTCGCAGAGTGAATGGCACGCCTCGTGTGACCGGAAAACAAGCACTACCTACATCCCCAATTACAATTTTGTCACGACCGCCATCTGCAAGGAGAGATCTCTCAACTCCAACACAAGCTTCGGGCTCAGTCTCACCGTCACTTGACGGCAGAGCGAAGAACACTGGAGCAGCCAAGAATTTTCAACCGCAGATCTTACGCCGGTCTGAAAAACTGGACCTCAATGCAATTCTTCCTACCCGAACGGTACCTGTCCATGAGTTATCTGAAGAGTCGGCGGCTTTTGCAGCATCAAATCAAGCTGCAGTGGTACCTGAGGAGAAGCTCTCCCAGCCTAATTACGACCGACGTCCTAGCCAAACCGCAGCACAGAAAGAAGCGCTGCTTTCTTTATTTGGAAAGTCTCCTGGTAAAAAGGATTCACTCCTAGCTACAGCAATGGACCACCCGATTTCGGGCAGTGTATACAGCGATACTGTTTCGTCTCCTTCGCTTTCCGTGACTGAAACGAACCCGGCAACTACGCAGCGTATAAAGTCGCCGGACAACAAAGCATTCTTGCTAGGTTTCCTTCAAAATGTAGCTGATGGAAAAAGATAGCTTGGCCGGCATGTGTGAAGGTACTTGAAGAACGTTCTGAGTACATTAACAGCAGTATATCTTGTTAAAAATATAAATTCCTATTTAATAGCTATCTAGTGTTGAATAGCTATCATTGTACGAAATAATATTATTGTGTAAGGAAACTTGAAGCTAGGCCTACAGGATAATACAGCTTGATATTCTGCCGTAAAACTCCGCTTGATGACTGACGTCGATGCTGATAAATCTTTCAGCAACGAATCCAACGGCAATTGGAATAACGTACAACAAACTTGCAAAAATGGCCCCCCGTGCCTCAGCAGGCTTTATCTGTTCAAGATGCATATATCGCAGCAGCAGCAGAGCGTTGTTTTCAACGAGTTCCAAACTCCGTCAATTGCGACATGAAGACAAACTCGGGATGCCGCCAATCCCCTCTACGTCTGGCTATGCGCTGCTTTCCAATCGGTCCCTTATCGCCGTCAGCGGTACTGATAGTACTTCCTTTTTGCAGGGAATGATTACACAGAATATGCTTATGGGGAAAGAGCCAGTTCGCGCGCCCCGTCGAACAGCGAGTTACAGCGCCTTTCTGAACTCGCAAGGCCGCGTGCTGCACGACGTATTCATTTATCCTATACCCAAAGCCAATCTCGGTGGTGGTGACGAAACAGCCTGGCTGATAGAAGTGGACAAGAGCGAAGTAACCAACCTCGTGAAGCATTTGAAAAAGCACAAATTGCGGGCGAAGCTCACAATTCGTGCGTTGGAAGACGGGGAACATTCTGTGTGGGCAGCGTGGAATGATGAGAGCACAGAGCCACGGTGGGCAGCATATAACCTTGAGTCTGATTTTTCTTCTCCATCGCGATTTTCAAACTCCCTTGTGGTTGGGTGCATTGATACTCGAGCGCCGGGCTTCGGGACGAGATATGTCACGCCAGGCTCAGATGACCTTCAAACTCACCTACCGGAGGAGTCGAAGAAACAAGTACAAGCGCAAAAGGTGGATTTATCGACTTACACGCTTCGGCGGATGCTTCATGGTGTTGCCGAGGGACAGAAAGAGATCATTCGCGAGTCGGCATTGCCTATGGAATACAACATGGACGTAGGTCGGGCAATTGATTTTCGGAAAGGCTGCTATGTTGGACAAGAGCTTACCATTCGAACACATCATACGGGTGTTGTACGTAAACGTGTTCTTCCTGTACAGCTGTATGGTGATGATCAAGATGTTGCTGCGGCGACGGCCCTGGCTAGCGGGTCAGCGGTGTATGACCCCGACACGAAATTTTGTCAACCTCCTCCAGGCGCGAACATCTCCCGAGCTGGTGGTAGACGAGGACGCAGTGCAGGTAAATTCATTAGCGGTATTGGAAATGTCGGGCTTGCTTTGTGCCGGCTGGAGATGATGACCGATATCTCGCTCACGGGTGAAAGCAGCCAATATAGTCCATCACAAGAATTCCGGGTTTCTTGGGAAGACTCTGCACTGAGTCTTGAACAGTCTTCGTCTTCTCCTTCTCCGAGTCAGAACCAGGTCAAGGTCAAAGCTCATGTCCCGGCATGGCTCAGAGAACATATTGTGGCAAGCACGATGCGACACTCTGCATCCTCGAGGTCTCGCGAAGGGCTCAGAGCGCGCGATTTGGTGGAACAACTTGAGGAGGAAGCTGAAGAAAAGTAAACAAATTGTACAGTATACTATATACAATATACCGTTAAAATAGCGGTGCACAGCCTTGGATCTTGAAGGTTATTCACGGTCTAGCCATGCAAGATGTACTCTACTCAATGGATGAATGTTTATATATATGACTACATTCTCGTGCCTTTCTATCTATGGCATGCCATTATTTCCCCAGACAATAATCACCGTCCCATTTGGGAATCAAGCTTCATACCGCCTTCCCAAGGCGGTGACTGTCTGATGTTGGCCGCTGGCAGAATAAGTTGCCGCCGCATACCATTTTAACCTCGTCATCTTTAAATTCCCAGATTACACAGCTCAACTGCAGCGTCGCTGCCTCTCAGTCTCTTTTATTGTCTGTCGCTGTATTAGACATTGACTAGTTAATTTTGTGGGCGGATATATACGTTTTCGCCACTTTGCGCGCACATTTCATAAATAGACGTCCCGAACGATCGTACACTTTTGCATGAGAGAGAGAGAGAGAGAGAGAGAGGAAGAAGAGCAAAATGGCGCCGACAGACGACCTCAAAGTGCATGCAACATCATCACAAGACTTCTATGCCCTCCTCGACATATCGCCCGCATCCGCCGAAAATGAGATCCGACGCGCATATCGTCGCACAGCACTAAAATACCATCCAGACAAGATCTCAAACCCGACACCGGCGGACATTGATAAGTTCCATTTACTACAGATTGCCTACGATGTGCTCTCAGATCCTACTGTGCGCCAGCTGTACGACAATGCGCGCGAGGCGAGGGAGCGCAAGAGGCGCGAGGTGGAGATGATGGATGCGGCGAAGAGGAAGATGAAAGAGGACTTGGAGGCCAGGGAACGTGCAGGAGATGCAGGTATATTAGGGGGACAACAGCGAGGCGTCAAGAGGACGTGGATGATGTCTTCTGCGACTGATAACGAGGAAGAGGAAAAATTGGAAAGGGAGATTCAGCGCATAGCTGAGAACTCGCAGCGAAGACGTCGCGAGGCCGAGGAGAAATTGATGAGGGAGGCAGAAAAAGAAAAGGAGGAAGAAGAAGGTGCACAAGAACGCGTAGAGGAAGAGGAAGAGAGGCAACGAGCAAACCGACCGAAAGAAAAAGGCGGCGGTACGAATGTTCCAGAGTTAGAGAGGGCAATCAAAGTACGCTGGATCCGCGAAGGACTTGGGGCAGAGTTTGATAAGGAACGATTGGCTGCACTTTTTGCGTCGTTTGGCAAGGTGGAGAATACATTTATGCTCAAGGATAAACGACAGCGACTGGGCGAGAAGAAGGAGAAAAAGACGGTTGCTACTGGCGTGGTGGTTTTTACATCGATTGTCAGTGCCCATTCAGCTGTTCTCGATAGCGAGAAGAAGAAAAGGACTGGTCAGGGTGATTGGGCCATACTCGACTCGGTGTTTTGGGCGTCAGGAAACGGACCTGACTTGGAATCAAGTCAATCGACGCAAGCGCAAGCACAACCCCAAGCCCAATCTACAACAGCGTCTACATCTACTCCAAAGCCAGCCTTTGACTTTGCCAGTCTGAAGAAAGACCGGGGGACACCAGCAATGAAGAAAGATGCCGGAAAACCCTCGTTTACTTCATTTGCAGGGGCGGCAAACGCAAAGCCATCCTTTGGCAGCGCCAATACCAACAACAGAACACCGGGGTTGACGACGCCGAGCCTGGAAGAGGTCACGCTCATGCGACTGAAGAACGCACAGCGCGAAAAGGAACGCAAAGCCTTGGAGGAGCAGCTACGGAGAGAAGACGAGGCCGCTGATGCGGCTGTCTAGGTTATTTATACAACGACAGACTCATTTGTATATAGGTAGTATACTAGCAGCATGAAAATATCACGATACCCTTTTTTTCGCGTTGCCTTACCTATTTAGGTAGGTGGTGAGGATCCATCGATGATTGGATAATTCCAATACGACTCTGCGAGGAAATTTTTTTTTTTTTTTTTTTTTTTTTTTTTTTTTTTTTTCTTCTCGAAGCTTGATTTGACCCACTCGGACCGAGACTTCCAGAAGGTACTCCATTGATCCAAAATGAATACGAATGGAAAATAACAACAAAAGGTACCTTGATGGGATTTGGTGCCGTAATATTAATGCGTCGGGGGCTTTTATACCACGACGCATAGGCGTTCGCAGTGAGTACCTAGGTAGCGAGCGTGTAACTATAAGTATCAATATAGAGTCATACAAGCCGGCCAATCACAAAAGAATGCCGCTAGTGCCCGCCGTGCCGTGATCCCGATCTTTACTAAAAATACACACGAAAAATACCGGTATTTTGCCGATGCCGTCGCACTTTTCCTAGGATACAACGTAGGGTTATATGGAAAAACATACTACGTAGTACTACTCTATAAACATTCCGTCGTTCCTGGCGAGATGAGCTAAGCCGCGGCCAATCGGGGAAGTGGGTTCGTCTCGTTGAGCCTAGTCGAGTCTCATTCGTCCTGTCGGCATTGTGCCTGCCTGTGTGGTCTGATAGTAGACTCGTAGAATCCCTTCCCGAATAGTCAGGTCTAGCCAGGTGTCTTGAAGCGTGTTTAGAGTGCATCTCCGTGGAAGCAACCCTGTCACATGCGCATAGCAGTAGTGTACATTATTGTGTGTGTGTGTGTGTGTTCAGTCACTGCTTGTGCATTTACAACTAATAGCTGCATATGACAGATGTCCTTCGCACTGACTGACGAACCCCGGACTTTGACCCCTGTTTTTGCATATTCCTCAGAGAAGTTGGATGCAGTGGCTACGTAGTCGATAATCGGCTGAGCTATAACCTATAGTTAATTATACATAAGCTGACTAGCACCCAACCTTGCATGGGCTGTTAGGTAATAGCAACGCAATGGTCCAATGTTTCGAGCACGCGGGGGGGATTGCGTGTTTGAGACGTGATTCTAGACTCTGATGATGTTTGTTTGGGCGATTGCACATAAACAAACGGCCAAAAAGGACGCGGTACTGTCTGTACTCAGGAGAGAAGTAGGTAGAGGGCAGCAAGGCTAACACGGCACATGATGCGGGGTACAGCAAGCACGCTAGCCCAGGCAGGAAGCAGCGAGGAGAACGACGAGCAGCCACAGCGTGATCACGTTGCCCCCAAAAATTTTCGTTTTTTTAAATTTTTCGCTGTGATTTGCAAGAGTGGGGCACATCGCGTCATTCGGCGGCGCTAAAGGGCACAAGTGGCAGATCTGTATGGTCACGCCGTGTATCCGTGTATTTATTGCGGTTTCAAATCGTAATCCTCACTTGCTCCATGGCGAGCGGTGCGCACGTGATTTCGACGAATTCGAAATGGCTGGCGGATTATCTCATCTCTCGTCAACCCGCCGTACGATGATCTAATCAGCTACTAGGTAGTTGACTAGTTAAGTTAATAGTAAATCCGGAAGACTAAGTGCCAATAGCAACAGCAATACCTGCGCTGTACGGTGACTCACTGCGCCGGGCGTATTGTAATTACCGACCCACCGCATCTGGCAGTCTCGACTCGTTTCGCTGCGCAGGTCGAAGAGGGGAAAATTTTCATATGGGAAGGGAAACAACCAGAAGACGCTTGTTTGCATCATGTGGATCGGACCATGCTGTCAAATTAGTCGGTGTGTGGGAAAGTACAAAGGGCAGGTGCTGCCTACTTTTCTGGGTGCTCCATCATACTTCGACTTCACTTTTCTGTAACTGCGCTCTACTGCAATCAAGGACACTTTACATCCTACACCTGCAGCACCACACTACTAAAATCAAATCAAACGGCTAGCCATGCCTGGCCGTCTCCTCTCCAACCTTGTTCGCTCATCCGAGCCGCATGCTGCGCCTTTCGCCTCGCGCTCGTCCTCGACCACCTCCGTGAACGACTCGCCAGTGTCCTCGGGCACCTCGTCCAAGAGGAACTCCTGGTCCTTGCCCGTCGAAGCCCACGATAACCTGGAGACCCGCATTTCTGCCGCCATGGACCACATCATGCACCCCGGCAAGGAGAAGCGCATCAGCCTGGGCAGATCCTCCCGTTCCAAGGAGCGCAAGGGAACAAAGGACACCCCCCGGGTTGCAGGCCCAAAGCTCGATGTAGTCATTGAATCGCCTCCCCTCGTCTTCTATGGCACTCCCGCAAACTCGTCGGGGGCGTTGTTCTCAGGGCGTCTGCGTGTCACGGTTTCCGAGCAGTCGGGCTCTACTACCTTGAGAGAGTTTAATGCTGATCTTTCCAAGACATTCACAACCAAGAAGCCAATTTCGAAGGACTGTCCTAAGTGCACCTCTCGCAAAGATACCCTGAAAGAATGGAAATTTCTCACCGAGTCCGTGACTCTAAACAAGGGTGACCACGATTTCCCCATTAGCTACTTGTTCCCAGGAGACCTGCCCGCCAGCGCTTCAGGAAGCCTTGGTGTTATTGAATACTGGATCACTGCCCGCGCTATCACAACAACCGGAGCGGAGATTGTTAAGAAGATCCCTCTTACGGTCCACCGTGCCATCTTGCCCGGCAATGACCGTGCATCAGTCCGCATCTTTCCCCCAACCAATCTAACTGGACGTGTCATCTTGCCATCCGTGGTTCATCCAATTGGTGCATTCCCGGTTCAGATGAGTTTGAGCGGCGTCGTTGAAAAGGGAGAAGAAACCCAGACGCGGTGGAGGCTCAGGAAGATGATGTGGCGTATTGAAGAGCACCAGAAAGTAGTGGCCAGTGCTTGCACAAAACATGCCCACAAGGTCGGCGGTGAAGGGAAGGGTGTTTTGCACCAGGAGACCCGCATCATCGGCCACAACGAAGAGAAGAATGGATGGAAGACCGATTTCGACACTGCCGGTGGCGAGATCAATATGGAGTTTCTGGCTAATATCAAACCCGGCAGCAACCCCATCTGCGATCTAGATATCAAAGGCCATATCGAAGTGAAGCACAATCTGGTCATCGAGCTCATTGTTGCGGAAGAGTTCTGCCCAAACAGAAATACCAAACTGATTACCCCTACTGGCGCGGCCCGCGTACTACGCATGCAGTTCAATCTACTTGTTACTGAAAGGAGTGGCCTCGGAATCAGCTGGGACGAAGAACAGCCCCCGGTCTACAACGACGTCCCTGCCAGTCCTCCTGGATATTCTACAATCAAGGGTGGCTGTGAGATGGAAGACTATAATGGCGCTCCCCTGCCGGAGTTGCCAGACTACGAGGGTCTTGAACGCATGGATCGAAGTGATAACTCGTCATATTCCTCTGGACTCTCGCGCCAAAGGTCCCAGTTGACAGCCGATGACTTGACTGCTGAGCCCGAGGTGTCGGAAGCTCGTAATCATGCTGATGCCGAGGGACCGGAAGCTGTCGAGGCCGGGCATGTTGAATGATTAATGATTCGGTCTATTTGAATTTTTCTTGCATGACGACGTTACGACTGCAATCGATATCATCTCAACTCGTTATACTTTATCTTTTACCGTTCTTAATATCTTCTTTCCTTTGTCCATGTTTGTTTATCTAGTATCCTTAGCGTTAATCCGGTTTGTTGATACGGTTTACAGGGTGGCAGTTTGACTTTGTTATTTCTGAGCTGGCCTTGCATAGGTCTTGATAGGCGGACAGATACCCATGGTTGTTTTGTCTTTCTTTTTCCTTTTTCTTTTTTTCCTTTCTCTTACTTTTTTTTTTTTCTTTTCTCACCAACAAATGTTTACCCGTCGACGAACGACGCGGCATGAATGTTCTTTATTTTTTTTACCAATATCTAATAATACACAGCTATCAACCCTACCTTTGTCCACAAGTAATTCATCCACCCATGCTACGTAAATTAATAAACAGGATACCCCATAATCCCCTTCCCCCAAGCCAACGGCACCAAAACAGCCATCAACGCCGCCAACGGCGACGAGATCTCGAGCACACACCAAACCCACATAGTGCCTATACTCGGCGCACGTTTCATAACAGCATAATAGCCCGCTTCATTCGTCGTGCGCACCAGAAAAGAACCCAGCACGATAGCGAGCGGTAGGAAAAACGCTGTTTTACCGTTTTGTAGGTCGCCGACTAGGGCGGTATAGATTACTGATGATATAGTTGCTGGCGGCGGCGGTTGTTTTGTGGTTTTTGCTTTCGATTTGTTTTTGTTTTTGTTTTGGGATTTTCTCTGCCATGGGAACGAAATTATATGCCCATGTGCCAGATGAATGCAGAATGTGAGCACGGGGAAAGCGATCAGGGTCGATTCGCGTAATAGGTTTTTGAAGTTGATATCTTGCATGTATTGGTGGGCCGCGAGGAAGGCGAGGGTTAGATGTACGGTGGTTAGTGGGAGGGACAAGAGGAGGGTGTCGATGAGAGGCGGTAATCCTTCTCCTGAAGCTTCTTCTTCGTCTCCCTTGCGAGAAGAGTCGGGTTTAAATGAGGATATCCCGCCCGACGGCGACACTTCCAGGAACTGCGTCTCTGTCGCATCTAGGTCGAATAACGATGCTGACGATGATGCAGTCTCCTTTTCATTCTTGTTCTGTTTCTTTTTATTATCGTCATTGCCGACAAATTGATTCAACTCCTGTTGTCGCTCGGCTACGATCTCGAACAATGTCTTTGCCGGTCTTTCGCTGTTGGCTGGTGGTCGCGCAAGAGGGATGGAGGAAGGATCGAAGCTGTCTTGTTGCTGCTGCTCTTTTTCAGCCGCCGCGGCAGCTCGGCGTTGTTTGCGGTTCTGTGGTGGCATGGCAAGGAAATATATTGGGACATATACAGATTATTTGTTGAGAGGGAGTCAAGTTGGATAAGTTAAAATATAGCTTCCGCCGGGGCGGATCATATGCTTACTAGTCTGTATGTAGTCTAGCGTGGTGTGGCCATCTTAGATTCTTCAGATGTTTATTTTCACTTCAAATCAAAAATTATTTATTACACTCGTTATAACTCAAACCTGACTATTATCCCTATTATTCTCGTATGTAACTTCCTCCCTATTTTCGCGTATGTATCACCGTACCCAGAGAGCACTGTTTATAGATCAACCTGATTGGTACAAAGCTGGCCCAGCAACAACATGTTCGTTGATCAGACTGATGTTGAACGGCGTCAAGTATGGGTCATCATCAGTAATGGCAATGAACATGGTTCCATTAATCGCTGGATCACCGCTAAACGTCTCGAGATCCGGCTGAATCGTTGATCCAGACGAGTTGCCGCTCAGCGTCAAGGGCGAGTATGTCACATTCAACTGCGTCACCCACACAACATACGCTGCAGTCCCTGCTGAAGAGGACGTGATGTAGCTGTTGTTAGGTCCTACTTCCTTTCCGGGCGTGTCCCATGTGAGATTGACTTGGCGACCGGGATAGGATAGCGGGATGCTGCGGTTCTGCGTAATCGCGGGACTGCAGTCATTGCCGCCAGTTTGGTTCAGACAGGCTGCGCTTCCCGTAATCCCAGTGCTGTTTAGTGTGTTTGTACCAGCTCCAAGAGTCTCATTGAAGCCCTGGGATGCGTTCACGCGAGCAGGATTGGGTTGGTCAAGGATCCACAGCGCCGGGAAATTCTGCCAGATCAGACGTGTTTGACCTTCCGGGCATGAGCTGATATATGGAGCCAGCAAGGTCCAAGCCCAGGATTGCGGGACGCCGACTTCAAACCAAATTGGCATCGGGAACAAGCCGTTGAATTGTCTGAAGATCAACTGCTGCCGAGCTTCGGTGCTGATGCTCTGCAGGAGTAACTGGGCTGCTTCGCGACTGTTCAGATGCGGCAAGAAGCCGTATACACCAGATTCGCCAAATCGCGTGAGCTTTTGGCTGAAGTCAATGAATTCGCGCACAGTTGTGAACGGGTAGTTGTAGTTGCATTGTTGGGGCGCCTCGGCTCCTAGGATGTTGCTGATGAGCGTGGCATGTCCGATTTCTTGCTCGGCCATGAACTGGATCAGGTAGCGGTCATCCGCAGACAAGCCGGCTTCTTCAAAGTCAGAGTCACTAAAGGTGGCAAGCCCAAAGTGGAAAAGATCAAGCTCAATCCATTCCTGGTAGAGAGCAAGCGCCTACAAAACCAGGGTTAGTCTGCATTCAATGGAAAAGCTAGGTCAAAACATACCAGTGATTGATAATCGAAATCGCTTTGGGCGTTGTAAATAGGAGTGCTGTTCAGACCCAGACCGCCTCCAGGGGTATATGGAGCAGGCTCAGCGTCATGCAGCTGTCCGTCGCTAGGGTATGTTGTCTGTGCCGGGGATACGCCTCCAACAACAATTCCAGTACCGACGGAGCTGGCCCTCAGAGCACCGGTGGTAGATGGTCTGCCGCTAAACGAGCCGTGGGAGACCGATGGCAGACCGCTTCGAGTCGCTGGCGCGCTTGAACTTGGCGTAGCTCTTGCGCTGCTTGATGCGCCTCCGCCTCCGCCTCCCCCTCCAACAGCACTCGAACTCGCACTAGCACTGCTACTACTGCTAGAGCTAGAGCTGGAAGTTCTGCTGCTCGTTGATGTTGAAGAAGTTGTATCTTGCGGCTCTGCAAACCCGACAAATAGCAACGTCCACAGGACGATAAATGAATTTGGCAGCACCATGATGACGATTCTTTTGACTTCACTTCGGTAGTTTTAACGACGAAGAAAAACGAGAATAGTTCACGGGAGAAGTTCATATACTCAAAAAGGAGCAAAGATTCGTTACCTAACGTAACGAATTTTATACAAAGATGACGCCACCACTCTCTAATTCTTTTGATTCTATGTAACGTTGAAAACCAGATTTCCCAACAGGAAAAGAGCAGAAGAGAACAGAAAACCCGAGGATTCTCTCTGCATTTGGAAATGGAGCTTGAACACTGCTATGAGAAGCATGAAGTCAGAATAACGTGCTGCAGATGTATTGCTGATATCATGGATCTGAATGCGTCGCGTCTGCTCTCCAATGAAAGAGACCTTGCTAGGCAAAGCAGGTGAAGCGTGCTGCTCCCATAGGCTGTAGAAGACAATGCCAGGACCACCTAGGGGCCAAGCTACACTGAATGGACCGAATGTCATTCGACGACACGAAGATCTGCGGGGTGACCCGGATCGATAACCTTATGCCAGCGAAAGTATACCCTAAAGCTGCCCAGTCGGAAAGTACCAAAGCCATCCCATCTGTTCCGCCTGCTCCGAGAGGTACCCACTGTATCCACGGGGAGTTGTCATTGATGTAGATGGAAGTCAATTGAAGTTTGATGTTGAAGTCATGACGTTCACTTAGGCAGTGTGGGGCTGTCCACATACATGTGTGGCAAAGACCTCCATATATTTCGCTAACAACTCTAAGCACGATGTAGAACTTGGTTTTACTTTTCTCTTTTCTCTTTCTTTTTAATTGTTTCAGTTCTCGCAGGAGCCTGCAATCACGCTCCCTGGAACTGCACTTTCTGTCTACATGTATCATGCAATGTACCAAATCGTACATCGTTGCCCTCGAACTGACACTGTTAAGGTCTGGCCAAAATCCAGGACATCCCCAATTGACAACTATGCCATATCTACTCATCTCTAGAAGTTATACCCAATTTAGAACTCTTGACTCTGTAATTGTTCGTGTTGTGCAACATAGTATAGCCCTTATCTTATCCATGCTGTCCAGATAAGAAAGGCACTGCTTATCTTATCTCTGGCCCCCCACCCCCCGCGTTCTGGAGATAAGCGTCAAAACACAGCATGAAATCACTCTGCAAGCAATATCCTACCAAAACAAGTGCCAGCAGCTCCATAAACCTTGACCTAGGGAACCAGGCCAACACAGACACAATGGCAGACTTCCCCATCGTCGACATCCACACCCATGTCTACACTCCCGCTTACTTGGACATGCTCCGAGCCCGCAAAAAGGTGCCATACGTCCACGATCCAGCCAACGGTGCTGATTCACGTCTAATCATCCTCTCATCCGACGACGATGCCAGTACGCCCGCAGACCAGCGCGGCCGCCCCGTTGACTCATCCTACTCCGACATCGAGGTAAAACTCGCATTCATGAAGCGCCACGGGATCACCACCAGCGTGATCTCGCTGGCCAACCCGTGGCTTGATTTTCTGGACGTCGACGACGCACAGATCTGGTCGGAGCGTATCAACAACGATCTAGAAGAGACATGTGCGCAGGTCAACAGCAAAACCAGAACAGACACTGTCGCGACAGGAATCAAGACTCTGTATGCCTTCGGTGCCCTGCCGCTATCAGCCCCGGACGCATCCATAATCGTAAACGAGATTACACGACTCAAAATGCTCCCTCACATGCGAGGCGTGATTATGGGCACATCTGGTCTGGGAAACGGCCTCGACGACCAGAAGCTCGACCCCGTCTGGGCCGCGCTCGCACAAACCCAAACTCTGCTCTTCCTCCACCCTCACTATGGCCTCCCCGACGAGGCATTTGGTGGGTCCGAAGTAACGCAAAGATACGGCCACGTTCTCCCCTTGGCGCTTGGTTTCCCGCTCGAAACTACTATTGCGGTTACTAGGATGCTCCTATCGGGCGTCTTTGATCGGTTTCCCGATCTTAAGATCTTGCTCGCGCATTCGGGCGGTACGTTGCCGTTTTTGGCCGGGAGAATTGATAGCTGTATTGCGCATGAGCGCAAGTTTGTCGCGAACGGCGGTTCGGCACAGGGGCCTGTAAGGGATGTGTGGAGCGTGCTGAATACGAATATCTACCTGGATGCGGTTGTGTATGGCGAGGCAGGTCTTAGAGCAGCTATTCACGCAGCTGGGAGTCACGAGAGGCTTTTATTTGGTATACTTCCATACTTATATAAATCACATATCAGATGTTTCCCTAACAAAGGCTATATAGGTACCGATAACCCTTTCTTCCCACCTCTTTCCGAAAAGGAGGATGACATCTGGCCCAGTGTCACGACCAACTACAAGGCAATCGAAGGAACTCTGGGTGAAGACAAAGAGGCTGTTCGAGGAGTCCTTGGTGGTAACGCAGTTCGCATTCTAAATCTCAATTAGATAGCACTTCTCCATATAATATATCATAGCGTTCTGTAGACATTCATTCTGTAAGATTTTCCTTTTCACGTTTCCACACAGATTCAAGTATATCCCACCCTAACAATCTCCAGACTTCTCTTGAAAACCATTCCGAGGCCGATTCTGATTCTTTGGTGAGCTGGGTCTTTGGGTCTTCTGTTGGAATGTGCTGTGGTTTTGCTATTGAATCGAGAAACAACGGTTCATCTTCGTGAAATACTGCCTTGAGTAGAGTACTTTGCAGTTTTTTCTTGGTGAAACGAAGAAGTAGTCCGGCATTTGAACTTTTCGATGCTGTTGCTGCTGTAGTATCCTCGAATAATGACGATTTGATCGAAATGGAATGCACCAGCGCGATCGCCTTCTCTAAAAGCCAGACGAGGTGATGAGTTTCGAGCTCACAAGCGACAGTCGCAAATGTAATAGTCTCAACATTGTCATCAATCCCCGCACGAAGACCCCCGGGCAAGGGCAATTTGTCAGGGCTGACTTGCAGATCAGGTGTGGTAAGGAAATCTTTGAATCCGATCACTGAAAGAACAGTGCCCACGCGATTGAGGAACACATAGAGGTACCCCTCGAAAAGACTATCGCAACCAGCTGCAACCAAATTTGTTGCCTTCAGCATCATGCCTGCAAGCATGCGTCTAAGCATATTCATGACTTCGTCTTCCCCATTCGAAGACTTTGATGGGTCAGGTGCTGATAGATGCCTTAGGCTTCTCGAAGAAGGGCTCTTCTGGTTTTGTTTATCTTTAGCAGAATCTTTGCCGGCAGCTTGAATAGTGCATATTTCCCCGAGTTCACATAAAACTGTCTCAAAGAAACAGACCATATGGTAGACAATTTGACCCTCGTATTTCTTTCCTTCAGCCGAGTTCATTACCTTGTTTAGAGAACGGCACAGAAGCGCATGAGCGGCTTCGATGACCGCAAGAACGACTATCAGGTTTGGTATTTTATTATCGGGTTTGCTAAACTGGTTCGTTTCAGCGCTTGTTCCTTCACTGAGAAATGAAACAATTGACGTAGCGGCCTTGCAAAGATCGACGACACTCGAATAGATGGAAGGCCAGTTGGGTCTCTTTTGTATATTTTGTTGAAGCACTGACAAATGTCTCATGATTGAGCCAATACCTGTATCAATCGAACGTGATGTTAGTGAACGACGGACCGTCAAATACTTCACCAGGATATACACACTCGCTTCACTAGCGCCTTGTTGAGTGATTAAATCACTCAACCCCACCAGCTCAATTCCACTGTCAGCCAGTGTACTTGATATAGTATGATTGGCTTTCTGCCGTTTCCTCTGGGATTCTGTTATACTCGGCTCTTTGCTCTCTTTGCGCTTGCCGCTCTCTGGGGCATTATAGACGCCATCGTCTTGCTTGAGCTTAAGCTTCAATGTTTCTATTCGTTGCTCTAGCTCATAGACACGATCGTTCAGCTTGCTTTGTGCATCTTCAGCCTTTGTGTAAGCTTGCTTCCAGAAGGCCACACTATCGAAATATTTGTCGCTGGCGCTAGTTGGATTTGGGGAATGATTCCGGGGCTGTTTGATGTGCAAACGGATTTGCTGGATGTGATCTGAGAAGATTTAGATGAAGCCAGTTTGATTTCACTTGGGAGGGGGGCAAAGCCTGGCAGCTCACCTACAACGGAGGTTCTCGCTGGCTTCGAGTTGACAATGGCAATCGCAAGAGCCAGTTGAGCCTGAGAAGACAGTGAGCCTTGCTTTGACTTCTGCGCAAGGTCCATCTTCTGCAGTTGCAGTTGCAGTCGCAGCTGTTGTTTGTCAAGCTGAACGAGCCTTCCGCTTTGCAGGTTGGATCTTTTCTTTGTCTTTGCTCACGTGCCATACAGTCTCTTTGTCAAACAACAGCAACAACACACTGCCAGCTTTTTACGGCAGATATCCTATCGCTTCCCCTGAAAATCCCCAAGCACCACAGACACCACTCTCCCACCGTCTCACTATTTATCCCTTCTGCACTATCAGAAATTCGCCCAACAGGATCAATGTTAGGGCAATTGCAGTTCATCTCAAGGATAGTCTCATGGTCTGAGCTTATAAGATCTCATACAGATGTCTCTGGTACCGCCGTTCTACCGTGCGGACTACACGGGAACTTTTGCCAAAATATATTTATATTGCAGGGAAGGAATTACGGAAGACCTGCGGACCCAACATGATAAAGTCCTCCGGAATTTCACGGACGAGTGGAAGTCCTATGACAATGTCGAGGACCTAAAATGTTTCGCCGAGTCGGTGATTTGCTTCCTGCTGGTCCCGGGCAAGGCCCGAAAATACGCCAATGCGTCGAAGCCAGCGTCTGCATCACCCGCGAAGAGTCCCAAGCAACGATAGGAGAGCTTGAGGTTCGAGATGGTGGAAGATTTCAACCGCTCAAGCCAGAGTCATCAAGCGGATTGTCACCACCTGCCAGCGTCTGATGAGGAACATTGGCGTGTCTTGAAATGGACTCTCAACGCTTTGATGCGACTTGCAGAGACACCTCTCAAGCAAGAGCTTATGCCAATCTGGGAGGAACTGGTCGCCCATACTGTTCGAAACCCTTCAGCAGAAATGTAGGGCACGCCGCACGGTGCTTAAATGCACACGATTTCCTTATTTCCACGACATTGTTCAGGGAGGGTGTGTGTGGTTCTGATTAGATTTGGGTTAGATGGTTACTTTTCTTCTCTTTTTTTTTCGGTTGTTATGTATAGAACAGTAAAAATTGAGTTGATCTAGCACCGGAGCAATGCGTATGAAGATGGCACGTCAGAATGGAGCAAAAAAGTAAACGTCCCCGAGTGGGTTCGAACCACTGACCTTGAGATGTCCTCTTCATATATAGATATGAATAATAACAGTCACACGTCTTAACCACTGGACCACGGAGACTTCTTATTGGTCGGCGTCGCCGGATTGTCTTAGACTTATCTTTTAACAGATTTTCAAGCTTGATTGCCAACCAAGACAATAATACAATATAACCAATTTCTAAATAAGTCTTGCATGGGTCTCTCGAGTCACCTCTGTAGTTCGTCAAATGGTGCTGTATAGGATGACCGCATAGCTATGGTTATAAACGGTCTTCACATGAGATATCACACAAGAGAATATGACTTTATTCAACAGGTTCACCTGTAGATTTTAAGAATACCAACTCCAAAGCCTGAGGCCCATCATGGGGCTTAGGAGATGGGACATTATGCCATCCAGTCTTGTGACTCTTCTCTGTATCTAGACAAGGAGCACCCGTGCAATTGCTCGACTTCGTCAATTAGTTTGGCCAGAGCATCTGCCATGAGAGACGAGCAAAGGAACAAAATCCCCGGTGTGCATAGAGGAGAGACAAAGAGAACTCCTGCTTGCAACAACATTGGGGCAAATTCTTTGTCTGCCGTATGCAGCTTGAGGGTACAGATGACAAAGAAAATATCACAGCAAATTCCTTCTTGTCGGGAAGAAGTTTCCTAAGACATCTGACTAATCGCGCACGAGCTTCCCTTAAGCGGACCAAGTGTCAAAACTAAAGTGTAAAAAAAGCGTCAAAATCCGGGGGATCGCTCGCTCCACTTCCCGCCGGTCCACTCTTTCCCCGCATTTCTTTGAAGCTTGAAATGCCTCAGATTCCAGATATCGCTTGGGTGCATGCCAGTAAAACTGCCTACAACTGCATACCTGCCTTCGGGATGCTTGGCCCCAGCAGGCGGGCATGTCTCGTCTTCTCCGCTGGAAAACGCCTTCAGTTTCGTTGCGGGGCATCTCAGGGTCCTCCCGGAGCTTTTCTTAGTTGGAGACATCCGTTGAATGAACTTACTGTCTCTACGAGCCTGAGATGCTTGCTTTCTGCTTGCTATGGTTCAAAGAGGACCTTTTCCACGACGCGAACGCTGGCCCAATTGTCTCCCACCAGCACGCCTAACGCGGAAATGTCCTTTCACGAACTAAATTCTCGCAGCCTAGGACTTCGCGAACGAACAGATCTAGTTTACGAGATTCTTTGTCATGGCGAGCCCAGTCAAATCCTCGAAGCGTTGGCAAACCCCACGAATCAGCAAGTGGTCGCGTCTCTGCCGGACAGTGTCTTCGTTTCCGCTTTCCTGCGCCTGACACCAGAGTATTTCATTGAGCCGTTCCTGGGGGTCTTGCTACCGGTACATGAGAGGCGACTGTCACAGAAGGGCCTGAATACCGTTGAAGGGGTCATGGACCGATTCTTCCGACCCTTGAATCAAATCTTACGGGCACGTCGTGGTAGCGGTGGAGAGAATACTTTCGGTCTTCTCGAATATCGGCATCTCCTTCGCATCTCGGCATCCATCGGCGATCGAAATACATGCATGGAGCTCTGGAAAGGTATGAAGTACTTGGGGATAAAGCCCGATCTTCAATGCTACAACTCGCTCCTGCACGCCTGCGTGTGGGAAGGCGCGGTGTTTGGACCTGGACGGTATCGCTTACGTGTAACGCCTTTTTATTATCGATCCAGAGCTGTTCCTCGACCGCGCGAACGTTTCAAAGGATTCGGTACAGCCGCTCGAAGTGTGCGCAAACAAGTCTATTCTTTTATTCTCGAAATGCGCGAGGCCAACTTACCGCTCAACGAAGATACATACATCTATATGCTTCTTGCTAGCGCTAGAGTTGGAAGTAGCTCAGGTATGAACCAGGTTTTGAAGATGGTTTGGGGCGTCGATGCTGAAGCCCTCGCCAACACCCCTGAAGAGAATCTGCCCGCTGCAAAATCCCTGCCGGCATCATCCCCGATGTATCCTTCACGCAAATTACTTCTAGCTGTGGCACATGCATACGGAACTAATAGCATGTTTGAGACGTCGTTGCAAATTGTCAAGTACATTTCTAATCAGTTTGGAATCGAGATCACGGATGATGTCTGGGCGGAGCTTTTCGAAAGAGCGTTTGTCCTTTCTAGAAAACGCTATGGAAAAGACTCGCAACCTCTCTTGCTAGGCAAAATCAACAGCGATATTCTTTACGACCTCAAGAACATGCTACAACTTGACGGAAAACCTTACGATATGAACTTGTATCGCATGCTCGCCACAACGGCCTGTGTTAAAGCGCGATATGACAAATACCAGGAGGTGACTAGAGAGGCATATAACCTACTGCGCAAAACACGGAGAGAACGCAACCATGCACTTCGTGTACTCGAAAACTACCTGGGCGTATCACTCCGCATCCAGTCGCCCTCTAGTTCCGCTTCTCTAGACGAAAGAGCCCGCTTGTGCGCAAACTGTTCTACGCCACATGTCTGGCGAGCTCTACGCAAATACGAATTGCTGCGCTTACTAGTCGAGCAGCAGCAGAGCCTTATGGAGAAGATGGCCGGGTATGCAATCATCAACCAGAAGTATTGGCCTGGACCGTTTCACTCGGAATGGGCTCATCGACTTTTGCCACAATTCATCGCCGAGTGGAAGGATTTCCTCCCGGAATCATACAAAGTCTACCTCAATAATGTCGGCGAGATGGAGTTTGTTGGAAGGACGACTTTTATGGATGCGAATTTCCGAGTTCATGGCAATGAGCCTGTGCGCTGGTCGGACTGTGGTAGTGGATTTGTCGCCGAAGAATATGATGACAATGCTGCAGATGATCATGATGACCAGGCCATCGAGGTCAGTCACGATGTCTTGTGGGCTCACTTCAAAGCTCGTTTTGGGCCCCTTGCTATGCTTCAACCTTTCCGCTGGTTTTTTGAGAAAGGATGGAGTCGGGCGCCAGTCCTGCTTCAAACCGTGGAACATATGGAAGACAAGTTTAAGGATAAGGGATCACGGAGATTACTCGCGGAGGAACGGCAACAGAGTAGCACTCTGATTAAACATGAGAGAATGCAGCATGCTCACTACGTCACGATGGAACCTTTTTATATTCCTTTATCTCTCTGATGTGCAGTTCGTCTATTACAAAGCTGTTTCTTTTAAGTTGATTTGTTTTGTACAGCGGTATGTTTATACATCGATGACGACTCGAGATAATTTTTGCATGTCCCTTGTATTTGATAGACAAGGTTGAAAGATATCCACATGTACACATATCGACTATCCATGAGAATGAACACTATCTTCGTTGATCAAGAAGAATATGTGCATTTATTATAACTATTAACGTTGTATGATATGATACAGTGCTAACCAATCACTATGATACATATTGTAGACTTTATCGTCTTTGAGCGAACTCTTCCTCGCATGTAGAGAAGAAAGCAAGGCAAGGTTAAACCCTTTCCTTCTTCAAATCATTCACAAACATATACCGTCCGATGGTAATCCAGCCCCATCGAAACCACAGCATTTGACTCTTGTGGCCATCTGTCATTGCCGTGCGCGCTTGTACCCAGTCATTGAACGAGCTGACGTACAGAAGATGGCTGGCACATCCATTATTAGTATTATTGGCATTATCGTACTTCTTGCCACCGCCAATTCCTACAGAGTCAACCAAATTGGCGACTGTGCCGATGACCATTGTCAAGAAGGAGTCGAGGATGCCCGAGTATTTTCGCAAAACGTTTGTGCTTGTCAACGTGTACAATGACACAGGACATGAATACCCGCTTCTGTCCTTCATTAACGCCTTCAGAAACGCCACTGCGCCGTGATATAGGGATCGATGGTTGGGATGGTTGCTAACACCGTGCTCGTCGAATGTGAGGATGACGTCGATGGTAGCTTTGGGGGGAGCGTCGCTTGTTTTGGAAGAGAACTCGGGAGCAAAGGCCGATGCGAGAAGAGAGGAGATATCCTGGGCGGACCAGGTGATGGTCATGCTATCCTCGAAACGTGCGGGGTCGTCTATCACGAAAACGTCGGATTCGTGGCGGAGGCCCAGGTGAACGGCGCTTTTCTCGAGCTCTTTCTTGCGAATGTCGCCTAGGCCATCTGCATTGCCTGCGGTTGGATGAGCGCGGTGTCCAAATGCCAATAAGAATTATTATTTACCTGTACTCAAGCACAAGATCTTTACATGATTGCCTAGTTCTGGTCTCGTGAGCGCCAGCACAGTTGGCGCAAAGAACATCGCCTCGTCATCGGGATGCGCAATGAGGAGACATATGCGCTTGTTGCGCAGGGTAGGAAAGGAGCCGGAAGAAGTCGAAGAGATCGTCCAGAAAATAGTCGCAAGAAGCGGGGCGATGAGCGCAGCTGCAATCCAGGATGTCATAGTGGTGAGGTGAAGCTTCGTTTGCCAATTGCTGCTTCCTTCGAACCGCGCCGAAAATCACGGGATATTCGTTCCGTACGAATTAAGCACTCAGTAGCGCCAATTAGAAGCCAAAGGGCCTAACCATCGCCTGAGTCACGCGTAATTATGAATTATAACTTAATTTTTTTTTGGACTAAAATACCATAGGACGTGGTTCTATTCGGAGAGGTTTTGGGAGCAAATAAATGTAGCATCTCACATGATCTATCTAGTACAGGCAGCGAATCTTATCTATGTATATCACGTGATCAATTCCTATGCAGCCCTTGTGGCCAAATGGTAAGGCGTCAGTCTTGTAGAATGTAACTTTGTCGTTATATTCGTCTATACCAAACGAGATGTTGAGCGCCTCAAGCGATCTTGTCTTTTGGCGATGCTCTATGATCTATGACTGTATTTGCTTGACGAGCCTTGAGGCGCTCTATTCGTACCTTCATTTCTTCAGGAGTTTCCTCTATGAGTGTGTAATGCTGAGCCTTGTGGCCCATTTGGCCGCATTTTGCACATGATCGGACATTTGGGCAGTTGATGAGAGAGTGGCTAGATTGGCGACAGTAACTGCAAGGGCACTGTGGACAGTTTTGTCTGGTAAACCCCATTGTGTTACAATCTCGGCATCATCGGCTATCTTCGTAGAATATCATGTTGGGCATAATCAAACTAGTCCGATGCTGAGCAGGCAAGGGTGGTGGGAAAGAGATGAGGAAGAAGTGACGAAAAGGAAAGAGAAAAGTGAGAATAATATGAAAGAAGAGTGAGGAAAGAAGAGAAGAAGAGATGACAGGGAGATAACACAGAGATGAGATGGGAAGACTGAATTCCTCTGGTGGGAAGGTGAGAATTTGGTGCTAGAAAGAAAGTTGCGTGTTGAAGAAGATTAAAAGCTATCTATATGGGACTACCATTGCATATTTATGCTTACCAGCCCGCTCAAGGACTTGCTTACAACCTCCTAGAAACGTACCCATGCAGGTGGGAGCCAGCAAACATAGTGTAAATTATGTCTGGCTTCCAACAGGAAGCATATTGTAGAGCAGGTTGAACAATAACAGTATTAGCATGTAAGAAGCAATATACAAAGAGGAAAAGGAGCTCGTTTGAATACCCCGATTTGCCAGCCATATATATCCCTACACCCAGAACAGTATAAAGAGCAAATATCAGGATCTCCCGAAAATTTCTCAAATCTGAAGCTATTCTTTGTTGCTTTGCCAAACGCATTTCCAATGCGAGTGTCAAGCATCGGCCCGCGTAGTAAATCATATGGATCCCTATGACAGGTCATTTATCCAACGCTCTACCCATTCTGTGCAACGTAACCTCATCCTGGGCATGTTGAACTATGCCGGATACTGGGCTTCGTACGTAGGGCCCCGTAGCTAGCCCTACTCCCGTCACATAGATTGGAAGAGCAAATGGGAATTTGGGTGGAATATATTTGAAACACCGACTTCGTGGGCCCGTGGTCAAGCGATTCCTGGAAGATACCTGGTATGTTTCTCAACAAGTAGAGCCGAGACACCAGTACAGTCAAGCCTGCACATAATGGGCCTGACTATAACCAATTTCAGTATATAACGAACGAAAACCGTAGCCTAGGCTGCTGAAACCCAACTATGCGATGCGCCTTGCCTCTTATGGTTGATTTCTATCCCCAACCTACCGGTGGAATACAAACACCTAGCAATCTAGGTAGCTGAAGAAGAATTCTTGCTGGAGATGTCCTATCATCTCCGAAGCCTTTTTACCCACAGATGTAGCATATTTCTCATCGTGGGGCCGGCCCTGCACCAAGTCGCATGCAGAGCCGCATGCATGGACGAGGGGCGGCTCGCTACAGCAAAACAAAGAATCCACAGGACAGACAACTTCCCACTCCGGGGAAAAGAACCGGTAAGCCGCACCGAAGTCTGTCTCCTGCACCTTGTTCCCGTCGCGGTGGGAATGAAGCAAATTGATACAGGTATGAATTAGTTAGTGGCTGGGCAAAAAACATAGGATGATAGAAATAACTAGTAGCTACACTATCTCTAACTGGTTAGTTAACTAGTGGCGCCGTGACTAGTGATGGGTCATGTCAGACCCACACCTCTGACTGACAGAGGTTTTTGTCAGGCCTGACGAGGTTTTCTATTATATAATAAAATGGCCTAATTTGGTAGATAAACTAGTATTATTTTATATAAATAAAAAATTTAAATCTAATTTATTAGAATACCTAACCATCCAATTAATATACACTAATTCATATATAAAATAATAGAATCTAATATATTCTAATAAAAATATATTAAATCTAAATAGAAAATAAATACTGATTTTTTTTATTACATTTTTAAATAATTTAAGTCTTAGTTAATAGTACTAGATAAACTATAAGGCCTTACTACTTAAGTTTATAAGCTATACTTTAACATTAAGCACTTAGATTATTAGTAAGGCACTCTACACTATAAGAACTAAATTAAGATTATTTATAATTAAATAATCCCCATTATTAACCTCATAATCTAAAATCTTTAATATAAAGCCTTAAATCTCTATAAAACTATCCTCTACTTCTAATTATATAATCTCCTTATCTTCCTTTAATTCTTCTTATAGCGCCTTAATATTTATATATATAAATATTGTTATATCTACATTTACTTAAATCATTCAATTTTAATATATTAATAATTAATAATTATATACTAAGAAAGAGCATTCTAACGGTATAAAAGTAGTAATTATATAGAAAAGATATAAAACAAAGCTAGTTAACTTATTTATAAGATTAAAACTTAATTTTTAATATAAAATATTAGTATTTTAATAAAAAATAGTTTTTAATTACTTATAATTACTTTCTAAAAAAATTTAAGATTTTTTTTATAATCTTAATAATTAGTATTATAAAAATTGCTAGTTATAGTATAATATTAAGAAAAGTTAAAAATTATAAGATTAGGATTATTTATATAATACTACTTAATCAACTAATATATAATTTTCTAGTAATAGTTTATTATAGGAATTTTTAGAGTATAGAGATTAAGATAATATACTACTTAATAAATATCTTACACCTAATGTTCTATCTAATTAGGAAAACTTAAAGCTAAATATATATATATATTTATACCAAAAATCTTATTATTTTAAAATCTATAAAGGTGAGCTTTTAGATTAAGCCACTATTACACTATTAATCCAGCATAAGAAGATATACTTTCTAAAGCTTTTATCACATTATGAATTAGTTTTATAAAATTAATTAAATAGCTAACTACTTCCCAAAAAAATATTAAGATGAGGATATTTTTAAGATTAGCTTTATAACTTTTATCCCCTATATATTACATAAATGTCGGAAACTTCGGTCGGTTACCGTCGAGTATAGCTAGGATAGCTATTAACGGGCGAAGTTAATAGGCTTCTGGTTTATGAAAGTTGTAATGAAATAAAAGAAGTCTTGAGATAAGATAGAATATTTTAATTGATAGAAGATTATATATTTAAGTTATCTTAGTTAAAGGGTATTTAATATGGTTAATTTAAGATAATAGAAGAAAATTAAATATATAATAAATAAGCATTCTTATATACTTTTCCTCTATTATAGCCATTATAGAAAACATCATAATTTCTATACAGTAATTATTATAGTAATCATAGCTGCTGCTTTAATTTTTATAATACTCTAACTTTAAGGTTTTATTAAATAATTACTTATTCTATCCTATATTAGCTTTATAGAGACTAACTTAATCTATTAGCTGTAATATTCTGATTCTCTAATAATCCTCTTCTCTGAAGGCTGGTGTGACGGGGGTTGCAAGAACGTAGCTGGGATTCAGCTTCGGCCTAGGAATCAATTCGAATATATAACATATATACACATATGCTCAGCAGTTAATCGCTGCTTCACAAAGGCCTAAGGCCACCTATAATTATAAGGCAGTATATACTAAGCTGCTAGTCTAATTAATAGCAGAAAGCTAGGCAAGATTATATACCTACTATACTTTAAAACTATTCCTAACTCTATCTAAGATTTTATCTTACAGCTATTTCTCTCTTTATAAAGATATATCCCTAAGCCTAAAACTTCGCAAGCTTATAAGATTCAATATATAGAATTAATAGTTTAAATTTCATAATAAAATCTTTATTTTTAATAGAGAAATTAAAAATAAATAATAAGCATCAGATAAAGGATTAAATATATAGAAAATAGTTAAGATTAATATTAATAATAAGTATATATAAATCCTTATTTTATTTATTTTAACTTCCTCTTCCTTTCCCTTTTTTTCCTCAGCCTTATCTTCTTCCTTAATAATAAGTATTATCTTAATACTATATTTTTTCATTAAAATTTCATTAAATATAAATTTAATATATCTTATATTATTAATTTCTTGCTTTTTTTATATTAATTTAATATTTAGGGCAATAATAAGATAATTTTAATTATCTTATAATTAAATATAGCAGTTAACTTAAAATATTTAATTCTAATAATTTAAACCTACTCTAACTATCCCCCTCTTTAAAAGTAATATTCTAATACTTAAGAAAACACTAATATAATAGTAATTCACTATCATCAATCTAGATTTATTCTCATATTTAAAGTATCTTATAAAAATATTATCCATATAAATAAATTAATTATATAAGATAAGTTATAAAATTAGATAAATATTAATATAATTACTAATAATATAAATAAATAAGTAGCTTAAACCTCTATACACTCTTAAAAATCCTCTAGTTAAGCCTTTTAGTGTAGTCTCTATTTTTAGTACTATATCTAACAACTTCTAGTCCCTTACATCTCTAAAAAGTAAAATAAGTAATAATATTCTATATACAGGATTTTAATACTAATAGAGTATAAAAACATATAGTTAAGTCTCTATATAAGTTCTTATACTTAGCCTACTTTCAATTATAGACTACTTTAAATCCTT